CAAGTAAGCTGTGGGCGGGGGCAGGCGGTCAAAGGGATCTGAGCGGGGGGGGGGGGGGACAGGGGAAAGGGGGCGACCACGGGCGAATGTCAGCCTGCGGTGCTGCGTGCGCGCGCTCGACACAGACAGGAGAGGACGTGGAGCGCACCTGGCGACAGTTCTGCCGGCTTGGGCGACAGGAGGGCTCGAGGGGCGAGAGCCGAGGCGAGCGAGTTGGCCGAGGTGAGGTGAGCCGGCGAGGGGCCGAACGGGCGGTTCGAGGTGGTGTAGCGGACCCAGTCGAGTCTTCGAGGCGGTACAGCTGCCCGGGCGGCGCTCTGGGCGGGTGGGACAAGCTCGAGGGAGAGAGAGGGCTGCGAGGGGCGTGGACGCTCGAGAGCGGCGCGTCGGCCTCGCTCACTCTCGCGTCTTTCTGGCGGGACTAAGCTCGAGGACTTGCACAAGAGCTCTCTCTGTACGTTCGGCGAGCCGGACCCAAGATACGAGACGACGTGAGAGCGCTCTCCTCCTCCTCGACACCTGCTTTGTCTCTCTCGCTCGCAGGCCCCGGGCTTTCGCCTCTCGACCCCGCACACGGTCGACAATCGTCGCAAATAGCGCACGGACTCGTCGACCCGCAGAAGCGGGCGCGACACTTGCGAGCTCGCAAGGGAAGGCTCTCGCTTCGGCTCTCGTACGACGCACGGACGCCCTCGTCGCGGCAAGGAAGACACGGTCGCTGCTGCGAGAGAGACGTCTACAGCAAAGATGGGGAGAAACAGGGTCGCGGGGGACTGCGAAAAGGGCGGGGTGGTGCATGAACGGGGGGAGAGGGGGCGAATGCGAGTGCGAGTGGAGAAGCGACGTCAAGACAGACACTTCGGGCGCAAGAGGCCCATCGAGGAGGATGATGCAGAGGATGAGGAGGAAGAGAGCATACAGTCACAGAGGGCGGGTCGGGTCAGGGGTGGGGGGTCGAGGGCGAGGGACGAGGGGAAAGGGGGAGGAAGGCGGCGAGGTCGTCGACCGTGACGATGCGCGCGCCTTGCTGAAGGTAGGTGACGTAGTCGAGGAGGAACGAGACCTGGTGCGGCGTCTCGATGGCCTTGATGCTGCGCGAGAGGAGGAAAGAGAAGGTCAGTCGACACGCACGACGAGCGAGGAGAGGGAGAGAGTCGGACGCACCTGCGCCTCCTCCTGACAAGCTCGATGACGCGCTCGACGATGCGCAGCGGCTCCTCGCCCTCCCACAGCGCCGCGTCGCCCTCGCCGTCCCTCGGCCCGGCGACGAGGCCCATCTTAAGCATCCACGCGCTCGCGACGAGGCCGGCGCGCCCGATCCCGCCGCGACAGTGCGCGAGGACCGACGTGCCGCGGAGCGTGTACTGCTGTACGATGCGCGACAGGACGCCGTCGAGCTCCTCGGCGCCCGAGGGCGCGAACCCTTCGACCATGGGCAGGCGCACGACGTCCATCTCGAGGGCGTCGAGCGCAGCGCCGTACTCGTTCCACGGCACGCCGAGGTACGCGAGCTCGTCGTCGTCGAGGCAGCACACGACGAGGCGCACGTTGTAGTCGTCGCGCGCGCGGCGCAGGTCGGTCGCGACGTCGCGGCAGATGGCGCCTCGCCCGCCCTGCTTGGGCTCGCCGTTCATGCGCACCTTCTTGCCCGGGCACGACGACAGGACGAAGTTGCCGAGCGGCGGCGGCGCGACGTCCGAGACAGGGAGGGTCGAGGGAGCGGCGTAGTAGGCCGCGGTGACCGAGATGAGGTCGGTCGCGACAGACGGGCGCAGGATGAAAGGCGCGTCGTCGTCGAGAGCGAGAGGAGGTGTTCTCGAGGGCGGGAGGAAAGGGTCGGACAGGTTCGAGGCGAGGTACTCAAGGAGCTCAGGCGGGACGAGCGGCGAGATGCTGCGAGGGCGACTAGTCAGGCGCGAGGTCGTGGACGCTCAGGGGAATCAGGGGACGCACTTGATCGGGTGACTCGCGCTCGTCTTGACCGCGACGCCGTTGACGACCTGCATCCCGGGCAGCAAGCCCGGAATCTCCTCGCTTGACGGTGCCGGGCGCGGCAACCCGCCCATCTCGGGCACTTTTGGCACCGCCGACACGTCCTCCACCTTGGGCACCGGCCCGCTGACGACGACGGAGGCGCCGCAGTGCTGCACGGCGACGGGCTCGCCCTGGACGAGGCTGGCGAGCAGGCCGGTCGCCTCGGCGGTTGGCGCAGCGGACGACGACGGCGGCGCGATGGTTGGCGCATCGGCGGACAGGTTGAACCCGAAGTTGGCGAGCGAGGGGGTGAGGCTCGTCGGGGTGCTTGAGCGGTGCGGCATCGAGATGGGCGTCGAGGGAGGTGCCGAGTTGGTGGGCGCGGGCGACGGCGCGCGAGAAGTCGGTCGACTCGGGATGGCGAGGGACGATGTCGAGGGGAGCGAGGTAGTCGATCCCGAGGCAGGGGGAGTGAAGGAAGGGAGGGTGTAGGCTGGAGGAGCGCGAGGTGGTGGAGCGACGACTGGACGTGCGAGGCCGGCCTGCGGTCCTCCTGCGGCGGCGACGAGCGAGCGCTTGAGGGCGTTGTACTGGCTCAACCTGCAGATGTGAAGCTCTGTCAGGGACGATCCGAGAGATTGCGCGCCGGCCGCAGGGAGGGGAAGGAGCGGAACGCACCAGTGCTGGCTGCACAGCTTGGCGAGCGTGATCTGGACGTCCTGCGGCATGCCCTCGAGCTCGCGGATCTGCCTCTCTGCAGCGAGCACCTGCGGCGTCGGTGCGCGCCTGCTGCAGAGGAGCGTCTCGTCGCCGCCGCCGACGACCGGCACCGCCTCGCGCGCGCCGTCGTCCTTCGAGGCGACGCCCAAGCCGACCAGCGGCTCGAGCGGGACCTCGGGCGGCGTGCTCGGCGTCGTGTCCGTGCCCCGGCGGACCGGCCGCTCGCCGTCAAGCCGCGTGTCGCGCCGCGGGGCGACGAGGGGGCACTCGAGCGCGACTTGGTCGACCGACAGCTTGGGGCGGAGGACGCGCGGGCTGGCGAGCTGGCGGTCTGGTGTGCGGCCGAGGTCGGGGCTCGCCGTCGGGCTGGCAGTAAAGGTGCGCTTGACGGGGGACGCTAGCGCGATGGCGGCGAGGGGCATGGGCTGGGCAGCCGACGGGGAGGCGAGGGGCGAGGGCGAGGGCAGGGTTGGGGTGGGGCGCGCCGGTGCACAAGTTGTCGAGTGGTCGGGGATGCTGTCGGGCGGTGCGGCGCGGTCGTCGGCCGTGGTGTGGGCGCGAGAGAAGGGCGGCGGTTTGTCGAGATGAGGGGAGCGGGGTAGCTGGTCCCTGGCGACGTCGCGGTGCTTGGCCTGCTCGTCTGGACGGAGCTGTGGGGTGTGCCCGTGGTGCGTGTGTGCTGGCTGGGGCTGAAGCCACAAAACGGCGAGAGCTCGAGGGAACGGAGTCTCCCCGCTCGCCCACGGCCGCCAACTTGTGGTCGAGGCCCTCGCTTTGGTCGAGCGCCGTCCTCGTCCGCTGCGGATCCGTCTCGAGAGGTGCGACTAGAGCGCGCAGATAACCAGCTTGTGAACTCGGCGCCAAGGGGAGCTGGGGGCGGAGCCCGAGCCGAACAAGGACGAGGCGTGCAACCGTCGCTCGGGCCTCGTCCGACGCTCTCTCGCAAAAGCTCTCTCGACCGCGACGACGATGCAGAGTGGGCACATAACCTGGCGATGCAAGCCTAAGACGGTATCAACAAAAACGAACGACAGACAGACCTTCTCCTCGCCCACACCTCCTTGCCCTCCTCCTCGTTCTCCACCGAGTCTATGAGAGACGCAGAGCGCTTGCCCGCTTTTTTACCGGCCCGTGTACTTGCGCTCGAGGTAGCGGCACACGGGGTAGGTGACGGCGGTGAAGCCAAAGGCGAGCTCGAAGCCGAGGTCTGTGGGCACGGCGAGGTCAGTCTCGGCTCGAGGGAGGAGGAGAGGGACGAAAGAGGGAGCGAGACGCACCGGCACCGTACTTGGGGTCGCCGATCATGCGACCGATAGGCCCGACGTACCACCTGCACGAGGAGGGAAGCGCAGGGTAAGGACGAGGCACTCAACGCGGCGGAGAGAAGAGGGCGAGGACGCACGTTTGGGACATGCCGACGACGGCACCGGCGATGCCGCAGCACAGCGAGAAGGCGGCGGCGAGGCCGACGGGTAGGTTGGCCCGGTCGTTGTAGCGGTGCAGGTTGTAGTTGGCGAATTTGCCGCCGCGGAAGATAAAGTGCTCCTCGAGGAGGATGCACGTGTAGATGGCGAGCCAGTACGACAGGAGGACGAGGAGCGTGTCGAACGCCGACTCGAACGAGGTGTAGCCGGCCTCGGCGAGGACGATGTCTGCACGGCGAGGGAGATACCGAGAGGTCAGAGAGGTCCGAGCGACGGCGGCGACGACGGCGGCGCGGAGAGAGGACGCACAGATGATGGTGCAGACGATGCACAGGAAGAAGCGCGGGATGCGCTGCGCGTACTTGCCGAACGCCTGGAACGTGAGGGCGAACGAGTAGACGTTCTGCGGGGCGACGAGGAAGAGTCAGTTTTCGGCTCGACAGGAAAGCGGGAGGCATCGAGGACGCACCGGGATGTTGTTGGCAACGATCGAGAGCGCGAGGATGACGAGGAGGAAGCGACCAAAGCCGCCCATCGCTGCGGCGAGGAGGGAGGGTCAGTACGGGGTCCAGGACGAGGGCAGGGGCGATGCGGGACGTACGACCGATGAGGGGAGCGCCGAGGAGGCCACCGAGGTTGGTCGAGCCGTCCGCGTTCTTGGCAACCGCCGCCCAGGTCTCCTTGACGTCGAGCGTCGACATCATGAGGGCGCCGAGCGACTCTACGAAGACGAGCGGGACGTTCAGGCCGACATAGGTCGAGAGGAAGATCTTCCAGTTGGCCGTGTTGGCGCGCTGGTACACGGTGTAGTCGGCCGCGAGCGACGTCCAGCCGAGCGAGAAACCGGCGATCGTGCCGCCAAACTGCGCGAGGAGAGGGACCGGGTCAGGTCAAGGACGAGGACCGAGAGCAGGCTCGGCGAGAGGGGACGCACCGAGAGAACGCTCGCTGCCTCGGCCTCGCCGACGCCGCCGTAGCCGCCGTGCATGAAGCGGCCGGCCTGGCCGAGCATGATGAGGAAGATGACGAAGACCGGGATCGACGAGTAGCGCTCGATGGCATGCACGTACTTGTAGCCGAAGAGGGCCACAAAGAGCGTGATGAGGGCGATGATGACGATGCCCGCCGGCTCAGGGAGCTGGTGCGTGTCGGTGACGGCGTGCAGGGCCGACGCGCCGACGATGGTGTTGATGGTGGACCAGCCGATGCAGGCGAGGCAGTTGAGGCTGCGTGCGCCCGACGTTCACGTCAGTGTCGGGTCGACGCCGGCGACGGGGCAGGCACGGAGAAGTGGGACGCACAGGATGGGGAAGAGGATGGTCCAGGGTCCGAACGAGAAGCGGCCGATCATCATCTGGCGCAGGCCGGTCTGCTTGCCCCAGGTCGAGAAGAGGGCGACCGGGAGCGTCGTGAAGAGGTCTGCGCGACGAGCGAGCCGTCAATGTCGCGCCTTCACGCAGGAAGGGAGAGAGCAGGAGCGTACTGAAGAAGAGGATCGTGAGGCAGGCGTCGGCCGGCTGCAGGAACCAGATCGAGTTGCCGAGGGTGCCGAGCGAGAACGTCGAGATGGTCATGTTGGCGCTCATCCACAGGAAACCGGGCTCGAGCCAGGTGCTGAGGAGGGAGGGGCACGAGTCAGCGTGCGAGTCGCGACGCGAGACCTCCTCGTCGGCCGCCGCCGCAAGAGAACGTGGACGCACGACTTCTCGGCCCGCTCGTGCTCCTCGACACGCTCGACGCCGCGAACCTCGACGCCGTACGAGTCGAGCTTCTCGGCGAGCTTCCACAGCGGCGCGAGGGCGCCGTTCTTGCGCTTGACGCCGTCGTCGGCGCTCACGACGTCGCCGTCTTGCGGCGCCTGGGTGCTGCCCTTCTCGAGGTCGAGGTCCTTGACCTGGTCGGAATGGCTCGAGGTCGACATGGTCGAGATGTGACGGCGAGGGCGGGGGAGGAAGGGAGCGAGGTCGGCCGGCGGCTCGACGACGGGGCGGTGAACGGCGAGTAGTCGAGTGGAGGGGGGAAGAGAGCTGTAGTCGACGCGCGTCGAGCTGGTGGAGCGCGCGAGATTGCCTGGATAGCCCGAGGTGCGGTGAGAAAGGAGGAGAGAGAGCTGAGCGGGCGGGCGGCGACGGACGATTTTTCGAAACGCGGACTCCGACGGACGTGGCCTCCGACTGCAAAAAGAACTTGCAGATAAGCCCAGTGGCGCGGCGACGAGTCCGAGAATAACAGCGCGGAGTGCGGGGCAGACGAGCACGAGGGTGCGCGGTGAAGGGGAAGAGCTCTCGCGCGGCAGCTTCCCATGAGCCTGTGTACACAGACTGCGAGCGTCAGGCTCGCGTGGCAGCTGCCTAGCGTCGTCCTGCAACCCCGCCCGCCGTGTCAGGCGAGCGAGAGCCACGGTTCGAGAGCAGCTGCTTCAGTTCAGCTCGCACCCCGCCCGCGCGACGTGCGTGTGGTGCGCTGCGCGTCCCCCAGATTGGCCGTTCTGCCCTTTTGCACGCGCGCATGAGAGCGTCGGTGCCTTGCACCTGCAGCACACCGGCTTGCCCGCTTCGATCTCCGTCGTGGTCCGTGCGAGCGTGTCCGAAGCTTTTGCTTCCCCTCGGCAGAGCCTATCGCCAGCCTGGAGAAGCGGTCTCGCCCTCGCCCGAGCCGGGTCTGATTCGCAAAAAGTCCGCCGCCGCCGTCCTCCGGCCCGCCGCTCCTCCCACCTCCCCCTCGCCCCCTCGTCCTCCCGCCCTCGCGCTCGCACCCAGCCCGCAACTCGCAGCCCGCGCTCCCCGCATTCGCCGCCACCGTAGACCCGCGCCTCCGATGCTCGCCCCCAAGTCGCCCTGCAAGACGGCGCCGACCGAGAACCCCTCCGACTTCGACCTCGTCAACGTCCGCCATGCCGTCTTCCAGGCCGAGCAGGGCCTGAGAGAGCAGGGCGTGCCCATCGGTGCGGCACTCGTGCGCAAGGACGGCGTCGTCATTGGCGTGGGCCGCAACCGCCGCGTCCAGAAGAACAGCGCCATCCTCCACGGCGAGGTGCGCCCCACTTTCCCTCCCTCTCGCAGACTCTGGATGTGCGGCAGCTGACCCATCTCTCGTGTGCCCGCAGACCGACTGCCTGAACAACATTGGCCGCCTGCCGGCGTCCGTCTACAAGGACTGCACGTGAGCCAGCTCTCGGCCGACCTCGAGACGTTCCGAGGACTCTGTACTGACTCTCTCCTCGGTCTTTGCAGCATGTACACGTGAGTCCCTGCCTCTTCTCGAGCGTTTCGGCGACGACCCGGTTCCGCGAGGGCGAGGGTGAGGGCCGGTGGGCCAGGTCGAGCTGGTCGACGAGGATACAGAGCTGACCTCGGCTCGCTCCCGCAGGACCCTCTCGCCCTGTTCGATGTGCTCTGGAACGATGGTTCTCTTCGGCATCAAGCGCTGCGTCATCGGCGAGAACGAGACGTTCCTCGGTGCGTCCTCCTTTCACTCCCTTGCGGGTCGACGTCGTCGAGCTCGCCTCGCTGACTCTTCCCGGATTCCTCTCATGTGCGCAGGAGGCGAGAGCATTCTCCGGGATCACGGTGAGTCCCTCTGCGTGTCGACGTCGCGACCGGAGGACGAAACTAACCCTCCTCCTCGCCGCGCAGGCATCGAGGTCGTCAACCTCAACCTGGACTCGTGCAAGAAGCTCATGAGCGAGTTCATCGAGCGCTATCCCGAAGTGTGGAACGAGGACATTGGCGAGGAGGACAAGTAGATACAGCTGCACCATCGTTCCCTCGCCTCGATTTCGTCCTCCTCGACTCCTTGCTGGCGCAGCTTGTTCGGCTTGGCTCGTAGGTCGCCGTTCGCAGCTGTCCGTCGAGTCGATGCGCAGACGAGCTTGCAGAACCGAGCGTCGTGGGAGAGCTGCGCTCGCGGAGCTCGCCAGTGCCACCTGGCGGGGGAGCGTGCACGGTCCGAAGCTCCGACTTGCGTCGTCCCGCTGCGGCTTGTTCCGGCACGTCCTCCTCGCTCGCTCGTCCCGCTCCTTGCGGGGTGAGACGCTGCAAGCTTGGCATCTCGCGCTCGTCGTGCGGTCGTCCTCAGCAGACGAGGTCCAGGCTGGCTGCCCACAGCCGACTCTCCCCCTCCGCACGAGCACCTTCCGCTCTCGTCGCCGCTCAAGGGCTCTGCGCGCCGACTTCGTCCGCTTTCAATCATGCTTCATTGCCGTCAGGAACATTGACGAGCGATCCCGACGCTGCGCGCACCCTCGTCGGTCGGGCAGTAAGCGATCATCCTCGTCGTCGTCGTCTGCTCGAAAGCTCGCACGACTCGGACTGTCGCTCTTCTTTTGCTCCGCCTACCTCGCCACCGACGCAACGCGCTGCATCAGAGCCCTGCGCGACACCTGCAGCACCCGTACAAGCCCTCGACGAGCCGCTCGAATCGCAATGACCCTCGTCGAGCCGACCTCGCCGCCGACGATCCCGACGCACCGGCGCCGCCTCTCGCTCAAGATCCTCACGAGCCCTTTCCGTCGTACCCCCGACGCCTCGACGCACGACACCCGAGCCGACGGCTCGTCGTCGGCCGACGCTTGCGTCGACGAGGCGGCCCGTGCGTCGCCTTTGGAGCGCACCTCGACGCAGGGGTCGTCGACTGGGCCCAAGAAGCTTCGCCGCCGCAGCCTGAGCAACGTCGTCAAGCTGGCCAAGCCGAGCGGGACGAAGGACGAGCGTCTCGACGAGGCGGGCGCGAGGTCAACGACGGTCGACTGGGCGAAGCGCACGGCGGGTCACCCTCTTCCGCAGAGGCCGCCGTCGCTCAAGGTCGAGCGCTCGACGGTTCACGGTGCGCTGCACGTCGAGGCGGCTCGAGACCCTTCGAGAGCCGACCAACGCTCGAGCGCGCCGGCCGGTGCGGCCCCTCTCGCGCTTCTCGTCCTCTCGGCAGCGCACTCACGTCTTCTTCTCTCTTGCAGCTCCTCTCCTCGTCGAGCTCGACAGTCTTCGCAGCGGCCCGTCGACTTACACGCCCGATCCACCCGGCCCTGCACGCCCCGCCGTCGCCTCCCTTCCTCCCTGCACGGGCCTCCCCTTCCCCTCGAGGCCAAAGCCTGCGGCCGCGCGCGGTCCACCACGCAGCGCAACTGCCGACGTCGAGCAGGAGCCCGTCGCGTCGTCCTCGAGCGAGCGCCGGCCGCAGCTCTCCCAGAGCTCGTCGGTTTCGTCGCACTCGAGCGGCGACATGACCGTATGGCGGTTTCCGAGCCCGCCCCTGCGGTACCACAGCTCGCCCGACAGCTCTATTTCGTCGACGCCGAGCTCCTCGCCCCGCCGCGCTAGCTTTTCCGACAAGCAGCCGGCGGCAGCTCCTCGTACCCGCCGCGAGCCGAACCTTTCTCCGACGAGCCCGCACCGCCGTCCCTTTTCCTCGCCCGTCGACCCGTTCTCGCCTCCTCCACCTAACACCTCCCTCGCTGCGACGACCCGCAAGCCGATCACGATCCGGCCGCAGCTCGGCGGCCCGCGAGTGAGCGCGTCGCTCCTCGCGAAGGGGATCTTGGTGCCGGCGCCAGCTCACGGCGTCCAGCGCCCTCGAACCTCGACGAGGCCGGCGTCGACGGGACGCTCGCCGGTGCAGCTAGGCTGGAGCACGACGATGAGCGCAGAGTGGCCGAGGCCGCTTCTGCTCGTCGAAGGCGTGAAAGGCCGCAAGGGCGGCGAGAGTTGCGACGCGAGCCGGCACGGGCGCAGCCAGTCGGTCGGCGTGCCGTCGTCGCGTGGACGTTTTCGGTCGGCGGCGCGAGGGCAAGGAGGGCGCGGCGAGCATGGCGAGCAGGACACGCTCGAGAGCGACGGGATGGGGATCGAGCGGCGGCGGTTCGAGGCAGAGGCGGACACGATGTTTACGGAGGCGAGGCTCAAATCGCTGTGGGCCGAGCTGGGACTGTAACGCACGAGCGTGTTCAGCCCCCGTGCCGCAGCGAGTGCGAGCCAGAAGCTTGAGAGCGATGCGGAGGAAGAGCACGTCGACGACGTCGTCGCTCAGGCCGGACAGCCGGGCCGAAACCCGGCGCACGCCTCGAGAGTACAGCCTGGGTCCTGCACAGCTATCTGCCTCAGCCCGGGAGGGAGCTGTCGAGGAGAGCGCGGCCGGAACAGATGAAGACGATGGGGGCCGAGAACGGCGCGCTGGAGGACGTAGCGATCTCGGGTGCAGCCTGCGGCCCATCTTGAGAGTCTGCGCAGCGTGCTTGAGCAGCTGCTGAAGCGCCAGAGGCAGAGGGAAGCGGTGGGTGCTCGTGGACAGCTTGCGAGGAGGAGCGACGAGAGAGTTCGCCCCAATCACGACCGCCCGCTCGCGCGAGAGCTGTGCAGCACTCCCCAGGCGCACCAAGGCTCAGCCCACGCATGCTCGGACGCGCGCTCGGCCTCTCCCGCCTCCGACCTCACACCGCCGCCCGCCTCTCGGTTCGCCCGACCGTCGCCAGCATGTCGACCGCGCCCACGGTCCCTGCGTACCTCCTCCACGCGCCCTTCCTCACCCTCGAGCACCCCAGCACCGCCGACCGACCAGCGACGCCGTCCACGCTCCTTCAGCGCACCCTCCCTCCTGCCCCGCTTTACTACCTCCATCCTGCGCCGCCTACCCCGCCCGGCTCAGCCCCGCCGGTCCTTTCGATCAGCCCGACGCCTCCAGTCAAAGGTCGAGCGTCGACCGTGTACCGCGCGACGACGCCCTCGGGCGCCAAAGTCGTCGTCAAGTACGGTCACGACCTGCTCGCCGCCGCGCGAGAGGCGGACGAGGTCTTTGTCAACCTGCCCGGCGGCGGCGGGCTCCCGATCCCGACCTTCTGGGGCATCTTCGAGGGCAACGTCGAGCCGGATCAGCCGAGGAGTCTCGTCATGGTGCTCGAGGACTGCGGCGAGCCGATCGAGGGCGGGTTCCAGTCGCTCTCGAAGGACGAACGGTGCGCCCAAAACTCTCTCTCTCACACCCTCCTAGCAGCAACTGAGTCGCTCTCGTCCACAGGCGAAAGCTGTACAACGCGCTGGACGCGTTCCACAGCATCCACTTCCAGCACGGCTCCTTCTCCCCCTCGTCCATCGTCGCCCAGCCCCTCCCGCCCTCGTCCACGTCCACCTCGCCGAGCGACGTCAAGGAGAATCGCAAGCTCACGATCGTCGGGTACTCGCAGGCCGAGTGGCACCTGTGTCCCGGCCCGCACGAGTGCAAGGAGCTCGTCGAGGCGAGGCGGGCGCTCGGGCTCCGCGAGGAGGACGTAGCGATGGAGCAGCAGCCGGCGTCGGCGAGCGAGACAGACTGAAACTCGTCGAGTATCTCACGGTGTCGCTCTCGAGCCCGGCTGTCGAGCGAGAAGGAAAGCGAGAGAGAAGAGTGAGAGATTCTCAGAGAGACGCGCAGAAGACGACGACGGCGGACGAGGATTGGGCAAGCGGATCTCTGTATTGACTGCACACGAGGAAATCTCTGTGTAGAGGCCGAGGGACGGAAGAAGGGGCGTCTACGCAGTAGTGAGAACAAAAAAAAGGGAGTGACGACGAAGGGTGAGCGCGTCTCTCGCCGAGTCGGCGGGCGACGGCCGTTTAGGGTGGTAGTGTAGGCTGCGAGGGACGGAACAGATCTTGAGAGACGAGAGCGAGGGACGGCGATTTATGGTACAGCACAAGGGAAGCAGGGAAGGAAGGGGAGGGGAAAGGTCGGGAGGGGGTTCGAGCGCCGAGTCGAGGCATTACTGCAGGTCGAACGACGGCTGCTGCTGGTCGAGGCAGCATCTGCAGATGGACGATAAGACAAGTCAGTCGCTGCATGTGGGCGAGGGAGAAGGACGAGGGAGAGGAGGGACGCACAGCCAGACGCGGGTCTTCCAGATGCGGAAGAGCTCGCGCACGAGCTCGCGGAAGTCGACACGCTGGTCGGCCGTGTAGTAGAACGTGAGCTTGCGGCGGTCCCACTGCCACTCGGCGTCGAGAATCTCCATCGGGAGGCCTGCGGGCGAGAGAGGCGGCGCTCGGTCAGGAACTCGCTCGCGGACGGCGACAAAGGGATAAAGAGAGAGAGAGAGCGGACGCACCCTTTTGTGCGACCTTGGAGCGCACGAGCTGGAGCGCCTTGATCTCGTCCTGCGCCTTGGCGAGGAGCGCGTGCGTGTCGGCCGGGCCCGCCTTGGTGTAGATGCGCTTGGGCTGGCACTCCTTGGTCATGCGCGCGAGCTGCGCCGGGTTGGCCTGCGCGCCCGGCCCTTGTTGCCCGAGTGCGGCGCCGAGGCCCTCGACGCCCGCGTTGGCGCCCGTCGCCGGGTTGGCGAGCTGGCCGAGCGCGAGCTCGACCATCTGCTGCTGGAACTTGTGCACCTCGTCGACCGTGCAGCTCTTGATGTACTTGCCGACGTCGCGACCGCGGTCGGCCTCGACGATGACGAGGTCGCCCTCGGACAGGCGCAGCGACGGGTCCTCGCAGAAGAAGAGGTCCTTGCGCCCGGCCTTGAACCCGACGATGCACAGCGGCGCGTCGGGCGGGATGGCGTGCAGCGGGACGCCGCGACCGAGGTTCATGTCGTTCTGCGCCTGAGCCGTGAGCGCCGGAGCGCCGGGCGGAGGAGGAAGGTGCGGGACGGGCGGCGGCGGCGGCGGCGCGTTGAAGTAGCCCGGCGGTGGCTGCATCATCAGCTGCTGCTGCTGGTGCGGCATGTGCGGAGGCGGCAGGCCTTGCTGCGGCTGCTGGCCAAAGGCGGGGAACGGCGACGACATGTGCGGAGGAGGAAGAGGGGGAGGGAGGCCCGACTGGCCGCGAGGCGACAGGGGACCTTGGCCCGACTGGAGCGGCGCGTAGTACTGGTGCTGCGTCGTCGGCGGCGGCAGGCCGCCGAACCCGCCGTACCGGCTCTGGTGAGGAGGTGGCTGCTGCTGCTGCTGCTGCTGGTACGGCTGACCGAGGCGCTGCGCCTGCGAGCTCGCGCCAAAGTCGAAGCGCGAGCCAGGCGAGGCGGTCGCGATGGCGGTCGTCGTGGCGGGAGGAAGAGGTGCCGGCGCCGGGAGCGACTGGAGGAAGCGCGACGCGGCCGAGTGCGACTGCGACGGGACGAACGGCTCGGCGGTCGCGCGAGGCGAGGTCGACGGCTGCGCCTGGGCGTAGGCGGTCGGCGTCACGCTCGTCGCCGTCGTCGTCGTCGAGGCCGAGCTGCCGAGAGGGAGCGACGTCGCCGGAGCGGACGGAACGGCCGGCGCGAGGGACGACGCAGGAGGAGGAGGCGACCTCGACTGCTCGAGTGCGCGCGACGACCTCGCCGGCGGGAAGTCGGCCGGCATGCTGCCGACATGCGTGTAGCGCGGCGCCCTCGACGGCTCGTTGGCGGTGGCGGCGGCGTGCGCCTCGAGGTTGAGGTGGAGCGAGTTGAGGTCGGCGGCGAGGTCGTCGTCGTTGATGGCCGAGCCGCCGAGGCTGCTGTTCCAGCCGTTGGACGCCGGCGCGCCCGGGTTGACGAGCGGGCCGAACCCGCCGCCGCCAGTTCCTCCTGCGCCGCCCCCCGACGCCGACGTCGAGTGCCCGCCGACGTCCGAGGGGAGGTGGAACCCGAGGTGGGTCGTCGTGCCCCTGCTCGGCGGGTCGAATGCGGCGAACGAGTGCCGGCGACTCGTCGCGCCGCTCCTCGTGGGCGCAAACACGTCCTCGTCGCCGTCGGCGTCCTCGTTGTCCATCTCCTTGAGCATCGACCTGCCCCACGCCGCCGAGTCACTGCGCTTCCTCCCGCTCCCGACCGCGCCGAGCGAGTACTCGCGACGGCTGCGGTACCCTCCCGGCCCGAGCGTCGCCGCCGCGCCGCCAGACGGGCTCCCCCACGTCCCGTCGCCGCCGAACGCGCTCGCGCCTGCGCCGACACCGCCGCCGCCGCCGCCCGCACCGATGCCGCCGACCGACACCGAAATAGGGAACTCGGGCGCGAGGGCGGCGCGCTGCCCGTCGCGCGTGAACGGGCTCATGTTGGACATGCCGATGCCGCCGCCGCCGCCGCCGCCGCCGCCGCCAAAGCCCGTGCCCGCCGAGCTCGCCGAGCTGGACAGCTGCGTCGTCCCGGTAGGCGCGCCCCACTGATCGCGGAACCGGGCGCGGCCCTCGCGCTCGGCGCTCGCGGCGCGGTCGCGCGCGTGGGCCTGCGTCGGCGAGATGAGGTCGTCGTCGTTCCAGCCGGCGCCGAACGAGTGCGACAGGCCCGACGTGCTCGCGCGCCAGCCCGACTGCGAGTCGGCGGGCGCGAACGAGGTCGACGACGAGGGCCCGAAGCGCGAGAAGCCGCTGTTGGGGCTCAGGTCGCGCCCGATGCCGCCGCCGTAGGTGGGCGAGCCGACGACCGAGGTCGTCGGGAGCGAGGCCGAGAAGTGCGAGCCGCCGCCGGGCAGGGTCGACGACGGGCGGAAGCCGTGCTGGTCGGCGCCGCCACCTGGCGGCGCGCGCGAGTTGCCGAACCCGCTCATCGAGACGGGCGCGGACGATCTTTCGATGGCGGCGATCGACTGGCTGCGAGCGCGACCGTGGGCCGAGTCGGGAGGCGGTGGCGCGAAGTAGGACGGGCGCTCGACGGCGTGGACGGGCGGGCTCAGGTGGTGGCCGTCGGTCGGCGAGTAGGGCGACGTCGCGCGAGGGCGGTACTGCTGGTGAGGGGCGAGGGCCGAGGTCGAGACGGACGGGCGGTAGTGCGGGCGAGGGTTGCCCGAGAAGATCTCGGCGAGGAGGGGCTGGGACGAGGTGCCCGGGGTCGAGTGGGACGAGGGCGCGAGCTGGGCGTTGTGCGGCGAGGGCGAGATTGCCGCGGTCGAGGCTGTCGCGGGAAGAGGAGTAGGGCGTGTCAGACGTGCGCCGAGTGGGGGACAGGGAGTGTGTCGCAGGGAGACGCACCTGGAGCAGTCACGCCGCTGGGCTTGGCGTCGAGGTAGGGCTGGCGGTCGTCGTGGGCACTCGCGAGGCTGGCGTAGGTGGTCGCCGGGCTGTGCGGGTCCGGGTACAGGTTGAGGGCGGCGTTGAACGAGGGCGAGACGCGGGTGGCCGGCGCTTTCGACGAGGCGGATGAGGGCGGTGCGGGTTGGAGCGTCTGCGAGCCTTGGAGGCGGTCGCGGGGCGAGTTGCTCGAGTCGGGCGTGTGGCTGTAGCTCGAGGTCGAGCTGGGCGACGACGCGAGGTGGTGGTGGTGGTGCTGCTGTCGGTGGCCGCCGGAGGAAGGAGGCCGGTCGCGGTCCGAGGCAGGCGAGCGCGACGAGGGCGAGACGCGCGTGCGCTGGTGCGGCTTTTCCTCGTTCGGGAGCTGCACGAGTTGGCCGGCGAGCAGTCACAGGCGGACGACGGGCGGTGGACGGATCGAGAGGGAGGGAAGGGGGGAGCACGGGGGAGGGGGGGAGGAGAAGAGACGTCAGCTTGGCGCCTCGACGGCAACGAGGGGGGGCAAGGGGACGAGTGCGACGCACCCTGGTCCAGATGGACGCTGCACCGGCGAGTGGATCCTGCGCACAGAGGGCGAGAGTGAGCGCGTGGCCCTGGTGCTCCCTCGTCGGGGAGGAGCTCGTCGCCATCCGGGGCCCTCGCGCCCGGCCGAGCGGCTCTCCTCCCTCGCGTCCATGCGAGTGTGAGGACGGCAGGGGACGCACCCTGCTGGTCATGCGAGCGCTCTGCGTCGTCGAGAGGCGGGCCTTGCAGGAGATGGGAGTGCGCGGGACGAGGCGGGAGACGAGGTCGACGAGGGCCTCCGCACTTGTGCCGTGGGCGGGCGAACAAGCTCGAGCGACTGGGTGACGGCCTGCTCGACGCTTGGGCGGTGCGCAGTCAAGCTCGTGCAGGCGGTGGACGACGAGGACGAGGGCCAGGAGACCTTTCTTCGACACGGTGCTTCCAAAGTGGGGGAGCGACGACGTCGACTGTGGCCTCGACCACCTGCTGCAGAACTCACCTGATCTGCAGCGCCATTAGCGAGACACGCTCATCTCTTCGTAGCGCCTCTCACTTGCCCGCCCACCGCTCGCACCTCGAGGACAATGCACCGCCTCTCTTCTCGCGAGCATCCTCCAGACCGAACGCAAGGAAAAGAGATGCGTCGATACAGCACGGCAGAGTGAGAGAGAAAGGGAAAAGAAAGAGGCTACGGCGCGCCGTCGCCGCCGTCGAACGGCGTGAGGTACTCGTCCCAGAACCGCTCGGTCCCGTTCGTCCTCGCGCGCTCCTCGACCGGGATGTGCAGCAGCTCGGCGACGAGCTCGTACACCTCGGTGTTGGCGAACCCGGGGATGACGGTCGTCGCCGGGTCGGACGGGATGGCGCCTCGCTGCCGGTGCCGCTGGGCGAACCGCGACGACGACTTGAGCTGCGACGCGAACGGGCCATGGGCGACAAAGATGGCGTGCATCGACGGGTCGTCGTTGTCGTAGCCGTGGTTGCTGCGAGAGGAGCGGCAAAGGTGAGGTCCCGTGCTCGCTCGGACCCCTCGAAGAGGAAGGAAAGAGAGAGGGCGCACCCCTTGACCGAGTACTCGCCCTGCATGACGACGTCGAGCTCGTGGTGGCTCGTGATGGCCCAGCCGACGTCGGGGACGCAGTAGACGGGCGCGATGCGCTGCGGGCGAGAAGGGAGGCCAGAGTCAGTTCCCTCCCTTGAGCGTTGCCCTCCTCGCGAGCTCGAGGAGGAGGAGAAAGGGTCGAGACGCACCTCGTGCCCGGTAAAGTGCCACCGCTCCGGCATCGTCTCGCGCGTGTAGCACTCGAACCCGCTCCCGCTCCTGCTCGCCGCGTCCCTCAGCCGCTCGACGAGCTTGTCCTCGTCCGAGCCCGGCTTGAAGCGCAGCCCGGCACAAGGCCAACCCTCGTTGCGCTCGATCGAGTCGAACCCGTCGGCGCCGAGGACGTCGTCGAGGAAAATGAGCCGGTCCATGCTCGTGTCGGCCATGCCGTGGTCGCTCACGACGACAACATCGACGACGTCCGTCAGGTTGCGCCGGTCGACCTCGTCAAACAGCTGCCGCACAAAATCGTCGACGTCGGCGAGCGTGTGGGCGACGACGTCGCTCTCGGGACCGTGCCGGTGGCCCTCCTGGTCGACCTCGGGCGCGTACACGGCCATCAGGTGCGGGCGGTGTGCGTAGTCGAGATCTGCGTCGGGCGCCGTCTAATATGTCAGTCTCGGGACGGCGACAAGGAGAGAAAGGAAGAGAGAGAGAGAGAGAGAGAGAGTGGGCGTACCGAGCCATTTGGCGACGCGGTCGACCTTGTTCTCGTACGGCGAGTCGTTGATGAACGGGTAGAAGCGCGTCGGCGACACGCCGCTCGTGAGCTCGGGCGGAGACGGCCACATGAAGACCGCCGACCGCAGCTTGCTCTTGACCGCCGTCGCCCAGATCTGCGCGCGCACGAGGAGGACGGGGTGAGCTCGCCGACCTCGAGACGGCGCGATCGAGGAAACCCAAGGAGCCGAGGACGCACCGGCTCGCCGCCCCACCACTCTTTGCCCCAGCTCATGCTCGGCTCGCGGTAGTCGAACTCGCGGCCGAGCGCCGGGTCCCAGAAGTCGTTGGCGACGATGCCGTGCGCGGACGGGTACAGGCCGGTGCTGCGTCGCGACGAGAGTCAGCCCTCGCGCCCAGGAACAGGGCCAGAGGAAGAGATAGGGGACGCACAGGAGGGTCCAATGATTGGGGAAGGTAAGGGAAGGAAAGGACGGCTTGAGGTACTCGGCGCGCTGTGACGAGGGGGACGAGGACCGTGAGCGGGGAGGGAACCGAGGGAAGAGGCGTCGTACGCCGTCGAGGAGCACGCACCATGCCCTTGCGCGAGATGTTGAGGAGGTGGGGCGTCAAGCCTCGCTCGAGGTAGTCGGCCCTGCAGAACGGAAAAGAGGGTCAGTCTGCGCTCATCCACGGGCCGAGCACGGGTCCGGCGGCCGTACGTCGCCTGCATGAGAGGAGAGAGGCGAGACCGACGCACCTCACGCCATCGATCGACACGAGCAGGACCGTAGGGTCCCACCAACTCGAGCCGTTCCACCTCCTCCCTCCTCCGCCGACCAGGCCCTTCTCGAACTCCTTCTCGCCCCAGTCTCCTCCTGCCCAGGTCGGCGTCTTACCGCTCTTGTCCTTGCTCGAGCCGACTCGCGCGAACGGGATGTCGTCGAGCTTGGCGCCGGACGGGAGCGGGTTGGCGGCGAGGGCGGCGGCGGATCCGTAGACGCCGGGAGCGAGCGGCGCGCCCGAGTACCACGACGTAGACGAGTACGGGTTGCGGGTGAAAGTCGAGGGGCGGAACAGGGCCGTGAGGAGGACGAGGCTCGTGACGAAGAGGGCGGAGAAGGCGAGGGTTCTTGGCGAGACGGGCTGCGGCAGGGTTGCGCCGAGTCAGTCCCGGCTGCGGCAAAAAGTGAGAGGAAGGCGGGCGCACTAGTGGTAGTCGCTCTGCACAGCTCCTTGGCCTCGAAGTCGCGACACGGAGTTCCCGCTCGAGGTCCTCGTCGTCGAGGTCCTCCTCCTTGCCGCTCAGCAGGCCCTGCCGCCCGCTCGATCCGGAGTAGTCCTCGTACTCGGTCTCGTCGCCCGTCGACTCGTGCGCGCTCGTGGCCGCCGGGTGGTCGCGGTGGGCTTGGAGGCGCTCGAGGGGGAGCGAGAGCGACGACGAGTCTGGCAGCGCCGAGTACTGCGCGCCGGATCGAGGTGGTGGTGGCATGTCGACGACGTCGGTGGTGGTCCGGCGACCCAGGCGGCAGTCGCGAGCGCGAGAACGGGGGGAGGAGATGAGCCGGCGTGGAGGTCGAAGGGACGAGAAGTTCGAGGAGCGCGGTGGGTGTGTGCGTCTGGCTGCGGTGATGGGGCTCTCTGTCGGGCTGTGCAGTCGTGAGCACCAGGAGAAGCGCGCCGTCGTGCGTGAAGAAGAGCGAGAGCTGCACCGCCTCGGGCGAGCTCCACCTCCCCTCGGTCGTTTCGCCGCGTTACCTTTTCGTATTCCGGCCCGCCAAACGCTAATCTCGATTAGCCGGCTTAGAACTGACTTGCGCTTGACTTCAGCCGGCTCGAGGGGAGGTTCCTGACGAGGTTTGTCTCTGCTCGTCGGCTCTCGTTCTGCTCACGAACGCAGCTCGTTGCACGCCGTACCACTTGCCCTTGTGAGGTGCAGCTGCTGGTCAGCGCTGCACGTCGTTGCCTACGCGTGCGAGCTGAGCAAGGGGCGATTTCCATTCTCGGCCCGTTCGATCGCCAATCCTCATCAGCAGCCCTCATCTTACGGATCCCTCCAATCCGTCGACCAGCGCAGGCAAGGTAGCTGCGTTCGTCAAGCTGGCCGCGACACTCTCTCTCTTGCTCGCGCACCTCCAGCAGCAACCCGCGCCCTCAGCCCCAGCCTCACCGCCGTCCGCTCCCACCTCCGTCAACTCGATCCCCGACCTCGCCTCGTCCAACATGCCCGCCTCCAGTTCCAGCTCCAGCAGCCGCACGGTCGTCGTCGTCGGCTACGGCCCTGCCGCCGTGCCCGCCGTCCAAACCCTCGCCGCCCAGCTCCCCGCCGACTGGCGCCTGGTCGTCGTCAGCGCAACCACCGCCTACTGGCCCGTGTCGGCTCTGCGGGCGGCCATCGTGTCCGGTTGGGAGGACAAGCCGGTCGCCTCGGTCGAGCACGCGTTCCCGCACGGCAAGCGCCACGTCCTCGTCACCGGGACCCAGGTCGTCGAGCTGAGGGAGCACAGCGTCCTCGTCGACAAGCCGCACCCTGAGCTCGGCTGCGAGATCGCGTTCGACTACTGCATCCTTGCCACTGTGCGTCCCCTCTGCTTCTCTCTCTTCGGCGAGCGGCACTGGCGCCTGCACGCGAGCTGACTCTCCCCCTCCTCGCCTCTCGCTCGCAGGGGTCCAAGTACGCCTACCCGTGCCGCCCTCGAGTCGGTGCCACCGTCGAGGAGGCCGTCGCCGACTTGCGCCAGACGCAGAGGGACGTCGCCGCCGCCGAGTCGGTCCTCATCATCGGCGGCGGGCCCGTCGGCGTCGAGCTCGCGGGCGAGATCGGCGAGTACTACGGCGGGTCGCACGGCCGCCCCAAGAAGCGCGTCACGCTCGTGCACTCGCACGACCGCTTCATCCACCAGGACGGCTGGAGCGACAAGTTCAACAAGTCGCTCAAGAGCCAGGTCGAGGCGCTCGGCACCAAGGTCGTCTTCAACGCCAAGGTCTCGGACGGCCCGACCGAGTCGGGCCCGGTCGAGGGCGGCTCGCACACGTTCCACCTCGACAACGGCGAGACCGTCGACGCCGATTTCGTCTTTGTCGCGTTCGGCAGCTCGCCCAACACCGGCTTCGTCGGCGAGTTTGACCCGGCGACGCTCAATGACAAGCGCCAGGTCAAGGTGCGCCCGTCGTTCCAGCTCGACAAGTACCCGACGCTGTTCGCCATCGGCGACATCACGGCCGTCGACGAGTCCAAGCTGTTCGCGCACGCCAAGGTCCGTCCTCCCCCTCTCCCTCCCCGCTTTCCGCCCTCTCTCGGCCTCGCCATGGCTCCCCGAGCTTCCTCAACTGACCCGCTCGTCGTCCATACTCTGCAGAACCACGGAGCCGTTGCCGCCGCCAACATCATCGCCCTCATCCGCGCCGGCAACTCGGCCTCGAGCACGACGCCGCCCAAGTCGTACAAGGCCGGCCCGCAGCTCATGATCGTCAGCGTCGGGACCAAGGGCGGCGCAGGACAGCTCTTTGGCTTCACCGTCGGCGTGCGTCCCTCCTCCCTCTCTCTCTCGTTCTCTCGTCGTCAGGCACTGTGCGAGGACCGAGCGCTGACCCGTCTCGCCGCCCTCGCAGAACTGGTTCTCGTCTTTCGTCAAGAGCAAGTCGCTCTTTGTCAGCGACTTCAAGAAGATGTACGCCGCGACGGCGTGACCCGTCTCGCCTCCCACAGTAGACCTCTCCTCCTGCCTCCTCCCCTTGTCGTACTTTCTATCTCTCTTAGCCTCTCGCCGTCGCTCTACAACTCGACCTAATCGCGCACAAGAGAGCTCTATGTTGCACGAGAGAAAGCTACTGCTGCCCTCCTTGGCCCTGCGCGCCGCTCGGCGCAAACCTCGCGACGCCCGCCGCCGCATGAAGGAGCGCCGTCTGGTACCCCGCAGTGAACCAGCTCCACAGGGCCTGCTCGAGGAGCTGCTCGGGCGTCTCGGGCTCGAGCGCGGGCTCGGTGCCGGTCAGGGGAGGGATGGTTGGCGGAGGAGGGAACGACGAGGGGAGCGAGGCGACGGGCGGTACGACTGGGAAAGGGGCGGCGCCGGCACGAGCGCTCGCGGGTGGACGTGCGTCGATAGGAGGTGCGGGAGGGAAGGAGGGGAACAACGACGAGGCAATGGGGAGCGTGGTGGAGGGTTGCGAAGGCCCGATGAGGGGACGAGCACGTGGTTCCTCCGACTCGCGCTCGGGCTCGCCCCGAGCTTGCGGCTCGAGCTCAGGCTCGACGTCGCGCTCGTGAGCGTGCGCATGCTCGAGGTCGTGCTCGGGCGCGTCGACCTGGACCGCGCTGCTCGCTCGCGACGAGGCCCGCTCGCCGCCGCCGAGCTTGGCCACTTTGCGCGCCTTCTTCTGCGAGCCCGTCAAGCGCTTGCGCTTCTTGGCCGGCGGCGCGTCGTACTCGATGTGCTCGACGTGGCCGCTCGGCTCGGTCGAGACGGCGACGATGCTCGCTGCAGGAGCCGGCTCGAGAGGCGGAGGTGCGACGACAGAGAGCTTTGACGTCGATGCCTCGGACGGCGGCGGCCCGTACCAGCTGCAGACGGTACACATGAGTCAGTCGAGGCTCGGAAGAGACACGCTCGAGAGGACGGGCGACGCACAAGGACGCTTTTGCCTGCTTCTGAGCGAGCGCGACAGGTGCCTGCGTCGGCGGCAAGAACCGCTCCTGGTGCGCTTCCTGCGGGCCGGGGTGTCAGGTCACGGGCTCCTTGACCGATGCACGGAGGAAACGGGGCGCACCTTGAGGTCGTCGAGGGCGCACTCCCACGCTTTGACGAGCGCGAGCGGGTCGAGGTAGGCGAGGTCGGCGAGGTCGCTCGTCGGCTCTGGTTCTTGCGGGTCGTCGTCGTACGAGTAGAAGACGAGGTCGGGGTCGTCGTCGCCGTCGTCGTCGTAGTACGCGTCGTGGTCGTAGCTGTCGTCGACGAGGTCCGCCCCCACCTGGGCGAGCTCGGTGGCCTCGCGGACGGTGCTCTCTCCCGCAGCTGCCGCGGGGGACCGGGGCGTGTACGGGGCCATGCAACGAGCTGGTGCGCGCTGCACTCGAGAGCCAGAGAGGGGTAGCGAGACGAGAGGAGCTGTCGGCCTCCCCACAGCTTTTCGCGGCGAGCCCGACCGCTTGAATCTCTCCCACCACCAGCCCGACCCTCGCCGCCAGGGCCAGCTTGGCGAGCCCTCCACAGTCGCTCGACACGCCACCATGTCGAGCCCGCACGACCCGGCTCGTCCCTTCACCTGCGGCGTGCGTCCCAGCTCTATTGCTCGTCCTCCTCCCCGCGCCCCACCCCGGTGCTCACCTTTCCCTCCCCTGGGCCCGCCCGGTCCTGCAGGAATGCCAGAGCAAGTACACGCGGCAGGTGCGTCCCCGTGGTCCTCTGCTCTCTCGAGCCGTCGTCGCGGCTGTGGCGCCCCCGACCGCCGCGAGTTGTGGGGGGGCACGGCACCTCCAGGCGCTGACCACAGCCCTCTGCCCACCTTGCAGGAGCACCTCGACCGCCATGTCACCGGTCAGTCGAGCCTTGCACCCCTCGCAAGGCGCCACAGCTGACGCCTGCCCCTCATTCCTCCTCCCCCTCCCCCCGTCCCCGCACCGTCTCTCTTCCCCCTCACCCACGCCCGCTCGCTCGCTCCCCACATCGTCGCCTCGCCTCCCTCTCCGTACAGCCAAGCACCGCGTCGCCAAGGACTTTGTCTGCCCCGTCTGCCACAAGGGCTTCGCGCGCAAGGACATCCTCAAGCGTCACCAGCAGGGCCACGAGAAGCAGGCCGCCGCCGCAGCAGAAGCTCTCGCCCGAGGCGAGTCGCTCGACCGTGGCTACGAGTCGCCCGCGAGCGTGTCGGGCACAAAGCCCAAGAAGAAGCGCCCGTCCGGCACGAGCGACATCAACCTCGACGACGGCTCGGGGCCGGCCAAGATCGCCCGCGTCGGTCGTGCGTGCTGCCGCTGCAGCAAGAGCAAGTGCGTCCCCCTTTCCCTCCTCGACCCGTCGTCTCACAGCAGAACACGGTCCTGACGAGCGCGCCCGTCCCCTGCAGGCTCCGGTGCGACGGCCAGCACCCGTGCGAGCGCTGCCGCAAGGCCAACATCGAGTGCAGCTTTGAGCGTCCCGCCAAGTCGGGCAGCCGCTCCGGGTCCGTGTCGCTCATGGTCGACGACAACAAGCTCGGCCTGACGCCGTCGATGGAGTCGGACGGCGAGACCGAGTCGCCCGAGAACGCGTTTGGCCTGTCGCTCCCGACGCCGCCGCCGCCCGACACGTGGACCCGCCAGCCCGTCGCCGCCATGTCGGGCATGTCGCCGTACCACGTCCCGCTGCGCGCGTCGCCCGGCCACCACGGCATGCCCGCCAACAGCTTCCCGTTTGGCATGCCGCCCGGCAACTACTACTCGGGCCGCCCGGCCGACCCGTCGTCGTACTACCGCTCGCCCCAGCCGCACTACACCAACCAGGGCGCGTTCCCGTCGCTCGGCCTGCCGCACCACGGCCCGTCGCCGCTCAACCCGTTCGCGTCGTCGTCGGCCCTCCCGCACGCGCCGGCCGTCCCGACCTCGTCGTCGGCGCAGTGGGACAACTCGGCGTACGGCCGCCAGATCGGCGACCACTCGACGTCGAGCACGTCAAACCAGCTCGGGTTCCTCGACCTGTTCGCCGGCGCCGGCAACGACCCCGAGATCGACTGGTCCGTTCTCGGCGCTGGCTTCAACGCGCAGCACGACAGCAGCACGTCGACGAGCGCAGCACCCTCGGCCTTCACGACGAGCAACAGCGAGCTCGAGATGAACCTCCCGCCGGGCCTCGGCGGTAACGCCGAGCAGCCTATGTCGAACCTGCGGCACGGCGGCGTCCCCGAGGAGCCGAGCCCGGCGAGCGCCGCCGCCCTCGTCCTCGCCGCAGCGGCCAACGGCGACGGCGGCATCCTTCCGCCGCCGCGAGCGGCCGCCCTCGCCGCCCCGAAGCAGGAGGACGACGACGAGCGCATGCCCAGCCCCGAGCGGCCGACGTTCGCCGGCTTGCGCAACGACTCGCTTGTCGAGTCGGACAACGCGGCCGTCTCGCTCCTCCAGCTCGCGTCGCACACGCCGCGTGTCTCGCCCGAGCCGGGCCAGCCGCCGACCGCGAGCGGCTCGTCGGCGCACAAGAACAGCGGCGGCGGCGGCGGCAGCAACAGCGGTGCGCCGCACGCGAGCGCCATCGCGCACCCGCACGCACGCCTGCACCTCCCGGCGTCGGTCCTCGCCGCGTCCAAGCTGCGCGCGACCGCCGCCGCCGCCGCCGCTGCGGGACGACCAGTCGCCGGGTCGGGCGACGCCGAGGAGGAGCCGCGCTCGTCGCACCCGTCGCACCAGCCGGGCGACCCGTGGCCCCTGTCGTACCGCCCGACCGAGCCCGTCGAGGACATCCTGCCGACCTCGGCGCGCGGCACCGGGTACCTGTCGCGCGCCGCCTCGCCGCCGCCGCACCACCCGCACCTGTCGCTCGCGCACGTGCCGTCGGTCACCGAGGCGACGCGGCTGCGCATCCTGTACAAGGTGCGCGAGCTGACGGTGGCCGACCCGGCCCTGTCGGAGCGGTTCGTGCCGCGCCTCGAGCTCCTCGAGCTCTTCATCCAGCTCTACTTCGACAAGTACCACTGCCTGTTCCCGCTCGTCCACAAGCCGACGTGGGACCCCAACACGGCGCCGAGCTTCCTCGTCCTCGCCGTCGCGAGCGTCGGTGCGCGGTACTCGTGGGAACGCGTCGTCGGCGCGAGCATGCACGCCCACGCCCTTCTCGAGTGCTCGAGGCGCATGGCCCAGATCATGGTGCGTCCTCGCGATCTCTCTCTCTCCCTCTCCTCGTCCATCCGCAGGCGCGACGTGCGACTAACTTTTGCCTTCCTCGCCGGCGCTCGCAGGGCGACCTCGACAACACGCTCCTGCGCACGGTCGCGTGGCAGCAGACGCTCCTGCTCGTCCTCCAGTCGGGCATGATGAGCGGCAACAAGCGCGACCTCGAGCGCACGCAGGGTGCGTCCTCTTTTCGCCTCACCTCTCCTCTCCTCCCGTTTGAGAAGGCCGACCTGACCTTTCCCGCCTTCGTCCTTCCTCATCCGCCTGCAGCGTTCGCCAGCATGCCCATCACGTTCGCGCGTCGGCAGGGTTGGCTCAACGAGCCGCACCTCGACGAGCAGGCCGAGGAGCTTCTCTCGGTCGACGAGCGGTGGAAGAGGTGGCGGGACAGGGAGGAGGTCAAGCGGCTCGGCTTCGGCGCAGTTGTGCGTCCTCGCCTTCTCCCTCTCTCTCTCCTGTTTGACGTATCACTGACGGTACAGCGTCTGCAGGTCTTCGATTGCGGCGGGACGGCCCTGTGGAACATGGACAGCTCGTCGCTGTACCTCGACGCGGCGAGCACGCCCCTCCCTTGCCACGACACGCTCTGGGTGCGTCTCAGTGTCTCCCACCTTTATCTCGTCGAGCCATACTGACTCGCTCGATTCCTCTCGCAGGACGCTCCCTCGGCCACCGCATGGTCGTCCCTCTTCCCGCACTCGGCCCTCCCTCCTGCACAGCCCACGCTCTCGCACGCCGTCCACCTCGCCTGTTCCTCGTCGTCGCTCCTCACGCTCGAAGCTTCGGCGACCCTCATGGCCGTCTCGCGTGACGCGTTCGCGCTCCAGACGGTCTTGAGCGTCCTGCACTCGCTCGGCTTCGAGCGCAGCCAGGCCAAGGCGGTCGAGGCCGCCTTCCTCGACTTTGGGCGCGCCGGCAAGGGCGACGACAAGGGCAAGGGCCGGCAGGGTGCCGATGGAGACGAGGGCGAGGCTGCTCTCGCCGCCGGCGTCAGCTACTTCCAGGTGCGCCGCAACCTTCTCCCTTCCTCTCTCCTCGTCTCGCGACAGGACCTGACGCCGAGATGTCGCCCGCAGGACCGTATTCTCGCGCCCGACATGCTCGCACGCCTCGAGGAGCCGGGCACGGCCAACGCGTCGCTCGCGCTCCTCGTCCACCTCACCGCCCTCACGCAGCGCCTTCCTCTTCGCGTCCTCCAGGTGCGTCCCGACTCTCTCCTCCCTCACTCTCGCACCCCGGTTCACTCCGTCGTCTCAACGTGCGCAGCCTCTCGCCCGCACGGCGTCGGCCTCGGAGCAGCCCAACACGACCTCGGCCCTGCGCGCCTGGGCTCGGGCCGACGGCGGCGCGGTCGCCCGTACGACGGCCTACCACGCCGCCCAGCTGCTCGCCCTGTGTCGCCCTGCCTCGGCGACGCCCGCTCAGCTCCCGCCGCAGCGAGCGTCGTCGGCCTCGCGAGCCGGCACGCCCGCACCGGGCAGCTCGGGCGGCACGAGTGACGGCCCGCTCGAGCCGTTCGCCCTCTTCTATGCCGCGCTCGCGCTCGTCGCGTTCGTGCGCGAGGGCGGCGCCTCGATCCCGGCGGGCGAGCCAGCCGGCGCAGAGCTCGCGCTCGACGTCGTGCGCGCTCGGACCGACCCGGTGCTTGGCAGCTGGGTGCAGCGCTCGGCGCCGACCAAGGCGATCGTCGCGCTGCGCGCTCTCGGCGACGCGCCGGCGCAGAGGAGGCTCGATGGGCCGTGGGCCGCGGCTCGCGTCCTCGGCGTGTGCGCGAGGAGGCTGCGCGAGCTCAAGGTGTGGAAGGTCGGCGACTTGCTCGCCGGCGTCCTCGAGCAGCTCGCGGCGGTCGAGAGGGCCAAGGGCGGCGGGGCGGGCGGCGAGGGCATGGCGAGGGCGGGCTCGACGGGGAGCGGGACGAGCGGGGTCCGTGGGAGGGGTCGCGGGCTCGGACGGGCGGCGGCCATCGCCGTTGCGCTCGGCATGCGTGTTGGCGGCGGCGGCGACGACGATGACGACGACGACGACTTCCAGGGCGACGACGACGGCGACGACGACGAGTGAGCGTCGTCCTCGAGGTGGTGGCGGTCCGCTTTTCTTTCCTTTTCCTTCGCCCCCTCAGTAGTCTTTATATCCTTCTCTTGGACTTGCCCTAGCTCTGTTGTCAATGCCCGCGTTCTCTCACTTGGCTCGCTGCCGGTCGAAAAGGGCGATTCGAGCCTCGGAGGCGCAAGAGGCGAGCGGCGGCTGGCTCGCTCTCGTCCACCGCGATGACAGCGCGCGCATGAGCGAGCATCTGCTGTTCGACGACCTGCCGTTCCAGCTCCCACCCTCGAGCTCGCAGCCCCCGTCGCACCGCACGCCGCCGCCGTCCGCCTCCGCCTCGACGAGCTCCCGCCGCCCCGAGCCCGACCCTCGCTCTCGCCCTCGACCTCGCGCCAGCGTACCAGGGCCCGTCGGCCACTCACCAGACCCGTCCGACAGCCCTCCGCCAGTCGCACGCCCACCGGTGGTGTCGTCGGCGACCACGAGCTCGAGCATGCCCCGCGCGACCCGCCGAGGGCAATCGCTCGTCGCGGCCCTCACTGGCCAGGTGCGTCGGCCGTGCCCCTCCCTGTGTCCACAGAGTCTCGTAACTGATCCCTCCCATTCATCCCCGGCCGCGCAGGATGTGCCGAGCGAGGTGACGAGTCCCGCCGCCCTCCCCGGACCCTCGTCGCCGCGTGCTAGCGCTTCCCACGCGGAACCCTCGCAGCCCAAGCCCAAGCACCGCAAGGGCGGGCCCGCAAAGCAGCACGAGCCACCAGCAGAGGTGCGCCCGCCTCTGCCCTCCTGTCCTCGCCCTCGTTCGCGCGATCGTCCCTCGGCTGACTCTCCTCCTCCACCCTCCCTCCCCCTGCCGTGACTCGGCCCCTCGCCTTCGTCCCTGCAGTCGGACACGTCGGCCGCACCGCCAGGCTTCAAGATCGTCTTGCGCGCTCCCGGCCAAGATGCTGCATCACCCGAGGTGCGTCTGCTTCTCTCTCTGCCTCCGAACCCTCGCAGTCTTCCGAAGCTGACTGCCGATCCTCTCCCCGCCGTACCCCTGCTCCCGTCACAGCTCTCGACATCGCCTCCCAGTACCACGTCGGCCATCCCGACCTTTGTTTGCGACCCGTCCGCCTCGACCCCGTCCGAGCCGACCCGCACCGCCTCGCCAGCCGACTGCCCCGTACCAGCCGCCGCCAGCACCTCTTCCACCGCTCCACCTCGTTCAGCTGCATCACCTGCGCTCCGCAAGCCGCGCGACTCGACCAGGGCGGGCAAAAAGCAGCAGCAGCAGACCGCGACGCCCGACGAGGTCGCCCGCTCGTGCCACATGCACAAGAGCCACAAGGCGCAGCCTCGCATGACGTGCCTCAACGCTCCCGACTGTCGCACCGTGTGGTGCACCAAGTGTGTCGTCCAGCAGTGCGTCCCTTGCTCCCTCGCCTCTAGCGCCCGAGCCCATCAAGCTAACCTCGTCCTCTCCCTCGCGCAGCTACCTCGCCTGTACGCCAAACGGCGTCTTCGAGCCGGCAACGCTCTTCCTGTGCCCCGTGTGCCTCGACGTCTGCCTGTGCGGCAACTGCAAGCGCCAGCGCCTCGCCGTCGGCCGTCGCTCGACCAGCGTCGACACGCCCGTCGATGTCAAGGACCTCGACTCGGCGGCGCCGCGGCCCAAGAAGAAGCCTCGGCGCACGAGCACGGCGAGCGACATGTCGATGCCGGCGGTCGTGATCGAGCAGCCGCGGCGGACGAGGAAGGGGCCGGACCCGTCGCTCAAGGTCGAGGTGAGCGACTCGGAGGGCGACGCGGCGAGCGTGTCTCGGCTGTTGAGGGGCGCGGTCGGGCAGGGTGCGACGCGTGCGACGCCGGTCGAGGACGTCAAGCCTGTCGTGGCGCGCGAGCTCGCGCCGGCCGCCGTACCCGCCCAGCCGGCGTACAAGCTCAAGGTCAAGCCGCCTCGCCGCCGAAGCTCGTTCGACCGCGCCTACGACCACCCGTCCATCTACGTCCCCCTCCCTGCATCCGCCACCGCCGCCGATCGGAGCGCGCCGCCCGACCCGCTCGCCACCGCCGCAGCCGCACCCCCTTCCTCCTCCATGTACGACAAGCCCGGCCGCCGTCGCCCGACCGTCCCTCGACCTCCCCGCATTCCTCGTGTCCCACGCTCGGCAGCGCCACCCGCGCCCGCATCCTCCTCATCCGCCGCCGCCCCGACACCTCTCGTACCCGCACCTGCACCCGCCCAGTCCGCGCACGCGCACGGCTCCGTCTTCGCCCCTACCCCTCCCGCTCCCGGCTCAGCACCCGCCCCGACCTACAACTCGCGCCCGATCATGCCGACCGCAGCCGCATCGCGCTCGAGGCGGACCAAGCGCCCGAGCACGGCGTTCGACGACTATGCGCTCGACAGCGCCACGTCGTCGGCCGCCGGCCTCGGCGACCGCTACTCGCCGTCGTACGAGGTGGCGCAGCCGGTGGCGTCGACGCGCAAGGGCGGGCGGCAGAGCGGCGCGGCGTCGGCGACCTTGCCGTCGTCGCTCAAGCGCAAGGCGCCTCGGCGCTACTCGGGCCTGTCGAGCGCGTCGAGCTGCGACGAGCTGTCGTCCGACGACGACGGCACGTTCGACGACCTGTTCGACTCGGTGCCCATGGTCGTCGAGGAGCAGCCGCTGCCCGTCCTCGCCGGCCTCGAGAAGAACCTCGAGGACGGCGCAGGGTCGGCCGGCGAGAGCCTCACGTTCGACGAGTTCGGCCTCGCGCTCAACCTCGAGTCGGCCGAGTCGATGAGCGCGAGGCCCAAGGTCAAGTGGATCGAGGGTCCCGAGCGGCGGCGCAGGAGGGCCATGGCGGCCGCCGCCGTCGCCGCCGTCGCTGCCGGCGAGACCGAGACGTCGGACGCGCCGACGCCCGAGCCCGTCGTCGCCATCGACTCGTCCACGTCGGTGTCGCCGTCGGTCCCGCTCCTCTCGCTGCCTGCGACGACGGGCGAGTCGCCCGTGCCGCCAGGCGGCCTCGGTGCGCGCTCGACTTCCGAGCAGCCTCCCGCCTCGGGCCTCGGCCGCGACAAGAAGGCCGAGCCCGCGCGTGCAGCTTCGGAGGAGCAGCCGCCGCCGTACGAGGCGCACTACCCGCGGTCGTCGTCGTCGGCGGCGCCTCTTCGACCTCCCGCCTCGGCTCCTCCCGCCACTGCCGCGCCCGGCGATGACCTGCGCGGTCGCTCGCCAACCGACGCCAAGCTCGCCTTTGCGCTCCTCGACGCCGTGCGCGCCGCCGTCGCGCCTCGTGACGGCTCGAGCAGCAGCGGCAGCAGCGCAACCGCCCATGGCAACGGCTGCGGCAGCTTCGGCGCCGCCATCGACGCCCTGTTCGGCACGACGCAGCACGGCTTGACGTCGTCGTCGACGTCTACTTCCCTCGTCAACTCGCCCGCCAAGCCCTCGTCGACCGACGCCGCATCGGCCTCGCCCGTTCCCTCATCTCGCTCGGCCGCCCACCACGCCGTCAATGTCGACCTCGACGCTGCAACTGCCGAGGCCGAGCGTCGCCGTGCCACGCTTGCCGCCGCCGCCGAGGTCGACCCGGTCAAGGCGTTCAAGCCCCTCGCTGCCGAGCGAGCCGACGCCCAGTTCTTCGGCGCGCCGGTCCCGCTCGTCGAGGACGACGACTCGGTCGACTTGTCCGTCCAGCAAGGTCCTGTCGTCAGTCGGCGTGACACGGACGACTCGGCGTTCGGCGGGTTCGACGACGTGTTCGAGTTCGAGATCGGCTCGCCCGTCGACGACCTGTGGACGCCGGCGAGCGCCGCCGAGTCGGTCGGCGCGTCGGCGCGGTCGACGTCGACTGCGCCCTCGAGCGCGTTCGACGAGCGCGGCGGCGGCGTCGCCGCCAACACGGTCCACGCCGGGCTCGACGACGCGGCCGGGCCCTTCTCGGCGTCAGCGTCGGCCACGCCGGTTGAGCGCAATGCGCACGACGGCGCCCAGAGCTGCGTGTCGCCGACGCGTGGGCTCCTCGCCGATGCGCTCGCGTGCGGCATGAGCGTCGACGGCATGCTCCCGCTGTCGGACGAGGACCGCGCGTGGAGCCTGCCGGTGCCGATGGAGGACGTGCGCGCCGCTTGACGACCTCTCTCTCTCTCCTTCTTGCGGGATGTACCTAGAAGCCCTTGTCCCCGTTCCCTGTCTATTCCCCTCCCCCCTCTGTTTCCGACTCGCCGCTCGACGGCCTCGCTCCCCCTTCCCCCCTCCCCTCTCTAGTTGTCCCCCCTCAATTGTACCCTTTCTACCACTCGATGAAACTTGCTGTCGTTCGCTGTTCTCGAAAGCCGTCTTTCACGGTGAGACTCGAGAGTGAGGCGGTGCTGCGGTTTGAGAGCAGCGTCATCGTGAAGCTCGCCTCTCTCGCTCTCACCCACCACCAACTGCTCGACCATGGCCTCGAACCCGACCGACGCGCCTCCGCCTTACTCGCAGGACCCGAGCGGCCACCTCGCCGTGCCCGCCGGCTCGACCCAGGGCGTCCAGCAGCAACCGTCGCGCCAAGGTCACCGTCGCACCAACTCGAACGCCTCGTCCAACTACACGTCCGAGGAGGACCACGACGAGTCGGGCATTCCCGACGAGGGCAGGCGCGAGCTCATCGACGCAGAGCGGCCCTTGCCCGAGGGCTGGAGGCGCGAGTTTGACGTGCGTCCCCTCGTCCCCTCTTCCGCCCCTCTCTCTCTCCTCTCCTCTCCAGAGGCTGATGTAGCTTCTTGCCGCCGCCTGCAGACCAACACGCAGCACTTCTTCTACGTCGACACTCGGGCAACGCCGCCGCGCAGCATCTGGTCGCACCCGCTCGACGACCCCGACTTCCTCGACGCCCACCCCGAGATCGCCAAGGAGTTTGCTCCTCCCGCCGGCGCACCGCCCGCCGAGACGTCTGCCACCCCGTCCGTCGTTGACGAGAAGAAGGGCCACCACTCGCTCTTCCACCGTGGCGGCGACGACAAGGCCGCCGAGGAGGAGCGTCGCGGCCACAACCACGACCACGACCACGCGTCGACCTCGGCCAAGAAGGACGACCGCACCCTCGGGCGCAAGATGAAGGACAAGCTCACGGGCAAGACGCACGAGGAGCGCGTCAAGGAGCGCAAGGACAGGGCCGAGAGGGAGCGCCGCGAGTACGACGAGTACCTTCGTCGTCGCGGCGAGATGCTGCGCGCGGTCAACGCCGGGCAGTACCGCAGCTCGTACTCGGCACCCCAGGGCCCGTACAGGGTCCAGCCGATGTATGGCGGGCGGTACGGCGGCGGCGGCATGTACGGGCGGGGCATGTACGGAGGGCGCGGCTACGGCTACTATCCTGCGGGCCCGATGGGCTACGGGAATGGCATCGGAATGATGGGCAGAGGGCCAGGCATGGGCATGGCGATGGGCGGTGGTCTCCTCGGTGCGTGCGCGCTCGCTCTCGGACCCCCTCCCCCTCCCTCCTTCCTTCTTTCTCTTTCGCCCTCTCCCTCTTCCGTGCCCTCGACTGACTCGTTCCTCTCGCACATGCAGGTGGCCTCCTCCTCGGCGACATGCTCTTCTAAACGCGCTCAACTCGACCGCCGGCGCCCATCGTCGTCGTCGTCGACCTTCCCCCCGCCCGCTCTACTTCCCTCCCTCCTCCCCTTTCCTCCTTCCGCCCTTCTTCCTTTCCACCCTTAATCGTGCTCCGTAGATACTCTCCTCCCTGTACTCGCAATCGACAGCCCGAAGCAGTGCCTCCTCTTCGCGCGAGAGTCCAAGCCGTTCGCGCTCTTCCCTCTCGCATTTCGCCCTCGTTCTTCCACGAGAGCTCGAAAGCGCTGCTTGAGCATCTTGGGTAGAGGACGACGAGCTCATGCTCGGCTCTCACTGGACCCACAGAGCTGCAGAAAACGCTCGAGCCCTCGTCAAAACCCTCCCCTCGAGCGAGCCGAAAGCTATGCGAGAATAGCTGGGCTCCGTGATCTCGCCAAAGGCTTCACCTCGAAACTATTGCCGAATACAAAAGTCAAGCGCGAGGTCTTGAAACGACTCGGGCGCCGCCGCTCTCTCTTCCTCCCTCGGCCCGCACCGCTGCTGTGCCTTGCCGACGCGTGTCCAGCTCTTCTTCATGCATCATCTATCCATGGGGCCTGCTCCCGCGCCACCGCGAGCGGCCGCCGACGGCGCAGGGCGCGTCGCATCCTCATCAGCAACTCGCGTCGTCCGACCTCTCTCGACTGGTGGCAACGGTTCATGGGCCTGTGGGCATCGTCGTCGAGGACTCTCGCAGCATCTTCGAGACTACTGGTCCAGGCGGCCGCGCTGCGCGGGCTGTGGGCGACTGGTGCGTCCACCTCCTCCCCGCCTTCCCGTGTTTGGCCCCCCTCTCCCTCTCCCCTCGCCCCCTCTGCTACCTCGCCACGCGGTGCAGGGGTCTTGATGGACTGACCTGGTCCCTTTGCAGGCGGACTGGCTGCGCAAGGAGGGAAGGGCGGTCTTCTGGGCGGCGTGAGGCTGGCTCTCGACCTCGAAGCGGCTGACCTTGCACTTTGTACGTCCCGCACACTCTCTTTCTTCCCTGCAGGACCTTCACATAGGTCTAGACTCCCTTCCGAGCCGCGCACTGACCCTCTTGACCTCGCGCCGCAGGTGAGTCGCGCCCTCGATGGCACCTCCCCCTTCTCGGCCCCGAAAGCTTCCCCTCGCGCCCTTTCTGCGGCGCGCGACGGCGCCTTTCACATCCCGAAAGCTTTCGTCGTCCCTTGCGAGTTGTCAGACCGCTCAGAGTTCTTGTTCGTCGTCGCACTCGTCCCGACGGCTCAGCGAGTCGAGCCGTCGCGGACGGGTCTTTACGAGGCCGCGCCCGCCCTCACGTGCCCCTGAGGGCAGCGGGCGCACTGTGGTGAGTCGCTCGCACGGCGCGCACCCCTGCGGAGCGCCCGTGCGCCCGGCCACCTGCTAAAAACAGGGGGAACCTGCGCACCCTCGCTCAAACGCTAGCTCTTGATCTAGCAGGGTTACGCGGTCGTGCGCGCGGCGGATCGAACGAGGAGGTTCCTGCGATGCAATCGAGCGCTTCTCCCGAGCCACTTTGTCTTGTAGAGCGCGAGCTGCTCCCGTGGACCGCCTTCTCAAGTCGGACGAGGAGAGGTCAGAGTGGCTCGTCCTGCGGGCTCGTTTCCTCTCGCGGTCACTGGTCGTGTCTTTACGAGTCTTCCCTGTGCGAGAGAAGACCTGACGAGGCCTGCGGGCGACGCATCTCGACTGTGGGCTCAGGACGAGGTACAGGAGGAGGGACGTGATTTCTCGCTGTACAACCTCGCTCTTTCTCGACGGTGCAAAGCGGGATTGACCTATCGAGACGAGTACTCGACGATGGGCCCACCCGAGAGAGACGCAGCGCAACTCGGCGCTCGCAGCGAGACGACGCTCGAGCCTCGACCGGCTCAACCTGCTCTCGCTCGCGCTTCCCTCGGCTCGCTTCCAGCTCGAGGTCGTCTCGACCTCTCTCAGGCATGCGCGAGGGCGCTCGCGACAACCTGCAGCGCGAGAAGAAGCGCCGCTCGGCCAGGCAGGAGCTCAGAGGTCGAGGAGGTGCGGGTCGGCTTGAGCTCACTGCTCGCTGTCCTGCACTTGCTCTCACTATCGCTCTCGTCAAAGGAAAGGTACTGCCACTGCTTTGCACGTCGACCGAGACCGAGAGGCGCTCGAAGGAGGAACTGGACTACGAGTGGGTCCACTTGGGCTTCTGCTTCTCGGCGAACGCCTTCATGCCGATCTTCTGGTCGTTCTGCGGGCACGTTGACGAGACAGAGTGAGCCCCTGCTCGAGACGAGAAGGAGCTAGAGAGAGAAAGGCGAAAGAGGGACGCACGGTCGCAAAGAGCTGGTGGAAGAGGCGGCGCTCGAGGTGCAGGCCCTGCGCGAGCGAGAGTTCGTACGCTGCGGGCCGTGTTCAGAAAGATCGAGTCAGTCTCTGTGCGCCTGAAAGGGCGCAACGAGGCCAACAGGACCGAGGTGAGACGGGCCGACGCACCCGAGTTGACGCCCTCCTTTGCGGCCTGCACGGCGATCCGGCTCTTGGACGCAATCTTGCCGGCGACCTTGACGGCCTCGTCGACGACGCTCTCGCCCTCGGGCACGACGCGCGACACGAGCCCCCACTGGGACGCCTCGTCGGCCGAAAAGTTGCGGCCCGTGAGGACAATCTCCATGGCGCGCGACTTGCCGAGGGCGTGCGTCAGGCGCTGGGTGCCGCCGGCGCCGGGGATGACGCCGAGCTGCGTTGAGAGAGAAAACAGAGTCAGGACGGGCGCGAGGTGGACGAGACGAGGGAGGAAGAGCGGGCGCACGTTGATCTCGGGCTGGCCAAAGACGGCCGTCGGCGACGCGAGGATGACGTCGCACCTGTGAGCAAAGGTCGAGGGTCAGTTCCGGATCGAATGGACGAGACTGAGGTCAAGGAACGCACATCATGGCGAGCTCACAGCCGCCACCGAGCTGCGAGTGGACGAGGGCGAGTCAGTGTCGCGATACGACGGCACGCCTGGACGCCGACACGACGACGCAGAGGGGAACTCGCCGACGCACCGCGTAGCCGCTGACGGCAGCGATGATGGGCTTGCGAAAGTTGCTCAACTCGGTCCAGTGGGCGAGAAAGTCGCCCGCGTAGACCTCGGCAAACTGCTTGTCCTTCATCTCCTTGATGTCGGCGCCGGCGGCAAAAGCCTTGTCGGAGCCGGTGAGGACGACTGCGCCGACCGAGTCGTCGGTCGAGAGGGTGCGCAGGGCCGAGTTGATCTCGTGGAACAGGGTCGAGTTGAGCGCTGCGCGTTTGGCGAGGGGTTTGGCCGGGTCAGTCGGGTTCGGGTTGGCCGACACGAGGAGGAGGGAGTGGACGGACCGTTGAGGGCTTTGGGGCGGTTGAGGGTGATCTGGCTGACGCCGGGAGCCGGACTCGAGACGAGGATCGAGGTGAAGTCGGAGGTGGACGACTGGAAGCGGACGAGGGCCTGACGCGGGAAGCGCGGGAGGGCCGAGCGGGCTGCGGTCGAGCGCAGGGCGGGCAGCATGGCGGCGGCTGGTGTGTTGGTGGGACGAGGGCGACAGTCGGCGAGGTCGAGACGAACGGGGTGCCGAAGCGAGGGCGACGAGGGCCAGGGGGCGGCTAGGCGGTTGCGGGCGGTGGTGGGGGCCGAGTGAGGGGCTGTGCGGAGCTGTACAGCGGGCTCGCAGTGCTGCTCGTGGTCGAGGTCAAGCGAGAGAAGCGAGCGAAGGCGAACCAGCCGACGACCACGGTGGGGAGCACACCGGCTCGATGCCCACGGCGCTCGGTTGCGACGGGCCTGGTTCAAGGACCCTGAGTAGAGTCTTAAAGAGCCGCTTCAGCCTACCGGTCGACCCGCAGAGAGCCGTGGCAGTGTCGCCGCCCCGCTCGCTTCTTCATCTCCGCCCGCGCAACTCTCTCGCTCGCCCGACACCCTCACTCGCGCCCAGGCTGCGCCAGAGTCAGCTCTGCACATGGCCATGATCACCATCTGCGGCTTCCCCTGCTCGGGCAAGTCGACCCGCGCACAACAACTCGCCGACTTCCTCCAGGCCAAGCTCGCCGACCCGCTCTGCCCACCACACCACCGCGCCCGCAAGGTCGTCCTCCTCAACGACGAGTCGCTCGGCATCCTCAAGCGCAGCTACGACGGTGCGCCCCATCGCCTCTCCTCCTCCTCCTCCTCCTCCTCCTCGAAGCGACGACTGACCTCGAGCCCTCGTCTGCGCCGGCCGCAGAGTAGACGCACGAGCAGAGAAGCCCGCCCGTGCTACCCTCTTCAGCGCCGTACAGCGCAACCTCGCCCGCGACGCCATCGTCATCGTCGACGCCATGAACTACATCAAGGGCGCGCGGTACCAGATGTACTGCGAGGCGCGCGAGGTCGGCGTCCGGACCTGCACCGTGCGTCTCCTCTCTCGGTTCCCCCTTCCTCGTGCGCGCCGGCTCACATCGCCCCCACCCTGCAGCTCTTCATCGCGACGCCGCCAGATCAGTGCAAGGAGCGCAACTCGGCTCGACAAGGCCCGACCGCCTACGCCCCGGCAACGTGCGCTCCTCGCCGCCCTCGTCTGCCTCTCAGACGAACCCTGTCCTGACCCTCGTCGCCCCCCGCAGGCTCGACAACCTCATCTCGCGCTTCGAGGAGCCCAACTCGGCCGCACGGTGGGACGCGCCGCTCGTCACGGTCGCGGCGGACGATCCGCCGCTCGACGCGCCAACTGGTGGGGCAGGAGGAGAGGGTGTCGAGGGCAGCGAAGCGGCGCAGCAGGTGTGGCGGGCCATCACCGAGGGCGAGCTCAAGCCGCCAAACTTGGCGACACAGTCGGTGCGTCGCTCTCGTCCTCTCGCTCGTGAGGGCCGATCAACAGGTCGATTCTTTCACTGACGACGTTACTGACAACGTTCCTCATGCAGGTCCAGACCTCGTCGACGTCGTACCTTACCCTCCTCGACTCGACCTCGTCCTCCCTCATCACGGCCCTCCTCTCCCGCCAGTCCCTCTCGCCCCACTCTGGCCCTACGACCCTCACCCTCCCGCCTTCCTCCTCCGCACCTCGCACCGCCGCCCCTCTTCGCGTCACCCTGACGCTCAACCGCCCCGTCGCGCTCCCGCAGCTCCAGAGGCTCAAGCGCCAGTTCGTTCAGCTGCACGCCCGCACGGCCGGCGCGACAGAGTTTGACGACAAGAGGATCGTCGCCATGTTTGCCCAGTACGTCGAGGAGCAGATGCGGTAGCTGCACGCGCGGCGAGCGAGGCGGCAATGCAGCCCCGAGTCGCTCCCTCTTCTCGAGCGAGCGAGGTGCGAGAGCTGGAGAAGACAGAGAGAGAGAGAGAGAGAGAGAGAAAGACGGGACTCGACGATGCAGGTCTACTGACGACAGTTCTATGGATCTTGGGGACGCCGGGCGAGAGCGAGAGGGCCGTGCGGGGCGTTCACGACGCCGACGCCATGGCGCTACGGCCGCGGATCTGGGCGCCGTAGAAGAAGAAGACGAACGGGACTGTCGCAAGGAGCAGGTCAGTCTCTTGACGCACTCGAGGAGAGCCGAAAGAGAGAGAGGGAGAGAGAGAGCGGGACGCACTGGGAGTCATCGCGAGGCTGATGAAGGCCCACGTCATGCCCGCCCACAAGTTGCCGATCGACTTGTACATCGGGACGATGAACATGGTGACGCCGGCGCCGCACATGGACCTGTGGGCGCGAGGAAGAGAGTCAGGTCGGCTCGGCAAGGAGGAGGAGGAGGAGGAAGGGAAGGAGGGACGCACCTCGCGAGCGTCTTGGCCGCCATCGCCGACGCACTGTAGTCTGAGAACGTCACCGCGATGTAGGTGTTTGCGGCGGTGTAGATGCCGACGAGGGCGAACCCGAACGGGATGCCCGACACGAGCGGGCCGGCCCAGTGCACCGACGGGATGCTCGTCGCCGCAAAGATGAAGAGCGAGACGGGCAGGACGACGGCGCACGCCATCATGAGCGGCAGGCGCGCCTCGGGCGGCGGGTGACCCTGGTGCTTGACGACCTGGCGCTGGTAGTAGCGCTCCTGGAGCGGAATGGCCGTGACCGACGTGAGGGCGATGCCGATGAGGATCGACAGGAAGCACAGTCCGACTTGGCCGGCGTCGAATCCATGGCCCATGAAGACGATCGGGTACGCGAAGAAGAAGCTGCGGGCGCACAGAGCGTCAGGACGAGTCGGGCAAGAGGAGGAGGGAGAGAGGGAGAGAGGGACGCACGCGTAGAGGAGGCCATAGACGAGGCACAGGTAGCCCGACATGCACATCATGACGGGCTCGGTCGCGAGCATGACGAGCGGACGCAGGAGCGTCTCGTGCGCAATCTCGGCGAGCGGTCGTCCTTGACGCTCTTGCTCCGTCACGATCGTCGGGTCGCCCGTCTCCTTGCGCAACTTCTGCGCACGCCACTTGAGGAGCGTCGGGGCATACCTGCATGCGCACGAGATCCGTCAAATTCACGACCGAGGCGAACATGGGAGGTCTCGAGGAGGAGAAATGGCGACGCACGTCTCGACGAGGGTGAGCGACGTGAAGACCCACACGACGCCGCCAAAGATGAAGAGCACCCACCTGCGGGCATCGAGAGATCGTCAGGAGGGCTCGAGATGGACTGAAAGAGGGCGAGGAGGACGCACCACATCCACCGCCAACTCGCACGGATCGTGATGTACCCGCCGAGCAGAGGACCGAGACAAGGAGCTGCGCCGGGTACGAGAGACTCAGTACGAGCTCTCTAAAGAGGGCGAGAGGAAAGAGAGGGCGCACAGATGAACAAGATGCCGCTGAACAGTGCCATCGGGAAGCCCCGCTCGTTGACGTGCCATACGTCGCCGATGGACCCTCTGCGCGTCCGTGAACGAGAGAGTCAGTATCTGCGGCGAGATCGAGGCCAACGAGGAAGGCGCGACGTACGCCGCGTTGCACATGACGCCGGAAATTGAGCAACCGGCGAGGAAGCGGAAGATGACGAGGACGGCGACGCTGTCCGTGATGCACCCGGGCAGGGTCCAGATGAAGTAGAGAAAGACCGAGACGATGTACACGATGCGGCGGCCGTACACTGCGCGGCGGGCGAGAAAGTTGGTCAGTGGGCCGACCAGGGAAGGAAGGGTCCGTGTGACGTGGTCCCCGGCTCACTCGCCGCAGAGGGGAGAAAGAGAGGGACGTACTCTCAGATAGAGGCGACAGGAGCAGAGGCCCGAGCCCGAAGCCGACGACAAAGACGCAGACGGTGAGGGTCTGTGGGCGAGAGGGAGAGAGAAATCAGGTGACGCTCGGCGGCTCAAAGAGGACGACGAGGAGAGAGAGTGGACGTACGATGACCTCCTCCGACACATTGTAGTGCTCAGCCATCTCGGGTAGACCGCCCGTGATCAACGACGACGACAGGCCGGCCATGAAGCACAGGAGGGTCGGTAACAGCGTCTGGACCCACTTCTTGGCCGTCGAAAAGTTGCGCGGGTTCTCCAGGTCGTCGACCTTCCACGTGACGAGCTTGGCGTCGTCGCCGTGTGCGGCGGCGCCCTTCTCGACGTCAGCGGCGACGCCGTGATGCTGACGAGCCGAGACGAGCGTCGACTGCGAGCCGTGGCGGTGCGAGGCGACGGGCGCTTCTGCCTCACGGGCGAGGACGAGGCCGGAAGGGGACGTCTCGAGGTAGGCGTCGGTGTGGGAGCCGGCCTGGGTGAGCTGGGGGAAGGTCGGCTCCTCGGCGGTCGGGAGGTCGTGCTGGACGACGCCGTGCGAGAGGGTGCGCTCGAGGTCGTGCATGGTGGGTGGCGGATTGTCGAGACTGGCGGTCGCTCAAGAGGGCGTGTCGGGGGAAAGGTGACGAGGAACAAGACGAGGAGCAGGGCGAGCATCTTGTCGACGAGGTGGTCACTCGTCGGCCGAGGAGCCCGCGCAGAATTGTCGCGAGGAGACGACCCTTGATCGACGGCATGGAGCCGTACGTCTTCTTGAGCGGCCGTGCGACCGTAGAGGAGCAGGCCGAGGGAGGTGCCGAGAGGTTGACCTCGGCCGGCAGCTGAATCTGGGGAGGCGAGGCAAAGCGGGTCAGCGACTGCGGCACGAGAGAGCGCGTGCGCGCTTCAGAGGACAGATGAACGTACCTCGGGTGCCGTCACGCACTCACACGCTCGCTCTTGGGCTTGTACGAGGCTCGGGCGGGCCGCGACGTCTTCATCAGTCGCGAGACGGCTCGACGACGAGGGGTGCCGGCGAGCCAGTCGGTAGGCGGAGCGCGGCTTGAAGATGTCGGCGAGAGCTGTGGAGGCTACCGGGCTCTGCCGACGAGGTTGCGGTCGAGGTACGGCGGTCGAGGCGAGGAGGACGAGGAGGCCGAGGCGAGGCGGAGTGTGCGCGTCCGAGGGCGAGGGGCGGCGACCGGCATGGCTGCTGGGGGTGCGCACTGTGCTCGTGCTGGTCGCTACAGCAGCGAGTCGAGCGCGGTCGAGAGGGAGAACCGGCAGCTGCTCGTTCCCCACCTCCGAGTGGACCGACCAAGGCCCGGTTCCCGACCCCGCTCCTCACCTTGTACCGCTGCTTCGAGCATGACTGCTGCTCCACCCTCGCGCATCGCCTGCGTCACCGGCGCCTCGTCCGGCATCGGCCGCGCCTCGGCTCTCGCGCTCGCCGCCGCCGGCTGGACCGTCGTCGTGTCGGGCCGCCGACAGCAAGAACTCGACCAGACGATCCGCCTCGCACAAGAGCGTAACGAGGGCGCGCAGCTGCTGGCCGTCGCAGGCGACCTCAGCAAGCCCGACGACGTCGACACCCTCTTCGAGACGATCCGCGACCGCTTCGGTGCGCCCTCTCCTCGCCTCCTCGCGGTGCAAGCATCGTCGACCTGACTCTTTCCAACGACGATACAGGCCGTCTCGACCTCTTGTTCAACAACGCCGGCCGAGGCCTCCCTGCCGTCCCGCTCGAGGACGTTCCGCTCGCCGACTTCCAGTCGATCGTCGCCATCAACCTCGTCGCGGTGCGCACCCGCCTGCCTGCCTTTCAGTCGCACGGTCACTGACACGTCGTTCTGCAGCCGTTCCTGTGCACGCAGCACGCCTTCCGCATCATGCGCGACCAGCAGCCTCAGGGCGGCCGCATCATCAACAACGGGTCGATCTCGGCCCACGCCCCACGTCCGTTCTCGGCGCCGTACACCCTCACCAAGCACGCCATCACGGGCTTGACCAAGTCGACCTCTCTCGACGGTCGGGCGTACCACATCGCGTGCTCCCAGATTGATATCGGTCCGCTCGCGTCTCTCTTCCTCTCGTACAAGCCTCGTGACCGTTCCTGACTCTCTCTCTCTCTCCCGGCTCGCAGGCAACGCGCAGTCGGCCATGGTCGACGAGTTGCGACGAGGCGCCGGCAGCCTGCAGCCCAACGGCTCGCGCATGCACGAGGAGGTCATGCCGGTCGAGGCGGTCGCCGACAGCGTCGTCCACATGGCGTCGCTTCCGTTGCACGTCAACATCCTGACCCAGGTGAGCTCCTCGAGCGTCCTCAGGAGCCGAGCCTCGTCACTAACGACCTCTCTCCCTCCCTTCTCCTCGTCCTCGACCTTGCCACCGCGCAGACGATCATGGCCAACGCAATGCCGTTTGTCGGCCGTGGATAAATCTGAAGTACTGTAATGAAGCTTGTGCACTAGTCTCGACGCGAACGAGAGCCTGCAGCGAGAGTCGATTTCCCCCACCTCGACGAGGAGGAGATGAAGACGCAGCTCGCTCCCACGCTCTCACCTCGCACCAGACGAGCCAGCCGCCATGTCCAACCGCGACTCTGGGTCTGTGCGCGACTCGGTCCTGTCGTCCACCTCGCGCTTCTCGTCCCTGTTGTCGCCCTCGGCCACCTCGACCTCGCACACCTCGACGTTCCCCTTGCCGCAAGCCGCGCCGTCCCTGCCGCCTTTGCCCGCCGGCCAGAAGCGCACCGCAGCCATCTACGACCGACCCCTCGTCAAGTCGCGCGGCGCCGAGGTGTCGCTCGGCGCGTGGGCTTTCCTCTTCTCCGAGGTGGTCCAGTACACGCAGAAGCGCGTGAGCGGCATCAGCGAGTTTGAGAAGCGGTGCGTCGAGCCGTTTTGCCTTCCTCTCATCGTCCTGCGCAAGCTGACCTCGTTGTTCCCCCTCGACCGCGCAGGCTCAGCATCCTCGGCTACAGGGTCGGCGCCCGCCTCCTCGAGCTCCTCCCCCTGCGCGACTACGTCTACCCGGTGTCGTCGCTGCGCTCCCCACCTCCGCCCAGCCGCACGCTCCGCCTCCTCCCGATCCTCACCTACGTCCACTCGACCCTGTACCGGTACCTGTTCGGCCGGCCCGCCGACTCGCTCGAGCGCAGCACCGACAACAGCGACGAGTACATGATCGGCGACGACGACATGGTCATCACGAGGGGCGTCGAGGTGCCCAAGGAGATGAGCGACCTGAGCTGCGGCGCGCTCGTCGCAGGGATCGTCGAGGCGGTCATGGACGGCGCGGGCTTTGTGCGTCCACCACGCCTCGCACTCTTCGCCCGTGCTCCTTTAGGAGCTACAGCGATGTCCATCCGGCGCTGGTGCAGCATACTGAAACTCTTGCGCCCCTCGCAGCCCACTCGCGTGACGGCGCACTCGGTCCCCTCGCCCGAACACCCTCGACGGACCGTCATCCTCATCAAGCTCGACCCGGACGTCCTCGCGCGAGAAGCAGCACTCGGTGGAGGCAAGTAGATGCGTGCGGCGAGGTGCCATCTTGTATTCCTAGAGCAGAGCGCCCGATCTCCTCCTCGTTCATCAGCCTCTCGAGCTCGTCGAGAGCCCTTGAAGTTCTCGCTCTCGCTGCATCTGCTGCGACGCTCGAGGTGCGACACGAACATGCTGTACAACCTGCAAGCGCTGCGGCACGTCGAGAGACTACTCGCCGACGTCGATGAGCCGCTCCTCCTCGCCCGGACCTGCCCTCGCTCCTCCCTCGACCTCGGGCCTCGACCCGTGCACGACGCGCCTTCCTGCTTGACGAGCCCGCTCGACGATGCGCCCCCTCAGCTCGCCCCACTCGACGCTGCCGACCCACCTCGCCGCCTCGCCGCCCTCGAGCAGGCGCACGAGCGCGACCCCTGCGGCGAGCACGAGCCACCACCTCCCCTCGGCGCCGAGCCACCTCCCTCCCGCCCGTCCGCCGACCCACTCGAACCACGTCCCGCCCCTCCCCGAGCTCGCCCTCTCGAGCGCGACCTCAGCCTCCCAGCTCCCCGCACGCTCCTCGCCCTCGACGAGCACGCGTACGTCGCCGTCGGGCCCGACGAGCGCCGACGCCCCGCTGCCGCCCGAGCACCGCAGGACGAACGCGCCGTGCTCGAGGGCACGGGCGCGCGCTTGGCCGAGCGAGGCGCGCCCGAGGCCCGAGAGCGTGGGCGGGACGAGAGACGGGTTGAGGAGGACCTGAGGGGTACGGCGAGCGACGTGGCGGTGTGGCGGTCGGTGCGTGTCGTCGTTGACGTAAGGCAACGCGTAGGAGGAAAGGAGCGAGGGAAAGGCGATGTCCTGGCAGATGGCGCCCGAGACCGAGAGCTGCTGCTGCGGCGTGCGGTGCGGGCTCGGCGTGTGCGGCGCATGCGGGAGCGCGACGTCGGCGAGCGGGAGGGCGTCGCTCGTCGAGCCAAGGGCGTCGAGGTGGCGCGTCGTGTGCGAGAACGACTCGACAAAGGGGACCGGGTGGTGCTTGGTCGTCGACCAGACGAGGTTGGGCGCCGAGCTTGACGACGAGGCGCGAGGGCCGACGAGCGTCGCGACGTTGAGGTACTTGTGGGCGCGATGGTGCGGCGACGACGAGGCGGGCGGGACGACGTAGGTCGCGAGGACGTAGACCTGCTCGCGGCGCAAAGAAGGGTCAGTGCGCTCCTCGACCCGCTGTTTGAGAGATAGAGAGAGCATCTCGGCGCACCTTGTACATGTCGCACACCTCGCTGACCCTCTCGAGCAGGCTCTTCTCGTCATCGCCCATCTCCTCGTCGTCGTCGTCCTCGTCGGGCGCCTTCCTCGCGCCCCGATCCAGCCTGACCGCGCCCTCGCTCCAGCTGAGCGCCTTTGCACCTCGCCCTGCGACGATCCTCGTCTCGGCAAGCCAGTCGTCGAGCGTCGCCGCCGAGGGCTCGTCGCTGCGGCGTGCGACGAGTGACGGTGGCACGACGCAGGCGACCTTGAGCGGCGGGTAGGTCCAGTGCGCATGGTCGGGCGCAGGGTGCGACGGCTCGAACGACGAGTGCGGGACGAGCGGGCCGATGGTAACGAGCAGCGCCGCAAGGACGAGAAGCCGCAGCGGTCGGCGAGAGGGGCGACTCGGACGAGCGACATCGTCGACGCGGTCCTGGCCCTCCTGCTGCTCGCCGAGCACGACGCCGCTGTCGCTCGACATGCCCGCTGTCCCGCGCGCAACCTCGCCGAGCGCGATGCCCGCCGCGCTCACGAGCACGTCGACGCCGACCTGCCCGGCGACGCGCGTGACCCACCCTGCGCCGCCAGCATCGACGAGCGGCGCGATCCACCACCCGACCCTGCCCGACCCGGCGCGTTCCTGCACGATGCCCGCGAGCGCGAAGAGGAGCGCCGGGACGAGGATGGCCGTGTAGCCGTCGTGCGCACGGCGAGGAAAGGCCGCTGCGCCGAGGACGAGGGCGACGAGTGGGGCGAGCGAGGTGACGAGAGCGAAGAGCGATACGGCGAGGAAGGTGTCGAAGGGCGAGGACAGGGTGGCGCTCGCTGCCGGGTTCGAGAGGACGAGGGCGGAGGCGGACCCGACGACGAGTGAGGAGAGGGGGAGGAGGGAAGCGACGACAACCCGCTTGGACGGCTCGTTGCTGGCCTGCGGTGTCCATGCATGGTCAGTTCTACCCTGTGAGAGGGTGGGGCAGCTGCTCTGCGCACCTCGAGAGCGGCTCTGACGTGCGACCAGGTGAGCGGGATGAGGACGACGCCGGCGAGTGTGGGGGCGGCAGGCGCGAGCGCGTAGGCGGCCACAGGCGCGAGGGCGAGGCCGCTGTACAGCGTCGCTGCTTCCATGGCGTGCGCTGGCCGCGGGAAGCGCGAGGGTGAGTGGGAAGTGGGGGAGGAGATGAGGCGGTGCGAGCGGACGAGCGAGCTCGCATTTTCGAGACGACGACGGCTCTCGCAAGGGACGCAGTCAGGACGCTGGCCGAGAGAGACAAACAAAGTACAGAGCGAGGCGAAGGACAGCGAGCTGCGGTCAAGTGCCCGCGTTCAGACCTCCTTTCCGGCTCTCCTCCTCGCTTCGTCGCCCTCGCCGCCGCCCACCGCCCGAGTCGCCTACTTTAGCCAGACACGAACATCGTCACCTCGCTGACCTCGCGTTCGAAAGGCGACCGACCCGCTCTCGAGCGAGGCGCGACGCCGTCGAGCGCATTGACCCTCCTCTCTCCCTCTCTCGCCACCGCGCGCTCGATATGATAAGTGACCCGTGCTCCTGCTCGACCAGCGAGCCGCTCTACATGACGACGCAGTCGTTGTCCTTGCTGCCCTCGAGCTCGCGCAAGAACTGGCCGCTGCCCTTGCCGCCGCCCTGGCCCTGGAGCTGCACGACGAGGACGCCGCCGTTGTGCGGGTCGAGCGTCGCCGTGAGGTGCTCGCGCTGCATGAGGTCGGTGATGGCGGGCTTGATCTTGGCGACGTGCGACGGCGAGTGGTTGCCTGCGAGGGAGCGAGGGGGGGAGGGGGGAGGATGGGGGCGAGGCGGTACGAGAGGAGGAAAGGGAAAGAGGGAGAGCACGGAGCGTACGCGACAGAAAACAAGAGGGCGCGAATGGGAGAGAGAGGGAACGAGAGGGCGAGGGAAGGTCAGTAAAAGGGCCGAGAAGCGGACCAAGGGGACCGACAGCGACGCACCCTTGCCGACGATGATGCGCAGCTCCGGCATGCCCTTGTTGCGCCCGTCCTGCAGGATGGGCGTCGAGACGAGTCAGAAACCGCATCTAAAGGTCAAGCTCGCGACCGGCTCGCTCGCGCGAACGAGCCAAGTCGTCCAGCACGACCGAGTTGCCGACGAGCCGAACGAGCGGGACGTACCGCAATGGCCCGCTCCGTGTACTCGATCGCCTCCTGGACGTACAGGCCGTGCAGGTCGATCGACCCGGGCGGCTGCACCTTGTTGTTCTCTGCGTTCGAGGACCTGCAGGATGAGCGCCTTTTCTCGACCACGAGCTCGGCCGCCGCGAGAGAAAGCGCGCAAGAGGACAGGCCTGACGCACCGTTGAAGATCCACGCGGCGGCCTGGTCGTTGTAGCGGTCCTTGTTGCGCTGGTGCTCCTTGCCCTGGACGCTCAGGTCGTGCGCCGACGCGCCGTCGCCCGCCGTGTAGGCCTGCTTGGACGCGCTGAACGCCTTGGCCTACGGGCACACGGAAGAGAAAGGGCTGGGTCAGTCGACGTCCTGGCGACGAGCCATGAGGAGGACGAAAGGGAAGAGAGGACGCACCATGAGGTCGCCCTCGCGGATGGCGAGGTTGCGCAGCTCGACGTACTGCGAGTTCTGCGCGTTGGCCATGTCGGTGTTCTGGTCGCCCGACAAGCCGAGGAGGCGCAGGAGGACGTGGTATGACGGGCGCAGGTACGAGGGGAGGAGGTGGAAGATGTGCAGGTCGGGCAGAGAGGCGAGTCGGCCGGGGCGAGGGACGCGGTGCGACGGGTGCGAGTTGGGCGACGAGGGATCGTAGAAGGACGGAGGAGGGCGGAAAGGGCGAGAGCGCGAATGTCGAGAGGTCGAGAAGGGTCGAAGGGTGAGGAGGAGAGGCGAGGCAGGAAGGCCGAGTGTCGTGGTCGGGATGGACGACGTCGGCCAAACGGGTCGTGCGTGTCGGGTCGACGGGAAGAGAGAGGCGAAAGTCGAGGAGGAGGGAAAGGCGAGGGACGGCGAGAGGCGAGGAAAGAGGACGAGGTGCAAGGGGGAACGAGCGGCCAGGGTGAGCCTTGACTCTCGCCGCAACGCATTGCCCGCCACCTCGGCGCTCCACCGCTCGACGACCACTCGTGCGAGCTCGCCGTGCCGCCGTGCGAGCGCGCGAGCCTTGGGCAGGGCGCAAAATCGCGAGGGGACGGGGACGAGTCGGGAGCTGTTCCTTCGTCGTGCGCGAGGAGAGAAAGGGAGAGGGGGGAAGGGACAAAGGGGGACAAGGGACGCACAGTGGGTCGACCATCGTGCGCGCCGTAGCCGCCCTGCTGGTGGTGCTGCTGAGGGGCATGGCCGGCTTGAGGGTAGGGCGACGACTGGTACGGCTGTTGGTGCGGCGCCTGGGCCGGGTACGGCGACTGGCCCTGCTGCGGGTAGCCGTGCTGCTGCTGCTGCTGGCCCTGGCTCTGCTTGTGCTTCTTCTGCCACCGTTGGTAGAACTTGAAGGCCTTCTTGAGGTAGTAGATGACCTGGTTGGCCGTCACTGCCACTGCGTGGGCGTGTGCGTCAGTAGGCGCGCGAGAGAGAGAGGCGGGAGGAGGGAGGGAGGAGGAGGAGGAGGAGGGGGGACGCACTGGTGGACCGCGAACGAGGGTGGGCTGGCGGGGCAGGCAGCGAGTGCGAGCTGGGAGCAAGCCGACGAGCTCCAGAGGGAAGCACGAGCTGTCGACGATGCAGAGGGAGAGGAGAGCGGTGCGATCGGCCTCGAGGAGACAGATGACAAGTGGGTGAAAACCCGCGCTCCCTCTGCTGCGAGGCTCCGGTCCAGCCGGTCCAGGGTCGCAAGAGCTTGACGCATAACCCTGCAGTCGAGCGTGACCAGCAAGAGAGACGAGGGCTCACCTTATTCAGCTGCGGAGCAAGCTGCCGCCGAGCCCGCGGCCTCTTCGCTCTTGTCAGCTCTGCCTGCGCACCCACAGCCAGCACACGGTCGACCACCACGCCTTGCTCCTGCACCGCACTCGGCCCCCGGACCACTCGCCGCCGCCGTCGTCGACTGTTCGCCCTCCCCCCGCACTCGACCTTCGCCAACCTCGGCAGCTCGCGCACCCTCGCGCAACGCTCGTCTAAGATGGAGCAGTACACAGCGTACGCTCACCACGGCACCGGCCACGCGTACGCCCACCCAGCACCTCAACCGAGCTCGGCGTTTGCCGCCTCCCGCACTCCGAGCAGCAGCACCACCACCACCACCCCGCTCGCCTCGTCCAAGCCGCGCATCCCGGCCTTTGCGCCCGCCGCTCCATCCCAGTCGTCCCCAGCAGCGCACGCCCTCGCCCTCCCACCTCCCTCGGTCCTCGCCGCCTTCCCTCCCCCGTCCTACACCGCCTCGACCTCGTCCTCGGCATCGCTCTCGTCGGCCCCTCAGCCCTCCCTGTCCGACAGCGGCGCCCTCCCGACCACCAGCCGCCGCATCCCGGCGTTCAACGCCCCCGCGGCCTCGACGTCAGCTTCCTCGGCGCCTGGGCGGGCTCCGGGCCTTCCGCCACCACCACCGCGGTCGGGCCCCCTCCCGTCCTTCGGCACCCTCCTGTCGCCCCAGCACCACGACGCCGACCTCGCGCACTTGCCCAACCCGCCGTCCCTGTCGGCTGCCGCGACCGCGGTCGTCCCGCGCCGCAGGTCGTCGGCCGAGGACGACTACTCGGACGCCGCCGAGGCCCTCTCGTCCCTGTGCCGCGTCCAGCACGACACACGCCCCTCGTTCTCGCCGTCGCCGTCGCCTCTTCCGCCTCCATCGTCCTTGGCCGCCGACGGGCGCCAGGCGGCTGCGCCACCCAGCTCGCAGCAAGGCGGCGTCGAGCGCGCTCGGCTCGCGAGCCACGCGAGCGACGAGGCGTTGCAGGGCCCGGCACCCTCGGCCGCGAGCCCGCCAGAGTCGAGCGCGAGCCCGAACGGCGGGACCGGCGACGGCGTGGACGGCGACGGGACGGACGAGGGTGGGAGGGGTCCGAGAGGCGCCAAGAAGGAGCTCAAGCAGACGAGTGCGTCCAACTTTTCTCTCTCTGTGTACGGTCGAGCGTCGGCAAGGTCGAGACTGACATGCCGAGTGCGCGCAGAACGAGCGGCGCAGAACCGTGCGGCGCAGCGAGCGTTTCGCGAGCGCAAGCAGCAGCAGATCAAGTGCGTCTCTCACCCTCTCCTCTCTACTCCTCTCTTCTCCTGCGTCTCTCCCTACGGTCCCTGACTCCTCTCAACCCCCGTCACCTTGCACAGGGACCTCGAAACGCGCGCGTCCGAGATCCCGCTCCTCCACTCGCAGCTGCAGCACCTCTCTGCGCGCGTCGCCCACTTTGAGGCCGAGAAGCGTGCGTGGGACCGCGAGCGCGAGGCGATGCGCGGCGAGCTTCACGCGCTGAGAAGGGTCGTCAGTGCCGGCGATGACGAGCGGCGCTGGGGAGCGGGGGCGGGAGCGGGAGGGAGCGAGGTCGAGGCGCGCGGCGACGACGAGAGGGCGCCGAAGAGGAGCAAAATGGACGAGGGCGGTGAGCAGGACGGGGCGTGACGCTCGTCACGTAGCCGAGGGGAGCTCGTCGTCGTCGCCGTCGTCGCTGTGCCGTATTCTGTTGTTGTTTGCCCTCAATCGCTCTCGATTTGCTCTCCCTCTCCCGCCGCACAGACCCTCGCGAGAGAGAGCGTACAACAGCGTCGACGATTGCGCTCGCACCCTCAGCTCTGCGTCTACGTCCTCATGACGGCCCTCTTGCGCTTCTTGGCCCCCTGCTCGATCATCTCGCGCACGCTCTCCTCGCTCGCCATGCCCGCCCCGGGCGCCGACCCGAGCATGTCCTGCTCGTAAAAGTCGGCCACCTTGTTGGCCTCGTGCTGGCGCGAGAGGAACTTGAGCGCGGCGAGGTTGTACCCGAGCGTGTTCTGCGAGGAGGGGAACGAGCGCCGAGTGAGCTCGCGAGCTCTGCTGTGCGGAGCAGAGAAAGAGAGACAAAGAGCGAGGACGCACCTTTTGCTTCTTGAGCGACTCGCGCAGGTGGCCCTTGAGCTGGACCATGGTCGGGCGCAGGGCGCGCGTCGCGACGATCTGCGAGTGGTGCGTGCGCAGGAGGAAGAAGAGGACGCGCGAGGTGAGGGCGAGTTGCCAGCCCTGCGCACGAGCGAGTCGTCAGTGACGGCTTTGAGGAGAGAGGGACGGCGAGAGAGAGAGCGGGAGAGAGGGACGCACCTTGTGGGCCCAGACGTCGATGTGCTCGATGAGCTGCGTGACGCGCCCGAACGGCAGGACGAGGAGCGCGTCCTGGAGCTGCGCCGCCGGGATGCCCTTGACGATCTTGAGCACGTACTCGTCGGCCGACACGTTGTTGTACATGGCGAACACGGCGTTGCGGTTCGGGAACGGGACGCGCTTGGCCGCCTCGGCGTTGGGCGCGAGCGCGACCTCGTCCTCGTAGGCGCTCATGGCGAGGCGGTCGATCTCGGCGAGCTCGAGCGCCTCGAGGATGCGCTCGCCGGCCATGAGCGTCTCGGTCGTCGACTTGGTCACCTCGGTCGACTCGGCTTCGGGAACCTCCTCGCCCGAGGGCAGGACGCGCAGCTCGTCGCGCTCACCACGCGCGTTCGACGCGTTGGCGTACATCTCCTCGAGCTCGCGCTCACGCTCCTCCTCGAGGAAAAGCTGCGGCGGGAAGGCAAAGAGTCAGTCACCGTCGCCGGGGAGGGAGGAAAGGGCGACAGGGGAGAGACAGCGACGACGCACCGGCTCCTCGGTCTTCTCCCAGATGCGGATCGACTTGTCGTGCGAGCCCGAGACGACGAAGTTGCCCTTGTAGCTGACGGCGAGCGCCCACACCTCGCCCGAGTGGCCCGCGAGCTTCTGCACGCACTCGAACTGTTGCCAAAAGCGGAACGTCAGGTTCACGATCGTGCGAGAGGACGGCGGGAGGGGAAGAAGGTAAGAGAAAGAGAAAGAGAGAGTCGAGGCGCACCTTGTCGCCGTCCCAGTACTTGACCATGCGGTCCTTGCCGACGGACCAGAACAGGTGGCTGCCGCGCTCGAACGCGACCTGCATGACGCTCTCGTCGTGCGCGAACAGCGACCGGTGGCAGTCGCCAAAGTCGAGGCCCCAAATCTTGATGTTCTTGTCGGCCGAGCACGTGACGATGAGCTTCGAGTCGGACGAGATGTCGAGCGACAATACCGGGAGCTGTGCATGCGGCGCATCACCTCGATCAGGATCTGTTGCTCGTGGAGGAGCGACAAAGGAGAAAGAGGGAGAGCGAGAGCGCACCTTGTGGCCGTAGAGCGAGAGGAAGAACTTGAGCGTGTCGGCGTAGAAGACCTTGACCGTCGAGTCGAGGAGCGACACGGCGAGGAGCCGGCCGTCCGGGCTGTACTTGACGGCGAGGACGTCGTCGGTCATCTTGAGCGTCTTGACGTGCGCGAGCGTGAGGACCCTCGTGACGGCGCCGCCCTCGACCTCGGCCGGCACCTCGCGGACCTCGAAGTCCCAGAACTTGATGTCCTTGTCGGCCGAGCCCGTGACGAGGCCGCGACCGTCGGGCCGGACGTGCAGGGACCACAGGGGCGCCGTGTGCGCGGCAAACGTCTCGAGGAGGGACGAAGACGACAGGTCGTACAAGAGGAGCTCGCCCGACTTGGTGCCGACGACGATCTGTGAGGGGGCGCAAGGAGTCAGGCTCGTCTCCTTGTCGCAGGGAGGAGAGAGGAGAAAGAGGAAGAGGAGGACGCACATGACGATCGCCGGGGAGGAAGGAGCAGCAGATGGCGTAGCCGCAGTCCATCGTCCTCACGCACTTGGTCGTCTTGACGTTCCACAGCTTGAGCGACCCATGGCTCGCCGAGGCGATGAGCTGGTCGTCGGACGAGACGGCGAGGCAGCGCACGTCCGAGCGGTGGCCGGGCAGGTCGAGCGTGAGCATCTTGACGGGCTCGACGGCGGGCGCCTTGGACGAGGCGGGAGGTGGAAGGTTGTACACCTCGAGGGCGTTGTTCGAGAGCGAGGCAAGGAGCTGTACGGCAGGAAGAGAGTCAATCACTGATTGGGCGAGATTCGCTGGGAGGGCGCGACGAGGAAGGAGAGCTAGGGAGGGAGGACGCACCTGCACCTCGCCCTTGTTCTTGAGCGTCTCGGGCGCGAACGAGAAGTTGCGGACCTTGCCGCTCGTGCGCACCGTCGACCACACCGCGAGGCGGTCCCGCCACTCGACCTGGCCGTCCGCCGCCGCTCCCTCAAGCCCGTCCATCTCGTCGTCCTCGTCGACCTCATCGCCGTCGACCGCCTTGCCCTTGCCCTTGACCGACTTGGCCTTGTCCTTCTTCTCGCGCTCGCGCTTGCGCCGCCTCGCGAGCTTCTTGCGCAGCTCGTCCTCGGTCCGGAGGCGGAAGACGTCGATCGCGCGCTCGCCCGAGTGGATGGCGAGGACGGGCAGGGTCGGGTGCAAGGTGATCTGCGAGATGTTGTGCGTGTGCGACGGGTTGGGGAGCGACAGGGCGGCGATGGGCGAGATGGCGCGCTTGAGCTTCTTCCTCGCCGCGCCGTCGGCGGTCGAGGGGGCGTCGCCGTCGGCAGCGCCGCCGAGGGCCGACAGGCCGCGCAGGAGGACGTCGTTGTCGACCTTCCAGCACTTGACCTCGCCCTCGCCGCCGCCCGAGATGAGGACGTTGCTGTCGGCGTCGTAGGCGAACGACCACGCCTCGGAGCGGTGGCCGACGACCGTCTCGATGCAGTGCTGCGTCTCGAGGGCCCACAGCTTGATGAACGTGTCCTTGCACGACGAGATGAGGTGCGTCGACGGGCGAGACGGCGCCGCGGTCGACGCAGAGGTGGACGGGTCGGCGAGCGGGACGACCTCGCCGTCGACGTCCGAGCCGGCCCGGGCGGCGACGAACGCGAGCGCCGTGATCTGGTCGCGGTGGCCGCGCAGGCGGAACAGGCCAACCTCGCCGACGACGTCCCACACGATGATGTCGGTGTCCTTTGCGCCGGTCGCGAGACGGGTGCCGTCGCGGTCCCACGCGAGCGCGCTCACGGCCGTCTTGTGGCCGTTGAAGGTGACGGTGACGGTCTGGGTCTTGGCGTTCCACAGGCGGACGGAACCGTCTGCGTAGCCGACGGCGAACGAGTCCCAGTCGGCGGGCGAGCGAGAGATGGCGGTGACGAGAGCTCGCAGGCCCGTCTCGTGCCACATGGCGACCTGGGGGAGCGGTGTGTCAGCTCTCTGGGTACTGTAGAGGAGGGGAGGACGGCTGCGACGCACCTGCTCGCCCTTCTTGACGTCCCACACGAGGACATCCTCGAGAGCCGGGCAGTAAGCCTTGCGGCCGTCAAAGACGGCGGGGCCGCTGGCGATGACGCCGAAGGCCTCTGTTGGACCGTGCCGCTGATACGACTTGACCATGGCGAGGTCAGGCGAGCGTGGTGGCGAGTTGCGGAGGCGAGTTCGAGGCGAGAGATGAAGCTCGGGACAAGTCCGAGCGGACACGGTCGCTCACCGCCCTCTCGAGGCTCTCTGCAAGGTTCTCGCGCGGCTCGAGGCCTCTCACGTGCTCTGCAGTCTCTCATGATGGCGCGAAACCCTGCCAGGAAGAGCGAGAGGGGCGCCGAGAGCCAGTCGCTCCGCCGCCGCGACAGCTGCTCGCGGTGAGGCAGAGCGTCGCCAAGCTGCTGAGCCGCACTAGCTCAAGATAGGCCAGTCTGCGTAGCTCGCCTTGACAAAGGGACACGGACACGGGTCTGCGAGAAGGAGATTGCCCTCGTTCTGCTACACAACACGGACCAGCCCTCCCAACCTCGTCCCGGTTCCTCCAGCTCCGTCACGGCACACGCGCTTAGTTGCGGGCGGCGGCGACGGCGGCGGTGGCCGTGGGCGAGATCTTCTTGCCGTCCTTGTTGAAGCGAACGCGGACCGGGGGCGCGCGGTTGCGGCGGTCCTTGACCGAGCGGACGCGGACGACGTGGGCGTGGACGGCGCACGAGATGCAGTAGTGGATCTTGATGTACAGCTTGGGAAGCGCGTACTCTGCGACGCGAGGGAGCGAGGGAGGAAGCGAGGGGTTAGCTCGGGTGCGCGGGCGCTGGAACCTTGACGCAGCGCGTCCGCCGCCGCCAACTCGGGCCGGCGCACACGCGGTTCGAGAGGACTGCCCGACGCACCAGGGTACACCGACGCGTCCGAAAGGTCACGGATCGCAGCAGTCTCGACCATGTTGCGGACGGTAAAGCGACGGACGGCCTTGTCCTGTGGGCACGGGTACGGGTCAGTCTCGTGCTCCGGCCTGTGACGACGAGCCTCGTACAGCGACGCAGCTCGCCGAGGGAGAGAAGGGCAGGGAGAGGGAGCGCACCTTGGGGCACATGCGCGAGCAGTTCGAGCAGCGGATGGAGGCGACGTGGCCACGGCCGTTCTTGTTGCGGCCGCCGGATCTTCTCTTCTTCGTCACTGCGAGTTGGAGGCACTGGGTCAGTGACTGTCGCTGCTGTACTCGGTCGGCGAGGTGCTTTTGCGGCGAGCGGGGCGGGGCGCGCTCGCGCGCGACGATTGGCGAGGTGGGCGGTTGACGGCAGGAACGGAAGGGAGAGACGACGAGGAAAGGCGGCGGACTGGTGAGGTGTGCTGAAGGGGAGAGGCGGAGGGAGGGCGAGGGGAGAGTCGAGGTCGAGGTCGGGCGAGGCGAGCGCGGACGGCGACAAAGTCGACTCGCGCCGAGGCGTCCAGCCGCCTGCGCCGCTGCTCCGCCAGGCTAGCTCGAGATTCCCCACCGTCCCTCCCAGCTGTCGCCCCTGCACGCCGGCACCGCGAGAGCCTCGCGCGCTCTGAAAACCCAGCTCCGCCGGTCGAGCTCGAGAGGGCCGGGGTGCGACGCCGGCGAGGTGGTGGTGGGAGGGATGGTGGCCAAGTGTGCGTGTAGGGAGAGGCGAGGACGCACTATTGGAGGAAGGACTACGTAGACGTGTAGACGGTCGACGAAGTGAAGGAGAGCAAGAGGGGCCGGGGGCGGCGAGACGAGGAGGAACGGCCGCCCGACCCTCTCACCACGTCGCTCGCGCTCTGCTAGCCTGCTAGACCTCCAGGCCTGACCTACTGCTGTGCGCTCGAGCGAGCCCCACGCACCGGCAGTCGCACGGCGCTGCGTCCGCCCCGCCGCTCGTCCACCTCGTCCCTCCTCTCCTTCTCGACGCTCTCGGGCAGCGCTCCCTCTCTCGATCGCTCGAGCAGCCTGCATATGACTCGCTCCTCAGCTTTGCGCCGCGCGGACGAGCGCAGCGGCACTCGTGCTCCGCCTGCTCGCGCAGGAACGAGGGTCGCTCGTGCTCCTCTCGCTCCGCGTCTGCCGCCTCGACACCTGGCTCGCTCGTCCCTTGACCCTGGACAAGCCTCGTCGGCCTTGGCAATGAGCTGCTTCCTCTACTCGAGATGAGTCGGGTTGGAGGAAGCACAGGCCAGAGCTCGAAGCGAGAGGCAAGGAAGAGAGCATTGCGACGCCCTGACGAGGGCGTGCCGCCGACTGCGGCTCAAGCGGGACCCACCGCCCCTCTCGCTCGGCCCGTAGCGCGAGGAATAGCTGGCAAGGGGGACCGGGCGCACGAGGGCGGGCGCACAGAGGGGCGGTCGGCAGCAGGACCGACGCAGCCTTGCGGCGAGCGAAAGGCGAGCGTTGTGGACGCGCTCGGCCGGCAAATCTGTCGCGAGCGGTCTTCTGGCGCCCGTGAGCGGTGCCGCAGCTGGCCTGGGTCGGTGTGGCCGCGGGAAGGTGGAGGAGCTGATGGTGTCGAGGGAGGAGAGGTGACGAGAGAGGCCGGCGTCGCCCGGCACTGACGACAGACCCCGCCGCTGCAGAGCAAAGCAAAGCGGCTGCTGGCCATCGCATGCCCAAGCAGCAGCTGACGCGAGGGAGACAGCGTGGGCGAAGCCGAGGAGCTCGCCCGCCTTTCGAGGAGGAGCGCAAGACCACCCCCAAGCCGGTGCCTGCTCTGATCCACTGGCTTTTCATAGCCTCGTACGTCTGCTGCTCCAGCCTTACAGTCGCACGAGGCAGACGGAGCCTTGTTGTTGAAGTCGCCCGCCTCGTCGTCGCCTCTCCCCCTTCTCCCTCGTCGCTCTTCACCTCGTCCACCTGCCGCCTATCTGCTGGCCAGTACGGGTGCTTCGGGACCCTGTGCACCGCCCGAGCCGACTCGCGCCGCCCCGTGCGACCCTCGACCCTCGCCCACGCTCCCCTCGCGCCTCACTCAACCCCGCACGTCCAGTGTGTCGCCCCCTGCCCCTAGAGCCTTTCAGTGGAGCACAGACTGACTCTAGCCCCTACAGGATGGCGTCGTCGAGTTCTGCGCACCCTCCCTCTGCGTCGGCCCCGCGGCAGTCGGTGACACGGTCCATGTCGCGGCGGTCGCTCGCCCCCGCCGCCGACGGGCTCGCCAACTCGTTCGACCAGCAGGCCGACGCCCTCAGCCGTCCACGCCTGCCGACCAAGACGCCGCCTCGAGCCGGCCTCCCCCGTTCCCGCACCGCCGCCGACCTCGCCCCGGCCACGTCGCTCCCCCGCGCACGCTCCACCACAAGCATCGCCGCGCGCAGCTCCGTCCCCGCCGCCAAGCTCGCCACCTCTCAGATCACCACGAGCAGGTCCCGGCGCGTCCTCGCCGAGTCGAACACGGTCGGCTCTTCGTCCACCCGCACCGCCTCGTCAACCTCGACCTCGTCCTCATTCGCCACGGCGGCGGCCACGGCCAGCTCGCGCACCCTGTCGGCGACGAGTACCACGTCGACGTCGAGGCGCTACAGCCGTGTCGAGGCGAGCCGGATGACGGGCATGGGCGTCGTCCGCACCGGGCCTCCTGTGCAGGGCCAGCGCCACAGCCCGCGCAAGTCGACGTCGTCGAGCGCGCTCGCCCGTGACGCCGTCGCCGGAACCAGCGGCACCTCTCGCCTGTCCCTCGGCGTCGACAACCGCCGCGAGCGCGAGGTCAAGCCGCTGCCGCGCTCGGCGAGCGCAACCCGGGTCAGCGGGCCGTCCAGCGCCCCGAGCGGGACCGAGGCCGCCCTGCGCACGCTCTCCGAGGAGCCGACTATCCAGGAGAGCTTCGACGAGATGATGGCCTCGACGCACGTCGCCGGCCTCGCCTCGCCGGCCAAGCGCGGCGTCGTCGGGTCGGTCGCGATGGTCCGGTCGCCGGCGGCGCGCCCGCCGGGCCTCTTCGGCGGCGGTCGCTCGCCCTCGATGGACATCGACGGCAGCGCGCGCTCGGCGCCCATCGCGAGCTCGTCGTCGCGGCACCTCGCCGTCCCACGCTCGTCGCCCGTCCGCGGCGCACTCTCGCCGCGTGCGCTCACGGGCCGCACTGCCCTCACGCGCAAGCTCGACGAGATCGAGTCGGACTCGGAGGAGGACGACATCGACTTCCTCAGCCCGCGCAAGAAGACGGCCAAGCGCGTCCACCTCTCGGCATCGTCGCCCGCCGCGCCCGGCCCGGTGTCGCCCGCCCGCCCCGTCACGCGTCTCGAGCCCGAGCAGCTCGAGGACGACGACGTTACGATCCATGCGCCGGTCCTGCCGCGCAGCCCGCCGAAGCGCGGCATCGAGCCGCAGCAGCGCCCGATCTTCACCGACGCCGCCTCGGTCCCCATGATGCGCGGCGGCAGGACCTTCCCGCTCCCGAGCCTGACGGCGCCGACCTCGTCCGCCAGGCCGACGCTACGCAGCACCTACGGCGCCTCGATGGCGTCGTCCTCGGCGATGCTGCCGCCGCTCGTCATGCCGCGCTCGAGGGCGCCGCCGCCTGTCGTCGACCAGAACGACCGCGGTCTCGGCTCGGCGTCGGCCTCGAGTGGCTTCCGTCCGCTCCGCCTCACGAGCTCGGCGGTGTCGGCCGCGACGAGCGGGAGCGCCAGCACGGGCGCAGGCTCGAGCGGCAGCCGCCTCCCTCGTCCTCAGCGCGTGTCGCTCCCCGCGCCTGCGCTCGTTCCTGTCGAGCCTCGCCCGCACGACATCCTCGGCGTCCCGTCGGCGCCCGAGCCGTCCGTCGGCGAGGACGTCTCGATGGCTGTCGAGGACGGCGCCTCGACCGTCGACGCCGACACCTCGATGTGCTCGGCCGCCGACGTCTCGACCATCTCGACCACGTCTACTACGTCGACGGCGTCGTCCACGTCGAGCCGCTCGGAGGAGACGGCGCGCAGGCTCGCCAACCTCCAGAGCATGCTCAGCCGCCTTCAGATGCCCAAGCCGAGCGCACCCTCGAGCCGCCGCACGAGCGCCCCGACCTCGACCCCTCGCTCTCGTTCACGGGCTCGACGTCGAGCTCGCGCGACTACGAGGTGCCGCTCGCGCCGGCGCACGAGCCCTCGGCGCCGCGCCGCTCTGCCGTCCCGCGCTCGCGCGCCTCGCTGCCCTCGATCGTCGGCCCGCCACCGGCAGCGCCGTCGACGCACGTCGCACCGATGCTGCCGTCGGGCCCGACTGCGCGCCGCCGCAGCTCGGTCGTCGCGCGCCCGCCGGGGGGCATCGTCAACACGGCCGCGAGGCCTGCGCAGGGCGCGCTCGGCGGCGCCTCGTCCTCGTCGACGGCGTCCTCTTCCTCGTCGAGCACGCGCTCCTCGTCGGCGTCGACGGCGACGGCTAGTCGTCCGTCAGCCCGCCGCGTCTCGTCGACGACCCTCCCATCGTCTGCCTCGGTCGGCATGTCGCTCTCGGTCGACGCCAAGGGTGCAGCCGCACTCAGCGAGAGCGTCGGCCGGCCGCAGGGCAACAGGGCGACGCTGCAGGGCGTCGTGGCGTGCGTCGACGTGCGCACGGCCGAGGGCGACGACTCGGGCATGGTCTTTGTCGACTTGCTCAAAAGCATGGGCGCAAGGGTGCGTCCTCCCTTTCTCTCTCTCTCTATTTCTCTTTCTCGTCCTCTCACAGAGACTGACACCAAGCGTTCCTTTGCAGGTCACGACCCGTCCCTCGTCCGTCACGACCCACATCGTCTTCAAGTCCGGCCGTCCCTCGACCCTCCAGTTCCACCGCTCGCTCTCGCCCGCCTCGCGCCCGCACCTCGTGGGTATCGCGTGGGTCGTCCGCTGTGCCGAGCTCGGCGCGCACACCGACGAGGCGCCGTTCAAGGTCGAGGACGCGGCGGCGCCCATGCCCGGCTTGGGCAAGGAGAACGCCGTGCGCGACGTCGCGGCGGCGACGGCGCAGGCTGCGCTCGGCCTCGGCGGCTCGGCGCCGTCCAAGGTGGCGAAGGACGGCTCCGGCACAGGCGGTGGAGGAGCCGGGCGACGCAGGAAGAGCATGGAGCCCAAGGCGCTCGCCGCCCTCGGCAACGGTGCGTCGGGCTCGGGTTCGGGCGACGCCGGCTCGGGCATGCAGGGAGGTGGCGGTGCGCGCGATGCAGCGCTCAAAAGGTCGATCGCGGCGTCGATCGAGCGTGCGAGGAGGAAGAGCCTCCAGTTCAGGCCGCTCGTCGGCAGCCCTCTCGCCAAGCGGGTCTTTGTCATGCCCGACGCGGTCGACGAGGGCGAGGAGTGAGGCCGACGCTCTCTTTGTTACGTCGTGTTCCACTGCCCCTCCCCCTTCCTTTCCTCCTTCTTCCTCCCCTTCGTCCTTCGCTCGTTCGCCTTTCTTCCTCCGTCACTCAATTTTGCCTTCCCTCTGCACACGCCCCTCGTTTAGTGTCCTCTCTCAACGTGCAATACTTTGCTCTCCAGCCTCTCGACGTCGAGCATGCGCGAGGAAGAAGAGAGAGCGCGAGAGCGAGCGCACAAGGTTGCACAGTCTCGCTACGGCAAGAGGTCCGTGCCCTTTGACCGTCCCGCCGCGAGCTCCATCTTGGCCGTGTTGACGCCAAAGTGGATGGCCTTCTTGGGCAACGACGCCGCACGCTCGAGCCCCAGCCGCTTGGCGAGGAGGCGCAGCAGCATCTTCTCGCCCACGCCCTCGCGGAAGCGGTAGTCGGCCTTGAGCCAGACGGGCACGTGCGCGAGGTAGTCGACGACGTGCGCGGCGAGGTACGGGTACCGCGCCTCCTTGCCGTGCGACGAGACGACGCGGTCGTCGCGACCGAGGTTCCGGGTCGGGAGGCGGTCGACGTCGAGCTGCAGCTCGGCGAGTAGAGCCGGCCAGTTTTGCTGCGGCGAGTCGGATGAGGGCAGGTCGGCTTTGTCGAGCTCGTTGGGCGTGTCAAGCTTGTCGAGCTCGGCGGGCTTGGAGAAGCGCTCGGGTCCGGTCGAGGTCGAGTCGGTCGGGCGAGGCTGAGCTGCCCGTCGATGCCGCGCGTAGCCGCCGAGCTGCTCGTCGGCGCCGAGCCCGCTCAGGAGAACGCGTGCTTGCGAGTGGTACGGCGGAGGAGGATCGAGGTCGGCGCTGCGGCTCGGTGAGGAGGGACGGGTCGAGTCGAACTGCGAAAGATGGCCGCGCCCTCGAGCGGCGAACCAGAACGCGATCGAGATGCTCTGCGTCCGCAATACATCGTCAGTGACGCTCGAAATAGAGACAGGGAGAGACAGGGAGAGACAGAAAAAGGGAAAGAGCGACGCACGAGGTCCATGACGGTGCGCTGCGGCTTCATGAGGTCGATGACGGCCTGTCGGTGCTCGAGCATCTCTCGATAAGGCACGTTGACCTCGACGAGATTCCACCGTCGCTCTGGCCGTAACCGCTTGAGCTCCTCCCAGCTGTTGCGGGCCGTGACGCGGTCGGGCACGTCGTAGATCTTCGAGTCGACCGGCGGGTCCGCCGACGTGGCCTCGTCGTGCGCCTCGACAGGTGGCGCCTTGCCCTTGCTCTTGGCGCCGAGGACGTTCTGCGCCTTGATCTTGCGCGGGTTCTCGAACGCGACCGTGACGAGGTCGATGGCCTCGCCGTCGGGCAAGACCCGGTCGAGGACGACGGCGAGGACCGTGCAGTCGAGCCCGCCCGAGAAGAGGACGGCGACGCGAGCGTCGGGTGGTGCAGGGAAGGGAGGGATGGTCGTGACACGAGCGCGCAGGGCTCGCTCGAGCTCGACGAGGAAGGATTCGACGAGTTGGGCGAGTCGAGGGGTGACGACGGGCTCGGACGGGTCGCGCGGTGAGGACGGGGTGAGGTCGTCGGGTCGAGGGAGGGTTGTGACGAGCGGGTCGTAGGGATAGATCTGGTGGAAAGAGAAGGGTCGGTGAGTGAGTTTCGGTTGAGGAAGAGCCGCAAGGAGAGGCCGGGCGCACGAGCGTATTCTCGGACTCTTGACGAGCGCCCTTTGGCCGCCGAGGCACCGACGAGAAAGAAGGCCGACCGTTGAGCTGCATGGGCAACTAGGGTCAGTCCTGCCCCTTCTGCCCCGAGGAGGACTAGAGAGACAGCACGAACCGAGTCTAGCAGGCCCTCGTCTCGCAGGTCGATAAGGTGGACAGCGTCGGTCGCGACCTCGGTCCAGTTTTGAAGAGGAGATTCGCCTCCTGGCGCAGCCGAGGCGAGGAAGAACGTGGGCGAGTCGGCCGTCGGGAGGTGAAAGAGGAGGGAACGGCGTCCGAGCGGGTCACGCGCAAAGTAGATGCGCCTGGTCGACGCCTCGTAGTAGATGAAGGCGTATGGACCCTCGACGTCCCGGATAGAGGCGAAGAACCGTGACGGGCCGTGGTGCTGGATCTGCTCGAAGAGCTTCTGCCCGTCGTTCTCGTGCGGCGAGACCTGCGTGGTGAGGCCGAGCGTGAGTCACGGAGTACTGCTCGCGAGGCCCAGAGGTCAAGAGGATCTGTGACGCACCTTGAGCCCGTCAAATACCTCGCCGTTCCAGAGAAGGACGTTGCCGTCGCGGACGAAAGGCTGGGCCGTGAGGTTGTCGCCGCGCATGTGCAGGACCGAGGCGTGAAAGTCGAGATGATAGCTGATGCCTCGCTCCGTCTCCACATCTTGACCGAGCTGACGGCTGTCGTCGGGCCCTGTAAAGCGAAAGTCAGCTTCCGGGCCGTCTCGGCGAGAGGGAGAGATTCTGGGCGCACCTCGATCCTGGACCGCCCGCACAACAGTATCCCATGACCGCGCGTGTGCTCCATCATTACTTGATGCCGAAGAAGTCCGCCGAACGGCAAAGGCGATGCCGCACCTGCGAGAGAGAGAGACGATCAGTCCGAGGACGGCGGGGTCGGCAAGGAGGAAGGGGGAGACGCACATCTTGTTGCAGTGACCCTCGGCGGCGAGTAGCTGTTCACTGGAATCACAGGCGACCAGGCACAGATGCTTGTGCTCGGCCGGCGGTGCTGGTGCGGGCGAGCGCGAGGAAGGGGTGGACGAGGCACAGGAGAGAGGCGTGTGGACGCCGGGCGAGGGCGTACGGCGGTTGTGGAGCAGCAGACACGGGCGTAAAGTGCAGCTGGGCAAGTCTCGCGGTGCAGCTCGGGCTTGTTGTGGCAGGGAGGCCGGCGCAAGTTCGGGGAGCAGATGAGATCCGATTTCGCTTCGCTGAGATGGACGGCGTCGCTTTCTGCAGCGCGAGCAGCGTCGTGTCTCTCGGTTCACTGAGAGGAACATAACAGAGCTGTAGAAGAGGCGTGCCGAGGTCGAGGAAAACTGCCGGCTCGTCGGCCGTCGAAATGCAATGCGACAACAGGCTCCCGCCACTCCGCCACGGCTCGACCGTAGAAGCACCCGCTCACACGCCCTCGAGCCGACGACGCGCCTCCTCCCTCGCCGCGTCGCGCTCGGCCACCGAGCCGACCTCGTCGTCGTCCTCGAGCCGTACCCGCTCGACGCCGCGCACGACACGCCGCGCAAACCTGCCCTCGTCGTCCTCGGCGTTCTCGCTGTGGTCCGCCCCGAGGTCACCCGCCACCTCCCTCGCCGTGCGCTGCCCCTGCGCACTCGCCCGCCCCGACTCGCTGCCGGGCAGCTGCAGCGCCGAGCTGCTCGCGCTGCCCTGCTGCCCAGGCACGCGCCCGCCCCAGCCGCCGACGCCGAGAAAGCTGAGCGGCGGTGGCGTGCCGAACCCGGCGGGCGTCGAGGGCGTCGAGCCGACCGACGACGAGGTGTTGGACGCGCTCAGGTTCGCGACCGACGGGTTCGCGATGCGGCGCAGGCCGCCGAAGAAGCCCGAGAAGCCGCCAACGGCGCCGGATGCAGAGGGCGACGTCGAGGGAGCGGTCGAAGCCGAGCTTGAGGGCGAGGGGCCGCCGACACGGGGAGGGGAAGGGGAAGGTGCGCCGCCGAGCGGCGGCGAGGTCGGGACGGTGGCGGCGGCGGCGGTCGACAAAGGGCGTAAGAAGCGACCGTTTGTGCCCTGCTGCTGCTGCTGTTGCTGCTGCTGGAACGGGACCGAGAGCGTCGCGCTCGGCGGCGGCGACGAAGGGTCGACCTCGCTCGCCGTGGCCGAATGCGGCGCCGAGCCCGCGCCCGACGCGCCGCTGCTGCCGCCAAAGAAGCTCGACTTGCGCGCCGCGCCGCCGAGAAATCCGCCGAGGCCCGCCGCGAGCTGCTGCGCGCCCGAGCGCGCGACATCGACGCCGGCGAGGAACGACCCGCCGAGCTGCGCCGGCGACTGGGGCACATCGAGCGCCGGCGACGACATGACGTCCTTGTCGTACTTGTCGCTCTCTCCCGCCGCCTGCGCCGCCTGCGCCTGCGCTGCCGCCAGCTGCCGCTTGCCCCAGTCCTCCCTGAAGGCCTCGACCGCGCCCCACACGCCGTCGCGGCCCTGGGTCCACCCTTTGCTGAGCCGCTCGCGCGCCTTCTGCGGCAGAGGGGCGAGCTGGGGGCCGAGCGCCGGGATGTGGTCGGCGCTAAAGTCGTGCAGGCCGTGCACGAGCCGGATCCCGACGTCCTCGATCGGGTTCGTCTTGCCCTCCATCGGGTGCCTGCGGACGAGGTGTGCGTCAGGAGGGACGACCTAGAGAGAGATGAAGGAGAGAGGAGAGAGAAGGGAGACGCACTTGGGCTCGACCAGGTCAAAGATGACCTCGTCGGTCGTGCAGTCCCACAGCTCGTACGCGGCCGTGTGCTTGAACGCCATGATGAACGCCTCGTTGAACGAGGCCGGGTTGTACGACTCGAGCTCTGCGTACGACGACGAGTCAGTCGGCTGCATCGGTCGAGGAAAGCCGCAAGGAGAGGGAGAGAGGGAGGACGAGAGGACGCACCTGGTGCCGACAGCAGCATCTCGGCCCTCTCGCCCCTGTCGCGGCCCAAGAACTCGCCAAACTTGACACAGGCCAACAGCGAGCACACGTACTCCTCGAACTTGGCGCGCAGAAAGTCGTCGCTGCCGACGAACCCTTGGCCGAGCGGGCGCGTCGGGTCGGCCGCGTTCCACGACGCGTCGACGGTCGTCACGAGCTCGTCCATCCACTTGCGGTCGGCGGCCGTGAGCGTGATGAGCGACGTCAACTTGGGGTTGAGGATCTCGAGCGACGCCGAGTCGATCTGTGGCCGGACATTTCTCGAGCGAGGTCAGTCGGCGGCCCGGGCGATGGGCACGAGCGAGTGAGAGGGGGACGCACGTTGACGATGACGTCGATGTGGCAGTCGCGCTGCTGCTGGAAGATGCTGTTGGTCGTCCCGACGAGGTACGAGCGCGTCTTGAGAAGGTCGATCTGCTGCAGCGGCAGGTACGGCTGGAAGAACGAGCCCTGCGTGCGAGTGTGCCGATGAGGCAGCGTGTAAGTACCGCGGCGCTCGAGCGTACCCGGACCCCCTCCTCGGCGGGAAGAGTGGCAAGGGAGCCGAGCGACGACGCACCTTGCCAAAGATGTTGAGCGGCAGGCCGAGGTACCGGATCAGGCTGTACTTGTCGCTCGTCTTGAGGCTCGTCGGCTTGGTGAGGCGGTGCGAGCGCTGGTCGAGGACGGGCGACGCGGCATCGTCGAGTGCCGTGAGGAGAGCTGCGCAGGCGCGAGAGTTGGCTCGGTCCGCCGACGCCGGCAGGGAGGGGAATGAGGATTCGTAAAAGGGAGACGCACCTGGTATCAAAGTCACGAGCGAGTACTGGAACGTGCACAGCTGCTCGACAGGCGAGTTGGCGGCGAAGAACATGACCTGTCGGCGAGGGAGAGGGAGAGGGCGTCAGAGGGCGCTTGGCTGAGGAGAGAGAGAGAGAGAGGAGGACGCACCCGACGTTGAAGCATGAGGAGCTTGAGGAGCATGAGCGTCTTGAACCGGAACCGATGGACGAGCTCGCGCAGAGACGTGCCTGTCGGGCGAGGAGGAGGTCGTCAGTCGGCGTACGGGAGACGAGCCGAGAGCGAGACAAGGACGCACCCATGTACATGCCGCCCTCTTCTTCTGCCGCCCTCTGCTTCTCCTCCGGCGGCGGGCTCAAGGGCGGCTCGCGCGCCTCACCCGCCAGGTTGACCTCATCGCCCTCGTCTCCCGCTCGCCCCGGCTCGCCGTCCCGCTCGTCCTCCTCCTCGCCCGGCTCGTCACACTCGTCCGCTCTGCCCTTGCCCTTGCCGCCGCCGTCGAGGCCCTCGCGCCGCGCGAGCGCCGGGTCAAAGCTCCGGAACAGGTCGACGAGGATCGCCTTGTCGTCAAAGTCGCGCTGCGCGAAGAAGGACCGCGTCACGACGCCAAGCTTGTCGCGCAGAGGGCCAAAGATGGGCTGTGTACAGAGGGAGAATCAGAACCAGGTCGAGAGAAGGGAGGACGAGGAGGGGAGAAGAGGACGCACCTTAGAGGCGAGGACGACGATGGCCTTTTGGACGGTCGAGCGCGTCACGTCCTTGCCCTTGTTGAGGAGCTGGTCTGCCGGGATCTGGCGGTTGCACGAGATGCCAAAGATGGTCTCTTGGGGCGCGACCGAGGGGAGGACGAGGTGGAAGTACGAGTAGTCCTCGTCGCGGGCGTGGGCGCCGTCGGGGAGGGCGAGGAAGGGGAGGCTGCGCTGCAGCTCTGGGTCGTCCTTGAGCGTGTCGGGGAGCGTGTACTCGATGGTGGGGCCGACGGCGTGGTCAAAGCCGACGAGGGCGAGCCCCCACACCTTTGCGCCGACGGTCGCGTTGAGCCCTTGGGACGGCGTGCGGCGCATCGGGGCAGGGGCCGGCGAGGAGCCGAGTGCAGACGCTGGTGCTGGCGGTCGAGGAGAGGGCGCGAGGTGGGCGGGTCGTGACGACGAGTGGGACGAGGTCGAGGGGCGGGGGGAGAGGGACGAGGGCTCGTCTGGCTCGTCGGTCGGGGTCGGGGGCAGTCGCTCGAGCTGGAGCGGGTGCTGCTGGGCCATGGCTGGGCTCGGTCGAGGTTGCGGGCGGGCTCGACGAGGGCCGACGGCGGGAGCGGACGATGAGAAGGAGCGCGACGTGGGCTCGCTCGCGGTGGACGGCGAGGACGCGGGTGGGTGCGGCGGTCGTGGCTCGAGTTGTGGTGGCGGTGCTGGTGGTGGCCAGAGCTGGGCAGGCGGGACGGTGCGAGAGCGGAGACCCGGCGCGAGGTTGATCGAGGCTCGCCTCCTCGTCCTTCCCTCCCGCTCCCTCTCCCTCTCTCTACACGCCTCGACCAGTCCAGCACGCTAGCCAGCAGCCTCGTCACATAGCTCACCGACCTCGCACACGCGCGCGCTTGCTGGCCAAGCGCGACACCGGCACCTCGTCCTCGTCGCACCGCACTCGCTTCACTCGGCGACGACAACGACCACCAACGCGTCCAACCATGACGGCCTCGTCCGAGCCAGAGCTCCCGCAGCCCGTGTCGGCCTACACCCACCGCAAGCACCGTCCAGCTCGCAGCGTGCTCGGACTCGGCACCAGTCACTCGACGCACTCGGCGCCTGGCTCGTCCACCCTCGCCCTCCTCACCCAGCGCGCGCGCACCACCAACCTCGCCGTCCTCCTTCTTGCCGCCGTTGCGTCCGTCTCTGTCCTCGTGAACATCCGCGTTTGGCTCGGCAACGACGTCCGTCCTCGCTCTCTCTCGAGAGCTCCTCCTCGTGGCGTGCAACTGACCGTCCCTCGTCGCGACGCAGGTCTTTCGACCACCAGGCGACTACAACGAGCTCGTGCCGCCGTCTATCCGCACGACCCTCCAGTCGCCGCACCACAACCTCAAGCATCTTGTCCTTGTGCGTCCTCGTCCCTCACCGTCACCCAGTCCTTCCCGCCTAACTCTCTCTCGCCTCGACAGGTCGCAGGGCACGCCATCTGGCAAGGGTGTGACGCGAGCGAGGCGACCAAGGACGACGACTGGATCCTCGAGGAGATGCAGCGAGGCGGCGCCGTGCGCACCTACCTCAAGCACATCGTCAAAGGGTGCGTCGTCAGGTTCCCCTCGTCAATCGCCGTCTTGACGACCGTGGGCTGACTGCCCGGCTTCCACGTCGCAGAGCCGAGATTGCCGTCCGAGATCCTGAAGCGCTCCTCATCTTCTCCGGGTGCGTCCTCGCCTGCTCTCTCTCTCTCACTTGCGTCCACGTCCCCTGAGCTTACCTCGCCCCCCTCTCTCCCACGCACAGCGGCCAGACTCGACCAACGTCCGACCTGACCGAGGGCCAGTCGTACGCCCGCCTCGCCAAGCTCGGCAACCTGTACCAGCAGTTCATGAGCGACGACGAACGCCGCTCGATCGTCAGTGCGGGAGGCGACTTTGACCGGGTCACGACCGAGGTGAGCTCGCTCTCGCTCTTCTCGGCCTGCGTCTCGGCCTCGTCGTGCATCGTCGGACGAGGCGAGGAACGCTTCAGGAAGCTGTCGCGGTCGAGCTCACACGCCTTCCTTGCACGCAGAACTTTGCGCTCGACTCGATGGAGAATGTCCTCTTCTCGATTGCGCGCTTCAAGGAGTGCGTCTCCCTCTTTCTCTCGGTCTCTTGCGGCTCGAGGGCCGAACTGACCTCTCCCCTTCCTCCTCTTTCTCTCACCAGGTTCACCGGCCACTACCCGACTTTCAGTGCGTCGTCCTCAAGCTCCTCTCTCCCTCTCCCTCCTTCCTTCGTGTCCTCGAACTGACCCTCGCCCTCGACGCACGCAGTCACGGTCGTTGGGTACGGCATGAAGCACCGCCGATTCACCGACGTGCACCGCGCCGCCGTACGGTGGCCGCTCAGCGCGTGGAAGTACGTCGGCATCGACAACGAGGGCGACACGGCGGGCGACTATGCGGGCGAGGTGCGCCGCCAATTTCTCTATTTCCCCCTTGGCCCCTCGAGCGTCGAGAAAGTGGCTCACGACGCGGTCGATGCAGCGCAAGTACGGCCTCGAGCCGTTCCTCGCCGACACGTACGGGTGTCACGGTGGCCTCCTCGCCAAACGGAGGAAGCGCAACCCGTACCGGCGCGTGCATGGCTATCACTCGTCCGGTGAGCCTCGTCCCTCTCCTTCTCGCCCCCTTTCCCTCCCTACCTCCCCCCCCTCTGCACCTCTCTCTCCCTCGACAACGGCGTGTCGATGGTTCGCGACTCACGCTCGCCGGCGCCCGTCCCACCTCGTCCCGCTCTCGCTCTCTTGCCGTTCTCGCGACGAAAATCGCCAGCGAGCCCGCACTGACCCTCTTGCACACCGCCACAGCGCCCGAGCTGAGACGCCTGATGGAGTACTGCCCGGCGAGCGGCACGGCGCTGTTCAAGGGCGCGCTGCCGTGGGACTAGCGCGAGCGCGAGCGGCGGCGGGCCGAGGACGAGGTCAAGGCGGCGGCGGGAGCGTGAGCGAGGGCCGCACCGCCGCATGTACGTCGTGGGCTGTTTCCTTATCGTCATGGTCGTCCCGAGGTAGAGCAGGAGTGCATTCACTAGACGTCGTTTCAGCCAGCACTCGAGCGCTCGAGCCTCTTAAGGAGGACCACCTCGCCTCTCTCTGCTTCGCGCTTCGGCGAGCATCGGCTCCCGAGCCGGCATCGAGGCGATCACTCGGACAGTCGGTGCGGCGGCGGCGTTGGTCTGACGCGGACAGGGGCTCGAGCGTCCGCTCCCGGACTCTCCGCGGCGCGCTCGTCTGCTCGCCGGCGCTCTCGCCTGCAGCTCTCGCTGGTCCGCTTTCGGCTCAGCTTCCGCTTCTGCTTCTCGGTTGTGCTGGCGTGCGCGCTCTGCTGCGCCCTCCACGAGCCGTCCCGATGGACCCGCCGCCGTACTCGGTCGAGCCGCTGCTCAGGGAATGGCGCGCGTACGCTGTCGTTCTCGAGCAGATGTACGCCAAAGGTGCGTCGCTTCTTCCCGTCCTCTCTCGTCGCGTCGAGCGGCGCGGCCCTGACTCGCCTTCCTCCTCGCAGACGTCAAGGGTGAGCTTTCCTCGAGCACTTTTCCCGCCGACCGGCGCAGACCTGACCGTACCTTGGCCCCTCTCGTGCGAAGAGGAGATCCTTCGACGGTGGTACCTCGTCGTGGCGCGCAAGACGGTCGCGAGGCTCCAGATGCAGCGCCAGGAGCACTTGCTTCGTGACCAGGTGCGCACTCGCTCTCCCTCGACCCTCTCTATCAGTTCAACCCGTACTGACGAACATTCCCTGTACGCCACGCAGAGCCCTGCCGACCAACGGAACGTCGTCGGGGTCCTCGTCGTCGAGAGCAAGGACAACATGCAGGCCGTTACGAAGGCCGAGATCGTCGACCCAGAGCACAAGCTCGAGCAGCTCCTTGACAGCTTCAGCAAGCTCGTCAAGGACCGCGGTACTGCTCGCCGGGCGCTCAAGTCCGTTGTCGGGCGAGGGTCAACAGGTGCGCTCGCACCTCTCTTTCGGTCGAGCCTCGGGCAGAAGCCGACGTTTCCTTGTTCGACCCTGCAGTGCGCCAGGGCAAGCTCGAGGACCTCGAGGAGAATTTCAGCGTCGTCTCGCACGAGATCGGCAACCTCGTCGCACGTCGTGTCGAGCTCGAGGACCTGAAGTTTGGCTTCGAGGCGCTCAACGATCATCTAGGGCGCCACGGTTCGGTGCGTCCGCTTCCTCCAGGGGCCTCTCTTTCTCTCAGCGTCTAGTCGGGGATGTCCTGAATCTCTTCCTGTTTCGCAGATCGGCAACACCCGACCGCGTCACCCGACCACCTCGAGTGAGCCCATGCCCGAGTTCGAGGGTGCGGATCTCTCTCTCTCTCTGCCCCTGCGTGCCCTCGTTCCGCAGTCTCATCAGACTCTTCCCGTTCACAGTGCGGCTGCCGTACAGCTGGGGACTCGTCGAGGGCGAGGACGGCAAGGTCCGGCTGCCTCCGCCGTCGACGAGCGTCTTCGAGCCCGTCGGTCGCGAGATGGCCTACTCGGCTGCAGCCCGGGTCACCCCTCCTCAGAACATCGGTGCGTCTGATCGTCCTCTTACCATCACCGCCAAGACTGTCACTCACCCTCGAATGAGCCGCAGACCGCCTGCTCCGCTACTCGTGGATCCCTCGGCGGCGCATCTGTGCGTCTCTGCCACCTCTCTTCCCTTCTTTCCGACATGATCAGCCTCTGAGTTTCATACTGACTGCGAGCTCTCCTGCAGCCGTCTGGGAAAGCGTGTCGTCGGCCGAGGCCGGTGCGTCCCTGCTCCCTCAGTCCTCTCTTTTTTCCTGCTCGAGATCACTAACTTTCCCCTTTCTCCCTCCTATAGCTGCGATGGGCATTCTTGAGTAGATCTCGCGGCGTTTGGGTCGTGTTGAATTCATTCAGACTTGTTCCGCGGGCCGTGGCGACAGCGCCACGTCAGCTACGTTGGCTCTTCCACGAGGCCTTCGACGGCTCTCGCTGCTCGAAGCACACTTTTGCAATCGCTGTTCGACGCTTTCGTGCACCTCGTCTCGGCCTCGTGGCGTCGTACCCCGGCCAGCATGCTCAAGAAAGCGAGAGTGGCAGTTTGAGAAGGTCGCCTCGCAGGAGGGATTCTCCGAGTTCTTGCACCCGTAGCTTCCACTGCAGCGAGATGAGCGCTCTCCGTTTCGAGACGACCTCGAGCTGGAAGCGAGCCGAGGGAAGCGCCAGCGAGAGCAGGTCGAGCCGGTCGAGGCTTGAGCGTCGTCTCGCTGCGAGCGCCAAGTTGCGCTGCGTCTCTCGAGTGGGCCCATCGTCGAGTGCTCGTCTCGATAGGCCGATCCCGCCTTGCACCGTCGAGAAAGAGCGAGGTGGTACAGCGAGCAATCGCGTTCCTCGTCCTGGACCTCGCCGTGAGCGCACAGTCAGAATGCGTCGCCCGCAGGCCTCGTCAGGTCTTGTCTCGCACAGGGCACACTCGTAAGCACACGACCAGTGACCGCGAGAGGGAACGAGCCCGCAGGACGAGCCACTCTCCCCTCGCCTCGTCCGACTTGAGAAGGCGGGCGAGGGCTCACAATTCGCGCTCTACAAGGTGAAAGGGCTCGGGAGAAGCGCTCGATTGCATCGTAGACACGTCCTCGTCCGGTCTCGCGCAAGCAGAACACCGTAGCCCTGCTAGATCAAGAGCGAGCGTTTGAGCGAGGGTGCGCAGGTTCCCCCTGTTTTTAGCAGGTGGCCGGGCGCACGGGCGCTCCGCAGGGGTGCGCGCCGTGCGAGCGACTCACCACAGTGCGCCCGCTGCCCTCAGGGGCACGTGAGGGCGGGCGCGGCCTCGTAAAGACCCGTCCGCGACGGCTCGACTCGCTGAGCCGTCGGGACGAGTGCGACGACGAACAAGAACTCTGAGCGGTCTGACAACTCGCAAGGGACGACGAAAGCTTTCGGGATGTGAAAGGCGCCGTCGCGCGCCGCAGAAAGGGCGCGAGGGGAAGCTTTCGGGGCCGAGAAGGGGGAGGTGCCATCGATGGCGCGACTAACCTGCGGCGCGAGGTCAAGAGGGTCAGTGCGCGGCTCAGCGAGGAGTCTCGACCTATGTGAAGGTCCTGCAGGGAAGAAAGAGAGTGTGCGGGACGTACAAAGGACAACATGAGCCGCCTCGAGGTCGAGAGCCAGCCTCGCGCCGCCCAGAAGACCGCCCTGCTCGCCTTGCGCAGCCGTTCCGCCTGTAAGGTGACCGAGTTAGTCCATCAAGACCCCTGCACCGCGTCGCGAGGTAGCAGAGGGGGCGAGGGGAGAGGGAGAGGGGGGGCAAACACGGGGAGGCGGGGTGGAGGTGGACGCACCAGTCGCCCACAGCCCGCACGGCGCGTGCACCTCACCCAGTAGTCTCCTTGATGCTGGGATAGTCCTCGACGACGATGCCCACAGGCCCATGAACCGTTGCCACCAGTCGGAAGAGGTCGGACGAGGCGAGTTGCTGATGAAGATGCGACGCGCTCTGCGCCGTCGGCGGCCGCTCGCGGCGGCGCGGGAGCAGGCCCGATAGATAGATGATGCGATGCAGAAGAGCTGGACAGGCGTCGGCAAGGTACAGCAGCGGTGCGCGCCGAGGGAGGACGAGGGAGCGGCGGCGCCCGTGTCGTTTCGACCTCGCGACGCTTGACTTGGGCAAATCGACTCGCTCGCTCGCCTTCCTCGTCGCTCGCACAGTGGAAACGCACAGCAGGATACATTCGTGACCGTCAAACTCTACACTCGCACGACTCGAAGCCGCACCCAGACGTCCAGCGTCTAGCTCCCCTCGTCCCGTCCCGTCCCGCCCTCGCCGCTCAGACCCTCCTGCCGAACGTGACGTCGCGGATCTTGCCGGCAAAGCCAAAGTGGCGCTCGACGCTGCGGCGCCTGAGCCTGCGCTGCGACTCGGCCTTGGCCTTCTCGAGGTCGCACCCGTCGATCGGGCCGGCGCAGACGGCGTCGAGCGTGCCGCTCTTCTGCACGGCGCCGAGGACGCACTTCTCGACCTGCGAGATGCACGTCACGTACGCCGGGCCGTACGACGTCGAGTTGTTGAAGAACGACTCGAGCGACGAGTTGACGTCGGCCTGGGTCATGTTGTGCGCCGCGTTGGCCGACGTGTCGAGGAGCGGGGTCGAGTAGGCGACGAGGTCCGAGAAGAAGGACGACGGGAGGTAGCCGTCGAACTGCTGGGCGATCGAGAGGATGGTCGTGGTCGAGACGGCGGGAGCGGCCGACTGGGTGACGCACTCCTGGGCGGCGGTCGCGTTGCCGGCTGCAGGTGGGCGAGCGAGAGGTCAGTGGCGGGCCCGACACGGCCACGGGAGAGAGAGACGACGGACTCTTGATCAGCTGGGCCGAGCAGCCCTGGAGGATCTCGGCGAGCGTGACCGTGTTGCCCGAGAGGGACGACGCGACGCTGTCGATGGCGTTGCTGATCTGGGCCGAGACGGACGCCGCGAGGGCCTCGTCCGGCTTGGTCGAGTTGCCGAGGTTGTACGTGAAGATGTCTGCGAGAGAGAGAGAGAGTCAGGCTCGGGTCCAAGGAAGGAGGACGAGAAGAAAGGGAGGAGGACGCACTCTCGACGGCGGTCGTGAGCGACGCAGGGAGGACGCCGATGAACTGCTCGAGGACCGAGTTGCTCGCCGTCTGGAGCGTGTCGTACGCGCCGCCGTCCTTGGTGTAGCACGCGAGCGCCGACGAGTTGCCGCCGGCCTTGACCGCGTCCGTGTAGCACGCGCTGACCTGCTCGAGCGCCGTGACGCTGTTGCCGCTGAGCGACGCGATGACGCTCTGAATCGACGAGCGGATCTGGGCGACGAGGGCCGACTCGGACGCCGGGAGGAGCGTCGACAGGAGCGGCGTGACCGAGTCGAACACGGCCTGGAGGATCTTGTTCGGGAGGATGCCGACGAACTGTGAGGTCGTCGAGCCAGCAGTCAGTACCCTCAGGCTCGAACGATGAGGAGAGAGAAAGAGAGAAGGGGGCGCACCTGCTCGAGAATCGTGTTGAGCGTGTCCTGGAGGCCGGCACTGGTTGCGCCCGACGACGTCAGGCACGAGTAGCCGTCGGGGAGGCCACCGGACGCGAGCACGGTCGTCAAGCACTGCTCGAGCGCCTCGGTCGTCGCCGCGTCGAGGCTGTTCTGGCTCAGATTGGCGGCCGCGAACGCCTCGTCGAGCGCCTGCTTGATGTCGAGCGACGCGGCGACGGCGTCCGAGGTCGTGATGAGGGTCGACGTCGCGACGGAAGTCACGTTCTGCGTGATGGTGCGCACGAGCGTCGTCGGCTCGGGAACGAGGATGGTCGTGTTGGCGACGGTCGAGGTGCGAGTGACGTTCTGGGTCTCGGTCGCGAGCTGGGTCGTCGTGGCGGTCACTGCAGGGCGAGGAAGAGTCAGTGCGAGATCTCGTACTGCAGGACAAAGTTGGCGACGCACGAGTGACGGTCGTTGCGCTGGCGAGCTGCTTGTCGATGGCGCTCTGGAGGGCTGTGCGGGAGAGAGGCGAGGTTAGTCAAGTCGACGACGACGACAACGACGACGGAGCGAGCGGAGGACGCACCCTTCTGCAGAGCGTCGGCAGCCTTGGCCGGGATGTACGACGCGTTGGCGAACGAGCCGATGGCCTCGCTCGCGCCCTTGACGACCGTCTTGGTGGTCGAGTGCTTGACCTTGGGCGTCGACACCTTGTGCGCCGCCTTGGTGCTCTTGGCCCACGCCGGCTTGGCGTGCGTCCTCGTCGTCGTCACGGCCGCCGCCTTGTGCTGCGTTGACTGCTTGTGCGCCGTCTTGTGAAACGGCTCGCGCGTCGCCTTAACGATCGTCTTGGTCTTTGTCGCCTTGGACGACTTGCCGTGGTGGGCCGGCGCCTTGCCCTTGGCCTTGTGCGGCTTGGCCTTGGGCTTGGGCTGCGTGAGCTTGAGGACGTTGGGCACCGTGTACTCGCCGGGAGCGTGGACGACGCCCGGGTGGTCGGAGCACGGCTCCGGGTTGGCCGACGCGAACAGGGCGAGGGTTGACAGGGCGAACGAGAGGAGGGCGGTCGAGCGCATCGTGTCAAGGGCGTGCGTGAGGTGGACGTATGGGTGATGCGGGGCGGGAACGAGGAGCGAAAGTCGGAGGCGAGGAGGAAGGCGAGGTTGGAGGGTCGAGGAACGAGAGTGGGAGCCGCCGGGGCTGGGAGCGCAGGTGGATGGAGATGAAGGAGGAGGAGGGAGAGGAACGGGAGGAGGGAGCGCGTGTGCGCGGGACGTCGACGAGGATTGACGAGCCGGTGTTGCGAGTCGCGACGCGTCCGGAATGCATGTGACGGGCTCGCGCGCTCGATGGCGACGCACGCGCTCAATGCGGCTCCCTCGTGGCCATTGCGCCGATGCGGATCCTGCGGGACAGAGGCGGTCAGCAAGGGGAGGCGAGGCAAGGTAGACCGAGTCGGTCAGGCTCGAGGGCCCGGCTCGAGGGGACGAGGAGGAGCACCGCCTCGACGTTGGCGCCTGGGGGAGGGGACGGACCAGGTGGACAGAGGCAGTCTCGCACGCCGTTCTGGTGGTGGACGCACGCCGCCTTGCCGCCGTGTCGAGTCTCGAGAGAGGCCGAAGTCGAGGTTGAGCTGATGAGGAGCGGTGAGGCGAGACTGGCGGCTGGCGCTGATCGGGCGGCGCTAGGTAGTCGCAGTGGTCTCTAGCGGAACAGTCGCGGTGCCCATAGTGCAGCTTGTGCGGGTCAGGAGAGCAGGAGAGTGTCGACGGTGAGGTTGGACGATCCTGCGCCCTCTCGCTCTTGCCACACCGCTCCCAGCTCGAGCTACGACCGCACAGTTCTACAGCCATGGCCAACGCCTTTGTCGGCCTGCCCGTCCTCATCCGCCTCAAGGGCGACACGTCGGCCTTCGTCACGGGCGTCCTCTCGTCCCTCGACCCGCTCGCAGGCTCTCTCACCCTCACTGAAGGTGCGCTCACCTATCCACACCACACCCTTGGACCGACCTGACCTTGTCCCCGCAACAGCTCGAAGCAGCGTCGGCGGCCAGGAGCGCCTCGAGGGCATCCGCATCCTCTCGCGCTCAGAGGTCGCAGGCCTCGAGCTCCTGAGCGTCAGCCGCACAGACTCGCCTGCAGCAGCACCACGACAGGCATCGAGCCAGTCGACCCACCCCTCGCAGCAGCGCCAGGTGCGCTCCCTCTCACCCTCCTCCTCCCCGACCTCTTCCTCATGCACTCGAGCTGACTCTTCTCACATCCCGAACCCTCCTACCTCGACCTACACTCTACCACCAGCATCAGCAGCCGTACGCCTCGACGCACTCGCCCATTCCCTCGCCAGCTCCTTCGCCCTCGCCGATCACGGGCTCGCCCCGGCCGGCCAAGCAGCGCCAGCGTGGTCAACGCGGCGGGCGGCGCATCCACAGCCTCAAGGAGCCGCTCGAGTCGGAGGACGGCGACGAGTCGGACCTGTCGCGCGTCTCGAACGAGCCTGTGCGTCCTCGCTCGCCCCTCCCAACTCATTCCCCCTCTCTGACGCCCTGTCCTCCTCCTACGCAGCGGCGCCATCAGCAGCAGCCTCAGTCGAGCGGTCTGATCGAGGACTTTGATTTTGGGGCCGGCCTCGCGAGCTTCAACAAGCACGAGGTCTTTGAGCAGATCCGGGTGCGTCCCTCTTTCGTCCTCTCTTCCCTCGCCCGCGAAGCGTTCCATGACGCTCAAACCTGGCCTCGTCGCAGAGCAACGACGACACGGACCCGGCTCTGCGCCTCGTCGCGCACAACCGCAACCCGTCGGCCCGTCCAGCCTCGCAGGCCAAGCTCCTCCCGACCGAGTCGGTCCTGTCGCCGTCCGAGCTCGTCGCGCAGCAGGCCGAGCGCCGCGACGTGCACGCACGCGTGCGGCAGCAGGCGGCGGTGCGCGAACCCGAGGGGGCGGGAGTCGGGGACAAGGGCGGCGAGAGGAGCGCCGAGGAGAGGCTCGTCGAGGTGCAGCGCCAGGTGGCCGAGCTCGCGGTCGAGGGCGACGGCGGCGAGCTGCAGGACGGCGTCGTGACGAAGCTCGTCACGAGCGTGGGCGTCGAGGTGCCGACAGTGTCGTCGAGGCAGTGGAAGGAGGCTCTCTCGATCGCCGAGGTGCGCTCTCTTTCCCTCTTCCCGCCTCGTGCGCCATCGACCCGACCCTGACCGACGCTCCCTCGCACTTGTCCCGCAGATCGAGTCGTTCCCGACCTCGTCGCAGCGCCTCGAGGCCTCGTCGCACGCCCTGACGACCTACATCCTCACCCACCTCTCCCTGCACCACTCGCTCCTTCCGCCGCCGCCCTCGCCCACGTCCTCGTCGACCAAGCCGACTCGCCCGTCCATCTCGCTCCTCTGCAGCGCCGACATCAAGGGCTTGATCGCCCTGAGGGCCGGCACGACGCTGGCCAACCGCGGGTGCAGGGTCGTCGCGCTCGTCGAGGACGGCAGCGCGGGCTCGGGCGCCGAGGAGTGGAGGACGGCCGTCAGGGTGCTCAGCTCTGCGGGAGGCAGGATCGTGCGCGACGTCCAAGGTGCGCTCCCTCTCTCTTTCTCTATCGTGTCAGACTGTCGCCGCACGGACCCACTGACCCGGCTCGCGGACCTGCAGACCTGCCCTCGTCGGCTCACCTCATCATCGACGCCCTCTCGACGTCGCCCTCGACCCTTGACGGCGAGCGCCCATCGTCGGCGCTGACGAGCCCTCGACTCGAGTCGCCCTCGGCCTTCTCGTCCATCGGCGGCGGCTCGGCATTCGCGGCATCGGCGGCGGCCTGGGCGCAACAGCAGCAGGCCAAGGACCGTGCGCCGGTGCTGCTCAGCATCGACGTGCCGTACGGCGTCGACCCGGACAGCGGTGCGTCCCACTCTCCCTCGCCCTCTCGCCGTTCGTCACTGACCCTTCTCCCTCTTGCTCCTCCCTCCTGCCGGTCGCCTTCAACCACCTCAGGCGCTCCCATCGACCCCTCCCTCGCGCCTCTCGCCCCCTCGCACCTCCTCGCGCTCGGCCTCCCGCGCCGGGCCCTCCTCGCCCTCGGCAGCTCGCGCCCGGCCCTCGCGCTCGCCGACATCGGGTTCCCGCCGGCCCTCTGGGCGCGCGTCGGCGTCGTCGACGAGGTGGACGAGGTGAGGGGCCTGTGGGGCGTCGAAGACGTCGTCGAGCTCGAGAGGCGGTGAGCGAGGGGGGGAAGGACGGGTCGGTCGCTCTCGCTCTCTCGGTGGGGCTCTCGGTCGGCGAGGAGCGACAGGGGAGGAGGTCGTACAACTGCCCTTGCACTGAACCGCACGTCCCACACAAACACCCTCCTCGAGAATTTGCCCTCGCCCTCGCCTCCTCACCTCGACGACCGGCCCGACCCACGCCCGCCACCCTCGCCCTCGCCCGACTGGGTCGGTGCGCCCTGCAGCTTCTGGTCGACCATCTCGCGGAAGCTGGCGACGATCTCGTTCTCTCGCTTGGCCTTTTCGGCGGCCGCGAGCTGGAGGATGCCGCGCTTTTCCTCGGCCGAGATGACCTGCGACGCGACGCGAGGGCCTAATGTCAGTCGGTGTTGCTCGACAGAGAGAGAGAGAGCCAGAGAGGAACAAGAGAGAGAGAGAGAGAAGGAGAGAAGTCGGGGCGCACCTGGTTCTCCTTGCGCACACGGACGGCGTTCATCCTCTTGTGCCTGCTGCCGCTCATGACGAACCCGGCTGCTCGTACTTCTCAATCTGCTCCGTCTCCATGCCGATCTCGCCTCGGCGCGGGATGCGCTGCCCGTCGGCGGCGTACGCCGCCATGGCGGCGCCCTCGCCCGGCCGGAGCGCGCCGCCGTACGCCGAGCGCGACGCCTTGGACGAGCCGGGCCCGGTGAGCGGCATGGGCCCAACCTCGTCGTCCGAGCCGAGCGCACCGTCGCCGAGCGCCGACGTCGACGGCTTCTCGACCCACTCGTCGTCGTCGTCGCCGTTGCCGGTGCTGGCGGGCACGAGCGCTGTCGACGGGCCCGACGACTCGGCGCGCGACGACGAGTGGCGCCGCTTGGAGCGGCGGTGGCGGTCCTCGTCGGCATCCGAGTCGGACCCAGAGCGGTCGTCGTCGTCGCGGTGCGAGGCGGCCGCCGAAGCCGAGCGCTTGCGGCTGCTGCGCTCGCGCTCCTTGTCGCTGCGGCCGTGGCGGCTCGAGCGGTGCTTGGACCGGCTCGATTTGGAGCGGCGGCGGTCGCCGTCGTCCGACTCGGAGCCGGACGAGGACGAGGGCGAGGGGGAGCGGCGGCTCGAGCGGCGGTGCGACGACGACTTGTGGTGCTTCGAGTGGCGCGACGACGAGTGCTTGGAGCGCGACTTGGACTTGGAGTCGCGCGAGTCCTCGCTGCGGGAGACGGTCAGAGCGTCAGGGGGCGGGTCCATGTGAGAGGGGAGAAGGGAGGAAGAGGACGCACGGCTCGGGAGTGCGAGGCGAAGGGGGCCAGATGGTGATGCTCGAGTTGTCGCGCTCCTTGCGGCGGCTGTTGGTGGTCGAGTGTCAGTTGGGCGCGCTTGTCCAGTCTAGAGAGAGAGCAGGAGGACGCACGCCTCGAAGAACTGGTCGCCGCCTGCGCCTCCTCCAGGTCCACCGCGCCCTCGAGGCGGAGGAGGCCCGCCGGCGCCGTGTCCGCCTCGAGGGCCGTAGCCGTAGCCGTTGCCCTGGTCACCTGGACCGCCGCCCTGGTAGCCTGGTCCTCCTCCAGCTCGAGGCCCGTAGCCGCCGTAGGGCTGGTGGTGGTGGGCGGGTTCGAGTTGGCGTTCCGGGGTGAGGCGGTCGTTGCGGTGGTCGCGGCGCGGGTAGTCGTCGTAGGCGGGAGAAGCCCTGCGGTCCCCCCTGTCGTGGTCGGGTCGGGCGAGGTGAGGCGGGAGCTGGCGGTCTTCGTGGTAGTCGTGGGCGCGAGGGCGCGAGTTGCGGTCGTGGTCGGGGACGTGCTGCGTGCGGGACGGGTGGACCTGCATCGGTGCTGGGCGAGCCTGGCTGCTGTGCTCGGTCGAGAGCAGAGCAGAGCGAGAGGGCGGGAGAGAGACTCGGCACGACGAGGACGACGACGAAGCCACCTCGCCTTCCCTTCACCCAACCACCTCGAGGTGAGCTACCGACTAGCTAGTTCTCTCCCGAGACGCACAGCAGCGACTCACACACACCACCAACCCGCGCAGACTCGATGTCCGCCGTCAACGCCCTGTCGCGTCTTGCAGTGCCCGCCTTCATCGGCATCTCGCTCGCACAGGCCAGTCTCTACGACGGTGCGTCCCCTCCCTTGTGTCCTGCACCCTGTACCACTCGCTCGAACGACCGGATCGACCGCGGCGAGCGAGAGTGGCCACCTCCACCACCACCTTGGCCTCCCTCCGTCCGAGGCCAACCTCGCGCTCATCGCAGCCTCCTCGCACCATCGTGCACCCGCCAAGCCACATCAGCACGACCTACAGCACCACTGCAGAGCACCCTCACTGACTCTCGTCCCCCTCGCGCAGTCCCCGGTGGTCACCGCGCCATCCTCTTCGACCGCTTCTCGGGTGTCAAGGAGGATGTGCGTCCCTCTCTCACAAGCGCATCAGGAACCTCAGTCGCATTCAGAGACTGACCCGCGTCGTCCCCACAGGCCATCGTCGAGGGCACCCACTTCCTCCTGCCCTGGGTCCAGCGCCCGATCCTCATGGAGACCCGCATCAAGCCCCGAGTCAGTCCCTCCCCCCTCGCCCACTCCTGCGCCCCTACAGAGCCCTCGCACTGACCCTCGAGTCACGCGACGCAGAACATCTCGACGACGACGGGCTCCAAGGACCTGCAGACCGTGTCGCTCACGCTGCGCGTCATGTTCCGCCCCGACATCCGCCACCTCGCCACCATCTACCGCTCGCTCGGCACCACCTACGACGAGCGCGTCCTGCCCTCGATCGGCAACGAGGTCCTCAAGGCCACCGTCGCCCAGTTTGACGCCGCAGAGCTCATCACCCAGCGCGAGGTCGTCTCGGCCCGCATCCGCGAGGACCTCCTCAAGCGCGCCGGCGAGTTCAACATCATCCTCGAGGACGTGTCGCTCGTACGTCTCAGCCCCTCCCTCTTCCTTCCTCTCTCTCTCTCGCGGTCTCGGTCTCGGTCGAGCCGCACCAAACTGACTCTCTTTCCTCCCATCTCTGCCCCTCTCTCGCCCCACCCACAGACGCACATGACGTTCGGCAAGGACTTTACGCAGGCCGTCGAGCAGAAGCAGATTGCCCAGCAGGAGGCCGAGCGTGCCAAGTTCATCGTCGAGCGGGTGCGTCCCTCTCCTCCTCTCTCTTCCTCCTCTTGCCCGTCCTTCCTTCGCGAGTCACCTTTCAGAAGCGAATTACTGACCCGCCTCGTACGCCCGCAGTCCGAGCAAGAGCGCCAGGCGGCCGTCGTGCGCGCCGAGGGCGAGGCCGAGGCGGCCACCATCATCAGCCGCGCCCTGAGCAAGGCCGGCGACGGCCTCGTCCAGTTCAGGCGGATCGAGGCGAGCAAGGAGATTGCGGGCACGCTGGCTTCGGTGCGTCGCCGTCTCTCTTTCTCTCTCGCTCTCTTTGGCCCCGGGCCGTTCTCCTCGGGCGACGAGCACTGACCCTCTCTCTCTCGCCGCTCGCAGGGCCGCAACGTCACCTACCTTCCGGGAGGCGGCAACGTCCTCCTCCAGGTCCCCTCGCAGCAGTAGTTCCCTCCTCGTCGTCCCTTGTACCGATACTAGTAGCATCTCGCTCCTCTCCCTCTACCCCCTCTCCTCGTCGCGACGGAGCTACGAAAACCACGATGTTCCGTCTCTGTGTCGGCTGCACGACTGGCGAGCGAGCGAGAGGCGCGAGGGAGCTCAAGGCGAGGCGCGAGCGCACGAGCCTTCTTGCTGCTCTTGCTCTCGCTCTCACGGTCGCCGAAAGGCTGCTGGAGTGCCGCAGTGAGATAGTCGAGTGCACCTGCAGCTACACGCTCCTCAGCTCAGTCGAGCCTCCTGCGCTTCTCGTCCCGCTCGGCGCGCTCCCTGTCCCGATCGCGCTCGCGCTCCCTCTCCCTCTCCCCGTCACCTCCTCGCCCGCCGTACCGCTCCCGCTCGTCCCTCCCGCCCCCGCCGTACCGCTCCCGTTCCCGCTCGTCTCGCCGCGGCCCCGGCGGCGGCGGCGGGCTCCTGCTCCTGCTCCTGCGCCGGTACGCCTCGCGGTCCCTCGACCTCGAGCGCTCGCGGTCCCTTCCTCCCAAGCTCGAGCCCGATGCGCCGCCGTACCGCTCGTCCCGAGGGTCGTACCGCCGCTCGCGAGGCGGTGACCGGCTGCGACGCGGCGCGTAACGCTCGCGCTCGCGCTCCCGGTCCCGCTCGGCGCCGTACCCGATGCCCTGGCGCCGCCCGCTCGCCCCTGCACCGCTGGCGCCGCTCGGCCCGGCGGCGCTCTCGACGCCAGGAGGCGGTCGAGCGCCGCGCGAGGCGTAGCCGACGTCGCCGCCCGAGGCACGCGCCGAGGCGTTGGCGCCCGAAGCTGCGGCGCCGGTCGCCGAGGAGAACGGGTCGTTCAGCTGCGGGCAGTCGCGCTTGAGCTGCGGGGCGAGAGGGGGAGGAGGGTGTCAGTGGACGAGCTCGTGCGCGAGGAGAGAGGAAAGAGAGAGAGAGTGGGGCGCACGTGAGGTCCGCCGCACAAGAAGCACCCCGACCCGCTCGCCCCGCCACCGGCCGCGCCGCTCCCGCCTGCCCTGCCAAAGCCGCCGCTCTGGCGACTCGTGTCCTGGTCGGCCAAGTGCGTGTACTTGGTCTGGTGCGCCTTGCCAAAGTTGCGCTTCTGCATGACGGCGGGCAGGGTCGACACGTCGACGGTCGACTCGGTCGGCGCCGTGTAGTCGCGCTTGTTGAGCAGCTCGGCGATCGGCGCAGAGTCGGTGTGGAACACGCCGCGGTGGTGGTAGCGCTGGAGGAACGCTGTCAAGCGGGCGGCGCGAGAAGGAGGGTCAGTAAGGGGGGTCCGAGCGAGGGGTCCGGGCGACTGCTCGGCGAGGACGTGAAGAATGCGGGAGCGAGACAATGTCGAAGCGACGATGCTACCAGGACGATGAGGGAGAGGGAGGAGGGGAGCGCCCTGGAGAGAGGGCGGGCCCTGAACGCGAGGAGAAGGGGAAAGCGCCGACGCACCCTGCTGGCCCTTCTTCTTGTCCTTGCGCGACTGGTCGGCCCGCTGCGTGTCCTCCTTGAGCCGCAGCTCGTCCGGGAGCGCTCGGCGCGCCTCGACCTCCTCGCGCACCTTCTCGAGCCTGCGGACGTGCTCAAGGCGTCAGGCGGATCCCGGCGCGGCACGCGAAAGGGAGAGAGGGCACAGGAAAGAGAGAGAGGGATCGGGACGCACGCGTAGCGTTCCTCGCGGTCGCGCTTGAGGCGCTGCAGCTCGCGCAGCTTCCAAGCCTCGAACTCGCCCTCGGGGTCGAGGCCGTCCGTGTCGTCCACGTCCGGATGCACCTCCTGCGCCTCCTCTGCGGGTCGTTACTGAGTCAGTGGCTCGCTCCGCGAGAAGGAGGAAGAGGAAACGAGGGCGACGCACTGTCGGCGAGCTCGCGGACGATGCTGGTCGCGACGAGGTTCTTGGCCTCCTGGCGACGGCGCTCGGCCTCGGCCGCCTGCTGCGCCTCGATCGCCTCAGGGTCAAGCTCCTTCTTCTGCGTCGCCACCGTGTCGCGGTTGCGCCTGACGGGGGAAGAACGAGGTCAGTGCGGGCTGCGGAAGGAGAGAGAGGTCGAGGGGAACGGGCAAAGGCGCACTTGGAGACAAAGACGGGCTTGTACAGGGGCTTGAGCGGCTCCTCCTCCTCCGAGTCGGTCTCGTACTCGCTCGACTGTAGCGGCGAGGCGGAACGGCGCGGTCAGCGAGAGAAAGTGGGGGGAGCGGAGAGGAGGGAGGAGCAGGACGGCGGACGGACCTCGTCGTCTGCCGCAGCAGGGGCGGGTGCGCCCGGCGGGCGGAACGTAGGCTTGGCCGGTGCGGCTGCACGCTCGTCCTCGCTGTCGGTCTCTGCAGGCGGGCGAGGGAGGGTCAGTCCCGGGTCGTGGTCGAGCCGGGCTGCAGGCGGCCGACGAGGAAGTTCAGGAACGCACCGTACTCTCCCTCTGAGCTCTCCATTTGGGTCCTGCCGCTCTCGTCCTTGCCGCCAACGCGCACCTTGCCGTCGTGGACCTCGACCTGCTTGAGGGCGACGTTGAGCGAGGCGTGGTTCTGCTGCTTGGCGGTGCGGTGCTGCGGTGCGCTGAACTCGGCAAGGTCCTGGTCGGCGTCACCGTGGTCGTCGTCGTCGCGCTCGTCGTGCTGCTGCTGGTTGTCGTCGTCGTCGACGTCCGAGTCCGAGTCGGCGACGGGGACCGGGGCTTTGCCCGGGCGGTAGCGGGCGACCGGGCGCAAGGGCTGAGTCATCTTGGGCGGCATGGCGCTGTCGCTGGCGGTGAGCGCTGCGTTGAAGCGGGGCAGGAGCGAGATGAGGACGTTGGCTTCGACCAAGGCTCCGCTCTCGCCTCGGCCGCCTGCTAGAGCGCTTCTGGTCCGCGAGACTAGACCATAGAGCACCTGCCATGGTACCGCACCGACATGCGCCGCTCCCCGAGCTGTACCGCCTCGCCGACCCGGCTCCCCTCCTCGACCTCGTCCGCCCGAACCTCCTCGACGCACTCCCGCTCTACTCGACCTTGCAGACGCCAGGTCTCGCCACTCCACTCTACGCCTCCTTCCCGTCCTTCGACCCCGACGGCAAGCCCCAACTCGTCGACGCCGCCCAACCCGACCTCTGGCTCGCCCTCGTCGACCTCGGCAACCAGCTGCGCTTCTTCTGCTCGTACGAGGCTCATGACCACCTCACCGGCGACCAGGTCGCACAAGGAGAAAGCCTCGTCGTCGGCGCCCTGACGAGGTACCTCTCAGAGCACCGCAACGACCGCGACCGGGCGTCCTCCTCTCTCGCTCGCCCTCTTCCTCCTCCCACCTCGACAGCCTTCACTGACTCGCAGCGCCCACACAGGCATCAGTATCGGCGCCATCCCCGACACTTGGACGTCCTGCATCGCTCGCGCCTTCTCGCAGCCCTTCTCGGCGTCCAGGATCCACTACCTCCCGCTCGACGAGGTGCCCAGCACAAGCGGCGGTGCGGTATTGCCCGGCGGGATCGTCTGCACCGAGGGGAGGGAGGAGGATATCGAGGAGGTGAGTCGCTCGACCTTCGCATCGGGAGGGCGGGCTCCTCAGGAGCCATGCCCAGTCGTTGAGGACGGTGGCAGAGATCTCTGACACCCCTCCCTGCCTCGCAGATCCTCTCGACGTCCGAGGTCCCTCATCCGCCTGCCTACCTGTCGACTCGCCTCGCCCACACGTCCGTCCTGCGCCAGCTCCTCTCGCCTCCCTCGCCTTCGCCATCGCCAGCCCCTTCCTCCTCCTCCTCCAGCCCCGACGCCGCCGAGCCGCCGTCGCGCATCCTCGCCCACTGTACGACGCACCGCGACGGCTCGATCGGCACGCTGCACGTGGCGCCCTCGGCTCGACAGCGCGGGCTCGGCCAGCTCGTGCTCCTCGCTCGGGCGCGCGCCATGGCCTCCCCCTCGTCTTCCTCGTCCACCTCAGCCGCCAAGGCGGACGAGCCGCCACCGCCACTGAGGGACGCGCCCGTCTTCTGCTACGTGCACCGCGAGAACGAGGCGAGCAACGCGCTCATGCGCCGTGCGGGCATGCGGATCGCGAGGGACGGCGCCGAGGTGTGGTGGGCGAGGGTGCGGCTGCCGCTGCGGAATACTGGGTTCGAGATGGACGAGGACGGGCCGTAGAGACGGTGCATCGTCGCTGTGTGTGGGTGCGAGTGGCTTGTCGTCGGCGAGGTCCGAGAGCTGAGAGCGCCATTCTCAGCAGCCTCTCGCTCGACAGTCTACGTGGACTCCTCGGTCGTCTGAAGCAGTCATGTAAGCTCTCGCGCACGAACAAGGAAGCACGCGAGAGCGGTCACAGGCGCTTCGTCGAGGCGGCCACGCGCCATCTCCTCCTCGACAAGCTCTCGGCCACGTCTTGCTGCCACTTGGACTCGCGCGATAGACTGCGCCGTTGCTCTACAGGTGCGTCGTCCCCCTCCTCTCTCACAGGAGCAAGCTGACGGCCGCTCCTCCCCCTCAAACAGAGCGCCTTCCCTCGAGATGTCGAGTTCCGGCGGGTTGAGCGTGTCGGTCAGCCCAGGGGCGAGCGCCTTCTTCGCAGGCGAGCTCTTTACGGCCACCGTCACACTGCGCAACACGCTCCCGCCCTCAACGCCTCGTCCTCCTCCCTCGACCTCGTCGCCTGCCCCCCCACATGCGCCTCGCCCTCCTCCTCCCCGACAAGCGCACGCGGGACACGCCCGAGCAGCGTCGTCCGTCACGCCGTCCTCGTGGCAGCGCCCGCCCCTCACGCCGCAGCGCGACCGCTCCTCGCCGGGCTACTTCGACTCGGCCGGCCCTTCCTCGTCGCCGGCGCGAGCCTCGCCGCATGGCTCGACGCTCCACCCGAGCCTCAGCGCAGCAGCAAGCGCATCGACCTCTCACCTCCCGAGCCCGACTTCCCCAACCGCCGCCCGCCGCATCACCTCGGCCTACTCGCCCTCGCTAGCCCCCGCCGCCTCACCCTCGTCCGCCCTCGCCGACCCTGCGCTCCCGACGCGCAAAGGCCTCATCGGCACTGCGCCAACATCCGCTCCTGCGTCGGGCGGCGCACTAGGTGCAGGGCCCGGCGCCGGGCTGTACGCCAACGGGCCACGCCGGCCGGGCATGCTCGGCGCCGCAGGGCGAGGGCATGCGCGCGCGCAGAGCATGGCCGTCAGCTCGCCTGACTTGCGCCTCGGAGGTGCGGCAGGTGGGGGCGGGGCAGGACCGGGCGCGAGGAACTTTACGGCGCCGGCGCCGGCGTTGGCGCAGAGAGGGTACTCGGCGGGGCCGTTGGGCAACGGGCGACGTGCGGGCAAGGACGACACGGGTGCGTCCTCGTTCTCTCGCTCAGACTCTACTGCAGAATACTAAGGCAGAAGCCGCGCAGGTCCGCCATCGAGCGACGAGATGCCGTCCCCCTCCGACAGCCCTCATGCCGCTCCCGACTTTCCCGACGACGCCGCCTTCCCCGTCTCAGCCTCGACCTCGTCCGCCGCACCGCCCATCTTTCCGCGCCGTCCGACGTTCGGCCATCAGCGCACGCCGTCCCACCTCGGCTGCCCGGGCGCCACCGGCGCGCTCTCGCCCTCGTCGCTCACCGGCGCCAGCGCGAGTGCCGGGTCGGGCAGCATCTACGGCTCGGGCAACGCGCGTGCACGTATCTCGACGTTCACGCTCGCGAGCCAGTCGGACAGCGAGTCGGACGACGAGCGCGACCCGGCGGGCGCAGCGGCGCTGAACGGCCGAGGCGGGCTGTACGGCGCACGAGGCCAGGACGAATCGCCCTCGGCGGCGTCGGGCTACGCGCGCAGGTTCTTCTCGGCGCCCGCAGGACCCGGTCCCACGTCGTCGTCGTCGTCGTCGCGCGCGCCGCTCGGGCCTTCGCCGCCGGACGAGCCCGCGCACGACCCGAACACGATCTCGGTCCTGTGGGCGTTCGCGCACCTCGAGGGCGCGTTCGAGGTCGACGAGAGCCTGATCAAGCCGGCCGAGTTCCTCGAGGTCAAGCGGCTGCTTGCCGGCGGGCAGGGCGGCGTCGGCGTCGGTGGAGGGACGCTCGAGGAGCGCCGGACGCAGGGTGGGTGGAGGAGCTGGCTGTTCAGCGGTGGAGGAGCGGGAGGGTCGGTGCAGGGCGGGGCGAGTGGGCCGGGTTCAGGGAGGGCGAGGGGCAGGGCGGACGAGGAGGCCGAGGGCGCGGCGAGCCTCGAGGAGAGGAAGCGGCTCGCCGTCGAGGAGCGCGCCGTGCCCATGCTCAGCTGCCCGCCGAGCATCCTCGGTGTCGACGTCGTCCTCAAGCCGGGCGAGAGCAGGAGCTGTGGGTCGAGACGTTCCGCTTCTCTGCCCGTGCCCAGCGTCGTCAAGACACTGACATGGGCTTCTGGCTCTTCTTGCGCGCAGATACTTACACGCTCCGCATCCCTGCCGACCTACCGCCCTCGTTCCGCGGCAAGGCGATCAAGTTCAACTACCACCTCGTTGTCGGCACGCACCGCATCCTCCTTTCTCCCTCGACCGCCCACCACGACGCGCCTCGCGCAGGAGACGCGCACGGTAGTGTCAGCAGGGTTATGCGGGTGCCTCTGCGAGTGTACAACCACGTCGGCGGTGCGTCCTCTTCCTCGTCGTCGCCGTCGTCGCCCAAGAAGGCCTTTACTGATTTGTTCCCTCACCCTCGCGCAGTGACCGGGGCTCGCCCCTTCTACGACCTCACCAACCCCGTCATCTTCCAGCGTGACGAGGCGACTGTCGCCGAGGCCGCCCCGTCGTCCCGCCTCGCGGCGTCGGCGAGCCGCACGACCAAGCCGGCCCAGCTCGAGCTCGCCTCGGCGCCGAGCCCCGCCCTCGACGCGCCCTCGGGCAAAGCCGACTTCGAGTCGTACGCCTCGACGCTGCTCGCGAGCGTCGTCGGCCTGTCGCCCGACCTCGGGCCCGCCTCGAGCACGTCGGCCGGCCTGTCGCCGACGCTCGAGCCCGTGCGCTCGCCGAGCATCATGGAGGCGCCGCCCGCTCTGCGGCCCGAGATGAGCTCGCATCGCGGTGGTGGCGGGCAGTCGTTGGGAGGGACCGGCGGCACGGCGATCGAGGGCTTCGGCGTCGAGGAGGAGAGCGGCGGGTGTAAGGCGGCGGTCGAGATCGTGTCGCGCAACTCGCAGAAGGGTACGTCCTCCTTCTCTCTCTTCTCCTCCTCTGCCTTTTCGCTCCCCATGAAGGCGACCTGCGCAATCGTCCTGACCTCCTCGTCGCCGCTCGCAGTCTCGTACGACATCAACAAGGACGGCTACCAGGTCGCGAGCCTGACGCTCGTCAAGTCGGCATACCGCCTCGGCGAGACGGTCAATGGGTCGGTGCTCATCAACGGCGGCGAGGGCCGGGTTCTGCGAGTGCGTCCCCTCCTTCCCCTCTCGCCCGCTCCTGTCCGGCCGTACTGATTCTCCTCTCGCCTGCAGGTCTCTGCACGTCTCGAGACGCACGAACTCGTCGAGACGAGCATCTCGACGCTGCCCGCTCCGCGCATGCGCCAAATCACGCGGCGCCAGCACGCCGAGCATCACGAGATGGTCCTCGACTCGGCCCGCATCGGCTTTGCGCTCGCCATCCCGTCCGGCGCCACGCCCGATTTCGGCACGTCGGGCGTCAAGCTCCAGTGGTCGGTCAAGCTGTCGTTCCTCGTCATCCCGCCGTCGCCGGACGCGCCTGTCGGGTCGTCGAGCGGGCCGCCGTCTCGCCGAGGTACGCCGACGAGCAACGGCGCAGCGACGCCTCCTCGCTCTCAGCAGGGCGGCGGACACGGTCGCAGCAAGTCGTTCGCCTACGGCTTCGAGCCCGCCGTCCCTCTCACACTCCCGCCACCACCCATGATCCTCCCCTCGGGCGCCGCGCACCTCATGCCCGTTCCGCACCCTCCCTCGCCCGACCCGACAGCCGCCAACGCTCAGCAACCCGTCCCTCACGTCTCGTACCGCGCCGTCCCCGACCTCGGCTTCGTGCCCGTCCCGTTCTCGAGCGCGTCGTCAGACAAGGCGACGAGCGCGCCGCCAGCCATGGGCCCGCTGCAGAAGACAGCCCGGGGCGCCATGCACCGCCCGCAGCCGAGCATAAGCTCGGGCAGGGCCATGGCTGGCGGGGCGAGCAGCGTCACGGGTGCGGGCAGCACGGTCCTCGTCCCGGCAAAAGTCGAGACGGTCGAGTGCTCGATCCCGATCAAGTGCTACCCAGGGTGCGTCTCTGTCTCTCTGTCTCGTCTCGTCTCTCTGTGTGCGCAACGGAGCCCTGACGAGCGTGCCCACGCAGCAACACGCCGTTCCGACCGACCGTGAGCGTCTTCGAGGCGTGATCGGCCTTCTCGCGCACCTCTCACTCTTTCTTGAACAGATCTGCACGTCCACCTCGTGCAACGCAGCTCTTCTGCGCTATTCTCTCGATGTGCCAGGGTCCTGCGAGCGCGAGAGAGAGTTTCCTGAGAAGCTGCTTGTCGACCTTCTCAAACCGAGAACGAGACGCCGAGAGAGCTCGAGACGGACGCGAGCGTGTACGAGAGGCACAGACAGTGAAGTACATCTCTCCTTCTCTACACGGATCGCAGGCAAGCCCGCCGCCATGTCCTCGCCCTTGCTCGCCGCTCGGACCCCCTCGCCGCCTCCACGTCCACCACGACGACGCCCGCTTCTCTCGCCCTCGCGCATCGTCTCGCCTCCGTCAAGCGACCGTCGTCACCTCGACCGCCGCCGCCTCAAGCGCCGCCCTGAGCCCGCCGTGCGGCCCCGTCTCGTCACGCCGAATCTCGCCAAGTCCGTGCCCGACCTCGTCGCCGACCCTGAGCGTCCTCAGCCCCGCCGGACGGTACGAGCTCATGAGGTAGACGGCGACGTCGGCCGGGTGGAAAGCGTTGGTGACGAGCGAGATGTGCTGGATCTGGCGCGGGATGGCGTACAGGAGGGTTTTCGCCGTCGGCGCAACTTGGTGAGGCCGCATGGGCTCGAACCGGTCCAGGGAGGCCGAGCGCATCGGGTTGAAGACCGAGAGCGTGCCCGAGACGGCGAACGACTTTAGGAACGGGAGCGAGCTGGCCACGCCGAGGGCGACGACCGCCGCCTGGAAGACCGAGTCGTACGGCGCGGCGCCGCGAATGGGCGAGACGGCGAACGTGAGGTGCTCGAGGCGGTAGCACGCGCCGAGGTTGAGCCCGGCGAGGTCGTGCCACAGCGGCAGGCGGAGCCCGACGAGCTGGTGGACGAACGGCGCCGTGAGCGGTCCGAACAGGCCCGGGTCGAGGTGCTCGTCGACGGCGAGGCTGAGCCGCGTCGACTTCTCTCGCGGGCTCAGTACGCCTGCGCTCGCGACGTAGGTAGCGTCGAGGCGCTCGAGCGTCGAGAACGCGGCCGGGTAGGTCCACGTCAGACCGGCGTACTCGCTCGACCAGGCCAGGTCTTGAAGCGGCGGATCCGGACCCTCGGCGACGACAGGAGCTTGAGCAACGCCATGCCGATGTAGTCGGTCTCGATCGCGTCGACGTTATGGAGGTCGCCGAGGAGGAGCGCGATGGCGGGTTCCTGGACGAGTGCGGCGTCGTCGAGCCCAAGCTTGACCGACTTGACCGACGCACGCAGTCTCGGGTACCACAGGAGCGTGTGGAGCGCGGTGCCGGACCGCACGCCGTTGTAGGCGCACAGGCTGACGTGCGAGTACAGGAGAGACTCGGCGAGCGGGCGGTACCGCTTCGAGAGGCGGCACAGGCTCAGGAGCGTCGCCGTGCGGTTGTGCGCGAGGTCGTCGCAGCACTCGATGACCTTGAAGACGACGTCCTCTGGGACGCGACGAGGTTGAATGTTTGAAGAGACGTCGGGCGCCGAGGGCTCGACCGCGCGAGAGGACGCCGAGCGCAAGGTGAAAGGCATGCCGGGTCTGCGTGAGTCGGACCGTCAGTGAGAGCACAGCGAGAAGGCATTGACGAGACGGAGGAGCGAGAGGAGGACGTACTGCTCGAGGACGACGAGGGAGACAAAGAACGAGCGAGATCCGAACGGGCGCGTGCGCACTTGCAGCGAGAGTAGGACGAGCGACGAGGTGTCGCGCCGGGGCACACGCGGTCGCAGCAAACGCGGCAACGACTTCGACGAGTGGTACGAAGCAAGGAGAGAAGCGGAAGCCGGACGAGCGCGACCTCCTCTCGCACCCGCGGACTTTCCGAACCGGCTCGAGCGCGTGCGCGGGCACTGCTGCCCGATACTCTCCATCCAGCGAGCCTGGCGGCGACGAGAGAGACAGAAAGGACCGTGTTGCAGTTCGAGAGAGCGAGTGGCGACAAAGGGGTCCGTGCAGGCAAGGTCGGGGAAGGGGAAGAGGGAGGGCGAGGCGGACTCTACGCAAAGATAGCGGCGCCGCCGAGGCCGACGGCGGCGATGGCGGCGAGACCGGCCAGGAAGGGCGAAGCAGAGAGCGAGACCGCGGCCGAGTCGCCGCCGCCGACAGCTGCGACAGGGAGGACGAGGGGAGAGAAGCTGTCAGTTCACACCCGGTCAGGCTGCGGGGTGGGGAGGAGGACATGCTCGACGCACCGGCCGTAGCCTTGTCGATGCCTTCGCCGATAGCGCTCGTCGCCTTCTCTGCGACGCTGCCGATCGCGCTCGTCGCCGTCTGTGCCGCCCCCGCCGCGCCGCTCGTCGCCTTAGACGCGACGCTCCCGACGTCGCCCGACTCCCACGCCGACTCGGCAGCCGACGCCAATGACGTGGCGACCGAGGCGATGGCGGACGTCGCCTCGGAGCCCTGTGAGGCGACCCAGGACGTGGCGTCGGCGCCCTCGGAGGCGGCCCACGAGGTGGCGTCGGCGCCTTGCGAGGCGGCCCACGAGGTGGCCTCGACGAGAGAAAGTGTCAGAGCTGTGAATGCGGCGTCAAGGGAACTAGAAGAGGGAGAGAGAAGGGGACGCACCTGGTCGACGTTGGAAGCGATCGCGTCGGTCGCGCCGTCCCACGCACCGTCGGCCGTCGACGCAACCTCGTCGGCCACGCCAGTCGTGTCGGACCACTCCTCGCTCTGGCTGTCGCGAGGGAGGAAAGAGTCAGTCAGGGTGAGGAGGAAGGAGACCGTGAGAGGAGGAAAGGGGACGCACGCCGAGACGACGGCGCACAGGAGCGCAGGGAGGGCAAGCTTGAGGAAGTGCATGTTGAGGTGTCGAGTTTGAGTAGCCGGAGTGGAAGACTGAGAATGCGCGAGCTAGGGAGAGCAAGGGACAGGGAGAGCGAGGGAGGAGGAACAGGAGAGGGGAGGGCCGACGCCACGCGGACCGGGCACCATTTGGCGCTAGCGGCTCGCGGGCGCACGCACAGGGGCGCTGACGCGGACAGGAGGCAGACCAGCGAGGAGCGAGCGTTGGTCGGCGGACGCAGAGCGGTGGCCTCCTCTCTGACGAGAAAGCGACGAGCATCGCTCAGGGGAGCACAGGGCCGCGTGTGGCCGCCCGCAAGCAAGTACGGAGCAGGACGAACGAGCAGACCGAGCAGCACAGCCAGCGAGAGGCGAAAACGAGGCGTGTGACGAGCCGTCGAGGTGGTCGAGCGGGGTAGGCAGCTCCTCGCTCCTCTCTCGCACCCGAGCAAGCTCTTGGGCTGAGCGATGGACCTCGACCCGACCCTGTACTCGCCCCACAACGACGCCCCAGCGCGCACGCCCTCGCCGCCTCGCGCCAACGCTCCCCTCCCGGCCTTCGACCTCCCCTCGGCTCCTCGTCCCTCCGTGTCGCCCTCCGTCTCGCGCGTGTTCCAGAAGAAGCACACCGACGCTGCGCCCGCCATGAGCAAAGGCCTCGACCTCTCGGTGCCCCCGAGCCCGCACCGCCACGACTCGCTCGCCTCTGCCTCGTCGTCTCAGGTGGGGGCACACTCCTCCCCTCGCTCGTCGCCCGTCTGCCACGCGCCTCGAGACTGACACCGCACCCTCGCACGCAGGACGATGCTCGCGACACGGCATCGGCGCGCGACAACATCCAGGCCCTCGTCTCGGCCGGCCAACGCGCGCTCGGCACCAACTCGTCGTCGTCCACCCCGCCGTCCCTCGCCATGTTCATGGGCGGCGGCGCCCAGCGTCGCACCCACCGCATCGGCACGGGCATGACCGAGCAGGAGAAGGAGGAGACGGAGCGCCTCGAGCGCGAGATGGCCGCGACGAGGGCCAAGTGGGGCGACAAGGGCGCCCAGGGCGACGCCGACCCGCCGAGGGGCGGCCTCAGCCTCGCCGACCTCATGAAGGGCGGCAAGGGCACCGCGAGCGCGTCGCCCGTCGCCGCAAAGGTCGCGCAGCGCTTCCACGCCGAGCCGGAGCGGCCCTCGAGCGCCCCCGCCGCCGCGCCCGCCAAGTCGCCCGTCGACGCACAACCTCTCGTCGTCGAGGCCAAGATCGTCTCGCGCTCGCCGCCCGCCGAGACAGAAGAGCTCGCGGCGCCGCAAAAATCCGCCTCGGCCCCTCCTCCGGCCGACGCGGCCGCCAATCCCTCCCCTCCTCCTCCTGCCGCCAGCACACCCGCTCCCACCGCCTTCACCGCCGAGCCCGAGACGGCGACACTCCCGCGCTCGAAATCGTTCGGCCTCGGCGCCGGCGCGAGCAACACGCTCACGCGCCTCCAGTCGTCGGGCGTCGTCGCCGACCGCCTCAAGTGGACCGAGACGCTCCAGCAGCCCGACGCGGGCGACGCGCCTCCCGCGCAGCCCTCGGCGCCGCCGAGCCCCGAGAAGCGCCGCAGCGTCCTCGAGCGGTGGGGCCGCGACGAGCCGAATGCCGGTGCGCCCGCGAGCCCGAGTCGCCAGCGGAGCTTTGCGCTCGAGGCGGGCGCGGGCCGCGACGAGGTCCGCAAGGCCCCCGAGGACCTCTTCAGCGTCAAGGGCGGCGAGGACAAAGCGTCGTCGGCCGTCCCGGCTCCCGCGCCGACGCCGTCGTCCCCGGCCAAGTCGTCCTACTCGAAGCCGTCGTGGTCGGCGGCGCCGATCGGCGTCAAGGAGCCGTCGAGGGTCTTCTCGCCGCCGCCAGTCGACGATGACGACGAGGCGGCGTCGCCCCCTGTGCGACACACGCGCGGCGTCGCCCTGCCCGGCCTCGGCCCGAGCGGCTCGAGCGCGCCCAAGCCCGCGCCGTCCACCTCGGCGCGGCCCGCCCCGCTCGCCTTCCCGTCCGAGCCCTCGTCGCCCGTCCGCACGCGCACCCAGTCGAGCGACCTCGCGCCCGCGTCGCCCGGCCGCCCGTCGGTGCGCGCGGCGGCGCAGCGGTGGGGCCAGACGGCGGCGCAGAGCGCGGCCGAGAAGAGCGAGGCGCTCCAGGCGCTCAAGGCGAGCTACGGCGTCAAGCTCGGCCCGACAAGGGGCGCGACGATGCCTGCCTCGTCGGCGTCGGCGTCATTGCAGGAGAGGAGGAGCGAGGTCGAGGCCCCGGCCAAGAGCAAGAGCGTCGAGGTGCCCGCGCATGCGCCTGCGCCCGTGCCGCAGCAGAAGGAGGCGGAGCCTGCCCGAGCGCCTGCCGCGGCGCGTACGGCGTCGCCCGCACCCGAGGTCAAGCCGGCGCCCTCACTCGCGCCCGCACCTACCGCGGCCTCTCGCTCCTCGCACGGGTCCGACAAGCCCACCACGGCGCCGGCCTCGACCACCCGTACCCTCGCCGACGACGTCGTTGCCGCGCTCCTCGCGCCCCGGCCCGTCGCGCACCTCCCGCCGGGCGAGGTCCTCTCGCTCGACGTCTTCCACCTCAACTCGCCGTCAGACGACCCGCACCCGATCGACCACAACCACATGCTGTTCGAGAGCGAGGTCGTCGGTGTCGTGTACCGCGCTGCAGCGCCTGAAGGCGAGGGCGACGAGGGCATCTTGACGAGGACGTGGGTGTGGAGGGGCAGGGATGCGCAGGAGACGGCGAGGACCGAGGAGCGCATCGCGCGCTTGGCGGAGAAGACGGGGACGACGCCGGTCGAGGTGCAGGCTGGAGCCGAGGGGGCAGAGCTCGCCGAGGCGTTCGCCGGGCAGCTCACCGTGTGCAGGGTACGTCGCTCCCTCCCTCTCTCTCTCTCTTCATCTACTCGAGCAGCATACTGATATTCTCGATGACCTACAGGGTGCGAGGGACGCGTTCGACCACCTGGCGCAGCGCATGTTCTCGGTCCAGTCGCACGACGATGCCGTCTTTGTCGAGGAGGCCGACGTCGTGCGTCCCTCTTTCTCCTCCCTCTCGTCCTCCGTCAGCGCGCTCACGCCCGACCAACCTTCGCCTACAGACGATCCGCACCCTCTGCTCGGGCTACGCCACCGTCTTTTCGTCGCTCGGCGAGGTGTACGCCTGGCTCGGCGAGGGCTCGACCGACCTCGAGCGCCACGCGGCGTGCGAGTTCGCCGAGTCGCTCGCCGACGGGAGGAGCGTCGAGGTGCTCGCCGAGGGGGAGGAGACGGCGCTCTTCTGGCACCAGCTCGCGGCCGATGGGGCAGAGTACGCCAACGCGCATGTGCGTCCCTCTTTCTTTTTCTCTCCTCCCTCCCAGAGCCTCTCGCACTTTCTCTCGCTCCTCCGAGACCCACTGACACATCCCTTGCGTGCTCGCAGTACTGGCGCTACCGCCCTCACCACCCGCAAACCACCTCGGTCGTCCGCTTCTCGCCCTCGTCCTCGGACCGCTTCTCCCTCCTCCCGACGCCCGCCCTCTCGCCCGACCACGTCTCGCTCCTTGACGCCGGGTTTGCCGAGAGCTGGGTCGTCGTGCCGGAGAAGACGCTCGTCGAGAAGAAGGGCGACGTCGAGCTGGCGCTCGAGGCCGCCGAGAAGCTCGCGGCCAAGTGGGAGGACCGGGGCTTTGGCGCTCGCACGCCGTTCCACGTGCGTCCACCTCTCTCTCTCGTTCTCGTTCTTGTTCTCGTTCTCGGCGCCCCGTCCGCGCCGGCGGGTCCAATTCGCCGCACCTCGCTCACGCCCTTGCCTTCCCGCAGGTTCTCCTCACGCCCTCGCTTCTTCCGCGAGACCTCCCCTTCCTATCGCGCTCCCTCGACCTCTCTGCGCTTAACGTCGGCGCAACCCCTCGCAAAATGCGGGTCTACACGGCGCAGGAGGCGCGCGACGAGTTGTTCTAGACGACGAGGAGAGGCGGTTTGAGAAGGTCGCGGTTTTATACTTTGTGCAACTCGAGCGGTATGCGTTCCCGAGATAGCCTCGTACTCTCTGCGCACTCGAGGGGAGAGAACGCTCGGTAGCTCGAGGCGCTCACGCTTTTCTGCCTCGCGAGCAAGAGCACCGAGCGGCAGATTCGCTCGCGCATGCTCGGCTTTGCTGTGCCTCTCGCGGCCACTCTCGCTCGCCCAGGACGACACGCTCGTGGAACGGCGACTGCAAATTCGAGACTATAGGAGAGAGAGGGTGCGACGACGACAAGGGAAGAACGAGGGGAGGGACAGGTACGTGCACAAGAACGAGGCGGCAGGAGAGGGGCGCTTTTGGTAGATGCTGTATAGATGCGGGCGAGGAACGACGTCTGGATGCTGTATGGCGGAAGATGTACGAGGAAAGGACGAAGGGAGGACGGCTCGAGGGAGGGAATCTAAGGAGAAGGGTAGTTGGCGGCAAAGGTCTGGAAGAACGCCTCGAACGAGTCGGGCGACATGCCGTAGCCTGCCGGTGGGATCGAGAGCGACTCGTGTTGCGGTACCTGGACGTCGCAGGCCGAGTTGTCGGGCTCGGGGAGGGCGGGAAGGGCCAGCGCCGGCTCGTCCGAGGACGACGAGGTACCGAGGAGGGACGGGTCGAACGGCGACGAGGCGGCCGCCTCGCTGAACGGGAACGAGGCGAGGAGGTCCTCGTAAGTGAGGGGAGGAGGTGGAAGGAGGGTCGACTCGGCGACGACGGGGAGAGGCGCAAAGTAGGCGGTTGTCGACGGCGGCGGCGTCAGGACGTGGTCGAAGCCCGACAGGCCGGCCGGCGCCGACTGCGGCGGGTTGCAGAAGTCGGTGAACAAGGCCGGGTCGAGCGACGCCATCGACGACGACGTCGCCGGAGCGTCGGTCCAGACGAGCGGCGCCGACCGGAAAGTAGTCCACGCCTCGGACGCCGCCGTCGACGGCGGCAGGAAGACCGACTCGAAGTGGCTGCTCGTCGCCGTAGACGGCGTGGTAGGGAAGCCTGCGTAGGCGGACGAGGGCGAGATGGGCGAGCCGAAGCCGGAAAACTGGATGGCCGGGAGGAGCTCGCCGAGCGGGTTGGCGCCGACGAGGCCGGTCCAGGCGTCCGACGTCGACCACGTCGAGCCTTCGACGGCGGCGTGCATCGAGGTCGAGGCGCCGTCATCGAGCGAGTGCTCGAGCTTGGCCTTGGCGGAGGAGCGACGAGCCGGCTTCGGGCGAAACGCGTAATCTGCACGAGGCCCGAGCAGCTCGGTCAGGCTCGAGTATTCTAGGCGAAAGAGTGGACGAGGACGCACCAGGATACCGTTGCGCGTGAGCCTCCTTCTCCTCGGCGGCCCGCCGAGCGTACATCTCGCGCACCTCGACCGACTCGGCCTTCCACATGGCCGCGATGTGTCGAGCTGCGACGTCGAGGGACCGTCAGAGTATGCTCTTGAGAAGGTTTGAGCGAGAGAGAGTGACGCACACAACTCGGCCTGCTGGGGCTTTGAGCTGTCCGACTCGTCGCGCGCCGCCGAGAGCTCCTTGAGGCGGGCCGAGCGGTACAGGAAGAACGAGTTTGGCGGGCGCGGGATGTACCCGTCGGGCTTCTTGGTCGTCTTCTTGCGCTTGCGACTCGGCGAGTCGACAATGATGTCGTCGGCGCGGCATGCGCTCGTGGACGCCTCGGCGACGGCCGATGACGTGTCCGACAGGAAGGGTGACGGGTGCAGGGGCGCAGAGGTGACGGCGACGGAAAGGTCGGATAGGGGAGCGAGGGATGCACGGGTTGGACAGGACGAGTCCGACGCCGAGCGGAGGAGGACGCTCGGGAAGCCCGGCCCAGTCCAGGCGGTCGGCGCCGCCGGGTTGACGAACGCCGGGGCCGTCGACGAACTCGACGTGTCGCTGTTGACCGATGCAGCGCTGGTGCGCTTCCTCGAAGCCCGAGTGCGACGCGGCGGGCTCTTGAGCGTCGCGAGGGCCGCCTCGAACGGCGACGGCGGGACGCTCACCTGCGACGAGGTCCGTGCCATGGGCGAAGGAGCTGCGAGGCTCGTCGGCGTCGGGAAGTCGGCCTTGCTGTACAGGTTGGGCGAGGTCGAGGGAGGAGGCGTGCGCGCGTCGGAGCGGTGGGAGGAAGGTGCGGCGGCGACATTGCTGCGGGACGCAACCGCGAGCACGTCGTCCCACCGGATGCCGATGGCGCCGTCGCCGCTGGGTGAAGGTGGGCAGGTCTGCATGCCGGGTGCCTGATCGTAGTTCTGGCGGCGGTAAGAGGCGAGGAGGCGGAAGGCGAGCCGCTTGACGAGGCGTGAATGGAGCGCTCGACGACGGCCTCGCGGTGTCGTCTTTGGACGGCTGCAGAAGTGGCGGGTGCGGAACGTTCGTCAGCTCGCAGGCTCGTTGGCCACGGAGAGGAGAAAGTGAGACGCACAGCTTGATCTCGCGCGAGAGCGGGCGACCGGTGCTCGTCGACGAGGAGCAGGACGAGAAGGCCGCGATGGCGGGCGAGGCTCGAGTCGGTGAGGGTGGTGGATGCGGGTGGTGCAGAGGATAGGGCGCAGGTGGAGCTGGTCGAGCTGTTGGCCCCAGGCCTCGGGGAGATGAAGCGGAGGCGGGCGGAGGCGAGGCGATTGAGGAGGCTCGTGCGAGGCGCGCGCGCTCGTTTCCTGCTCGTCGCGGGTTGCGGGAGGAGTGGGAAGGGGAGGGAGCTGTAGCGAGCGTGCAATGCTGGCGGTGGACGAGTCGGGACGTAGCTCCGGGCGAGCCGCAGCCTTTGACATCGGTCTCGAGACCGACCATGAGTGCGGTCCTTCCAAGGAAGACAAAGGCGCGCCCGCACTCGCCGGCCCGGCGCCAGCGATCTCACGGGGAACAGAGCGAATCAGGTCTCGCAAGGTGAATGCCGAAGGGCACCAGAATGTGTAACACGCACTCGGCCGGGCGCGCTCGATCAAGCTGTTCGCTTCGCGCCGCCTCGACTCGAAGTTTCCGGCGCCGCGAACGTGGGCTCGCGTGCTTCCTCGAAGCATTGTCGGCGTGCCGAGCGCTGGGCAGGCGCGCGCGGGAAGAAACGCGGCGACACGAGCGGCTGCAGCTGGTTCGACGCGGACGAGAGAAAGAGGGGACCGAGCGTCGGGCGAACGTACGGACGGCCAGCGTCCATCCCGCGCATGCCGTCAGCCTCGCAAGCGAGCAAAGCTTTGGCGGCCCCGGCCGGCAAGCTGCAGCCCGTCCTCCAGCGCACCGGCCTCGTTTAAAAGCGGCTCGCGCTGGGCAGCCCTGGCAGGGGACGGCGAGCGGAGGAGGAAGCCGACGTTCCGGGTGAGGCCACGCGGGCCGACCTGCACTTTAGTTAGTGGACGCCGACGCCGGCGCCTCGTTTCGAGGCTTGTCATCAGACGGAATGTTGGCGAGAATCCGGGGCGCGAGCGCGGGGGTGAATGGCCATTGGCGGTGGACGGCGACGACTCGACGAGGACGGCAGCTGCTGCGGTTGCTCCTGGAGCTGGACGAGCGAGCCACGCCGTTGCCGACCACGAGGCTGCGCTCAAGCGAGCTTGCCCAGCAAGGAGAAGCGAGTGCGAGCGGCGACGAAGCCGACGAGCGAGAGACTCTCGCCGGGGACGACGCTGGTCGCGCTTGTCCGCTGCCACGGCTCGCTCGCTCCCTCGCTGAGCAGCGAAAGGGCGCGCACAGGCCATGCCTCCCACCGCGCGCAAGCGTGTCAAGCACGCGTCCACGTCGAGCGCCGCAGTGCCGTCGCTTGTCGACGCCGTCGCTCGCCTTCGGGCCCAACTCGCCTACGTCGACCAGCTCTCGTCTGCCGACTCGCCGGCCGAGCTCGATCGGGAGCTCAACACCCTCGCCGACCGCCTGCGCACCTACGAGGCGGCCGCAGGGGCGGGCGGCGACGTCGACCGAGTCGCCGTCGCTGGGTGGAGCGACGAGCTCGACCACAAGGGCACGCAGCTGTGGAACCGGTCGACCGCCCTCAAGCATGCACACCTCGCCAACGAGCACGTCGACCCGGCCTGGCTCGCCGTCGTCGCCGACTGTGCGTCCCTCGCCTCCCTCCTCATCGCCCCACATTTCCCCGAGCTGACCCTGCCGTCGCTCCCCCCAGTGCGCCTGGTCGCCTACCGCCTCATCCGCCTCGGCGCCATCGAGCCCATATCCTCGTCCGGTGCGCCGATCGCCCTCTCGTTGCATCAACGAGGAGGCACTGACTCGCTCTTGCGCCGCCGCGACAGACCGTCTCTCGCACCTCTCGCTCGCGACCAAGGCCGCCGCCGCATCGCTCGCCGCTCGGCGCCTGTCGAGCGCCGAGGCCGCCATGACCGAGTGCGCCAAGCTCGTCGCGGCCGTCGAGCAGGACCCGACTCGCTCGAGCGACGGCGTCAAGCCGCTCGTCGACTACTACTGCTTCCGCATGCGCTTCTCGCTCGCGACCAACAAGATTTCGCTCGTCTCGTGGGCCGTTAGCAAGGCGCAGGCGTTGCTCAAGGCCTCGTCGGTCCAGTCGCGCGACGTCAGTCGTCCTTCGAGCTTGCGCCTTCTTCTCCTTCAGCCTGCTGAACCTGTCAGCGAGCAGATCGAGCACCTCGGGCACACCCTCCTCGAGGTCGCATCGGCGCTCCTGCAGCCCTCGGCGAGTACCGCCTTGGACGGCGACCTCGGGAGCGAGCTGGCGAGGGAGTGGCTGCAGTGGGCGATCGAGCTGTTCGAGGCGGTGGAGGGGCAGGACGTCCGGGTCATGCAGGTGCGTGCGCTCCTTCCTACGTCTCGACGATCGAGTGCTCACCTTGTGCCGCGCCAGATCTGCGCGCTTCGCCTTTTCGCCCAAGCATGCCTCGCGGCCAAGGACGACGGCGAGTTGGCCGCAAAGGCCGAGGCGGCTCTGCAGCAGGTCCTTGTGCGTCCAGTCTCTCTCCTCGTGTCGATAGTCAGTGTCCCCTCACTCCCGCCTCTGGCGTCAGGAACTCGACCCGTCGGCGGCGCTGCATCGTCGCGTCGTCAAGCTCGTCATCGCTCGAGGCGGCAGCGACGAGGAGATCTCTGCGGGTACGTCTCGACCGTTCTCTTCCTTGCATGTCTCTCGAGGACGGGGTCTGACAGGCTCGACGTGCGTGCAGCGTTCCTCGCGGCGGCAAAGGCGTCGGCGCTCGAGAGCAAGGGCGGCATGCAGTGCGTTCCCCTTTCTCTCGATCTTTCCCCTCCTTCTTCCTGGTCGCGGTCGGCACTGATCCTCTCGCACGTCGCAGTCTTCTGGCGGTCCTCGAGCAGCTTCCCTCCCCCAGGTCCGTCTCTCGTCGAGGCCGATCCCGCCGACGCGAGACTAATCTTGTCGTTGCGGCGCAGGAAAGGCCTGCGGCTGCAGCTTCTCACGACGACCGTCTCCGAGCTTGCGACCTGGGGCATCGTCCAGTGCGACTTCCTCGGGCAGGTCGTCGTGGCAGCCGTCTCGCTCGCGAGCGATGCCGAGAGGAGCGTGCTCACGCAGCTCCTCCTCACGGTCGCACAAGGTGCGTCCCTCCCGCACATCGCTCGTCGTCGTACGTCGAGACTAATTCTCCCCTTGTCGTGCTCTGCAGGCCTCCCGACGTTCCGCCTGTCGCCCGCCGACGCGCTCACCTGTGTCTCGATCCTCCGTCGCTCCGGCGACAAGGCCTCGGTCGACAAGCGCTACGCCGATGCCGCCGACAGCTTCCTCCTCGCGACATCGACCGTCTTTCGCTCCCATCCCTTCTCTTCGACGGCCAAGTCGATTCGGTCCGTCCTCCTCCTTCCTCAGCCTCGCCTTTCCACAGCCCGCAACACCTCGCTGACTATCGCGTTTGTCGAACAGCAAGGCCGCCCTCTGCTACCTCGAAGCAGGCGAGCACGAGCGGGTCGAGACGACGATGCAGCTCATCCCGTCGGGCGAGGAGGAGGCAAAGGACCACTTCGTCCGCTTCTGCGCCCGCCTGAGCAACATCGCCAAGGGTGCGTCGACGCCTTCTCCCTCTGCGTCCGGCTCGTCGCTTTGTCACTGACTCTCGGCCCTGAGCAGCTCTCGCGACTCTCAAGGTCATGGTCGTCGCGCCCGGCTTCGCGCCCAAGTACCTCCAGTGGGCCTACAAGCTCGCCGCCGAACGCGACCTCAAGGACCTGTCGGTCGCCATCACCGAGCTCCTGTACGACATTTGCCATGCACCTGAGCTCGCGGCCCAGCTCGACTACATGGTCTTGACGAGGTGCGCCCCTCTCTCGCTCCTCCTCGAGCCGGCCTCGCCGGCTTCGCGAACTGACACGCCTCTGTCCCCCAGGAGCGTCATTCGTCAGCAAGTCGTTCGTCTGCAAGACAAGGATGTCTCGGACCAGCTCAAGTGCGTCTCGTCGCCTGCCCGTCTCGCCCCGGTCGTCCTTACTGACGATCGCTCTTCGACAGGGACGAGGTGGCGCAAAGCGCTCTCAAGCAGCTCGAGTCCGGCGAGTCTCGCCAGAATGGACATCCTTCTCTGCATGACCTGACGACGTCCTCCACCGACAGGTCTGCTCCTCGCTCGCCGCCTCAAGGACTCGGCCAACCCGCCGGGCTCGCTCGTCAAGGAGGTCGTCTGGCTCTACAAGACGGGTCCGTCCTCTGTCTCTCTTCCTCTGCCAATATCTCGCATGACTGAGACTGCGTGTGGCGCCCAGCCTACAACCTCTGCACCGAGTTCTGCGCCCGCTGGACCGCCTCGACCTCGTCGGGCTTCTTCGCCGTCACGGTCGCCCTCATCGAGCTCGCCATCGAGGTCGGCGGCGACGTCATCGACATCGACAAGCTGTGGACGTGCAAGACGGCCGTCATCGCCGGCGAGTACGCCCTCGCCAAGGACGTCGGCGGGCAGGACCAGCTGCGCTCTCTCTCACTGTCTCCTCGAGTCTCGGCGACCGAGATGCAGTACCTTCCTGACACAGTCTCGACGCGCAGAAGAAGGCGTACCAGATCGTCCTCAAGCACGTCGACGCGTTCAGCAAGTCGCTCAAGATCGCGCTCGCCTCGTCGCCGCAACTTGGGAAGGCCGATCATCTGCTCGAAGCCGTCTACGCCGTCAAGGTCGATGCGCTCGCGCAGCTCGAGGACTGGAAGGCGCTCGTCAAGTTCGTCGAGGTGAGCTCCTCATTCAGCCTGGGCCTTCAACTTTCGCCGCGGCCGTGACTGACCGCCCGCCTCCTTCGTCTTCAGGTTTTCGAGGCGGATGCCTCGACTGCGCCGCTCGGCGTCGTCAAGCTCGTCGTCGACATCGTCACCAAGAGCTCAACCTGCTCGCTCGACATCATCCGCAGCATCCTGCGCAAGACGCTCGCCCTTCTCTACAGCCGGCAGGACCTCGACGTGTGCGTCCTCGTTTTCCCGTGACCTCTCGTCTCTCGACGTCTCAATCTGATGCACCTCCTCCTCGCCCACAGTTCATCGATGGCGCTTTGGCTGCGCATGCTCGTCTACGAGCTCGTCGCGCGTCGCGACCTCGACCAGGCGCTCGAGTACGTCCAGAACGCGCAGCAGCTCATCGAACGGCACAAGGTGCGCCTCACTCTCTTCCTCTCCGGTGCCCTCGACGACGTGTATTGAAGCTCTCTCGGCCTGCAGCGCGAGTACCCCGAGGACGAGGCGAGCTGGTACGTCCCCGCGAGCCGGTCGTCGGCGTCCGCGCTCAGGCCTCTTGCGGCGCGAGTACTGACTCTCTCGCTTGTGCGCCTGCAGGATGCTCTCGACGGCATGGGACGAAGGTGCGTCTGCGGGTCTCTCGGTTCGCTCTCGGCGGCGCCCTCACTGACCGCCTCTCCCTCCCCTTCCCGAAACAGGCCTGAACGCCTTTGCCGCCTCGAACCCGCTCTCGGGCCTCGACTGGTGCACGATCTCGCTCGACATCGCTCGTGCGGTCGAGAGCCCGCTCGCTGCGACGGTGCGTCTCGCGCTTCCCTCTCTCTCGAGCTCCCGAGGTGGTGAGGGCCTGAGCGTCGAGCGGCCTGAGCTTACTCCTCGCGTTCGCAACGAGCCGAGCAGATCGAGCAGCAGATCGACGAGCTCAAGGTGCGGTACGTCGTCAAGGAGGAGCAGGACGAGGGGGGCTCGTGGGCGTGAGAGGGAGATGCGGGCGAGGGAGGGGGAGAGGCTTGTCGTTGTCCAGCTTGTCGTCGTCATGCGCTTGTTGTTGTCCTGCACTCGAACGCTTTCCTTCTCTCGAGTGTATGGCTCTCTCTCTCGTTCTCAAGGCGCACAGAGAACGAGTGAAAGTGTCTTTGTACGGGGAGGGTCTGTGCGGGGTCCGAGAGGGCGACGACAGAGCGAGGGGGCGCGAACAAGGCGACGACGCCGAGTGCTAGATGAACGAGCGCGCGATAAGGTGCGAGAGGGGAGGGGATATGCTAAGGGAACGACGGGCAGAGGCCGAGAGAGGAGAGGAAGAAGGGCGAGAACTGAGCCCGCTCAGAGCATGACGGCCATGGCGCCTGCGCCAACCGCACCCACGACCGCAGCGACGAGCGCGCCGGCGAACCCGCCAGGCTGCACGCGGCCCGCCGCGCTCTTGCCGCTCGCCTTGGCGTCGGCGGCCGAGCCGCCCGAGTTGGTCGCCGAGGCGTAGGCGACCGTGGCCGAGACGGACCCGGTCGCGCCCGTCGAGAGCGGGAGCGAGAGCGAGATGTCGGTCGACGCGGCCGTCGGGGCCGCGAGCGACATGGTCGTCGTGCCGCCGATGTACTGGGCAAAGTTCGGGTACGTGTAGCCCGGCTCGACGTAGGGCGCCGTGTTGTTGAGCGCGACGCCGACAGGCACGACGTGCTTGAACGCCGCCTTGATCTTGGGCAGGTACTCCTGGGCGAGGCTCATCGTGTCGTTGTTGCTGCGAGAGGGGCTCGAGTCAGACGCCGTATCTCGAGACAGTGCGAAAGAGGAGAGAGAGAGAGGGAGGGACGCACAGCTCATGGCTGAGGACGATCGTGCCGTTGACGCTGTAGGTGCCGTTGCCGGCGGCCTTGAGGATGTCGTTGTAGTTGGCCTCGACGGTCGCGCGCGAGAGCGTCGCGATCTCGTAGTCGAACGTGTTGTCCTCCCAGCCGATCGTCTGCATGCCGAGCGACTGGGCAATGTAGCGGATGCGGTCGTCGACGTCGCCGTAAGGCGGGCGCCAGCACTGGACCGTGACGCCGAGGACCTCCTTGATCGCCTTCTTGCTGTAGTACAGCTCGGCGAACGCCTGCTCGTTCGTGAGCGCCGTCATGTAGCGGTGCGACCAGGTGTGGGCGCAGCTGCGAGGAGAGAAACGAGGGTCAGGGCGCGAGTCGCACGACGTGAGAAGGGAAGAGCTGAGGACGCACATCTCGTGACCGTCGGCGAGGCCGCGCTGCGCCTCGAGGGGCCAGTCGACGACGTTCGAGCCGATGTAGAACATGGTGGCTGCATGAAAAAGGGTGTCAGGCTCGGCGCTCGAGAAGGCGAAGAGGCGAAGCGAGGACGGACCCTTCTGATTTTGCTGCTCGAGGTAGTCGTAGAACGCGTTGTGCGAGCAGTTGGGGCCATCATCGTAGGTCAGGCTGCAGTTCGAGAGCTGGTCAGGACAATGGACGGCGCGCAGAGAGAGAGAGAGAGAGAGAGGAGGACGCACCCCCAAGTGTCCGGCGTCGGGACGTTGTAGACGTCGGGCTTGATGCCCTCGCGCTTGGGCGTGCGGCACTGGCGATAAGTCCACCAGCAGTCAGGGTCCGTGGCACCGTCGTCTGCGGATAGGAGAGCGCGTGGGTGGGGGAGGGGGCAAGAGGTCAGCGCCGGGAGAGGAGGGAGAGGGAGCGGGCGGCAGCGACGCACACTGGACCGAGGCAAAGTCGCCCTGGGGCGTGCCCTTGGGCGCAATGTTGGGGATGCTGCTGTTGAGCGACTGGAAGAGCGCCGTGACGTCCGGCTTGGCGGTGCTGCACGCCCGCGGGAGGGGAAGGTCAGGTCTGCGAGGCGACCAGGGCTGGGCGAGAGGGGGGACGCACCTGAGGGACGCGATCTCCCAGATAGCCGGGAAGACGCCGTCTGCGATCAAGGCGCCGACTGGCGGGTAGTAGTACGGGGCGCACTCCTGCGCCGGGTCCTTGATGCCGGCGGCGCTGGCCTCGTCGGTGCGGGTGGCGGCGGCGGCGGTGGCCGTGGTGGTGGCGGCGGCTGCGGCCGAGTTGACGGCGGCACTGGCGGTGGTCGCAGCACGCGAGGCGACGGCGGACGAGGCGGCCGAGGCGGCGGCGGCGGCGGACGACGAGGCAGGAGCGCGTCGTTCGATGGCGGCGCGGCGGACCTTTGCAAACTCGTGCTCGGAGCCGCACGCGGCGGCCAGGGTGGCAGCAGACAGCAGTGCGAGCGTGGCGCGCATCGTCGCAGAGCTGGGTCGCGGGTGGGAGGTGGAGCGAGAGGCGAGGAGCAGGGTCCGCCTCGCTCGGCGACTCAGACGAGGGTCGCGCTAAAACCGCGTCCTCGCAGCAACCCTCGGCTTTGTTTGCGGCAACGCGAACAGCTCAGCAGCGTGAGCAAGGCATCTCAGCCAACGAGTGCAGCGCAGAGAGAGAGAGAGAGGCCGGCCAACCTTCTTCGCTCCGCGCTCGCCCAGCTCTCGTCTTGGACCTTGGCACGATCACGTTGCTCAGCTTGCGTAAGCGTCCCTTGCGAGCTGCCGCTCAGCGACCTCGAAAGCCGGTCAAAGCCAGCCTGCAAGACTCGCAGAATCGGACGAAAACGCTCACGCCGCCTCGAGAGGGACGAGACAAGTCGCGCATTTTCTGGTGCTCGCTCGCTCGCTCTGCTTGCTCGCGCTCAGGTACGACGACTTTACAGAGGACAAAGTACAGCGAACGACCGCGAGAGAGGGCAGAAGGAGGACAAGGCCCGGCGTCCACCGACCGGACACGTCTCGTCCCGCTCGGACCCTCGACCGCCTCGCACGACTCGCGCCCGCCTCGAGACTCGCCCGAACTTGAGGGCCCTCCTCGCTCAGAGCGGCCTGAGCCTCGTGAGCTTGTACTGCTCGGGATGACGAGCAGGGTGCGGCGCGAGCGAACGCTCAGTCCGCCCGCGCTCGTCGTCGCTCGAGGCGGGCTCCTGTGCGCAGAACGCAAGGTGTCATTCACGCTCGTGGAGAGAAGACTAAGGAAGCGAGGGACGTACACGCTTGGGCGACCTGGACCGTCTCCTCGACGTCGCGCGAGGCGATTCTTGTCCCCCTCGATGACGACGACGTGGTGCGCTTGTGCTCGAGCTCTCGTCGTAGAGCGTGTTCAGGGTCGGGAAGTGGTTGTGGGCCGTGTCGCTGTTGAAGGAGATCTGCAGGGAGGAGCAAAGTGAGCCAAATGCGAAGGAGGAAAAGGCAGAGAGACGGCACACCTCGGCGACCTCCATGGCGTACTCGTACGGGTTGGCTCTGATGACCTTGGCCCAGTTCTCCAGCTCCTCTGCCGCCGTTACAGCCTCCGCAGGGTCCCACAAGTGCCCCTCGGCGTTGACGAGCTCGCGCGCTTGCTGGAGCCAGGGCCGGATCAAGCTGTCCGGCGCCGTCGACCTGCGCCAGGCGCTGAGGATTGCTGTGAGTGCTTTCAAGCAGGCTGACGGGGTGGACATCGTCGTGCTGGAAGAATTGGAGAGAGAGGAGCGGGGGGAAAGGGAAGCGTTCGCCGCTGTGGGGTTCGCCTCGGCCGTTCGCGCTCCGCGGAAAGTCCGGCGGACAGACAGGGGCATCGTACTGTCCGTCCGAAAGCCTTCAGTCTGTGTCTGACGTGCGAGAGGGCGTCACGCGCGCACGCGTGAGGAGACGACGCGACTTGAGAAGGTCGCGCCATCGAAGCTTTCGTCCTCACACTGCGCGCCACGCTGCGGCTGTGGACACAGAGAGTCGGCACGTGCCATAGACTCTGGTCGAGCAAGCTCGCAAGCCTGGGATGGGTACGCCGCAGCGAGAGAGGCGGGAAGGCGCGTCGCTGCGGCGCGCGCGTCGTCCTCGCCTCGCTTCTTCTCCGGCTCTCGCCTCGTCTCGTTGCACTTAAGGCGCGCCGAGGGTCTCTAGGCATGCAGCAGAAAAGGCCCGAGTCGCTCGTGTTCTCCCCGAAGCGATCCGAGGCGAGGGTGAAGGAGGAGGACCGAGAATGTGACGACCCGAGTGCGTGTTGCGCGCGTCAGCAAAGTCGACCTTTCCTTGCTCGAACCGGCTCAGCCTATGGCTCGGTTCTACTCAAATGCCACCGCCCCGTGGACCCACGACGTCTCTGCCTTGCCTAGTCTTGCCTACAGATCTTCGTCGCCACAACGACACAGGAGTACAAGCAGCGCTAAGATTCGCTAGTCGGCTTATGGTGGCCCCGGGATAAGAGGTATCTCGCGCTCAGTACTCCGCCGTCAAACCACCACCTCACGCAACCTGGCCAGGTTCGCTCCTTTTTATTTTTGTGCCTTCTCGCTGCTACGTCTCGCTTTCTTAACCCGCTCGTCGGTCACGCTTGTTCGTGAGAGGGAGCGGCAGGGTCAACCTCTCTCTTACCGACACAGCGGCAGAGCGAAAGCCGAAAGAGCGGCGCAACTCGACGACTTTGACCTCGCCGGACGACTGTACTCGCGCACAGACCTCGACTCGGCTTCTCGCTGAGCAGACCACGGTACAGAGAGCGACGTAACGTTCTACGCGTACCGGCAACGATAGAGAGCAGGTCTGAGGAAAGGCGAGAAAGCGAGAGCGAGCGACGTCGCCTTCTCGAGCGCACAGACCCTCTCCCTTTGCCGTTCTCGCTCAGTCCTCGACTCGCTGCTCGCGCACCTCTCAGTGAGCCGGCAGGAGGAGAGGACAGCTTTGCAGGCTCGAGAGCGTCTACAGCAAGCCCGGCAACGCCGCGTCCTCGAGAAAGCCCCACCCGAGATTGTCCGTCAGGAGCGAGTCGCACCAGCCCTGCCACTCGGTCTGGAGGTAGTCGGGCAGCGCGCCCTCGGTTGCGTCGGGTGCGGCGGTCGCGGTGGTCCAGGTCGGGAGCGAGGGGACGAGCGAGGGCGAGGTCGGGACCGAGAGGGAAGGAAGGGGATCGGGCACGGCGAGGGATGTCGAGGGGACCGAGGTGGCGGCCGAGGGGGGCCCTGGCGCAGTCGAAGCGGAAGCTGTGTATGAAGAGAGGCCGTTAGTGCGAGACCAAGGAGGAGAGATTGGTCGAGGACGCACCTGACCCTCCTTCTCGCTCCTCGTCGCCTGCCGAACCCGCGCTCAAGCCCTCGCCAAGCCCGCCCGCCGCCGCCACACCCTCAGTCATGGACGGAGCATGCCGCCTCGCCGCCGCGCTCCACAGCAGCGCCGAGATCTTGTGCACCTTGGCCCTGACGCCGAGCGGGCCGTCCTGCGCCCACGAGGCCCAGCGAGCGAGCCCGTTGGCGACGGCCTCGATCGCGCGTAGGTTGCGCACGTCGCCGGTGCGCGTGTGGGCGAAGAAGTGGACCGAGGCTGTCGGCGGGCAGGGAGGGAGAGGGAGAGTGCGAGGATGAGCTGGCGCTCTCGCTCGAGCGAACGAGGAGAGGGCGAGAGCGGGACGCACCGGCGCGCATGAGGCTGTAGAAGCCGATGAACCACGTGTCGAGAGGCGTCTCGCCCTGCGACAACATCCAGTTGATCGAGTTCTCGGCGCGATTGACGACGGCGAACCACCGGGCGCGAGAAGGTCGGAAGTGCAGGTGGGCGGGCAGGAGCGCGTCCTGTTTGACGAACGGCGACAGGAAGATGCTCTGCGGGTACATGTCGAGAGTCAGTCTGGAAGGAGGAAAAGACAGGGGACAAGGAAGGGAAGGAGGGTGGCGGAAGTGGGAGGAAAGGGACGCACCTCGAAGCAGACGATCATCGAGTGCAGCATGCCCGCCTGGACCGTCGACTCGGACCCGGCGAACTGGAGCGCGTCGGGTACCTGCACGAGCCACGCATCAAAGTCGGCGAGGATGCCCTCGAGCTGGGCGTCGGTCGTCTTGCTGAGGCGGACACGGTTGACGGCCTTCATCGCTCGCTGCAGGAGCATGCACAGCTGGTACAGGGCGACGAGGTACGGGTCCGACTCGAACGCTGTCGAGCAATCGAAGCAGTCGTCGAGGTCGATCATGGACGGCTGCCCGGGCGAGGCCGAGTAGCTGCACGAGAGGGCGAGGAGTCGGTCAGTCCGGGTTCTCGTGAGGAGGGAGCGAAACGAGACGACGTACCAGGTATCGGTGATGACGCAGCACATCCAGACACGCATGCGCTCCTGCTGCTGAGCATGAGGAAGGTCGGTTGGCGGTTGACGATGCAGGCCCTGTTGGCGAGAGAGCGTGAGCAGACGCCTCGAGAGAGAGAGCGAGAGAGAGCGAACGACGGGACGCACCATGTCTTGCGCCATCCGAATGCCGCAGCCGGCGAGGAGGAACGAGCGCGAGCCGTTCTGGGTCGAGATCGGCCCGTGCGCCTCGCACGAGAGCGTCATGATGAGGAGCGCCTGCGCGCAAAGGCCGAGAGGATCAGTGCTCGTGCTCGCACATGGTCGAGAGAGGGTAGGGCGGGACGCACCTGGACGTTCTGCAGGCTCGCCGTCGCCCTCGGGTCGTGGATCTCGATCGCGGTCCGGAGAAACTCGCGCGCCGTGTCGAACCGCTCGAACGAGAACCTCCTCGACGACGCCGCGATGGCGCACACGGCGAGGAGCGCGACGGGCGACAGGGTGTCGAGCGCGCGCAGCTCGGCGACCGTGACGACTGGGAACAGGGGCAGGACGTGGTCGACAAAGTGCTGCACGAGCTCGAGGACGGTCTCGCTCGTGAGAGTGCCGAGCGGATGTGGCGTGTGGACGTGTGCGCGCTTGACGACGGTGCGCACCGAGCCGTCCGACGAGCGCCACAGGCCGTACTCTTTGTCGATGAGCGACAGGTCCTCGCTCCCTTGGAGCTGCGCCAGGAACTGCGTCAGGCTCGTCTCGCCGAGCATGCGCGTCGCCGGCGGTGACGGAGCGCGCTGGTCGGGCGACGGGCTGCGCTCCTGCATGCGCTTCGACACGCGGTCGACGCAGCGCGCGAGCATGTCGAGACCGTCGCTCGTGCCCGTGAAGCCCTTGGTCGACGCAGGCGACGCCGTCGCGGCGGGCGAGGTCGAAGTCGCTCCGAGCTTGGTGTCGGACCCGGTGCGCTGCAGCGCCTCGAGCTTGGCGCGCTTGCGCGGGTCGACCTTGGCCGGCCGGATCGTCTCGCACGGGGTGGACCGCTTGGCGCACTCGTAGCAGACGGGCGGGTGGCGCTCCTCGACCCAGATGCACTTGAGCTTGCGCGCACGACACTCGTCGCACCTGCGGAACGAGAGCTCGTCAGGTCGTGGCCATCCCGCTCGACGGAAGGAGGAGGACGGACGCTCGAAGTGCCTTCTTGCGCTTCTTGCCGTGCGGGTCGGTGGGCGCTAGGACAGGTGCGGTGGAAGAAGGTCCCACTGGCGGCTCGGCGGACAGCGGCTGCGGCGGGTGGCTGCTCGTGCTGGCGTGGGGCGAGTGCGAGGCCGGGACGGGGAAGGGTGTTCGAGCGCTCGACGGGTGGGCGTCGTAGGGCGGCTGCATGTTGCCGAGATGCCTGTCGAGAGGCCGCGCTGCTCAGCAAGGGAGCGGAGCGCTGTTGTCGGGGCAAAGCTGCGAACCGGCGGACCGTCCGACGAGCACGAGGCGATGAGGCCTTTCCTCTCGTTCCGACGGCTCGAGCGCGCTTCCAGTCTCTCGAATTGTCTCTGTCTGCACTCCCTGGAGCCTCGCGAGGCTCGAAAGACGAGGTTGAACGCGGTTGCAGCTCCTCGCGCCCCACTCGCCCTCTCACCACAGCTTCCACCAGCTGCGCCGCGGCGCCGGTGTTCCTCCCTGCGCCTCGACCTTGCCCACCCTCGCCTCTGCGAGCTGCGCCTCCAACCGCTCGACCTTGGCGCGCAGCTCGTCGCCCTGCTTGTCGCGCGAGAGGACCATGTAGGTGAGCTCGAGGGCGTAGTAGACGATCGAGCCGAGTGCGAGGCAGTGCAGCATGGCCGGGACGAGGTTGCGGTAGAACTCGCTCGTCGCGCTCCTGGCCTTGGGCTGCTGAGGCGGGCCTGGCGGCGGTGGAGGAGGTGTCGAGAGAGGGGAGGGGCCGACGGCGGCGGCGAGGGGTTGGCGCGGGTCGAAGGCGGGGGCAGTCGGTGCGGGCGAGTAGGTGCGTCGGTGCAGGAGCTGCCAGGCTGCTGCTGCGGGTGTGGGCGAGGTGCGGCGGAGCATGGTCGAGGTGGGGAGGGTCGACGGGGAGGGGACGCTGGGGGACGGCGTGGGCGAGTCAGTCGAGGCTGTGGCAGACTGAGTGAGAACCGTGCGCACCTGTGCGAGATCCCTCGAGCAGGCACAGAGCGAGCGAGCATGGTGGCCACAAGCCAACCTTCGCACGAGAGCTTCCTCCTCGCCTCGCTCCAGCCTCGCCCACGAGTCGCTCGACCGGCCAGGCTTTGGCTCGAGCTGCACTGCATGCGCACCGAGTGCGCCCAAGGCAGGCTGCCCTCGCCCTGCATCGTGGGAGCTGCGCCGCCAGCTCTTCCAGCTCCTCTCGCGCGGTGACGAACGACGAGCGGCCGGGTTGCTACCGAGGGCTGCGCTCAGGCGCCAGGCGCATGCGTCTCGAGCCCGAGGCGGAACGCGCGCCTCAGCTCGGAGGCGAGCGATCGCCCTGTGACCGTCCGTTTCGCCAAGCCCTCGGGTCAAGACCACGCGCCGGCCACTCGCTCCCTCTCCCTCTCTCTTGCTGCTGCGTGCTTCTCCCTCAAGCACCGCAGAGCTCGCCGACAGCTCCACTCGCGCGCGCGACCACCCGCAAGCCGACCTCGCCAACCCGCCCTCGCACCGCCTCCTCCTCTTCCTCGCTCAACCCACCTACACGACCGCCGCCGCCGCCATGCAGCTCGTCCTCCTCGCCGCTCTCGCCGGCACCCTCGCCTCGGCGCAGCTCCACAAGGCCGTCCTGCCTGCGCACGACCTCGCCAGGCGCCAGGCCACCGCGACCACCGCCGCGACCGGCTCTACCAGGACCGCCGCCGCCGCGACCCGCACCACGTCCGCCCCTGCCGCCTCGAGCGGTGTCCCGACGGGCGGCAGGGTCTCGGCAAAGCCTCTCGAATCGCTGTGAGTCGTCGTCGCTCGCGCCCCCTCCTCCTCCTTCCCTCCCCGAGGCCCCCGCACTCGCCAAGAGCGGGCCCTTGTGGACCGCGACGCGCAGCGCCACGAGCCCTACACGACCAGGACGCGATACTGACCATGCCCTCGTGTGTGCGCGCGCAGCTCGTCCATCGGTACGACGACGACGGCCGAGGCGACCCAGGCGCTGCCGACCACTTTCGCCGCGGGAGCGACACCGCCCGTCTCTGGAGCGCCCACCCTGCCCAACAGTGCGTCCCTTCCTCCTGCCTCGACCCTTCGTCCCCTAGTCGCGACGCGAGGACCCGCCTTCGAGACGGCGGAGCTGAACGAGCCTTCTTTCGCGCGCAGTCGGCACGCTCAACCCGGCCAACTACCCGCCGCTCGACCGCCTGCCGCCGACCGACTCGCCCGAGGTGCAAGAGTGGCTGTCGCAGATCGACCTCGCCAACGTCCCCGACTTTTCGCCGACCGGCCTCAACGGCTGCGCCAACTCGACTTTCAACGCCGAGGCGCTCGCAGAAGCGGGTTCTGCTGGACGGTGTTGGTGGTCATGTGGCGGATGGGGCGTCTCGTCCCCTTTCTGGGCCGCAGAGAGCTCGTCCTGACTCTCCTCGTCCGCCTGCAGCACTCGCGCGACCGACATCACCTACTGCCCGAGGAAGGAGGACTGGGGCGCCTCTTTCGGTCCGTCCAGCTCTCTCCCTGTACCTATTCGAGCCATCCCTGACCCCTGTCGACGCACAGATGACGGCCCATCGCCGTACACGCCGCGCCTTCTCAACCTTCTCGAGTCGCAAGGCCTCAAGTCGACCTTCTTCATCGTCGGTTCTCGCGCCATTTCCCGCCCCGAGATGGTCCAGACCGAGTACATGCTCGGGCACCAGCTGTCGGTGCACACATGGGCGCACCCGGCCCTGACGACGCTCACGAACGAGGAGATTGTCGCCGAGCTCGGGTGGACGATGAAGGTCATCAAGGACGTGACGGGCGTCACGCCCAACACGTTCCGCCCGCCGTACGGCGACATCGACGACCGCGTGCGGTACATCGCGCTGCAGATGGGCCTGCGCCCGATCATCTGGACGACCTACAACAACGACGTGTTCGACACGCGCGACTGGCAGATTGGCGGCGGCGTCGTCACGGCGCCCGATGTGTACACGCGCTTCGACACGTTCCTCAACCAGGCGTCGTCGAGCTTGTCGTCGGGCTTCATCGTCCTGGCCCACGACCTCTACCAGCAGGTCCGTCCATCTCGCTCCCTTCCTCGTCCCTCGTCTGCCTCTCGAGCCGATCTGATCCGTCTGCACGCTCGCAGTCGGTCGACCTCGCCGTCGATTACATCCTGCCCAACGTCATCAACGCCGGCCGGCTCCAGATCAAGACGATCGCGTCCTGCCTCGGCCAGTCGCTCGAGCAGTCCTGTGCGTCCCTCCTCCCCTTCTCTCGGCATTTCCTGTTCCTGCCCTCTCACTGACGCTGCACTCCCTCCTCTCGCAGACATCGAGACGGCCAACTTTACGTCGGACGACCTCGTCCAGACGACGAGCACCGTCGTCGGCGCGACGGGTTCCGGCTTCGTCTCGGGCGTCGGGCTCATCGCCGACCCGACGGCGAGCGCGAGCCGTGGCAGCGAGGGCACCTCCTCGAGCGCAGCGGCCGGCTCGAGCTCGATCTCGGGCTCGCGCTCGGCGTCGAGCGGCGGTCCGGCGGCGAGCCAGAGCGCCGGTGGGTCGGGCGGCACGAGCGGCGGCGCGCTCGGCGCGCAGGTCGCAGGCGCGGTCGTGCTCGGTGCGGCGCTGGTCGTCGCGCTCCTGCAATGAGCCCGCTCGTCGCCGTCGAGGAAGACCGTCTCGTCCTCGACCTTGTTCCGCTTCCAAGTTCTCTCCCTCTCTCTCTCGTCTCGCACGTAGTAGTACAGACACTGCATCTCTCGTGCAACCTCTTCACTGTGCGAGCGGGTGCGAGAGCCAGGCTGCAGAGAGTTGGGAAAGCGCACTCTTGGCCGGTCGGCCGACGCGTCGAGGAGCGCGAAGCTGCGGCCTTCTCGCACCGTTACGGCCGCTCACGAGCGTGCCAGGGCTCTGCGCAAGGTCGACTGGCACCACACGCCCTCGAGCACACGCCCACCAGTTCGGCAGCCGCTTTCCGCTGGCCCGCACGACCCCTCGCCCGTCCTCCAACCCTCATCGCCCGGCGCCCTCTTCTCACCCTCACTCGACCTCGCGTGCGCCGCCAGACCAGCCCGACACGCCCCCTGCATGGGCACACAACTCCCGCCGCGACCGACTGGACTCGCCACCCCCGCCAGCTCGTTGTCGAGCCCACCCCTCCCTCGCTTCACCTCCTCGTCGCTCCGCCCGACCCGCGCACCCCTTCCTCCACCCGCACCACCATCCGCTCGTCCGGCGAGAAAGGAGTCGCTGCGGGCGCAGGGCACCGCCGGCGAGGGCCCCGCACCGCCAGGCCCGACGCAGGACGCGCAGCTCGAGGCGGTGCTCGAGAATCGGCGGCGGCAGGGCGTCCCGACCGCGTCGACGCGGCCAGCTCGACCGCCGCAGCCGGCTCATGTGCAGCGAGGGCCCGTACAGGCGGCGGGCGGGGCGCAGGCGGGACCGTGGCGCGCTGCGGCGGGCGACGACGACGACGACGACCTCGTCGGCGAGCGCGAGGTGCTGCGCGAGCATGTCGCCGCCGGCCCGGCCGGCGACGACGTCGCCCTCAACGTCGGCAAGGTCGACCTGTCGCGCATGACGTCGACACGGCGGTACATGGCCGAGCTGGACGAGGACGACGAGCCGGGTCCGGGCGAGGGCGAGGGCGACCGGGCGACGTGGCACTCGGGCGCGTGGGAGAGCGAGGCGAGGGACTCGATCGCGAGCCTCGAGCCGCTCCAGAGCGGCGGGTACGGCGGCGGCGCACGAGGGAGGAGTCGGCTGGGCCCGCCGAGGGACAGTGCGCTCACGATGGGCAGCGTCGACGGCGACCCTTTCTCGTACTCGGTCCGTCTCTCCTCCATCTTCTACTCTCAGGAGAGCACATACTCACGCTTATGGCGTGCAGGTCTACGCCACACTTCCTTCGCCTCGCGACTCGGCCTACGTCTCGGACGCCGCTCCTCCGCCACGACCTCGTTACACGCCGAGCCCTCCAGCCGCTCTCGATGCACGTTCCTCGGGCGCCACTATGCCTGTCGTCCGCATCGGCCCTCCCTCGCCGACGACCGACGCGTTCCTGCTGAACCCGCACGACTCGGCCCTGTGGTCCGAGGTCACCACCGTCCCCGCTCCACCTCGCCACCCTCTCGCCGCCTCGGCACCGGCACGACCAGCCCTCGTCGACTCGCCTGTGCATGATCTCGCGCCACCGCCGTCGCTCTCGCAGAGCACCGGCCGGGTCCCGTCGCAGGTCTACTCGGCCAAGAACTTCTCGCGCCCGTTCATGGCCCACTCGCCGCCGCCCGCATCCTCGACGTCGGCCCCGCGAACCCTCCCTCCCCTCGCTCCTCCTCATCGACGACCATCGAGCCCGCGGCTAGACGCCGCCGACGCGACCCTGCCGTCCCCGCTCGACCGGTCGTCGTCGCTCGGGCACGACTCGCTGTTCGAGCGCTCGTCGAGCATCGGCCACTCGAGCCAGACGAGCCACAGCACGCACGTGCCTGTGTGGGGCGACGCCGGGCGCGCTCGCCTGCAGGACGAGGCCAAGCGGGCGATCGCGCTCGCGAGGGACAAGAGCCTGCGGGCGGCGGCCGGGCGGGACCTCGTCGTCGTCGAGGACGAGGAGGCGAGCCAGTACGTTGAGGAGCTGCGCGAGGCGGACGAGCCGCTTCGCGAGGACCTCCTCGACGCGTACGGCGGCGAGGCAGAAGTGGGCGAGGAGGACGAGTCGTCCCTCTTGCCCTCGCAGGCGACCGTCGCGTCCTTTCCGCACGTCGCCTCGCCGCCGTCCATCTCGGCGTACGCGGCGTCCGACTATCGCGACTCGACGGCGCAGTACGCGGCGTACACGCCCGATGACTCGCCGCAGCCGTTCCACAAGGCGCCCACCTCCCGCGAGCCTTCTCCTCCTTCACCTCTCTCCCCACCGCCGCCGACGCCCTTCGCCCTGTCGCCTTCCTCTCCTCTACATCCTCATCCGCCGTCCAGCTTCATCTCGACCGGGCCGGCCGTCATCGCGGCTCCCGCACCGCCCTCGCCGCCTCGACCTCGCAACGTCCTGCGCAAGCAGCGCCCCGCACCCTCGACCACGAGTGACCCTGCCGTACCCGCATCGGCGCCCGCCATGGCACGCTCGTTCTCGACCGAGTCGGCCAAGAAGGAGGGCGTCTGGAGCCGCTTCCGAGCCCGCTCTCGCAGTCGAGGCGCGAGCGAGCGTCCCGATCCGGCCCTGTGGGCGCAGGAACGCCCGCCTGTACCTGTGCTGCACGGCGCGAACGACCTCATCGTGTCTGGCCTGTCGAGCTCGTTGCCGGCGCCGTCGCAGCGGTTCCTCGCGTCGCCCTCATCCTCCCCCTCAGCCCGCACCGCCTCTCCCGCACCCTCTCCCGCCCTGTCGACCGCCTCGGCACCTCTTTGGTCAGCGCCGCTGTCGCAGACCGAGTTCGCGCGGCTCGCCGCCGCCCGACCCGCCTTCCCGCACCGCGGCGCGAGCGCCAGGTCGGCGCCCGAGGCCGAGTGGGTCCTCAAGAACGTCGAGGGCGCGCGTACCGTGCAGGCCGGTATGGTGCCTGCGGGCGGCACGGCGCGTATCGGCGTCGTCTACGGCGGCGGCGGCGAGGACGACATGGAGCACCTGAGCGAGGTGCTCGCACGGCCGGGACCGCTGTCGGCGCTCGGCGGGCACGGTCGGTCCGGGTCCGGCGGCGCGAGCTCGATGTACTCGGACTACTCGCTGTACTCGCTGCCGGCATCGGCGCCGCCAGCCTCGCCGTCCATCGTCGGGCCGTCGCAGCAGCAGCAGCAGCAGCAGATGCGCCACAACGACGGCGTCGAGCTCGGCGGCAAGCTGTCGACCATGCGCAAGCTCGACTCGGCGATCGCGAGTCGCGCGACGAGCAGGCCGAGCATCGTGGGCAGGACGGCGAGCGGCAAGGAGATCAGGAGGGAGCCGGTGACGGCCGACGATTATCTTCGTACGTCCTCCTCCTCTCCCTCTTCCTTCCTGCGCCCGCCCTCGCATTTCGTCTGACACGTCGATCGTGCGCCTGCAGAACTCGGCATCGACCTACACGAGCGAGGCGAGCTCGAGCGAGCGGCATGGTGCTTCGAGCAGAGCGCGCGCAAGGACGGCGGCTGCGGCGCGGGCATGTTGATGTATGGGTGCGTCCAGCTTTCTCTCGTTCTCTCCCGAGCGCGCCCTGACTCTGGCGCTCGCCCGTCTGCAGCTTGAGCCTGCGGCACGGCTGGGGCTGCCAGGTCAACACCCCGCTCGGGTTCCGCTTCCTCCAGATGGCGGCCGAGTCGGTCGTCGCCGACCTCGATCGTGTCGTCTTTGGCGGGCGCACGCTGTCCGAGGCCGAGGCCAACACCAAGGCGGCCAAGGTGCGTCCTCACTTTCTCGCCCTCTCGTCGTTCTCCTTCCCGGTCACTCGGACTCACGCCGACTTTCGGCCTGCAGAGCGAGCTCGTCCTCGCCCTTCACGAGATCGGCGCGTCCTACCGCTTCGGCTGGGGCGTCGACAAGTCGAAGCAGATGGTACGTCCCCTCTCTCACTTTCGGTATCCTCGCCGTCGCGGCACACCCTGACTCGCTCGCGCTCCTGCAGGCCGTCTCGTACTTTCGCCTCGCCGCCGACCTTGGTGACGTCGATGCGCAGCAAGACCTTGCCTTTGCGCTCGCCAACGGCAAGGGCTGCAAGAAGGACCTCAAGGAGGCGGCCCGCTTCTACCGCCTCGCGATCGCTCAAGGCGCACCGAGCTTCGGGCTCAGCTGGGTCTACAAGGACAAGTACCTCGGGGCGTGAGTATCGCCGTCGCGACCGGGATACGATGATGGCGGCGGCGGCGGCTCGAGGACAGGCTCATAGACACTCTTTTCACCTCTTTCCGCGCTGTACATACCTTCTCCTCCCCCTCGCCCTCTCTCGTGTCGTATAACTATCTCTTCCACTGTCCTCCTTGCCTCTTCTGCTTGAGAGGGAGCGAGAACGAGAACGAAAGGGAGAGCGAGAGCAGCAAAAGCAAGTCGCGCTTCGACCTTCTCAAGTTGCAGCTCCTCGATCGAGAGGTCGACAGATAGCTCGCGGGTCTCTCGGACAGCCTCAGTCGCTCGCAGTAAGATGTCGAGAACGTTTCAAAAGTGGCTATGGAGAAGAACGAGGCGAGGCTACAAAGCGCGAAAGGGTCTATGCGGGAGAAGGACAGGGAGAGGGGAGGTGCGACGACGGTCGACTTTATCGCCGACCGCGTGCCGTGTAGGCCGTGTCGGGACTGAAGGCGCCCGGGTTGATGGCGTCGATCTGGGGCATCGGGGCGAAGTCGTGCGCCTCGTTGCTCGCGTGGAGCCACGCGTGGCTCTCCCAGGGCGGCGTGAGAGGGCGACCGCCGCCGACGGTCGTGTCGACGCGCAGGTCGCCGGGAGCTGGCCTGCGCGTATGGGCAGAGCGGTGCCCAGGGTCCACGTGACGCGGATGCTGGTCGTGGTGGTGCTGCGCGGCGTGCGGCGAGGTCGAGCGGATTGGGCGCAAGCGCGGGCCGGGGTGGTGGGGAGAGGCGGCAGGTTCAGGCTGCCTCGGCTCGTCGTCGACATGGTCCCAGTTCCAAGCTGACTGCATGTCTGCGGGCTCGAGGAGTCAGTGAAGGTGCTGGACGAGACGAGGCGGACAGGAGGACGCATTGCGCTCGACGGGCGAGAGGAGGTGGGCTGAGCCTGCAGCGGCACGAGTGGGTCAGTCCCCCGTGCAAGACGGCTCGAGGAGTCGCAGGAGAAGAGAGACGCACTGATAGGGCTTGAGGGGACCCACGAGTGACGAGAATTCCGCCCTGCGGGTCGACGAGGCGAGCGAAAGTCAGTGACTGCCGACGACGGCGGAGCGGACGCTCGGGACGAACCAGAACTCGTCACCGTGGGTCGATGCTCCAGTTCCGGGTCGTAGGACGTAGCGTGAGTCGACTGGCGGTGCTGCGGCGCGTGATGGACTTGTCCCGGTGCGGCGCTCGACGGGTAGTGTGACGGGACGGCGTGGTGGCCGAGGCCATCTGCGGGCGATACTTCTCGTCAGGGACGAGAAGGCGAAAGAAAAGGCGGCGAGAGAGACGACGTACCGCCCTGGGGGTCGTAGAAGTCGCTAATGTCGATCCCGGCGATGCCTGCGAGCGAGAGGGACAGTCAGGGTCCGACGTGCGCGCCGACGAGGGAGAATCGACGCACTGTAGGTCGTGTCGGGTCGTTCAAGGGCAGTGCGACGAGGGACGCTGTGCGGGACAGGCTCTTCTCGGTGTCGGGACGGCGGTCGGTCGAGGTGCGCGTCGTAAGTCGGCGGCGGCTGCGGACGGCGACGAGATGAGCGCGCGAACGAGGACAGCGCCGGGGAGAGAGAGGACGCACCGCATCGTAGACGTGCTCCTGGTCGCTAAGCATCACGATGCGAAGCGTGCTCAAGAGGTGCTCGAGGCCAGCGACGAGGTCGTCCTGGTACTGCCACTCGCCCATGACGTTGCCGATCTCCTGTCGCACGAGGAAGAAACGTCGTTTGTGCTTCTCGTGGCGCTTCTGCGTGCTAGCTGGGAAGGGGCGCGAGCAAGAGTCAGTGCGGGCCGGCACGACGGCATCGAGAGGCACAAGGGGGCCGCACAGCCCAAGATGCTGGCGAACGCATCGCGCTTGAACACTCGAGTGGCGTTCTTCTCGGCTTCGCGCAGCTCATCTTGGCGAGTCGAGATTCGACGAGCGGCGTCGTCGCGGTCGCGCTTGGCCTTCTCAAGGAGTCCTTCTACGTCGTGCTGGCGCTCGACGATCGTCTGCGGGCGTTGAACAGTCAGAATGCGTAAAGAAGTCGGGAGTCGGCGCACGAGGCGGCGAGAGAGGAAGAGGAGGGCGCACACGCTCTTTCAGGCGCATCCAGTCGTCTTGGGCCTGGATCGCCGCGACGGCTTGCGCCCTCGAGGCGACGAGAAGGTCGTGCCGTCGCTGTTGCTCACCTGCAGACCGTCGAGAAGGTCAGAATGGCGCAGACGGAGAGGCGAAAGAAGAGCGCGACGAGATGCGGGACTTGCCGGCGTCATCTGCGAGCGCGAAAGGGCCAGAGCGTCAGTCCCTGGCTCAGGTGCGACCCAGAGAGATAGAGAGGAAGTCTCGACGCACCCGGGACGAGCTTGCCCTGCAGGCGCCCGATGTACTGGCGCCATTGCCGGACGTCCTCCTCGGCCGTGCGCAGCGGGCCGTCGTAGTCGACAGGTTGGTGGACGGGACTCGGCGTGCGCGGCCGGTACATGGCGAGAGAGCGCAGCAGAAGAACTCGAGGCGAGCAGGGGCCAAGAACGCGAGGGAAGCGGGTGCGAGGAGAGCCAGCTGCGCGAGCGCGAGCACGAGCTGCGCGGGCGAGTGCTCGCCGAGCCGTCCGCGGACGGTCCGGAACGCCTCAGGCCCGGTCTGAGCTCCTGTCCGTCTCAAGACGGGACCCGGACCGCTCGACGTTCGTCCGCGCCCCAGACGCTCGAGCCTCTCTCGCGAGCGCTCCGGCGGAAGCGGCAGCATGAGCCTGCACAGGCGCACAGCGTGTCGAGAGAAGGGACGTGACGGGCGACGACGGCGCATGGCATTGCAGCCGAGGAAAGATGGGGAGGGGGTGTATGCGAGGAGGGAACGTGGCGAGATGCAGCTGTAGTCGAGGGGGCGGGAGGAGAGTCAGTGAGGTGCTCGGTGCACGCTGGGCGAATGCTGCTGCGGGAGCCGCCGAGGATCCCTTTCAGCGACGCGCTCAGAGCTCCCGCCCCTCTCGCCACCGGGTCCCGCCGGAGCGAGAACCGAAGAGCGCGAGGGACGAGAGGCTCGCGGCGTCAAGGGCCCGTCTGAGCTTCGTCAGCGGTCTGGCGCACTCGCCTTGCGGCGAGGCCCTGACCTCGAAGAACAAGGATGACTGTGAGACGGTTTCATCCAGAGGGAGAACCTCGGCGGCAGCTGGTCGAGGAGGAGGGGAGAGAGGGGAGGGGAAGAGGGAGAGGAGAGGAGCGGGACGCACATGGCGAAGCGCGCGCGAGCCTCTGCACGCTCCATGCATGCTACCCGTGCCCTCCAATGCGACTGCAGCCCTCCAAGAGCGGCCGAGGTCGCGTTTGTCGACCGCGTCGGGGCTGGAGGAGCGAGGCGGACGAGTCTGGCCACCGTGACGGCGTGGCGAGAGGGGGGCGCGTGCCCAGTCGATCGAGCGAGGTCTTCGCAAGCAGGAGAGCGCAGCAGTGCACTTGCCCGGCGGACAGCGGCGAGGGCGGCGAGGGGACGAGATGAGGTCGAGGCGCCCGACCTGTTTCATCTCTCGTCCACTCCGCGCACTCGCTCGACGCGTGTGACTGCTGCTCCTGCTACGTCCAGGGCGACTCGTACTTCAAGCTCCACCCACCAGCCGCACCGCCAGACGCCGCCGTCGCCGCCGCGCGCTCCTCGTCCTCACCCTCCGCGCTCGACCCGATCGACACCGCGTCGCCCTCGAGCACCCAGGTGAGCACCGTGTCCGAGCCTCTGTACTGGGTCAACCGGCCGCTGCAGTCCATCCGATTCGCCGGCCGCAGCCTTACGAGCCCGACTGACCCCTTCGTCCTCGTCCCTCGACAGCCTCTCTCCGCCATGGCGTCCAACTCGAGCCTCGCGTTCGGCAAGTACGAGTGGATCTGCTCTCGCGGCGCCCTCATCGTCTGCCCGCTCCTCGGCGAGACCGACTACGGCATCGAGCCCGTGTGCTACTCGCGCAATGTCGAGTTTGGCCGCACCCTCGTCTTCCAGCCCGGTGCGTCTCCCTCGCCCTCTACCCTCGTCAGGCGTGCGTACTGACCCTCGAGGCCCTCACACTCGCAGCGACGTCGTTCCTCCATATCTGCGCCCTCCTCATGGTCGTCATCATGATCCTCCACATCCGGAGCAAGTACACGGCCGTCGGGCGCAAGGAGATCTTGTGCTTCTTCTACATGTACTTCCTCGAGGAGCTCCTCGCCATCTTCCTCGACTCGGCCATCATTCCCCCCAGCTCGGACGTCTACGCCGTGCGTCCACCTCTCTCTCTCCCCCTCGTTCCGCCTCGAGCGTCATCCTGACCTCGCCTTTCGACGCCCTCGCAGTGGTTCGCCGCCATCCACACCGGCTTGGTGTGCGCAACATTCTGGTGCCTGCTCGTCAACGGCTTTGTCGGGTTCCAGGTCGTCGAGGACGGCACGCCGACCTCTCTCTGGGTGCGTCCTGACCCTCGCATCTTCTTGCCCGCTCTCGTCGAGCGCCTCACTGACTTGCATCGGGCCCTGTAGATCCTGCAAGGCTCTTCGGCTGTCGTCGGCATCGTCGTCGGCCTCATCGCAATCGGCACGTTCAAGGACGCGGCCGGCCTCTCGTCGGCGACCCCGACCGGCCTCTGGGTCCTCCAGTTCATCTTCAACCTCGCGTGTGTCGTCATCTACATCGTCGCCCAGCTTCTCCTCGTGTGGCGCACGCTCGACGACCGGTGGCCGATCGGCGACATCTTGTTCGGCACGGGCTTCTGGATCATCGGCCAGGTTCTCCTCTACGGCTTCAGCAACCAGATCTGCGACGCCGTGTCGCACTACCTCGACGGCACCTTCTTCCATGCCCTGTGCACCCTGTTTGCCGTCATGATGGGTGCGTCCGCCGCCTTCTCTTCTTCTCGCCGAGCGTGCACCTCAAGGAGCGCACGTGCTGCGCCAGAATGCGGCTCACGCACACTCTCACGTCTCGCAGTCTACAAGTACTGGGACAGCATCACCAAGGAGGACGTGCGTCTCCTTCTCCCTCCGCCCTTCTCGTCCCCGTTGGCCCTTACTGACCTATGCTCCTCGCCGCGCAGCTCGAGTTCTCGGTCGGGTCCAAGACGGCCGCATGGGACATCAAGGAGAGCCTCCTCGACGAGGACGACCGCTCGTACGGCCAGGGGGCCTACCCGCCGCAGAAGACCTACTCGTCGTACGGCTACTGAGCGGGCTCGTGCGCGTCGGTGCGAGGGGAAGGAGGGCGCGACGGCCTCACTCGAGCCGCCTAGAGGATCGAGGCGAGGTGGCCCTGTGTATACCCCTCCCCTACGGCGACTCGACGTTCTCCCGCCCTCGGTCTCCCTCCTCGACGACGTTTCCCCTCCCCTCTCACAGACACTCCCGCTCGTCGCCGACCTTGCCCTCTCTCGCTTCTCGGCCCCCTGGGCGCCGTGTATGTAACGCTGCCGCACGACTCCTCGCGTCCGTGCGGTCGCCGCCTCGAGCAGAGCGGGCCGAGCGCGCAAGCGAGAGCGAGTTTCGAAAGTGCCGGCTGCCTCTCTCCTCCCGGCTCCCCTCTTGAGAGCAACAGACGCCAGCTCGAGAGTGCCGAGCTTCGTTGGCACTCGGGTGCGCAGCGGAGATTCTGGCAGAGCGGTTTTCGACGCACCCGGTGAGCCGGCTCGACGCGACCCGACGGCGGAGAGCTCGCGTCGTCCTCGCTCCTCCCCACCTCCTCCTACAGCTGCCGCTCGCCCATCCACGCCAGCTACAGCCATGGCACTTCCCTCTGAGAGCGAGTACGGGCCCATCCGGTGCGCCCTCGGTCCTCTGTCGCCCTGTGAGCCTGCCGGCCCCCACCCGGCTCACCTCGCTCCTCGCACAGCACGCCTCTCGACGTCGACAAGCTGCGGGCCTACATCGAGCAGCAGGTCAAGGGCTTCAAGGTCGACCCGACCGTGTACCAGTTCTCGTTCGGCCAGTCGTGCGTCCACTCTCTCTCCCCTCGCCTGCCCCACCTCTTCTGCAGCGCCCGAGCTTCGAGCGCTGACCGCTACCCGTGCGACGACACAGCAACCCGACCTACCTCCTGACGGGCAACGACGGCAAGAAGTACGTCGTGCGCACCCGTCCGCCGGGCCCGCTCGTGAGCAAGACGGCCCACGCCATCGACCGCGAGTACCGCATCCTCGACGCCCTGAGCCAGGAGGGCAGCGTCCCCGTGCCCAAGGTGTACCACCTGTGCAAGGACGACTCGGTCATCGGGCGGCAATGGTACCTCAGTGCGTCTCGCTCGTTCTCTCCTCGTCTGTCAAGCCGAGCTCGAGCCTGTCGCCCTCTCGCCTAGGCTGACCCTCTCTTTGCCTGTCGCGCAGTGGAGTACCTCGCAGGGAGGAAGTACGAGGACGTGCGCATGCCCGAGGTCGAGACCAAGCAGGAGCGCGAGGCACTGTGCGTCCCGGCTCGACCCTGTCCTTCCGTCGCCTCTTCCGGCGCGCTCAGGGACGCTAGTTGCTGACGTCGTCACGCACAGGTGGCTGTCGGCGATCCAGACGCTCGCGTCGCTGCACGCCCTCGACCCGCAGAAGATCGGCCTCGGCAACTACGGCTCGACGGCCGCGTTCTACCCGCGGCAAATTCGGTGCGTCCCCCTCCTCTCGATACCTTTCCCTCTCTCTCTCTCTTGAGCCTGATCAATCCTGCTCGTCGACAGATCCCTGTCGAAGGTTTCGCAGGCCCAGTCCGAGGTCAAGAACGCGAAAACGGGCGAGCCGGTCGGCCCAATCCCGAACCTCGAGTTCCTCCTCAAGTGGTACGGCGCCAACCTGCCTGGCGCCAACCCGAACGCGCCGCAGATCCAGCAGGGCGGCAGGAGCCTCGAGGCGAGGATCGTTCACGGCGACTTCAAGATCGACAACTTGGTGCGCTCGACCTTCTCAATCTCTCGAGCGGACGATGCCGCCGAGGACGGGCGGTACTCGTCGGCCCAGGGTCTTGTTCGTCTCTCCGAGACGTTCGGCACTCGGGCCAGCAGGTTCTTGACGACAGACAGCCTCACTGACTCGTCCTTCCCCTCGTCCTCCCCTTCTTCCTCCTCTCGCCCGCCTCGCCCTCACGCAGATCTTCCATCCGACAGAGCCTCGCGTCATCGGCGTCATTGACTGGGAGCTCTCGACCCTCGGGCACCCGTTCTCGGACCTCGCCAACCTGCTGCAGCCGTTCTACATTCCAGCAGGCAAGGGCGCGGCGGGCTACTTGACGGGCTTGAGGTGCGTCTCGCGTGCTCTCTCGGGCCATATCCTGACAGTCGACGACAGCAGCAAGCTGCCGTCGACGCCTAGAAGAGCGAGGACTGACCCTTTGCCCCTCGTGCGCAGGGACCTCCCACCTTCTGCGCTCCCGATCCCGCCTCCCTCGGTCCTCCTCTCGACCTGGTGCACCCACCTCGGCCTCGACTTTCTCACGACCGTCGGCGGCGACGCGGGCACGGCGGCGGCGGGCGCGATGGGCAACCTCGAGCTCGAGCAGCAGGGCGACGTCGCGAGGGGCAGGAGGGCGTGGGAGGGCTGCGTCTCGTTCGCCTTCTTCCGGGTGCGTCCCTCTCTTCTCTCGATCAGTCTCTCTCCTCTCGCGCGTAGACTGACTCGAGCTCGTCGTCGTGCAGCTCGCCGTCATCACGCAGGGCATCGCCGCCCGTGTCGCGCAGGGCAACGCCTCGTCGGCCAAGGCGGCGCAGCACGCCAAGATCTTCCCGCGCCTGAGCGAGCTCGCGATCGAGCACATCAAGGTCTTTGCAGACGGGCCGCAGGGCGAGAAGGCGAGGCTGTAGAGCTGGTTCGGCCGGCGAGGTTCGAGACGAGGTCCGTGCAGTGCGATTTCTCAAGTTTAGTGCCCTCTCAAAGCGCTCTCGAGGCCCGAGACAGAGAGAGAGAACGATGTGCGAGTTACGACAACAAGGTGAGAGAGAATACGGCTCGACGACCCCGTCCCTCGTCGCTCACGACCCTCGCTTGGCCAAGTCGTTGAGGACCTGGCTCACGCGCAGCCCGAGCTCCCTCAACCGCTCGCGCACGTCCTCCTTGTCCTCCGGGACGCGCAGCACGTACCGCTCGAAGCGGTCCGGGTGGTACGCGAGCGTCGCCTGGCGCAGCGTCTGCTTGTGCTGCGCCGACGGGAGCGAGTCGGGGAGGAGGAAAGTCGAGATCGAGGTGGGCGTGAGGTCGGCGAGGGAGGGCCAGGAGAGGGGAGGGAAGGCCATGGGCGGGTAGACGGGCCAGGGAAAGTCGGTGAAGCGCAGGGGGAACGAGGTCGAGGAGGAGGAGGAGGAGGAAGGTTGGTCGGCAGGGGCGGCGGCGTCGGCATCGTCGGCGGGTGCGGGTTCGACGGTGTCGGGGGTAGGTGCGCCTGGTGCGGCTGGCGACGCCGGTGTTGGTGGCGCAGGTGGTGCGGCCGCAGCCGCAGCGACGGCCTGCTGCAGCTTCCTCCAGCCCTCGTCGTACCTCCTCCTCGCCTCGACCTCCTCCTCCTTGCTCTTGCGCTTCTTGCGCTCCTCGAGGCGCCGAATGCGCTCGCGCTCCTCCCTGTCGCGCTTGTCCTTGTCCTTGCGGTCGCGCTCCTCCTTTGCGCGGCGCTCCTTGTCGAGGCGCTCGAGGCGCTCGACCTCGTCGCGGTTCTTGCGGCGCCACATGCCGGCCCGCACAAACTCGGCGTACTCGTCCTCGTCCATGTGGGACAGGTACGAGGCGGCGGGGGCGATGCCGGCCGCTGCGCCGGCGGCCGAGCCGTAGGTGGTGGCGTAGGCTGGGACCTGGCGGGCGTAGAAGTCGTCCTCGATGGCGCCGATGCCGCTGTCGGCCGCCTCGGCGTCGGCGAGGGCCTCGAAGAACTCGTCGTCGGTGCGGGTGCGCTTGTGGGCTTGAGGAGGAGGGAGGTGCGAGTCGCCGTCGTCGTCGTCGCCGCCGGCGCCGCCGCCGGGGCCGTGGTAGTCGTCGTCGGTGCCCTGGCCAAGGTAGAGCGTGCGCTTGTGGTCCTTTGGCGGGTTGCGGGGCGGGGTGAGCGACTCGGAGCGAGGCCGCGAGCGGTGCTTGCTCTTGCGGGCTGCGCGTTTCTGTGCGCGCAGGACGGCCTCGTCGTAGGCGGTCGGCTTCATGCGGAGAGGCATGGCCGCCCAGCACCAGAGCAGCGGCGAGCAGAGTGGACGAGAGAGAGAGCGAGGCTGTCGAGGTTGACCTCGTCCAACCCTCGATGCTGCGCTCCCCCTTGCTGAGAGCTCGTCCTGTTGGGCCACTGCCACGAGCAGCTCTTCATTACCCCTCACGGGCACCGCCAACTTCAACCGTCGTCGCCTTCACCAGGTCCTGCTCGTCGTCATCTTCATCTCCCTCGCCAAAGCTCCGCTTCGCACCGTCACCAACTGGGTACCTGCATCTTGGAGGCCTCCGTACTGCTCTCTACAACCACCTCCTCGCCCGCAAACTCGGCGGCAAGTGGGTCCTTCGAGTCGAGGACACGGACCAGGTGCGTCCCCCCTCTCTCGCCTCGCCATCGAACGTCCCTGACACTCTATTGCTCACCCAACACAGACGCGGTACGTCGAAGGAGCCGTCGAGTCGCTCCTCAAGACGCTCGACTGGGCCAAGCTCGACTTTGACGAGGGTCCGTCCCCCACTTCCTCCTCTCCCTCCTCGCCTCCTCGACCCACAGTCCTGACCCTCTTACGCCTCCCAGGTCCTCAAAAGGGCGGCCCGAACGAGCCTTACTTTCAGTCGAAGCGCAAGGACATCTACGACCGGTACCTCGAACCGCTTCTTGAGGTGCGTCATCTCGCTCGCCGTCCTCCATCGGCCGCTCAGTCGCATGCGCGTCGACGGTCAAGAAGTTCGTTCATGACCTGACACTTATACTTGTCCCTTCTAGACCGGCAAAGCGTACCACTGCTTCTGCACGCCCGAGCGCCTGGCCTCAACCCGCAAACGCCTCCAGAAGGAGGGCTCGCACGAGGGGTACGACCGACGATGCCTCGGGCTGTCGAAGGACGAGGTCAAGGAGCGACTCGAAAAGGGAGAGCGCAACATCGTCCGCTTCAAGGTGCGTCCTTGGCGCCGAGAGGCCTTCTCTTCGTCCGCCTCTCCTTCTCCGGCGACTGACTCTCCTTTCACCACCACGCAGAGCTCGTCCGGCTCGCTCACGCAGGAGGACCTCATCTACGATCCGATTCACTACGACTCGCTCCCGCTCGAGGACTTTGTCCTGCGCAAGTCGGACGGCCTCCCGACCTACCACTTTGCCAACGTCGTCGACGACCACGAGATGGGCATCACGCACGTTCTGCGAGGCGAGGTGCGCCCGAATCTCTCTCGTTTCTCTGTGTGCGTGGTCACGAGCGACGACTGACGCTCAGAGCGGCGCGCGCAGGAATGGCTCCCGTCGACGCCCAAGCACTTGCAGCTGTACGACGCGCTCGGCCTGTCGCCGCCCCAGTTTGCCCACCTGCCGCTCCTCGTCAACCCTGACGGCAGCAAGTTGAGCAAGAGGGCGGGCGACGTCCGGGTTGAGGACTACATCGTGCGTCCCCCGTCTTCTACATCCCCTCCTCGGCTGCTCGGCGCACTAGCCGCAGCGTCGAGATAATTGCAAGGCGGTCTCTACTGACACACTCTCCGTATACAGACTAAGGGCTATGAGCCCGAGGCGCTCCTCAACTTTGTCGCCCTCATGGGCTGGTCCCCTCAGTCGTCCTCGTCCGACACGCCCGACCCGTCGACGATCCCGACCTCGTCCTCGCCGCGCGACGCCTCGAATGAGGAGGTCCTCCCTCTCGCAGCCCTCATCCAGGCCTTTTCGCTCGAGGGCGTCAACAAGAACCGCGCGACGATGCAGAGCGCCAAGCTCGACTTCCTCAACCGCGCGCACGTGCGCATCAAGCTCGCCGATGCGGCGCCGGGAGGTGGGCGCGACGACGTCGCGAGGAGGACGTGCGAGGTCGTGAGGGGCAAGTGGCCTGACTTGGCGGGCGAGACGGTCGAGGAGCCGTACGTGGCTCGCGTGCTCGACGCTCTCAAGGTGCGCCCTCTTGTCCTCTCTGCCTCCTCCTTCTCGACCTGAATCTTGGAAGCATCTACTGACTCGCGCGTATACGTCCCTGCAGGACCGGCTGCACACGATCGTCGACGTGCCGTCGCTCGGCGCCTACTTCTTCCATCCGCCAGTTCTCGACTCGGCGCTCGCGTCCCAGCTCTTCAAGAGCGTCCCTCTCGAGACCCACCGTACGTCCCTCCCGGTCCTCTTTCGCGTACTCTCGATCGAGGAGCCCGTCCTGACTGTGCGCCGCCGTCCTCGCCCAAAGGCGCATCCCTGCGCTCGGCCCTCTCGGCGCTCTCGTCCGCTCCTTTCCCGTCGCCCGCCCAGCCTATGGACGAGCTCGACACGGCGACGCTCAAGGACGTCCTCGACCACCTCGTCGATGAGCGCGGCGGCAAGACCAAGGCCAAGGAGGTCATGAACCCGCTTCGGTGGGCGCTGACTGGACAGAAGGTGCGTCTCCCGGTCGCTCAACTCTTCAGCGCTCCTTCCCTCTCCTTGAAAGAACGTGTACTGATGAGCTTGCGTCCGACCCGTACAGGTCGGGGCGGGCGTTGTCGACGTCGTCGCTGTACTCGGAAAGGACGAGGTCGTGCGGCGGCTCGAGGCGGGCCTTGCGTGGATCGAGGCGCACGAGAAGGCGAGCTAGTAGAGCAGGAGACATGTAGCACGAGGATGAGCAGCCTTGTTGTAACGAGTCGAACGAGCAGTCGCAGCTCTCTTCCTTTCGTCCTTCCCGCTCGCGCCTCTCGCTCTCGCTCAGTCTCTCGCTTCTCGCTCTCGCTCTATCTCTCGCCTCTCTCGCTACCTGTCGCTGCTGGCACGCTTCGTCACACAGACCAGGAACAGGTCGCTGCAGCTCGATGTGCTACGGCTCGCGAGATCCGACCGTCCCGCCCGCGCTCGCGCCGCTCGGGCCCCTGCGCCCGAGCTACTCCATCGGGTTCGTCCGCCCCTGCTGCTCGATCCGCCCGTCTCTCTGCCCGTCGCCGACCCGGAAGCACCCGCACAACAGCCAGTCAAGCCACCCAATGTCGTCCTCATCGTCGTCGCCGATGTCGCCGCCGCGCCGCCGCTGCTCCTGCTGCGCGCCGTACGCCGACGACGAGGGCGACGCAGCACGCATCGAGGGCATCGACGTGCGCGGTGACGGGCGACGTTGCCGAGCATTGGCCGGCGTGTACAGGCCCGGCGACGAGAAGGGCGTCGAGTGGTTCGAGCTCCAGGCGGGCGAGGGCGTGCGCGGTGGCGGAGGCGCGGGCGCGCAGAACGAGGCCGTCGTCGGCATGTGGACGGTCGACGCGTTCGAGTTGACCGTGTGAAGCGTGTGGCTGCTGCCGGTGCGGAGCGAGAGGGCGCCCGGGCGGGTCGGCGTCGGCGAGGTGACGACGACGTCGAGGAACGGGTTGCTGCCCGGCGCCATCGACGAGCGCTTTGTCGGCGAGCCCTGCGGCGTCGACGGCGTCGAGCTCGGCAGGACGGGCAGGTCCTCGATGAAGCGCGACGCGGCGCGCGCCGTGCGGTCCGTCGCCGTCGACTCGAGCGAGACGAACGACGCGTTGGAGGGCGAGAACGGATTCGACGGGTGGTGCGTGCTCGTCGGCGTCACGAGCGACGCGTTGTCGAGCGAGAGCCGCTCGTCTGGCGGAAGCCGAGAGGGCCCGCCCGCACGGACCGCCTCGTCGTCCTCGCCGACTTGCGCCAAGCCGCCCTTGCCGCTCGGCCGACCCGCATCCACCAGCGTCGTCGCCGAGCCCTCGGCCGCACCGACCTGCACGCTGAGTTTCTTCCTCGCCCGCCGCCCTGCGACGCCCTCCTCGAGCTGCATGGCGTCGGTCCCGCCGAGCTCAAAGTCGCCCGCTTCGAGCGAGCTCGCCTCGACGGTGCCGCTGCCGGCTCGTCGTCGACTCCCGGTGCGGAGCAGGGTCGAGGTGCGGCGGACGAGGGACGTGGGCGAGAGAGGAGGAGGGGAAGGGAGGGACGGCATGACGAGCTTGGTGGAGCGTCGCAGCGAGGCTCGCCGCTTGGCGTCGGCGCGCGACCATTTGGCGAGGTTCTGCAGAGGTTGAGTCGTCAGTGGAGCCCGTAGAGAGCTATAGGAGAGAGTCGAGGCGCACCTGCTGGATCCTGCGCTCCTCTGCCGCCTCGTCGTCCTCGTCCTCGTCTCCCGCCGGCCGCATGTCGAGCACGACGTCGCCGCTCGCGCCCCTCACGTGCGAGTACGGGCCCTCGACGGCGCGCCCTTTGCCCTTGTCGCGGACGGGCGACGACCGGACAGCGGCAGGACCGGCGCGCAAGCCGAGGTCGCCGTCTTCTCGCTCATCGCCCGCCTCGTCCGGCCCGTCCGTCTCCTGCCCTCCTGCGGCGTAGGTCGAGCTGGCCGAGGTCGGAGGAGCGGCCTTGAGCGGCGAGTCGTACGGCTCGGGGTGGGAGGCGGAGGCGCTGGAGGCGGAAGGTGGGGGAGACGGCTGGGCGAGGTGCGAGGGAGGAGAGGATGGGCCCGGTCGTGAGGGTGCAGACATCGGCTGTGCCGGTAGGCCTCGGCTGCGCGGCTGGCCGGGCTGGTCGTGGGACGAGGAGGAGAGGGCGCAGTCGATCGGCGACGACGATGAGGACGAACGAGGGCCGAGGGTTGGGCGGGCGCGTGCTCGGTAGAGTGCGTCGCTGGCAGCTGTGCACAAGCAGCTGAGCGCAAGAGTACCCCTGGGCAGAGCGGCGTGAGGGAGTCGACGGACCACTGCCTTCAAATTCCCGGCCTCGTTCGCTCGACTCTCTTGCTCTCGAGAGCAGTCGGGAAGAGCACACGGTGTCGCAGTACTGCACTCGAGAGCCATCTAAACCCGCCCGGCTCACTTCTAGAGAACTGTCCCTCGGCTCACCCGACGCTCGACTCGCTCCCGCTCCGCCTGCCACGTCCTGCCGCTAGACCTCGCCCCTGAGCACCTTCTCGCGCATGTCCCTCGCCGTCTGGATCGCCCGAGACGGCATGCCCGCCAACCGCGCAATGACGAGCCCCGCCGAGTCGTGGTTGAGCCCTCGCCTGATCGTGTGCACGTACCGCACGTCGTCCTGCGCACGAGAGAGGGAGAGACGGACAGGAAGGAACGGGAAAGGGACACGTCGAGAGAGAGAGAGAGAGAGTCAGGACCTGTGCGAGAGAGAGGGAAAGGGGCAAAGAGGAACGAGCGACGCACCTCCCTCTCCTCGACGTCCGTGCACCAGAACTCGACGCCCTCCCACTCGCCCGTGGCCCTCGCGCCCTCGTCTCTCGCGCCGTCGTACCCGAGGAGCGCACCGAGGCGGTGGTAGTGCGTCGCAAACAGGGTGCGCGACCGGTTGACGTGCGCGAGGTGCTCGAGGGCGGCGTAGGCGATGGCGAGGCCGTCGATGGGCGACGTGCCGCGGCCGAGCTCGTCGAGGAGGACCTGCAGGTGAGGCCTTGTCAATGTGGGGCTTCTACGAAGAGGCGCACAACCGGCAAGAGGAAGCTCGTCGAGCAGGACGCACCAAAGACCTTGACGTCGCGTTCTCGAGGATCGTCGTCGCTTCGTCCATCTCGATCATGAACGTCGACCGGTCGCGGTCGAGCTCGTCCCGGGCGCCAACGCGACTGTACACGCGGTCGCACACGCCGATGGTGGCCCGCTCGGCGGGAACGTGCGACCCGGCTTGCGCGAGGACGCAGATGAGGGCGGTCTGGCGCAGGAAGGTCGACTTGCCGGCCATGTTCTGCAAGGAACGTAGAGGAGAGGGTGGGGAGAGGGCGAGAGCGTCAGGACGAGGAGACTGGGCGAGGGAGGGGACGAGGGGGAGAGAGAGAGCCGGGCGACGCACGGGCCCCGTGAGGACGTGAATCACGGACGGCTCGTCGTCAAAGTCGTCGAGGTGGCGGAACGTGACCGAGTTGGGCGTGAAGGAGCGCATCTGCGCGACGAGCGCGTTCTCGACCGTCGGGTGTCGGCCAGCGACAATCTCGAGGGACGAGCTGTAGGTCGCGAGGAGGTTCAGTCGGCCGAGCGTGCTCGGTTTGGACGAGGGAGTAACGAGAAGGAGGGACGCACCTCGTGTCGACCTCGGGGCGGACCCAGCCGTTCTCCTCGGCCACCTCGGCAAAGCCCATGACGACGTCCAGCTCGGCGAGCGCGTCGGCCGTCTGCAGCAGGCTGTCGTAGCTCTCGAGTACCTGAGAGGGCGCATACAGTCAGAGACGACGAGGCAAGGGGAGGAGAGAGGGCGAGAGTGAGAGAGAGAGAAGGAGACGCACACGAGCAACGAGAACCTGCGTCGCCTCGATCTCGAGGTTCTGGATGCGCTGCTCGGCGTCCGTGATCTTGCGGTGTAGCATAGCCCAATCCTGTGGCAGGCGACGAGGAGTTAGTCCTGCTGATACCGGGGTAGCAGAGAGGGTGAGAGGAAGATCGAGACGTACCCGGTTGACGTACAGCCTCGTCGAGTTAGTCTTCTGGTGCACGAGCGCCGCCGGGTCCTTGTCGATCTCCTTGACGCCGTCGCGGACAAAGATGTGGACGGCGGGACCGACACGTTGCGCGACCTTGAGCGTCAGGTTCTTGGACTTGTACCGGGTACGGAGCTGGTCCTGGAGCGAGGCGGCTTGCTCTCGCAGCGAGGCGAGGTCGCCATGGAGCCTGGCGAGCGACGACGAGAAGCTGTGTGCGGACAAGCTGTCAGTACCGGGGACGCGGACGTAGGAGAGAGGGAGGAGGACGCACTCGGGCCGAATCACCCACGCCTGCGCCTCTCCCCACAGGCTCTCGCCGTCGCCCTCGTCGCGTGCCGATCCTCCCGTCGCACTCGTCTCCATCATCGCCCTGCTCGCCGCTCTCTCGCCGAGCTCGGCCGCGAGCGCCGCCGCCCGCTCGGCCTGCTCCTCCCTCGCACTGAGCGCGTCCTCGTCGATCGCGGCGTCGATCTCGTTCGCGAGCACGTCGTACGCGCCGAGCTGCTCTGCAAGCCCTCGGACCGCCGAGCGCGCCTCGTCGTCCGGGACGACGTCGGGCCCGAGGGCGTCGAGCTCGGCGCGGACGACCTCGAGCGCGCGCATGGTGCGCTTGAGGCCGAGGAGGTCGTGTGCGGGGTGGGCGCGCCGCAGGGCGAGGCGCTGCAGGAGCCGTGGGGTGTCGTCGAGGGTGCGAAGGAGGGCGCGGAGGTACGAGCGGGTGGTGGGGGCGCCGGTCGGGGACAGGAAGGCCGAGACGAGCGACAGGCGCGTGTGGATGGTCGGGAGGTCGGTCGAGGGTGCGCCTGCAGGGTTCAGACGAGTCAGATAGGCGAACGAGATAGAGAGGGGGAAGCAGGAGGACGCACAAAGTCGCTCGATGAGAAGACGGTGCCCGCCAGGGGTCACGGTCCGCTTGACGGCGCCGAGCAGGCTCCCGCGCACTCCTCCTCTCAGGCTCTCGCGCACCTCGAGCGACTTGAGCGTCGTCGCGTCCATCTGCATGACGGTCGCCGGGTCGACGTGCTTGGCCCTCGTGCGCGGCGGCGGCGTCGTCGGGAGCGTGCTTGCGAGGTACGACAGGAGGACGGCTTCGGCGGCCGAGCTGGGCGACGGGACGGCCGTCGATGACGATGGGACAGCGTCGGTCGACGTCTCGGACAGCATGATGCCCTCGCGGAGCCGCTCGCCCTCGAGGAGCTCGAGGATGCGCCCGCCGAGCTTGGTGTCGCGCAGCCGCTCGTCGACGACGACCTCCTTGGGCCGCACGAGGTGGATGTCGTCGCGCAACGTCGAGAGCTTGCTGACGCGCGTGAAGGACGCGCCCGTCGAGATGTCGCGGTACGCCAAGCCGATCTCGTCGCGCACGCTCGAGCCGCCGGCGACGCCGAGTGCGAGCACGAAGTTGGACTGGTCGAGGTCGACGAACGCCTCGTCGACGCCGGTGCCGGGTGTGACGACGCGCGTCACCTTGCGCGCCGTGACGGGCGAGTCGACGCCGGCCTCCTTGAACTCCTCGACGATGACGACCTTGTGGCCCGACTCGACGAGCGCCGACACGTGCTTGCCGAGCTGAAAGAGCGGGAAGCCGCAGAAGGGGTGCGGCACCTTGTTGACGCCCTTGCCAAACGACTTGCTCGTGAGCTTGATGCCGAGCAGCTTGGCGACCGACTTGGCCTGCTCAAAGTACGACTGCGGCGAGGGGAAGCGAGCGTGAGGAGGCGCTCGCGAGGACACGAGGGAAGGTCGGGGGACGCACCTCGAAGAAGGACCCGACCTGGATGAGGAGCAGGGCATCCGGGTAGTCGGCGAGGTACGAGCGCACGGCCTTCTCGAGCGCGGTGGCGCCGGCCCTGGCCCTCGGCGACTCGTGCGCCGCCTCGGGTTGCTTGAGGTTGTCGACGTCGTTCTCGGCTGGCTCTTGCGCGACAGGATTGGCGGTACGACCACGCACAGTGCGCTTGAGCGGTCTGGGCGGCTCGGCGTCGCGAGGTGGCGCTGTGGAAGCGAGCGAGTGAGCAGGGCCCGAGGAGGAACGGGATGGGAGAGATGAACGCACTTTGCACCTGGACCTTGCCGTCGAGGCCAAGCGGCGGGAGCGGTCTGCGCTCGATGCCGTACTCGTCGAGGACGACTCGAGGCGCGGACGAGGCCGAGGTGCCTGCGGCCGAGCTGGTGCGGCCTCGAGAGGTGCGCTGACCGGGACGGGATGCTGGGCGAGAAGTAGATGCCGCGCGCGCGCCTGGATTGGCGCTGCGCACGAGAGCAGAGCCGAGGCCGCGGCGGACGAACATGGGGGGCCGAGGAGGACGAGGGTCGAGAGTGCGAGGCGGCGCTCTGGGCGAAGGCGCAAGGCCGTGGACGAGGCGATGTACTCTGTGTGCCCTCGCTCGGCAGCACAGCAGCTCTGGCCGAGGCGCAGGCGGCGGGGAGGAGCAAGTCGACGACGGAGCACCGCCTCTCGCTCGTCCACCTCGTCCACCTCACCCGCACAGGCACTAGCCCCTCTGCTGGGCCGCGAGAACCGCTCACAGCACCCACTACATCGACCTCCAGCCGCACACGACTCAGCCCACACGCTTCGCCCTCTCCCTATAACACCAGGTGGGGGATCCTCATCGTCTCACCCACCCACCTCCTCCAGCACCACAGCGCGACCAGGTCGTTCCACCCACGCCTCGCCACCATGTCCAACAATCGTCCACCGAGCGCTCGCTCCGCCTCGTCCACCCCGCCCGAGCCCTTCCTCCTCTCGATCCTCCACCACCTCCTCTCGCCCTTCCCCTCGCCGCTCCCGCCGGCGCTCCTCAGTCAGACGTCCCGCCAGGCCATCCACTACCTCTCGATCTCGGCAGACGACGAGGTCTACTGGACCTGCGGCCGCAAAGACGACCAGGTCGCCCTTCGCCGCCAAGAGCTCGTCGAAGGTCCGCTCTCCCTCTCCCTCTCGTGGCCTCCTGCACCTTGACTGACTCGCCCAGCCTCCCACAGCCGGTAACCTCGACGACCTCGTCCTGTCGCACCCTCGGTTCGCCTTCGACCTCGACGAGACCAAGGCCCTCATCTCGCTCTCGCTCCCGCACTCGGCCTCGTCTCGGTCCCTCGGCGTCGTCCTCGTGTGGGAGGACAGCACGTCGCCCTTGGCCGCCGCGACGGGCGGCGTGACCGCCGGCCTCGAGCGCAAGCCCGACGAGGACGACATCCGGCCTGGGTGGACCTTCCTCGAGCTCCAGCAGGTCGACGACGCGGCCCTCGAGACGTCGCAGCGCCACTGGCACCCGTCGCTCGCCGAGGCCGTCGAGACGACGACGTCGAGCCTCGTCGACAAGGCGGCACCCGGCCGCGCCGACTCGTCGCCCTCGGCGGCGGCGCGGGACGAGGAGAACCGTGCGCGGTTCGCCGAGGCCGCGGGCGCGAGCGACTGCGAGGGCACCACCCCGGGCGGCATCGGCTCCGCCAACGACTTCTGGTCCGGGTGGAGCGATGACGAGGGCGACTCGGCGGGCAAGGTCGTCTTGAACGGCGGCGGCGGCGGCGGCGGAGGGGCGCACGGCGAGGACGACGCCGACGATGACTATTGGAGCTCGTACGGCGCTGTCGACAGCCAGGTCGGTAGCGAGGCGGCCGACGACGAGGACGACGAGCGCGGCCGAGTCGAGGAGCGAGCAGGGTCGAGCCTCGGCGCCGGCGCTCGCGCGCACCGCTCCGCGACCATCACGCCTGCGACGGCCGGCTTGGCGGCGGCCAGCCTGCCGTCCTCGCCGTCGACCGAGCAGCAGGAGCAGCAGCTGTCGTCCTCGAGCGCCGAGCTGCCCAGCTCGCCCGCTCACCGCGACCTTCCTCCCCCTCCGCCGGCGGCCGACACCGCCCACTCGTCCCCCTTCTCGGTGTCTCAGTACTTGAGCACGCCTTCACCCCGTACCCTCGCCTACCCGTCCTCGCCGAGCACGCTCCGCCCTTCCACGCCGCCGCCTCGCGCCCCGTCGCACGAGCGCTCGCGCCCAGCCGCCGCCGCCGCCGCCGCCGCACCCGTCAAGAGTCCTCAGCGCCCGTCGCACACGCGCAAACCCTCGGACGTCACCAAGGCGCTGCCCTCCTTCCCGGCGTTCCCGGTCCTGCCTCGCACCAAGAGCAACTCGACGCTCACGCCGGGCATGATGTACCCCGGGTCGGCGCCGACCTCGCCCAAGGTCGGTAACGGTCGTCCTGCACCACCGGCGGCGTCGACGACCGACAAGTCGCTGCCGCCTGCGCCCTCGCCCGCACCGTCGGCGCAACAGCTCTACGTCCACCACCGCCCCGAGACGTTCGCGCCGCAGTACGCGCACCTCATCCCTGTCGGGCGCGACGCGACGGCCCGCATCGCCGGCGCGCACGAGGTGCAGCAGCCGAGCTCGGCGCCGCAAGGGTCGCTCACGGCGCCGCTCCCGCCGTCGGCCAAGTTCCCCGAGTCGCCCTCGTCCTCTTCAGCCGCATCGTTCGTCACCGGCGCCTCGCCGATGCAGCATGCTCCCGAGTACGAGCACGGGCAGGCCCAGCCGAGCTTCCTCGCCGAGCCCCACGACGACGACGCCGACGACGCCGAGGAGCGCGTGCGGCTCGACCGGCTCGCGAGCGTCGGCTCGCTCGACGGCGGCCTCAGCATCGCGAGCACGTCGCTCACGAGCATGCTCCTCGGGCGCCGGTTCTCGACCTCGACCGGGCTCGAGGGCTACGGCGAGCAGGGCGAGGAGGGCAGCGCCAGCGCCGCAGGGACCGCGCGCCACTTTCCGCTGCCGCCGTCGCACAGCGGCGCGAGCGCGAGCGGCGACGAGCACGAGGGCGCGGCGACGGGCTCGCTCGGCGGCAGCAGGAGCGGCGAGGCCGAGAGCCTGCGCTTCGCCATGGCGGGCCTGTGGGGCCTGTTCGCCAGCGGCGCGAGGACGCCCGCCGAGCGGGCCGAGCGGCACAGGGTGTGGGAGCGGGTCGCGGCCGAGGTGCCGAGGAGCTGAGCGGGCTCGCCTCTCGCCGCCGTCGTCGGCCAGAGCGGTCGCGGCGGTTCGGCGGCGCACGCGGCGAGTGCGTGGAGCGACGCGAGCACGATCAGAGATCGAGCGTGATGGGCACGGCGACGGCGACATAAGGCGGCTCAGAGGGCGGCGGCGGTCGCAAAGAGCGGTACGGCGCGAGGTGGAACGAGCGGCGCAGGTTTCGAGCGGAACGAGCGGCACGAGCGCGAGAGAGGAGAGAACCGAGAGCTCTTCGGGCTGCTGAGCGGCCGCCGAGAGCTTGCATTCGTGTGATGGAGCGACAGCGACTCTCGCACCGACGCCCAGGAGCTGTCGAGAGCCGGCTCGCGGCGAAAAGTGGACGAGAAAGTCTCACCGCGAGGAGGATGGAGACGGTCGAGCGAGGAGGAGAGGGGAAGCACCCACCTCGGCGGGAGCTCTCGACTGGGACGCAACCTGTAGATGGTTGTCTTGCGAGTACTGCAGAGCTCTTACCGTCCGTCAGGGAGCGAGGGCGGGTCGCCGTCGCTGTCGTCAACCTCGAGGTCGACCTCTCGCTTCTTCCCGTCCGCTCTCATCGACACCGCCGCCCGCTCTCGGCCTGTCAGCTCAGCAGGACTCTAGCCAGGTCCCGCCTTGTGCCCCGACCCAGCCCACCAGCTGCCTGGTGCGTCCTCCTCTCCCTCGCCCCTTTGTCGGCCAACTCGCCGGCCCACCTCCTCCCTCACGCCTCGCCGTCGACCGAGCCCCATCGAGCTCGCCCTGGGTCGACTGCGCCCGCTCGAGAGGGTGATGGGTAGCGTGGTCGAGCTCTCGCAGCCCCGGCGAGGCAGACGAGGCTCGAGTCGGGCTCAGCTCGACCTTGCCCTCTTGCCCAACCCTCCCCACCACGACGACCGCGCTAGCGCACAGAGGGCATCGCACTGACCAGTGCCACCTCTTTCCGCTACAGCACTTCCCTGTCAGCCTACCCGAGCACCGCAGAGTCTCGCAGGCGAGGCTCGACGCCAACTTTCGTCCTCCGCCTCTCCTCCACCCGGCTCCGCCGTCGCTCCCTTCGGCATCCCCAGATCTCGTCACCTTCCTCGATCTCCCTTCCATCCGCACCATGACCGCCATCTCGACTCGCTCGTCCGCATCCGCACCCGCATCCGCCGACCGCCCAAAGCGCGAGCGCCAGACCCGCCTCCAGGAGCACCTGCGCACCGTCAAGCCGGGCTCGCGCTCGTCGTCGCCCAGCCGCGCCAAGCCCAGTTCGTCAGCAGCATCGTCGTCTGCCTCCAAGACGGTACCCAAAGCCCTCGCGGCGCTCGACCCGACCAGCGCCGGCGGCCTCGACGACGACGAGTCGTCCTCGATGTCGGCATCGACTGCGTCCGGCCGCCCGTTGCGCAAGGCCGCCGCCAAGGTCGTCATGCACGAGCCGGCCGACCCGGCGAGCGGCGATGAGAGCGTCGAGGAGCCCAAGCCGGCGCCGACTCGGACGCCGACCAAGCGCCGCTCGCCCGTCGACGACGACGCCGAGGCGCTCGCGCCGTCGATCAAGTCTGCCGGGCGCAGCAGCACGGGCCGCAAGATGCCGGCGCAACGGGCCGAGCGCTCGTCGTCGTCGTCGCCGTCGCCCTCGAAGAAGCGCGCGCGCGAGCCGAGCAGCCTCGAGTTCGGGCGCATGGACGAGGCCGAGGTGCAAGGGCGGCTCGCGCACGAGAAGGCGGAACTGATGGCGAGGCTCGCACCGCTCGGGTGCGTCCCCTCGTTCGTGTCCTTTTCCTCGATCGCGAAACTGACCTTCTCTTCCCTCCCCGCCTCGCGAACAGCATCAACCCGCAAGACCACGTCCTCGACGAGGCCCTGCGCGCCATGTCCAAGTCCAACACGCAGTTCACGGTCGAGTCCTTCATCAGCACGCTCGCCTCGCTCGACGCCAACGTGTCGCCGCGTGCCGCCCAGTCGCAGCGCCCAAACCTGTCCGTCGCCGTCCCGACACCGTCGCAGGCCAAGCACGTCTCGTTCAGCACGCTCGAGTCGCCGTCGACGCCGTCGTCGCTCGTGAGCCCGTCGCTCCGCCACCCGACGCCGCCGCAGGCTTCGGCCGCGCCCGTTGCGGTCCCGGGCCTCTTCTACTCGTCGCCGGCCCCGCCGCACGCCGCACTGCCGTCGCGTGCGCCCATGAGCGCCGTTCGCCCGGGCCAGCTGCTCGGCGGCTCGCTGTCGAGGTCGTTCTCGGCACCTGTCGTCCCGACCCTCGGCAACCCGCAGCAGGCGCCGCCGAGGGCCGGCCCCGCGCCTTCGGGCAGCCTCTTTGGCGCCGCCGCCGGCATGGGTCGTGTCGCTACTCGCCGTGGTGCACCCGGCACGCTCGGGCAGCAGCCGCAGACGGCGTCGTCCCCGGTCAAGCGCGCGACGCTCGGCGGCGCAGCCCTGCCCTCGCCCGCACCCGTCATCGGCGCCGCCCGCAGTGCCGCGCCGTCGAGCAGCCTCCTGCCCGCCTTCGCCCTCGGCGCGCACGCCGCCTCGTCGAGGGCCAACCCCGGCCGCACGGCCACGCTCCCGACGAGCGCCTCGACCAGTCGCCTGTCGAAGCTGCAGTCGTGGCTCGCCCAGGGCGACGACGACGGTACGTCCGAGGACGAGGACGAGGCCAAGAAGCCCGGCGCGACGGCGGCCGGCGCCGAGGCCATGCTCAAGGCGGCGGCGGCGACGTCCAAGGTCGCCGCTGCCGTCGCTGCGCCGCCGCTCCAGCTCATCGACGCCCCGCCGAGCGACGACGAGCGCAGCCCGGCCAGGCGGGCGCGAGTCGGTGGCAAGAGCGTGCAGGGCCTGCGCGACCGTCGCAACAGCCGGGACCAGCACGTTCAGCCGCAGCCGGCCCAGGCGCTTGCGCCCGCGCTCGCACAGCAGCAGGTCGCCGGCGACGCGCAGGGCATGACGACGCGCAGGCGGGCGTCGGTCAAGGGCAAGGGCCGGGCCGTCCTCGAGTGCACGTGCGGCTCGTCGGCCGAGGGCGAGGAGGGCGCCGTCAGCTGCATCGAGTGCGACGCCGCGTTCCACCTCGCGTGCCTCGACGTCGACTCGGTGTCGCAGCTCGTGTCGCCGTGGACGTGCTCGCGCTGCCTCGTCGCCGCCGCCGGTGGCGTCGAGGCCGGCGAGGAGGGTTGTCGTGCCGCCACGCCCAAGCTCGCCGACAAGCGCGTGCGCATCGGGACGACCACGACGCCGCACCTGTACCAAGAGCCCACCCTCGTCGCCTCGACACCCGTCGCCCCGCCGCGCGGCAACAACTTCTCGCACTGCGCCGACATGGCCCTCGCGCCCTCGCCGACCGCCTCGCCCGTCCGCCGCTTCGTCCCGACGAGCCCGGTCCCGAGCGCCGTCGGCTCCCGATCCCGGTCACGCCGCACTTTGGCGAGGCGGCGATCCAGCGCGCGCCGGGCGACTACTCGCCGACGTCGCCGCAGAACTACCGCACGCGCGCCGGGCGCACCCGCATGATCAGCGGCGGCGCGTTTCTCAACGGCGAGTGGCTCAACAGCAGCTGGGATTCGCCCGGCGCGCCGACCGACGCCGAGCCGCCTCGCGGCGCGCGCGAGACGACGCCGGTCCAGTCGGGCGGGCTCTCGTCGCTCGTCGACGGCGACGTCGTCGACCCGTGGCAGCTGCCCGCCTGGAGCGACGTGACGATGACGCCCTCCCGAGCGCTCACGTCGTCGGCAACGCCCGGCCTCTCGTCGTCGTCGGCATCGTCGTCCGTCTGGGACACGCCGTTCGGCCACGCCTCGCCGCACGCTCACCTGCGCCGCGCCAACTCGTCGTACCACGCTCCGACCCTCGGCGGCGACTCGTCGCGCACGCCCTCGCACGACTTCCTCGCCGCGCTCGAGCGCGACCCGGCCGAGCATTCGGCGCCCGGCGCCGGCCACACGTTCGGCCAGCGCCTGTTCTACGGCGCGCACGAGCAGTTGCACGACCACGAGCCGTACGAGGTCCAGGCGCAGGCCTTGTCCTCGTCGCCGCAGCGTGCGCCGTCGCCGCTCAACCCTCGTCGCGTGCCCTCGTACGGCTACGCCCCGCCGCCGCAGCACGTCCACCCGCACCATCTCGGCGAGCAGCAGCAGCAGCACCAGGCGTACAAGCAGCCGTCGCTCGGCGACGGGCTCGCCAACCCGTGGAGCAACAACAGCCTCGGCGGCGCGCTCGCGCACGAGCGCACGGCCCTCTCGGCGTCGATGAAGCCGTCGTTCTCGGCGCCGGGCGTCGCGCGCTTCTCGCACCAGCTCGGGCACCACTACGGCGGCCATGAGGCTGTCGAGCAGCAGATGCTCGACGACCTCCTCGTCTGAACCTTCTTCTTCCCTCGCGCACAAAATGTCCATGCCCTCCCTTCGCTTTACTCGCACGCGTTCTCCTTTCCTTGTCACTAGCCTTCCTGCCTCCCTCTCTCGAGTTTCTGGGTTGCCCTGTCAGAGGCGCTTAACGTCGTCGTCCCTCCCCCCTCCGTGTCTGTCGCCTTCTCTCTCGCTCTCTCCCCTCTCCCCCTTGTCCGCTTAGGTTTCCCCTGCGTAGTCTCTTTCCACAGTCTCGCTCTGCAACGCCTCGTGCAGGGCCGTCGCAGCTCTCGGACCCGCCCTCGAGAGAAAGAGAGAGCGGAAGAGGTCGATGAAGAGAAACAGCTAGAGTTGGCAACACGCCTCGACTACGTCGCGCTCACTCGTCGTCCTCGACCGCAAACCCTCCTGCCGCACCGAGCGCCGGTCCAGCCGCACCCGCACCGACGAGCTCGACCGCCCGCCGCGACGAGTTCCTCCTCAGAAGCCCGCGCCGCAGCTTGTCCCCGCGGATGCCGCCGGCCGCTCCTCCTGCTGCCCCACCTGGCACGGCGAGCGACTCGTCGTCGCTGTGACCGTCGGTGATGGCCGTGCCGCCGCTCGCGTTGGTCGAGGTCGACGCCGTCGAGTTGGAGCGCTTGAACCCGGGGAGGAACGAGCGGCGACGGGCCTTCTTGACGCCTGCGCTCGCCGCCGCGCTCGCGCTCGAGGTAGCGGCGGCTCCGACGGCGACGGGCGAGGCGGCACGCTGCAGCTGGGCGAGCTCGGCAGCCGAGAGGGCCTGGCCGGGTCCGCCGACGCCGTCCGAGCTAGCTCGACTCGGCGGCAGCTGCGGCACGGGCGGCACGAGCGAGGGCTGCGCGAGGTGCGCGTGCGCGTCCTCCTCGTCGAGCGAGTCCATCGTGCGGCTGCGGTGGCGCTGGCGGGCGTCGATCGCGCGCGGCAAGGGCGACGCAAAGGCGCTGCCGCGGACCGGCGCCGGCAGGATGTCGCCACCCTCGCCGTGCGACGAGATGGACGACGGCTCGTCGACCACGTCGATCGGCGAGCCCGTGAGGCCCGTCACGGCGCCCGAGCCGGGCAGGTCGCCGTCCTCGTCGCCCTGGAACGGCGCACCGCCTCGAGGCGCGAACGCCGGCTCGCCCGGCGTGCTGTACCCGCTCTTCGGCTGCTCGTGCCCCGACGGCGACGGCGACGCGCTGCTGCCACGACGAGGGCGGTACCGCGCGCCGCTCGGCGCCGGCGCCGGCCGGATGAGCCGTAAGAGCGCGTCCATCTCGCCCTGGCGGTCGTCGTCGGTCCTCAGCGCCGCGAGGACGGCCACCATCTGCCGCCTGCGCGCGAAGGCTTGCGCCGTAGTCGCGGCGGGCGCGCCTGGGGCGCCGGCGAGAGATCGGCGCGCCGAGCCGGAGCTCGAGGGGAGGAAGGACGAGACGTAGTTGGGGTCGGGCGAGAGGCGCGGCGGCGACGAGTACTGGCGTTGGGGATGCCGAGGAGGAGGTGCGGGCGACGCGCCGAGGGCGGGCGAGATGGGACGAGAGGGAGGATGAGGGTGCGAGCGCGCACGGCGGATGTCGGGCGGCGATGCGGCCGGGTAGCTCGACGAGACGGACGGGCGCCGGCTCGCCGGCCTCGACTCGTCGCTGTCGAGGTTGACGCCGCCCTGGTAGACGGCCGAGATGAGGGGCACGAGGCGGCCCATGCCCGGGTGGAGGATCTCGTCGCGAAACTCGATGAGGGCGATGCGCCGCACGTCGATGCGCCCTTCTTCTCGCTCGCGCGCCGACCTCGCCTCGTGCCCGACGGCGGCCCGCAGGCGGTCGTCGGAGCGCAGGACCCAGAAGACGGCCTCCAGGTGCGGCACGATGCCGGTGAAGAAGAAGAGCCACACCTCGTTGAGGCGGGCGAGGAGGCGGCCATTGTCGAGGGGCTGGGCTGGTGGTGGTGGAGCGAGCTTGTGCGCGAGGGTGGTGAGGCCGACGCGGATGAGGTCGGTCAGGTCGGCGATGATGAGGCCCGTGACGAGCGAGGCGACGTTGACCGACGGGTTGTTGGCCGAGCGTTGGCGGGCCGACTGCGACTGGGCGAACCGCCGTTGAACGTGGCTCGTGACGAGAGCGTTGAGGTCCTCGACGAAGCCGCGAATGCCCTCGCCGTTGCTGCGGGCGCGAGAGAGGGTGAGAGGGACCGTGACGAGGACTGGTGGAAGGGAGGGACGCACAAGAGGGGCAAGACCCGGACGCAGACCTGCTGCCACGCATCGTCGACGCTGCTCGCGCTCTGGTCGAGGGCGGCTGCGACGTTGCGCGCGTTGTACGAGTCGAGGGTGCGGAACTGGGGCGGAATGGGCGACGGGACGGGGGAAGGGATGGCGCGGGTCGGCGCGCGCGTGCTGTCCCTGCGTACGAGTCCAGGGATGGACCCGGCGCCGCCTTGGACCGACTGGCCGCCGCTTGACCGCCGTCGAGGGTTCGGGAGGGCGACGTTGGAGCGGAGGGCGTCGAGGCCGAGGAACACGCGCGAGTTGGAGCGACGCGGAGCTCCCTCGGTCAAGCTCGAGCTCCTCAGGCGCTGCTCGACCGCGTCCATCCTCGGCTGGTGCGGGCGGCGACGAGAACGGGTTTCGGCACTGATGAAGACGGTGTGGGGCTGGCGTCGCTGTACGAGGGCTGGTTGAAGGGGCGCAGGCGTCCAGGGGTGCTCGAGTAGTTGCTTGAAGGCTCTAGCCTGGCCCAGGGAGGGCAGCAGCGGCGAGCGGCGGTTGTCGAGGCAGAGCCGCTCCTCGTCCGCTCCTTGTCTCTGCTCCTGTCGCTCTCTCACGCCTCGAACCGCTACGCTCGCTCGCGCAACACACTCGCCAATGCCTGGACTACTGCCGGCGACCCGGCCCTGGACCCGCTTCGCTGCTTCTGCCTCGCGTTCCCTCTCCTCCGGTTCGTCGTCATCCTCGAGCTGCACCGAGTTCCTCAACCTGACTCTCCTCGCCCCTGTTCGCAGCGCCAAAGTACCCGCCTGCCTTTGCGTTCGACATCGACGGCGTCCTCAAGCAGGGCCAGAACGTCCTCCCGCAGGCCAAGCAGGCCCTCCAGATCCTTGCCGGCAACAATCCGCTCGGCAAAAAGTACCCGTTCCTGTGCATCACCAACGGCGGCAAGTCCCTCTACCGCACCTACTCCGTGTCAAGAGGCGCATACTGACTCTCGACTCGTGCGCAGGTGGTACCCTCGAGTCGGAGCGCGCTCAGAGGCTCACCAAGGAGCTCGGCGTCGAGATTGCCGAGCACCAGGTCGTCCTGTCGCACACCATCTTCCGCTCGTTCGTCCCCGAGTACAAGGACAAGCCCGTGTTTGTCGTCGGCGGCCGCTCGGACAACTGCCGACGAGTCGCCGAGGCGTACGGCTTCAAGCACGTCTACGTCCCGGCCGACGTCCAGGCGTGGGCGCCCTCGATCTGGCCCTACGGCAAGCTCACCGACAAGCAGCGAGCCTACGTCAAGGTGCGCCCTCGTCCTTGTCCCCTCTGTTGCCGAATCTCGCTCACGCTCTCTCGCTCGCAGACGGCCGACTTCTCCAAGATCCAGTTTGCCGCCATCCTCGTCTTCCACGACTCGCTCGACGCCTTCCGCGACCTTCAGCTCGTGTGCGACCTCGTGCGCGCACAGGACGGCCTCTTCGGCACGCTCAAGGACCCCAAGGACGCCAACGCGTGGAGGCCCGAGCGCCAGATCCCGGTCCACTTCTCGAACCCGGACCTGCTGTGGGGCAACGAGTTCGCGCAGGCGAGGTTCGGGCAGGGGGCGCTGCAGGAGAGCATCGCGGCCGTGTACAAGCGCACGACGGGGCATGAGCTGCAGCGGTCCGTCCCTCTCTTCCTCTTTCTCTCTCTTCCTCTCTCGCTCTCTCTTCCCCTCTCTCTCTTCCCCCCTCTCTCTCCCTGTCTCTCTTGCCCTCGCCTTGACTTTCTCGAAGCGGACTGACCCTTTCTCTCCCTCCCACGTTCGTCCTTTCGACCTCTCGCAGCACGACGGGCGGCAAGCCGACCCGGGCGACGTACGACTACGCCGCCTCGCTCCTCCACTCGGCCGTGTTCTCGCCCTCTTCCATCTCGCTCCACCCGACGGGCCCAGCACCTGCCCTCCCCTTTCGCGTCTACATGGTCGGCGACAACCCGCAGAGCGACATCGCCGGCGCCAACGCGTACCGAAGCGACATTGCCGGCGCCAACGCGTACCAGAGCGACCATGCCGACGCCAACGCGGACGGCTGGGCGTCAATCCTCGTCCAGACGGGCGTGTTCCGAGGCGAGCGGCCCGAGGACGCAGAGCACGTCCCGACCGTCGTCAAGCGCGACGTGCTCGAGGGCGTCAAGTGGGCGCTCGAGCGCGAGGGCGACGGCGAGGCCGTGAGCCACATTCCGAGCGCGCACGGCGAGAAGACGAGCGACGGGCCGCGAGAGTAACTAGACGAGCTCGAGGAGGAGGAGAAGGGGCATAGACAGTGTTGCAAAGAGAACTAGTACAGCATCTAGAACGAGAGGGTCTGTGGGAGAGTGTCTGTGCGGCACGAGGGAGAGGGAGAGGGAGGGACTAGAATCTCGTCGGGAGGAACTCTGAGCCCGTCGTCGCCTGCTGCGAGAAAGTGTCCTTGAAGGCGGCGAGCCCTGCGACGATCCCTGCCGCGAGGAAGCACAGCGAGATGATGAACCACAGGACGCCCCCTGTTGCCGTGAGAGGGCGACGTGAGCGACCGTGGGGCGAGAGGACCTGCGGCGAGAGGAGAAAGAGAAAGAGAAAGAGAAAGAGAAAGAGAGAACGCACAGCACGCGCTCGAGCCGCCGTATCGCTTAGCGAACACCGAGGCGTCCGACTCGTTGACCTGTGTGGAGCATGAGGTGAGGCGGGCGAGGGAGAGGGGAAGGGAGAGGAGGCAAAGGGTCAGTCGGGGACGCGTCGGGGAGCGAGGGAGTTGAGAAGGCTGCCAGCGCACCTTGCGGAAGATGAGGTCGTCTGTGGGCGCGTATGAGACGTCAGAGACGCTGACAGGAGACTGAAAAATGACGAGGGACGGACCGCAAATGTCGTAGAGCGAGTACAGCCTGCGAGAGAGCGAGAGGGTCAGTGCGGCGCTCGGACGGGCTACAGGAGAGAGAGAGAGAGGAGGACGCACGAGTTCATGACGCCGAGGAAGAGCATGTAGAACCTGAGCGCGACGCCGTGCGCGATGAACCAGCACGCGACGATGAGGCCCGTCGCGACGAGGATCGTGAGGATCGTGAGCCAGTCGCGCTTGCCCCACCAGAGCGTGAGGAGGAACATGACGCCGACGACGAGCGACGCGATCTTGCTAGCGCGCACGTCGAACCCGCAGAAGACGAGGAGGGCGCCGATGAGGGACTGCGAATGAGAGAAGGGGTCAGCGCTCTGAGCGGGCCATCGGCCCTCGCGTCGAACGAGCTCGGTCGCAACGCGGAGCGCTCGACCGGCGCAAACACTGCGGCGGACATCGCCGCAACTGATACGCCGGACGCTGCGCGACACGACAAGCAACTCGCGCCAGAGGAGGAACCGCCGACTCACGCTGCCGAGGTAGCCCGCCGGCAGGGTCAAAGCGCCGATGCCGCCGGCCATCATGGTGCAACCGCCCTCGCGAGGGTCGAGTTTGATCGACTTGACCTTGGCGCCCGTACAGCAGCCGACAACGGCGTGCGAGAACTCGTGGAAGGCGACGACCAGGAGCTTTGGCGCACGGGGGACACGAGTCAGGCGTGCGCTCAACTTGCAGAGACAGGGAACACGATGGAGCTCACCTTGAACGGCCAGAGGACCCAGTGAATGACGGGGACGTTCCACAAGATCGTGATGAGGACGGCGTACTGCGGCGGTCGGGAAGAGGTCAGTGTTCGTCCCGCCGATGGTCGCGCCTGCGGATGCTCGCGGAACGTACGGCAGCGATGACGCCCAGGGTGACCTTCTGCGTGTCGTTGGGCGCAAGGGAGCGCCTCGCGAGCGAAGCGCCGGACGTCGACCCTGCTGCGAGGAGCTCGCTCGCGGCGAGTGCGCGCTTGCCGGGGTGCGGTGTCGAGTCGAGCGTGTAGTCGTGGTTAGATTCGAGGTCGTGGACGCGGTCGTTGGTCGAGGCGGGCGAGGGCGGTGCCGAGGCGGGCTGCGAGGTTGGATCAAGGCGAGGCGCGGCGAGGTCGAGAGGGGAGCGGACGACGAGGTAGGGGGTGGGTGCCATGCTGGGGCGCGCGTCGTCTCGGCACTGCAGCTGTGCGGTCTGGCGAGTAGTCGAGGGAGCCTGCGTCGCTGCCAAGGTTACGCAGCGAGGTTGTCTGGACGAGGCGGTGCCGACTCCTTCTCGTCCCTCTCTCTGCGCAAAGCACCCTGCTGTGCTGCTCATGCTCTTCCTCGACTCTCGAAACACGTCCCCGCCACTCAGCACACACCCATGCGCTGCCCTCGACTCGCCGACCTGGCGCACCTCGGTTCTCATCAGTTGGCGCGTCCTCCTCTCTTTCTCTCGCCCCTGGACTCTCTCTGGCGCACCCAGGCTGACCTCGAGCTCTCTACAGCTGCGGAACGACCCCCGCCGCACTCGCTCGCGCTGTCAGGCGGACGTACTGCTCTCCGCGCCTCCGCTCGCCGAGGTGGCCTCCGCCCGTCGCGCCGCTCGACGAGCGAGCTCCTCGCGAGGACCGCGCAGGGCCTTTCCAAGCTGCTCATTCGCTCCTCTCGCGGCGCAGCTGTGCAGCAGCGTCGTCCCTCGACGGTGGGCACCGACTCGGCCGAGGCCCGCCGCAGCTGCAAGGGCCCGCTCTCGCTCCGTCGGAACTTGCTCGCTACGCCCCGCACACGCTCGAGCCGACATCCGACCTGCGTGCGCTCCACAGCGAGCCGACAATCAGTGCCGCGCCCGAATCGGCGGATCCTCGTCGTCCCCGTCCTCTCTCCTTCTTCCCTTCCTCACCCCTTATCGCACGCCAACCGCATCTCGCCATGGCCTCGACGTCCGACTACGCCAACCTCTCGACCAAGTGGATGGAGCGAGACAGCTACGGCTACGGCCGCAACCCTCCCGACCCTCAGTACGTCCCCCTTCCTCCTCCTCTCGCGGACGATCCTCGCGCCGCGTCAGTCGCAGATGCGGCTGCGTGCAGCACCCAGCCTTCGAGATGTGCGTGTGCAGGCCTCGACGTAACGAGCAGGGCCCTGATACCCGTTCTCTCGTCGCAGCTGGCCCAACGGCGCCAAAGTCGCCGTCAACTTTGTCCTCAACTACGAGGGTGCGTCCCGATCTCTCTCGCAGGCCGACCTGAGCGATACTTACAACTCTCGCGCGCAGAGGGCGGAGAGAGGACGATCGAGGACGGCGACGACGGCCCCGAGACTGCGCTTCACGAGTTCAAAGGACTCGAGGTCCAGCCAGGCGCTCGAGACCCGACCGTCGAGTCCCAGTTTGACTTCGTGAGTCCCCTCTTCCTCTCCAGGTATGTGCGTGGACCCTCACTGACGATCCGGCCGTCTGCAGGGCTCGCGAGTCGGCATCTGGCGCATCCTCGACCTGTTCGAGGGCCACGACATCCCGATCACGTTTTACGCCGTCGCCCGAGCGTTCGAGCGCAATCGTGACGTCGCCAAGGCGGCCATGCAGAACGGCCACGAGGTCGCCAGCCACTGCTTCAAGTGGCAGCCTCACGCCAACATGCCTCCCGAGGAGGAGGAAATGTGGATCCGCAAGGCCGTCGCATCGTTCCTCGAGACGACGGGCAAGGTCCCTGTCGGCTGGGTGCGTCCTCGCTCGCTTATTCTCTCGCGTCTCGAGCCCGTTCCCCTTGAGCACGAGGCACTCTCGTCCGTCGTGGCCCCCTGACATCTTCTCACTGCGCGCAGTACTACGGCCGTCCGAGCGCCAACTCGGTCGCCCTCCTCGACAAGGTCTACCGCGAGCTCGGCCACGAGTTCCTCTACTTCTCAGGTCCGTCCGCTCTCGTCCTCGCCGGCGACCTTCCCAAACTCGAGTTCTGACTCTCCTCCTGCGTCTCGCTTTCCTGCCGGCTCCTCACTGCGTCCTCGCCTCTCGCAGACACCTACGCCGACGAGCTGCCGTACTGGACTGAGCGGCCGGGCGGCGATGGCCAGGAAGGCCTGCTCCTCATGCCGTACAGGTGCGCCCGCCTCTTTTCTCCTCTCTTTTCTCTCGAGGACGACCTCTGACCTTGCGCTCCTTGACTCGCAGTCTCGACAACAACGACTTTAAGCTGTGGCACTCTCAGGTGCGCCCCTCTCCCTTGACGAGCGCGTTCGCCCGCTCACGCACTGACCTCTTCCACCTCTCCCTCTCCCTCTCCTCTCCCTTGCCCTTCCCTCTCCCTCGCCCTCTCTCGCTCTCTTCTCGCAGTACGGCTCGACGCGCCTGTGGACCGAGCACTGCCTCGACTCGGTCAAAGTCGTGCGCGACGAAGCCCTCGCCGGCAAGCGCCACGGCTACGTGACGATCGCGCTCCACACGCGGTGGGTCGGGCGCCCCGGCCGGTTCGCCGCCCTCAAGCAGCTCGTCGAGGACATTGTCGGGCTCGGCGACGTGTGGTTCGCGACGAGGGAGCAGATCGCGAGGCACTTTGCCAACGAGTACCCGTACGGGTCGCTCCCGAGGCGCGAGTCGACGGCGTAGCAGTGAACGGCAACAGTATCGCGAACAGACGTGCCTCTCAGTCTCGCTCAGAAAGCGCGGTCGAGCGAGAGGCGAGAGAGTCTGAAAGAGAGATAGAAGATCTAGTTGCGCTTCCTCGGCTCGCTCGCTCTACGGCGCCGCCCACCGCTCCCTCCCCTTGCCGCTCTCGACCGCCTCGTAGATGGCCTCGCACGCTCGCACGACCATGGCCTCCATGCCGAGCTCGTTGGCCTCGAGGAGCTCGACGCCGTCGATCGCGTGCGGGTCGAACGCGCCGTGCTCGACGTCGCGCGAGACAAAGAGCGGGGCGTGCGCGCGCAGGTAGGCGGGCCAGACGCACTTGTCCCAGTACTCGGGCGGGTCCTTCCACAGCGATCCTTCTGCGTCGGCGAGAACTGTCAGCAAGGGTCGAGTAAGTTGCTGCTCGGCGAGACGAGGAGGAGGAGGGGGAAGAGAGGAAGGGAGACGCACCCGCCGTGTGCTGCAGGTACCGGCGACGAGGAAGAAGGTCAGTTGACGGCGCGAGAGTAGTCGAAAGAGAGAGGGAGAGAGGGACGCACGTAGCCGTGCCGGTCCTCTCGTCGCTGCTTCAGAACGGCATAGTCCTCCCGCATGAACAGCCGCACGTCGAACTGGCGCACGCTCTCGGGATCGACGAGCATGAGGAAGCCCTCGGCGATGACGATGGTTCTGCACGAGGGAGGGAGCGCGAGTGAGCACGTGCCGCGGCGGCGAGAGAGAGGGGTAAAGAGAGCGGAGGACGCACGGCTTGTCGCCCTCTTGCCGCTCGAGCAGCTCCTCGAACTTGTTCCTCCACTCTTGCTGCACCTCTTCCGAGATCGGCACTGGCCCGAGGTACTGCTCGTTGAACGCGTCGTGGCTAAAGTGCTCGTCGGGGACCTTGGCCGTCTCGCGGATGCGCCGCAGCGTGTCGCGCTGCTTGTCCCACAGGATGGCGCCCTTTGCGTCGTCCCAGTCCTGCCAGCCGTGCTCAGGATCGACCGGGATCTGCTCGGCGGGCGGGGCAAAGTCGTCCTGGAAGAGGAGGATCGACGAGGGGATGATGCGGGCGAGGTGCTTGGCGAGGGTCGTCTTGCCGCTGCAGGTCGCGCCCGAGATGCCGGCAATGACGACGCGTGGGCCCATGGTGGCTGGACGAGGGTGTGGGCGCTTGTCGGCAGGGTTCGGGGGAGCCGAAGGTGGAGCGGGCGGAGCGAAGAGGTGGAGGAGGATCTGTACGGGCGCAGGCAGGTCAGCGGGGACGGCCTGTAGCTCGCAGAATGCAGGGGGAGCGTCGCGGCGCACCTATCGTATCAGAGAGAGGACCGATTTTGGTTCGAGAGGTGCCGGTGCTGATGAGGGTGCGATGCAGTCTGCGCGGTCGGCGAGCGCTTGCGGCGGTGCGGGTAAGGCGGAGGCTGGTATCGAGGCGCGCAGCTCAGGCGGGCCAAGTTCAGCGAGCCCAGCCGTCAGGGTCGAGGGGTGGGACGAGAAGGAGGGACGCGAGCGGCGAGCGGACCTTGAACTCGAGCCTGCGCTGTCCACAGCGCTCGCCGGGCTTTCTACCGCTTCGAGAGTGCTCTCAATGGTGTACAGAATGGCCCCGCCGGCGAGCAGACCGACAGGAAGAACGCGGTCGGCTCGCTCGTCAACCGACTCGAAGCGAGGCGGCTCGAGGCCAACTCGCGCTCTACACGACAAAAGGGCCCGGGAGAAGCGCTCGATTGCATCGTAGACACGTTCTCGTCCGATCCCGCCCGAGCAGAACACCGTAACCCTGCTAGATCAAGAGCTAGCGTTTGAGCGAGGGTGCGCAGGATCCCCCTGTCTGGAGTAGGTGGCCGGGCGCACGGGCGCTCCGCAGGGGTGCGCGCCGTGCGAGCGGCTCACCAGAGTGCACCCGCTGCCCTCAGGGGCACGAGAGGGCGGGTGCGGCCTCGTAAAGACCCGTCCTCGACGGCTCGGCTCGCTCGGCCGCCGGGACGAGTGAAGAGACGAGACGCGGACATGGGACAGTCTGGGGTCGCTCTCGAGGTACTAGACGGCTTTCGCGAAAGGGAAGGTGCCGTCGTGAGGCTGGGAAAGGGCGCGAGGGGGAGCTTTCGGGAAGAGAAGGGAGGTGCCATCGTGGGCTCGAGTGACCTGCGGCACGATGTCGAGAGGGTCAGAGCGCGCCTCGCAAAGTCGCACAGAAGGACGACAGAGCCCTTGGGGCAAACAGGGAGGAGGCGAGGGACGTACAAGGAACGAGATGAACCGCCTCGAGGTCGATAGTCCACCGCCCGCCGCCCGAGTGACCGTCCGCCCACCTTGCGCAGCTGCTGCACCTGTAGAGGCATTGTATGAGCTCCAGAACGCCTCCTGAATGGGTCTAGAGTCGGCGGAGAAGTTGAGAGGAGAGGGAGAGGGGGGCCAAACACGAGGAGGCGGGGAGGAGGTGGACGCACCAGTCGCCCACAGCCCGCACGGCGCGGTCGCCTGGCCCAATAGTCTCCTTGATGCTGCGATAGTCCTCGACGACGATGCCCACAGGCCCATGAACCGTTGCCACCAGTCGAGAGAGGTCGGACGACGCGTGCTGCTGATGAAGATGCGACGCGCCCTGCGGCGTCGGCGAACGCTCGCGGCGGTGCGGCAGTTGCTCGAGGCTGATGCATAGATGTACACGTGCTCAGGACACCCGGGTTGAGCGACCTCAGCCATGAGGGTCGAGCAGTGAGGGAGGAGAGCCGAGGAACTGTGGAGCGGAGCAAGTCGCTTCGGCTCGACCTCGACCGCAACAGCTTCTTGCGGCTCTCTGGCGTCTGCGAGAGCAGCTGAGAATACAGGGCAGATTCGGACGGACGAGTCAGGCCCGAGAGACGTGAGCGCGTCGACCTCACGTGCCTTTCTCTCGCTCTTTGCGCTCTCTCTCGGTGACTCGGGACGACGACGACACGGAGCATGGATGAATATGGACGTTGCGACCGACATCTAGGTATGTACAAGGTGGTGGCAGGGAAGGGAGCGGATCGGCGGGTTCCAGACGCGCTCAGATGCCCTCGAAGATGGCCTTGGGCTCGATCTCGCGCTTGCAGATGCTGTGGAGGGAGAGCGTAGGTCAGATCATGCTCTGAAGGTGCTAGGGCGGTGTCGCTCGAGCTCGACAGGGAAGAGTGAGAGAGGCGGACGCACCGGTAGACCTTCTCGAAGAGCGGGTAGCCCTCAAGGCGGCCGCGAGCTTCGAGGAAACCGAAGATCTCCTCTGCGAGTACGGGACAGGGAGTAGAGACGTCAGGATTCGGCCTCGAACAGTGAGAGGCGGCGAAAGGGGGCGTACCAGAGGTGATGACGCCCTGAAGGCGCTGGCCGTTGAGGAGCTCCTCCTCGAGCTCGTCGAACGTCTTGCCGGTCTTGACGAACGCCTCGGCGCACTTGCGGTTGCGGCCGCCGAACGAGGTCTGCATGAGGCGGGGATTGGGAGAGTGTGGATAGGGCAGGAGGGCAAGAAAGGTCGGGGAGGAGGACGAGGGAGGAAGGAGGGGGGCACGACGACGAAGATGGTCAGGGCAGGTCCCTGACGAGCTCGACACAGGAATTAGGGACGCACAGTGATGAGGTCGGCGACGCCGGCCGAGTGGTGCGAGAAAGTGTGCGGGCTCGAGTTGGGGAAGAACTCCTTGGTGAAGGCGGCCATCTCGAGAAGACCAATGCGGATGATGGCGGACTTGGTGTTACCTCCCATCCCTAGGCCGTCCACCACGCCGGCGGCAATTGCCACGACGTTCTTGAGGGCACCCGAGAGCGAGACGCCGGCGACGTCGGTGACGGCGTGGACGCGGAACATCTGGGTCGAGAAGACAGCCTCCCAAAGGGCGCAGTCCTCGGGCGACGGGCATCCGATACTGTGTATATATGTGCGAGTCAGCGAGGCGAAGGAGAGAGAGAAAGAAGAGGGAGAGGAGGACGGACGTGGTCTCGCAGAACTCCTCGTTGGCGACCTCGAGGGCGATGTTGGCGCCGCCGAGAGCCGAGCACGGGAGGCCGAGCTTGCGCTCGAGGATGGACGGGTACGTGTAGATCTCGGCATTCTTGAGGTCGACCTCGATGCCCTTGATGGCCGAGATGGCGCGCGCGCCCTTGGTGAGGACGCCCGGCTTGGCGAGCTCCTTGAGGACCGGCGGGAGGAACTGGTGGGGCACGCAGAAGACGATGAGGGTCGCACCCTTGACACACTCGGTGAGGGACGGGACGGCGACGAGGTTGTCGGGGAGCTTCATCTCGGGAAGGTAACGGGCGTTCTCGTGCGTCTCGTTGATGATGTCGGTCAAGAGGCCCTTGCCCGGGATCTGCGCGCACGTCGACGTGGTCAGTACGCTAAAGACGTAGAGACAGAGAAAGATCGGGACGCACCTCGCGCTGGCGGACCCAGAAGCGGACCTCCTCGTCGAAGCTGCAGGGAGGAAGGCCGAGTCAGTCTCTCGCCGAACTCACGCGCTCGCTGGAGAAAGGGAACAAGGGACGCACCCGTCCTTCTCCTCGGCGTTGACGGCGGCGAGACGAGCGAGGGCAGTGCCCCACGAGCCCGAGCCAATGACACAGATCTTCTGCGTCTTGCCGTCGCCGGTGAACTCGTCGTACTTGGCGAGGAACGGCGCGAGGGCCGGCGACGAGCCACGGCGCGGGATCGGGGCCTTGAGCGAGCCCTTGCGCGACAGGCCCTCGGCGACCGACTCGGACGGGCGGCGCTCGCGCTTCGAGTCCTTGTCGGCGGCGTCGTCGCCCTCGGCCTCGTCCTGCTCCTGCTTCTGCTGGCTCATGCTCAGGTTGGCCATGGCGCGCAGGAGGGGCGAGGGCGGGCGAGACGAGCCCGGCGTCGAGTAGCCGTTGGGCGACGCAGGACGAGAACCGGGGAGCGACGGGATCTGGAAACCGAGGGGCGAGCCCGGGCGGCTCTCGCTCGCGGGCGTGACGGTGCCAGACGGCGCGTCGTGGAGCGACTGGGTCGAACCGGTCGAGACGGCTTCGGGGCGGACGGGCATGATGGTCGTGGAAGGTGGAAGAGCGGGTGGAAGTCGAGGTGCTGGCGAACGAGCTCGAGGGCTGGGTTGGTGCGAGTTGGAGCGGGTGGGTCGCGAATTTGAGGCGAGCTTGGTGGTAGTCCAACCGGGTTTGTAGAGGGTGAGGGAGAAGAGCGAGCGCTGAGTTCGAGGGTCGGGCTCGTCGTCGCTCGCGCGTCACCAGGTCCCGTGTCTTTCTTCTCGTCCGTGCGCTTCCCTCGTCCTCTCTGGCTCTTTCGCCGGTCGCTGTGCACCTCGATAGATCTCTTCTGCATGCCCTCGCCCCTTGCGCGCAACCTCCCGGCCGTGTGCTCGCTCGTCGCACTTCTTCGAGCTTCCTTGTCGCGGAAAAACGAGCGACGAGCGGGCGACCGCTGCTCCCCCGCACACCGTTTTCGAGGTGCGGGGCAAGGCACCGAGCAGTACTTCTCTTGAGTGCGAGCATTCGGCCGGCATCGTCGCCAAGCGAGCGTTCGGGCCGCCTGCAAGTGCGAGAGTGAGGGTCCGTGCTCCCGCTGGCTCGAGAGCGAGTTCGTCTCCTCGAAAGGGTCTGCGTGCTGTCGCGGCCGACGTCGCCTGTGCGCATCGCGCCGAGTCGGTTGAGCAAGAAGGTGAAGAGCGGGACCCCGACGACGAGCCACGGGGGAGAGGGGGCCGAGCGCGCTGTGCTCGGGTCCGCTCGAGCGTGACGGCGGCTCCCACGACGGAACAGAGACGGGCCTGGCGCTTCACTTCGGCGGTGACGAGGCAAAGGGCAGCGTGCACGAGCGAAGGCGGGCACGAGGCGAGCGCGAAGAGGGCCGAAGCGGCTCGACCGCGCGAGAGGGTCGAGCAGGTCCGGGGGCTCGCCTGTGTGTATGCGCGGGCCCACAGCGGGCACCTGCAGCTCGCGCAGATGGCATCTGAGACGTGCAGGGGCGCGCTCGCTCTGAAGAAGGCGCCGCGCCGGGACGCTGTGACGAGCGGAAGCGGCGCCGGCGGCCTTCTCGCAGCCAACGCGGCCCTCGGCGAGCTCGTCGACGGGCCCAAGGCAGAAAGACGTCGACCTCGGGTACAGGCGCGCGACCATAAACGACCGCTGGAACGAGCAAAGTTGAAAAGAGAGTCTTCCGCGAGACGCAGAGAGAAATCGGGGAGGCGAGCAGGGGGCTCGCGCGACAGGGCAGCGCGGCCAGGGCCAGCATGTTCCCGTTCGCGCACAAGTCCTGCGCAGAGGTACTTGCGCAGCTCGAGAGCCGGGGCTGCTCGAGCGCGACGGTAGCGAATCGACACGAGCCGGCCCGAGGAACGGGCGCACGAGCTTAGGCGCATCGCGAGCTGTGCCCGAGATCCACTCAGAGACGAGGTGTCTGCTGTTGCATAGGCAAACAGGCGAACCATCGATGTGGACAGGCGAGCGTGCGCCGAGCGAGGGAGCATGGCGCGGCGAGGAGGCGGTACGCCCAGCGCGAGGCAGCCGGTGCAGTACTTGGGCTCGGCGGGCGAGCCAGAGCAGCTGAGAGTGCAGTGACAGCACTCGCGATGCGAGCTCAGCGTGTACGGCGAAGGGAGAGAGCTCGAGGCTGGAAGGAGGGAGGAGGAGGTCGACCACGTTCGCTCCACCGCTCGGCCCCTGGCTGGACCGTGAGCACTTCGAGGTAGACAAGTAGAGCAGCATGGTGCGCCCCGAGTTCTCTGCGTCCTCTCCAGGCGTTTGCTGACCTCGTACCCTCATCTCCCTGGGCGCAGTCTCATCGGTGGCAGCGACCCAAGGCCCTTCCGGTCGGGCAGACGACCTCGCTGTCCCTCGAGCAGCAGCAGATCCTCGCCGCAGTACCTGTGCGTCCCTCCCTTCCCCCTCCCGCCGACCTCTTCCTGCCGCACCAGCTGACCCCCACTCTCCTCTCGCTCGCAGCGGTGGAAGAAGGCGTGGGTCCGCCCGTCGACGCTCAAGCCCGGCCAGAACCCCAACTACAAAGGTGCGCACGCGTCAGAGCCGCCTTCTGATGCAGCGCAAGCTCACCTGGCCCTCTCTCCCTCCTCGCTTTCGCAGTGTACAAGTGGGTGCTCGACGCCGAGATGGGCGAGTCCAAGGGCACCGAGGAGGAGATGCAGGCGGCGCTGCAGGAGGTCGCCGCCGGCAACGTGCCCTTGCCGAGCGCAGGCGGGCCGGCCGCCGTCGACGCGAGCGGACCCGCCTCGCTCGCCCCGTCCGGCACCGCCACGCCTGCACCCGGCGCCGCGCCCGTTCACCCGCCACAGCAGGTGTCCGCCGCCGCTCTCCAGGCGAGCTCGAACCCGCTCGCGCAGGTGCAGCACGCCGACCCGGCAAAGCCGCCCGCCGGTCCTGCCCCGTCGGGCGCGGCGCCGAGCGTGCAGGAGGCGGTCAAGGGGCTCGGCGAGGTCAAGATGGGCGCAGGGATTGATGCGGTCGAGGTCAAGCGGGAGGAACGGAGCTTGGTCAAGGAGGATCAGGCGTGAGGAGGTCTCTCGAGCGGTCGTCGTTGCAGTCCCCTTGTTGTATCTCGCTCGTTCTCTCACTTTCTTGCGCCTCATGAGCTCGAATAAGAGAGAAGTGAGCGCGTTGCGAGTCACCACCCGTCGGCCGAGTAGTACCCATCCATCGCGTCGGCCGTCGCCTTCCAGCCATCCGGCTCCTCGTCCCAGTCGTCGTCGCCCTCGCCCACTTCCTCTCCCGCGCCCTCTCCATCTCCCTCGTCGACGTCTCCCTCATCGAGCCCGAGCAAGCCCTTCTGCCGCCGCCGGGACCCGCCAGTGCCGGGCTCGCCGAGGAGGCGCGCGACCTGGCGCTGCTTGGCGAGGGCGGCCGAGTGCGTCTTCTGCGGCGAGGCGCGCAGCGAGAGGACGGCGGCGAGGTCGGCGGGGAGCGATGCGCCGAGAGCGTCGAGGTCGGCGTCGTCGGTATCGTCGGCGGCGGTCGAGACGGTCGAGGCGGCCGAAGCGCTCGCGGCATCGGCGCGCAGTCGCGAGAGGAGGTCGAGCCCGGCTCGACGGTGGAAGAGCGACGCCTCGTCGCCCACGTCGTCGTCGTCGCGTTCTCCATCGCTCGCCGTCGTCCGCACATCGAGAGGCGCCGCCTCGTCGCCCTCCCTCCCCTCGCCTGCCTCCCTCGCCCTCTCCTCCGCCCGGCGCCGCCTCTCCTCCCGCTCGAGCGCCTTGACGCGCGCCTCAAACCCCTTCTCGTGGATGACGAGCCGCTCGCGGCCCGGCCCGAGCCCGAGCGCCGGGTCGCGCGACACGTCGAGGACGAGCTCGCCCCGAGCGCGCGACGACGACACGATGCGCACCTCGGGGTCGTCCTCCTCCTCGACGTCCATCTCGGCGCCGTCCTCGGACGAGCCACCGTCGTCGTCGGCGGCGGCCTTGCCCTTGCCCTTGGCCCGACCGCCCGCCTTCTTCGCGCCGGCGCCCGCCGCCGCACCAGCCGCGACCTTCTTTCGCTTGGCCGGCGCCGCCGCGGCCCTGCCCTTGCCCCTCGCCGCCGCCGCACCCTTTTTGGCCCTGCCCTTGCCCTTTGCGCCGCCTCCCGTGGCCGCCTCGGCCTCGTCGAGCGCGTCGGCGTAAAAGTCGTCGTCGTCATCGTCGAGCGCGGCATCGGCGGCGTCTCGGTCGTCGTCGCCGTCACCTGGCGCAGGAACGCGCTTGCGCGAGGCGGCGGGAGCGGGAGGGAGGAAGGACGAGGGGAGGGAGGACGAGAAGGGCTTGGGTTTGGCGGGCGCGGCGGTCGGTGCGGCGGACGCGACGGGTCGTGAGGGCGGCGGCGAGTCGGGCACGAGCGGCTTGAAGATACGCTTGGGTGCGGGTGCGGCGGTGGTGGAGGACGAGGGCGAGAGGCCAAAGAGCGGGTTCGAGGCGGATGGGCGCTTGACCGGCGAGGGCCCGAACACCTCGTCGTCGTCCGTCGGCGCAGCTGCCACGACGGGTCGCACGGGCGACGCCTTGGCGAGTTGTGCGAGGAGGCGCTGAGAGCCCTGCGACTGCGACGGCGCGTGCGTCGACGCCTGCGACGAGAAGAAGTCGTCGACCTCGTCGAGGTCCATGCCCCTCGCCGACCCGACCGACTCGGTGCGCGCGAACGCTCGCGCTGCGCCGCCGTCCGGCACGCTCGATGCGCCGCCCCACCCTGCTCCCCTGCTCGTCGCCTTGCCGCCGAGCACGCCGCTCGCGCGCGCCCGCTCCCGCTCGGCGCGCTTCTTGGCCTTGAGCCGCTCACGCTCGGCGCGCTCGAGCTCGCCGAACGTGCCCTTCTGCGGGCTCGCGAACGGGTTGCGCGCGCGCTTCTGCGGCGAGGCCGACACGCCCGTCACGGGGAGCGAGTCGGACTGGGCGAGCGTCGCCGAGGCCCAGGCGCCCGACATGGGCCGGTTTGGCGAGCCCGAGGTCGAGTGCGCGGCGGCGAGCGCTCGCAGCTTCGAGGGCGAGTTGGCGTGGACGAATGAGGTCGTCGACGACGACGAGGGCTTGTCGCGACTTGACGACAGGCGCTTCGAGGGCGACGCGTCGACTGCGGGGGCGGGTCCGTCGGTCGAGGACGAGACGGCGTCGGGGCGGGGGCGAGAGCGCGAGCTCTTGGGCTTGGTCGGCGTCTTGAAGATGTGGGACGACTCGGCGGCGGCGGTCCTAGTCGAAGGAGGAGGTGGGGGTTTCGACGTGGCGGTGGAGCGACTCGACGAGGGCTTGTCGGCGGGGTTGGCCGCGGCTGCTCGGAGCTTGTTGTATTCCTTGTACTTGGCGGCTGCGCACGAGCAGGCAGAGTGAGCTCGTGAGGGCCAAGGAGGGCAAGCGAGGGGGGGACGGACCGATCGAGGGCTGCAGGCGGATGTCGTCCTTTGTCGGGGCGCGGTCGTGGGAGGCCTTGAACGCGCGCTCCCACTCCTTGAGCTCGTTGCGGAGGTCGGCCATGGTGTTCGAGGCGACCTGGCTCGGTTGAGGGAGCGTCGGACGAGGGGGACGAGGTGGACGCCACGAGGCCTCGAGCGGGTGCGGTGCAATGCCTGGGCGGGTGAAGGTGCAGTAGTGCGCGCTGTGGGCACGTACGCTCGTCGGCAGAGCGAGCAGAGAGTTGACGCGAGGAGCGAGGACGACGAGGCGGCGAGAGACGAGGCGAGGGTCTGCACCACACGCCCACCAGCCCACGCTCGGTCGGGTTGAGCTGCGACCCAGTCCAAGCCTAACCGACAGGCTCGACTCGCCCACCCACGAGCTCGTCTCGTCCGCGCGCTCGCCGTCCAGGGCCCGCCTCTCCCCCCTCCTCCCTCCCTCCGACCCTCGCCCCGGCTCGACACCCTCAAGGACCACGCCAGTACCGCAGAGCACCTCCACCACCGTTGACTAGCCGCCCAGGCGTCCCGCCCACAGCAGCGCACGCCGTCGTTGCCGTCCTCCTCCGGCCCATCGCCACCCCTCGTCTCGCTCGCCCGTCGCTCCACCCACAAGCCTCGCGTCCACCATGCTCGGCCACGAGTTCGCCCACTCGACCCAGTGCGCCCCATCTCGCCCTTTACCGAGCGTGCCGAGACGTGTTCAGGACGACCGCTGACCAAGTCGGCCTCGCGGCTCCTTCTCCCCTCCCTTGCAGGCCGATCAAGCGTCCGCGCACGATCCAGTTCGGCATCCTCTCGCCAGAAGAGATCAAGGCCATCTCGGTGTGCAAGGTCGAGTACCCGGAGACGTTCGAGGAGGGCAACGCCAAGCCGGTCCGTCCACTCGTCCCCTCTCTCGGTCGCGTACCCCTCGAGCTCACCCTCTCGAGACGAGCGCACGCAGAAAACCGGCGGCCTGAGCGACCCGCGACTCGGCACGATCGACCGCAACTTCAAGTGCGCGACTTGCGGCGAGGGCATGGCCGAGTGCCCGGGTCACTTTGGCCACATCGAGCTCTCGCGCGCCGTCTTCCACGTCGGTGCGTCGCTCGAGTCTCTCAACACCATCACCCTCTCGTTACTGACGGCACAAATGTGTACACAGGCTTCCTCAACAAGGTCAAGAAGATCACCGAGTGCATCTGCGTCCAGTGCGGCAAGCTCAAGGTCTCGCCGCTCGAGGACCCTCGCCTCGGCGACGCCGTGCGCTTCGTGCGCGACCCGAAGAAGCGCCTCGCCATCGTGCACGCCCTGGTCAAGGTCAAGAACACGTGCGAGATGACGGTCATCGACGACGAGACGCAGGCCAAGATCGCCGCCGGCGAGGACGTGCCGCCCGGTCACGGCGGGTGCGGGCACGAGCAGCCGCAGATCCGGCGCGAGGGCCTCAAGCTCTTCCTCGTGTACGGGCGGGGCAAGGACGAGGTGAGCTCGAGCCGTCGAGCTTCTGCCGCTCGGGCGACCTTTGCTCACCCTGTCGCGAGCCTTGTCGCTCTCCCTCCCTCTTCTTCCAGGACGGCAACGTGCAGCAGCCCGACCGCAAGCCGTACACTGCGACGCACGCCCACACGCTGTTCCGCAAGATCTCGGACGACGACCTCGTCACGATGGGCCTGTCGGCGTCCGAGGCGCACCCGGCCTGGATGATCCTCACCGTGCTCCCCGTGCCGCCCATGCCCGTGCGGCCCTCGATCTCGGTCGACGGCGGCGCCATGCGCGGCGAGGACGACCTGACGTACAAGCTCGCCGAGATCATCCGCGCCAACTCGAGCCTGCGCAAGTTCGAGGAGGAGGGTGCGCCGGCGCACGTCATCAACGAGTTCGAGACGCTGCTCCAGGTGCGTCGAGTCGTCCTCTCCCTCGCCTCGTTCTGCCGCGTCGTACCGAGCGCGTCCCTGACCCTTGCCTTCTCACCCTCCCTCCCCTCTTTCTCCCTTTCTCCCTCTCGCCCTCGGCGCTCCCTTTCCTCCGCACTTTCTCTCTCTGTCTCTCTCTCTCTCGCAGTGGCACATCGCGACCTACATGGACAACGACCTGGCCGGCCAGCCGCAAGCGCTGCAAAAGTCGGGCCGGCCCGTCAAGTCGATCCGGGCCCGCCTCAAGGGCAAGGAGGGTCGGCTGCGCGGCAACCTCATGGGCAAGCGCGTCGACTTCTCGGCCCGCACCGTCATCACGGGCGACCCCAACCTCGCCCTCGACGAGGTCGGCGTCCCGTTCTCGATCGCGCGCACCCTCACGTACCCGGAGCGCGTCACGCCGTACAACATCACGCACCTCCAGGAGCTCGTCCGCAACGGGCCCAACGAGTACCCGGGCGCGCGGTACGTCGTGCGCGACACGGGCGACCGCATTGACCTGCGGTACAACAAGCGCGCCGACACGTTCCTCCAGTACGGCTGGATCGTCGAGCGCCACCTCAAGGACGGCGACATCGTCCTGTTCAACCGTCAGCCGTCGCTCCACAAGATGTCCATGAGTGCGTCACCCTCTCTCTCGCCGTCCGTCCTCGTCCTCAAGAGCGACATTCCTAACTCTTCTCTCTCTCTCGCAGTGGGTCACCGCGTCAAGCTCATGCCGTACTCGACGTTCCGCCTCAACCTGTCGGTCACGTCGCCGTACAACGCCGACTTTGACGGCGACGAGATGAACTTGCACGTGCCGCAGAGCGAGGAGACGCGCGCCGAGCTCATCAACATCTGCGCCGTCCCGCGCAACATCATCTCGCCCCAGGCCAACAAGCCCGTCATGGGCATCGTCCAGGACACGCTCTGCGGCGTCCGCAAGTTCACCCTGCGCGACTGCTTCATGGACCAGGACTTTATCCAGAACATCCTCCTGTGGGTCCCGGACTGGGACGGCATCCTCCCGCCGCCGGCCATCATGAAGCCTCGGCCGATGTGGACGGGCAAGCAGATCCTGTCGATGTGCATCCCGTCGGGCATCAACCTGTACCGCGCAGCGGGCGGCAACTCGTCGGCGCCGGCCGAGGACGACGGCATGTTTATCGAGGACGGCCTCATCATGTACGGCACGGTCGACAAGAAGACGGTCGGCACGTCGCAGGGCGGCCTCATCCACGTCATCTACCGCGAGAAGGGCCACATCGTGTGCCGCGACTTTTTTTCGGGCGTCCAGAAGGTCGTCAACTTCTGGCTCCTGCACAACGGCTTCTCGATCGGCATCGGCGACACGGTGCCGGACAAGGGCACGATGGAGGCCATCCAGGGCTTCATCAACACGGCCAAGGCCGACGTCGAGAACATCATCCAGCTCGCGCACGACGACCGCCTCGAGCCCGAGCCCGGCATGACGGTCCGCGAGTCGTTCGAGTCCAAGGTGACGCGCGCCCTCAACCAGGCCCGTGACTCGTCCGGCCGCAGCGCCGAGCGGTCGCTCAAGGCCGACAACAACGTCAAGCAGATGGTCGTCGCCGGGTCCAAGGGCTCGTTCATCAACATCTCGCAGATGTCGGCCTGTGTCGGGCAGCAGATCGTCGAGGGCAAGCGCTGCCCGTTCGGGTTCAAGTACCGGTCCCTGCCGCACTTCACCAAGGACGACTACTCGCCCGAGGCCCGTGGCTTCGTCGAGAACTCGTACCTGCGAGGTGCGTCCCTCTCTCTCTCTCTCTGTGTGTCTCTTGCGCGCACGTGAAGCACACAGACTGACTCGCTCGTCCTCCCTCTCCCTCCCCTCGCTCTCGTCGCGCCGCAGGGTTGACGCCGCAAGAGTTCTTCTTCCACGCCATGGCCGGTCGCGAGGGCCTGATCGACACGGCCGTCAAGACGGCCGAGACCGGCTACATCCAGCGCCGACTCGTCAAGGCGCTCGAGGACGTCATGGTCGCGTACGACGGAACCGTGCGCAACTCGCTCGGCGACGTCGTCCAGTTCATCTACGGCGAGGACGGCATGGACGGCGCCTTCATCGAGGAGCAGGTCATCGAGCCGATCCGCCTGTCGGACGAGCGCTTCGAGAAGCGGTACCGCGTCGACGTGACCGACCCCGAGTGGACGTTCCGCCCCAAGACGATCCGCGTCGACCTCGCCCAGGCCGACCCGCTCGTGCAGCAGGTCCTCGACGAGGAGTACCGCATCCTGCGCGAGGACCGGCACCTCCTGCGGCACAAGGTCTTCCCCAAGGGCGACGCGACCGTGTCGCTCCCGGTCAACCTGCGGCGCGTCATCCAGAACGCGCAGCAGATCTTCCACATCGACTTCCGCAAGCCGAGCGACCTCCCGCCGGCCGAGGTCGTCGAGGCCGTCGACTCGCTCGTGCGCCGCCTCGTCGTCGTGCGCGGCAACGACGACTTGTCGCACGAGGCGCAGGCCAACGCGACGCGCCTGTTCGGCATCTTTGTCCGCTCGGTCCTCGCCTCGCGCCGCGTCATCGAGGAGTACCACCTCAACCGCGAGGCGTTCGAGTGGGTCGTCGGCGAGGTCGAGACCAAGTTCAACGCGGCCGTCGTCGCGCCGGGCGAGATGTGCGGCACGCTCGCGGCCCAGTCGATCGGCGAGCCGGCGACGCAGATGACGCTCAACACGTTCCACTACGCCGGTGTGTCGTCCAAGAACGTGACGCTCGGTGTGCCTCGCCTCAAGGAGATCATCAACGTCGCCGTCAACCTCAAGACGCCGTCGACGACCGTCTACCTCGAGCCCGAGTTCGCCCAGGACATCAACCTCGCCAAGGAGGTCCAGACGCGCCTGTCGTACACGACGCTCCAGACGGTGACGGCCTCGACCGAGATCTTCTACGACCCGGACCCGACCGCGACCGTCATCGAGGACGACCGCGAGTTTGTCGAGGCCTTCTTTGCCATCCCGGACGAGGACGTCGAGGCCAACCTGTCGCGCCAGTCGCCGTGGCTGCTCCGGTTCGAGCTCGACCGCGCCAAGATGCTCGACAAGAAGCTTGAGATGCACTACGTCGCGGGCAAGATTGCCGAGACGTTCGACCAGGACCTGTTCGTCATCTGGTCCGAGGACAACGCCGAGAAGCTCGTCATCCGGTGCCGTGCCCTCAAGGGCGCGTCGTCGTCGCAGGACAAGGAGGGCGAGGCCGACGACGACGAGGACGACGAGGACGTCTTCCTCAAGCAGCTCGAGTCGCAGATGCTCGGCTCGATCGCGCTCCGAGGCGTCGAGGGCATCGACCGCGTCTTCATGATGGAGCAGAAGCGGCCGACGCTCAACGCGGCGGGCGAGTTCCACACGCCCAACGAGTGGGTCCTCGAGACGGACGGCATCAACCTGCGCAAGGTCCTGTGCACCGAGGGCGTCGACCCGACGAGGACCCTGTCCAACTCGTGCGTCGAGATCCTCGAGGTGCTCGGCATCGAGGCGGCGCGAGCGTCGGTCCTGCGCGAGCTCCGCAACGTCATCGAGTTTGACGGCTCCAAGGTCAACTACCGCCACCTGTCGATGCTCACCGACATCATGACCAACCGCGGGTCGCTCATGGCCATCACGCGCCACGGCATCAACCGCAGCGACACGGGCGCGCTCATGCGCTGCTCGTTCGAGGAGACGGTCGAGATCCTCATGGACGCGGCCGCAGCCGGCGAGATCGACTACTGCACAGGGGTCGCCGAGGCCGTTCTGCTCGGGCAGCAGGCGCCGATGGGCACCGGCGCGTTCGAGCTCGCACTCGACCTCGACAAGCTGCGCGAGGTCGTGCCCGACCACCGCCTGCCCGTCCCGGCCGGCATGATGCTCGACGCCGCCGTTCTCGACGGTGGCCGCACCCCGGGCGGCGGCGCGACGCCGTACGCCGACCTTGCCGAGGGCAAGACGCCCGCCTACGCCGGCGTCGAGCAGTACGGCTCGTTCTCGCCCATCGTGCAACCGGGCCAGGACGGCATGGGCTACGACCAGCTCGGCGGCGCGTCGCCCTTCTCGGGTGGCGCCAGTCCGTTCGCCGGCGGGCAGTCGCCGTTCCTCGGAGGGCAGAGCCCGTTCTTGGGCGGCGCCAGTCCCTTTGGCGCCGGCACTTCTGGCTACGCCCCGTGCGTCCTCGCCCTCTCTCTCTCTTCCTCCCTCTCGACGCCGTGACTGACTCGTGTCGTGCGCTCGCAGGTCCTCGCCGTTCGCGTACGGCGGCGCGTCGCCCTACAACCCTGCCGGCGCCGGGGCAGGAGGAGCGTCGCCCTGGGTCAACCGCGCTTCGCCTTCCTCGCCCAACGCCTACTCGCCCTCGAGCCCTCGCTTCTCGTGCGTCGGATCGTCCTCCTCGGCGTCTCTCTCGAGGACGAGGACGAGAATACTGACCTTCCTCGTCCTCCCCTTCTTCTCTCCTCCCCTCTCTCTCTCTCTCTCGCCGTCAATCTCCCTCGCCTCGACGAACCACCCGAATCTCCTCGACAGGCCTGCGAGCCCTGGATACAGGTGCGTCCCGCCTCGTCTCGCTCGGTCTCTTGTCCTAGAGCCCTCACTAACGCCCGACCTTGACCCGCAGCCCGACCTCGCCCTCGTTCTCGTACGCTCGACCTTTCTCCTCCTCTCCGCCCCTCGTCGGCTCCCCGTCAATCGTTGAAGCTCACTCTCGCGTTCGTCCTCTCGACCTGCAGGCCCGCATCGCCAAGGTTCTCTCCCGCGAGCCCGGCCTTCTCTCCTGCAAGCCCGGCCTTCTCGCCGGCAAGCCCGAGGTTCTCTCCGGCCAGTCCGGCCTTCTCGTACGTCGTCTGTCTCTCTACCTCCGTCGCAGCGGTCGCGAGAGCCCCTTTGTCTCACCAACCGTCTCTGACTCTTCTTCTCCCTTCCCCCCATCGCCCTCTCCTCCTCCTTCTCCCTCCCTCCTCAACTCGTCCTTCTCTTCACGTCACGCAGGCCGACCTCGCCCAAGTTCTCGCCGACGAGCCCTGCCTACTCGTGAGTCGGCCTGTCCTCGTCGACAGCGGGCGCGAGCCTTCACGAAGCGGTACTGACACCTCCTCGACCCCCTTCCTCTTCTCCCCTACCTTTTACGCAGGCCGACGAGCCCGAGGATGAGCCCGACATCGCCTGCCTTCAGCCCCGCCAGCCCCAAGTACAGGTGCGCTCGACCCTCTCTTTTCCCCTCTCGGCCTTTTGTCGCGCCCGCCGACTCGAGATTGACTCTTCCCTCGCTCCTCGTCCTCGCCACAGCCCAACATCGCCGCAGTACTCGTGCGTCCTGCCTCTCTCTCTTGATGTCCTGAGCGAGCTCGACCTGACCTCGCGCCCTTCCCTCTCTCTCTCGCAGGCCGACCTCGCCGGCGTACAGCCCGACGAGCCCCGCGACGGGCGCCGGCACGCAGTCGACCAACCCGACGACGGCCGCCTCGACGCAGCAGCAGCAGCCGCACTCGTACTCGAGCGCGCCGTCGTGGAGTCGCTGAGCGAGTCGAGCCGAGTTGGGGCATGGAGCAGGGTCGCGATCGCCTCGTGTACGAGCAGCAGTAGTACTTGTACGGAGCACGTGTCGAGAGCTTGGAACCAGGTCCGTTCAGACCACCTTGAGCGACTTGAGAGAGCGGCTCGAGACGAAAGCGGCCTTCCCAAGTTCGCTCGCCTCGACCTTCTCGCTCGGCGTGCTGCTCGGCTCGCTGTCAGACGGGGCGAGAGCCGCCTCGCACTCTGAGCATGGTCGTCGACGAGCCCTCTCAGCTCTCGCATCACAGCCTTTGCAGCGGAGCGCGTCTCTCCGCTTGGACCCTGCGCTCAGTCAGCTTTCGGCTTCCTCGCTCGCTCTCTCGCTCTCGCACGTCTCGCTGAGCGATCTCGACGTGCTTCTAGTCATTCATGTGCAACTCTACAACGGGCCCTCGCTGCCCAGCAGCACCCCGCCTTGCGTTCGCTCGAGCCTCATTCCTGCGGCTCCTCGCCCTCGACGACCTGCTCGCCGTCGTCGCTCAGCTTGACGTTCTTGGGGCTCTTGAGCGCGTCGGCGATGTACTTGGTGTGTGAACCTTCGAGAGTTGACGGAGAGAGAGAGGGTCAGGTCGATGTGCGAGTGCGAGAAGGGGGAGGGAGAGAGAAAGAGGAGGAAGGAGAGGACGCACCGAACGCGAGGAGCTTGCCCGTTTCTGCGCTGTGCAGCTCGGTGCGCGTAAAGGCGAGCGTCTTGCCTGTGTGAGGGCCGGGAGGAGGCGTCAGGGCCGACTGTCGACATGCAGCGGCCCCTCGCCCTGCCGGAGGAGGCAGGCGAGAACCGCAGGCTCGAGCGGGACGACGCCGATGCGAGGGCGGCCGACGCACCCATGTTGACCACCTCGCTCTCGATGCGGATCTTCTCGCCCAGCTTGGCCCCTCGAACAAACCTGCACGGGTCGACAAGTCAGCTTGGGTTGATGAGGACGGGCTCTTCTTGGGCAGCCGCATCTCTCGCCCGCCGCTAAGCGAGAGGCCGAGAAAGGGCAGCAGAGAAAGGAGCCGACTCACGTCTGGTTCATGTCGGTGCTGACGCCCGTCATGTACATGCCCTTGCTCGCGAGCGCGAGCGAGCCCATCGTGTCGACGAGGGACGCGATCAAGCCGCCGTGGAGACCCTGCGCGTGCGGAAGGGGAGGACGGGTGGGGGAACGGGTCAGGACTCATTCGAGGTGACGAGAGGTGAAAAGAGGGGACGGACGCCGAGGCGGTTGACTGCGCGGGAGGGAGGGAGGGAGGAGGAGGAGGGGCCGCGGCACGACGAGGTCAGCTCGGCCAGGTGTCCCGCACGCACGAGAAGAGGGAGAGAGGGACGTACTCTGTTTCGGCTCGACCGTCATCTCTGCCATGCACCTCCCGGGCTTTGCGTCGACGACGACGAGCTGCGCGCGCACCCGGCCCCACCTCCGTCAGTGGCTCGCCCTCGCACGGCCACGAGAGAGCGAGGGGGGAGAGTGGGACGCACATGACCGAACGCGTTGTGGTCGTGGCCCTGTTGGCGCTGGAAGGCGCGCCAGACGAGCTGCGTGAACCGCTTCGAGGCGCTGCGGTCGAGCGATGAGGGTGCGAGGACGAGAGGCGGCGGGGCGGGGTGGGAAGGGGTGTGTCAGGTCCGTGTTGTGCTGTACGAGCCCATGGACAAGACGCACGACATGGCGACAGAGGCTGAGCGAGGAAGAGTGCGAGGACGAGAGAGTCGACCGGTCCGGTGGCGGGCGACGGCTCGCAACCGGCTCTCGGGCACAAGCGACTCGCTCTCTCGCACAGGACACAGGTCAGGGAGAGGAGAGAGATGTGATTGCCGTTGCGGTGCGACGGAGAGAGAGAGAGAGAGGGGAGAACAAGTACAGGGAGGGCGTGCGGCTCAGAGAGGGGACAGGCGAGCTCGCCCCTCGACACGTGCTATTCTATACACACACACCGTCGTCTTCGACCTCCTTCTGAGCGAGACGAGCGCGCCGGGGGTATCCAGATGCGAGGCGGCTCGTCTCCCCCTCCTCCCTCCCGCTCCGCTCCAGCTCTTGACCTCGCTCGACGACCAGGCCGAACGCAGATCTCGGCAACGTCGACGTCGCCCTTTTTTGAGTTTGACGCGACGAGGCATCTACTCCTGCGAAAGGACGACGCCGACCTTTGCGGGACGGAGGAGGCGCTCCTTGATCATGTCTGCGGGTGGCGAGGACGAGGGGGAGGGAGAGGGGGAGAGCAATCAGTACCACGTCGAATAGAAGAGAGTCGAGGGAAAGGTGGGCGCACAGCCAATCTCCTGGCACTCGAGGACCGAGCCGGGCTCCTTGCCCGGGACCGGGGCCTGGTACAGGGCCTCGTGGCGGTTGGGGTCAAACTGCTCGCCGGTCGGGTCAAAGGCGACGATGCCGTGGCGGCCGAGGACCTTTTCGAGGCCGCGCTTGAGGAGGCCGACGCCCTCGTACAGGCCCTTGAGGTCGGCGTTGTCGGCGGCCGTGACGCGGTCCTCGGGGATCGAGCGCAGGGCGAGGTTGAGGACGTCGATCTCGCTGATGAGGTCCTTGGCGAACGACTGGAGGGCAAAGTCCTTTGCGGCCTGCTTCTCGCGCGCGGCGCGCTTCTGCAGGTTCTCGAAGTCGGCGAGGGTGCGCAGGCGGGCGTCCTGTGGCGTGGGTGGCGCGAGGGGGTCGGTGAGGGTGCGCGACGATGTGCGAGGGCTGTTGAGACGAGGCGATCGAGGAGCAGGAGACGGACCTTGTGCTCTGCGACGGCCTTCTTGTGGTCCTCGAGCTGCTTGTTGAGGTCGGCGAGGGCGGCGTCGTTGCCGTTGACGGCGTTGGGATCGGGGGTAGCGGTGGCCGAGTCGGCAGCAGCGGCTGCGGGCTCCTGGGTTGCGTCTGCGGCGGGTGCGGCCGAGTAGTGGCGGAGAGCGGGGGCGAGGAAAGTCTGGCGGAGGATGGCGGCGGTGGGAGCCGGGCGGGGTGCGGCGGTGCGCAAGGTGCGGAGCGACTGGGTGGCGGTACGGAGCATGGCTCTAGTCGGGGTGCTTGTGACTCTGAGGTAGACGTGGGCAGGAGGAGAGCGAGGTGGTCCGTCGTCGTCGTCGTCGTCGTCGGTCTCTGGACTTGATCTCGCTCATCTCGGCTCGACCCACACCCGCCTAGATGTGAGCACCACCACCCAGAACTACACTCACTCGACTCGACTGACCCTTCAACCACGCAGGCCTCCACCGGCTCACACCCCCGACCCTCGTCGCAGGCCTTCAGCCCCACTCGACCCTCCTCAGCCTCGCCCGCTCCCGCCGCACCTTCAAGACCTCGAGGACGCCCTCACCCGCAAACTCGACGACCTCGACAACTACCAGGTCCCGCAACTCGCATCCTGCCACGGCCCGCTCGCCTTTCACCACGAACTCGCCGCCGCCGTCCGCTCCGAACTCGCTACCTCTCGCAGGGACATCGAGGCACGTCCTCCACCTTCTCCCCCCTCTCTCTCTCGACGTAGTCTGACCCGCGACGACCTTCCACGCAGGAGTTCAAGCTCGAGGTCGACGACCTCGAACGCGCGAGGGACCGCGCTGCCGCAGCTCAACACGTCCACGCCCTCCAGCAGCGCATCGACAGGTCCGTCCCCTCCAACATACTCGTCCATACCTCCCGCTCTGACCCCCCTGCGTGTCGGCCCGCAGCTCGACCAAGCTCTACCGCCAAGCCGTCGTCACCTCGAAGCGCCAGATTGACGCCTACGGCCACCTCGCCGCACGCGATGAGCTCCTCGCGCCCGCCGCCGACTCGTCGGGACGTGCTGCGTCGCCCGGTCCGTATGGCGCACAAGGCGCGAGGGCGAGGAGCCCGCAGCCCAACCAGAGGTGCGTCCGCGCTTCGTCTCCCCCTCTCGCTCTGCCTGCGCGCGAACAACGACTGAAGCCCTCACTCGCGACACGCAGCGCCGACGATGCGCTCATGTCGGCCACGTCGGACGTGACCGAGGGCTTGCGGCGCACGCTCCAGCTCATGCAGCAAGAAGTCGACCGCTCGCTCGTCTCGAACGAGCTCCTCGGTGCGTCTCTCTCTCCCTCTCTTCCTCTCCTGCGCCGTCCAAGTCACTCAAGTACCCCTTCGCCCCGACAGAGTCGCAAACCAAGACGATGGAGCTCACCTCGAACCAGTACTCGACCCTGTCGTCGCTCCTGCACACGTCGCGCGCCCTCATCACGGCCCTCGAGCGCTCGGCCGTCTCGACCGCCTCGTCCTGTTTGGCGCGTTCGCCTTCTTTGCCGCCGTGTGCGCCCACATCTTCAAGAAGCGCGTCATCGACCGCGGCGTGCACGTCCTCGGCGCCGTCGGGTCCGTCGTCGGCGCGGTTGGCCGACGTGCCGGTGCAGCGAGCGCGGGCGCAGCCGTCGTCGACAAGGCGGGCGAGGTCGTCGAGGCGGCTGGCGGCGCCGTCAAGGACGAGGCCAAGGGCGAGATCGCTCGGGCGGCAGCGGCGGCTGGCGCGCTCGCGGGCGCTGCGTGGAGGGGCGCCGAGGCGCTGCGTGCGAGGGCATTCCCGCACGAGGACGCGGGCGAGGAGGGGGGAGAGAACGAGGAGGAGGAGGAGGAGGAGCTCGCGCAGGGGGTCGTGCCCGCTCGCGAGGAGGGCGACTCGCGCGTTCGCGCCGAGCCGGTCCAGCCCTCGGCGTCTCTCGACGTCGACGAGGACGAGGACACCTTTGACGTCTTCCACGACGTGCTCGAGGCCGTCGACGACGACCCTGCCCCGACTGCCGCCGAGCCGCTCCCGATCCCGACCGCCGAGCCAGCCCCCGCACCCGCATCCGCACCCTTGCCCTCGCCCTCGTCCGACCGCTCGCCCGAGCCCACCGCTCAGCTCCCCCTCGCCGACATCCCCACCTCGCACGGCGACAGCGCCGCCGACCCGTCCGACGTCCCGCCTCCAGCTCCGCTCCCGCTCCCGACCCCGGCCGAGGTCGAGCCCGAGACGGTCGCGCTGCGCGAGGAGCGCCCGCCCACGCCGAGCGTCGACGCGCAGGACGCCGTCGCGTTCGAGCCCGTCCCGACGCCCGAGGCGGCGCCCGTCGAGCAGGACGAGCAGGACGAGCTCGCGCACGAGCCCGTCGTCGCCAACGACGACGATGAGCGCGTCTTCCAGCCGCTCGAGCGCCTGCGCCCGACGCGCCCGGACCTCGATGCCCAGCTCGGCGACGTGCAGGGCATCGTCGACGCGCACGCGAGCGGCGCGCACGTCCAGGACGAGGTCGACGAGGTGCTCCCGATCGTCGACGAGGACGCGGCGCTCGAGCTCGACGAGCAGGCGCACGAGACGGCGATCACGGCGCCGGAGCCGTCGGGCATGGCGAGCCCTGTCGAGGAGCAGCAGGACGACGACTCGGGCGCGGCGACGCTCCCGGTCGACGACGACGCGGCCACAGCGCGTCCCGCGCCCGGCCTCGACCTGGCGGCGGCCAAGGAGGCGCAGCACGTCGCCGAGGCGCACGCAGGCGGCGAGGGCGGCACGCGTGTGCCCGAGGCGGACGAGCTGCGCGAGGGCGGCCTGCCGCGACTCGACGTCGACGGCGACGAGCCGGTCGTCGAGGACGAGGACACGCTCGACGAGGTGGAGCTCCCTGTCGACCTCGAGAAGGAGCAGACGGCGTGGGAGCGTGAGGGGGAGCAGGAGGAGGAGCCGGTCGCGGCGGCTGAGCGGGACAAGGAGCAGGTCGACGAGGAGGAGCAGAGCGGCGAGGCGCTCCTCGACGAGATGCTCGAGGCGCAGCTCGGCGGTGTGATCGGCGGCGCAGCGCAACATGTCGTCGGCTCCATGGCGGGCAACGACACTGCCTCGTTCGAGCACGAGCCAGCCGTCGCGCCGCAGCAGGACGAGCCCGCCGCCGTCGCCGACCCAGCGCCGAACGAGGCGGCCGCTCTGCCTCTCGACGAGCCGTTTGCCGCCTTCGACGACTTCCCTCTCGACGACACGACCTCGCTCCCCGAGCCAGCCGCCACCGCCATACCCGAGGACGCGCCCTCGCCCGCCTCGACCGCCGCCACGACCGCCGAGCCGACGCCCGCCGCGTCCGACTCGCCCCTCGACGCCGCCGATGCCCCGCTCCTCACCGCCGAGCCGAACATCTCGGCGGCTCCCGTCGTCTCGAGCGAGCTCGACGACGAGCAGGACGAGGTCGCGCTGCCGCCGGCCGCCGAGGCTGAGGAGTCGGCCGAGCCCGCCCAGGCGTCGAGCACTGGCGCATCTGCCGAGCTCGACGACGACGCGGCGGCCCGAGCGGCGCTCGAGGAGGAGCGCGAGGAGGACGCGCAGCTCGAGGAGGGCTCGAACGCGCTCGAGGACGAGTTCGAGGACGATGAGATCGTCGGCGCGCCGCTTGAGGAGACCGACCTGCCGCTCGTGCGCGACGACCAGGGCGACGACGACTCGCCGTCGGAGCAGCACGAGCAGGACTCGGCCGACGCCGAGGTCGGCGCCGCCTTCGACGACCTCGACCACGACGAGCCGGCCTTGCCGCTCGACGTCGAGCTTCCTCTGCACGATGTCGCCGAGGAGCACGAGTCGCATGAAGGCGGCGCGTACTCGGACGACGGCGAGGGCGATCGTGAGCTGGAGCTCGAGGAAGACAATCTCGCGTCGCCGAACCAGCTCGAGGCCGACGGCCCGCTCGACCAGGCCGAGCTCGCGCCCGAGGCGTCTGCGCCCCACGACGTCGTCGTCGAGTCGGGCGAGTACGCGCTCGGCGTAGACGAGCTCGACGCCGACATCGCCAACTCGGACGTCGTCTTCCCGGACTCGTCGATCGACGAGGACGACAGCGCCGACTCGGCTTCGTCGCCCTCGTCTTCGCCTGACGACGATGTCGACGACCAAGGCGCCGTGTTCGAGTCGGCCGCCGACGAGGCTGCCGCGGAGCACGTCGGCGAGCAGGCGCCAGCGCCGGGCCACGAGGCGGACGAGGCGCTCCAACGCGCCGAGGACCTCCTCGACGAGCTCGAGTACGATTCCGAGGACGGCGAGGAGTACTATGACGGCGAGGGCGAGGGCGAATGGGAGCGGTTCGAGGGCGAGGAGGAGGGCGAGCCGTACTACGAGGAGGAGGAGGCTCAAGCGCCGGTCGAGAGGGACGAGCTGTAGACGGTCGCGTCTCGCTAAAATGCTCGACTCTCGTCTCACGTCTCGCTACTGGCTTCTTCGCCAAAGAGAGCAGAGAATGGTCGACGTCTAGCCGCACGTGCCCCTGTCCGGCTCGCCGGCTCGTCCTTCCCCACAAGTCGGGCGCGGCTTATCGGCTCGCAAACAGCAGCGTCATCCTCGTCGCTCTCTCCCTCCTCCCTCGCACCACCCACCGCATGCTTCAGCTCAAGACTATCCACGATGCGCGCCGGCACCGCGCACTCCCCTCGGCCCGCCTCGTCGCCCACTCGAACTCGCCCCTCCTCGCCCCGAGACGCGCCGCCCGTGACGGTGCAGCGAGCGGCCCCGGCGGCGGCGGGTGCGGCGCGGCAGCGCGCTCGTGCAGCGGTGCGGCGAGGGCAGGGCCAGGGCAGGGCAGGGCCAAGCTGCTCAAGGTGGCACCGCCGCCGACAGTCGAGGTCGAGGGCCACGTGCGGCAGGAGGACGGGCGCGAGGTGACGTCGCAACCGGCGGCAGCTTTTGATGGGTCGGATGCGAGGGTCGACGAGCATGCTGGACCGGCTGCGATGGCCGATGAAGCGGCAGGACATGCGGCCGCCGCACCTCGAGAGGAAGCAGTTCCTCTCGACGACGCTCCTCGTCGCCGACCAACGCGTGCGTCCCTTCTCTCCCTTTCCTTCTCGCACACTCTTTGAGGTCCCTGACGTATGACACCCACAGGGACAATCTCGCACGACTTTGAGCTGGTTCTCCCCGGCGGCTCGACCGTCGACGGCGGCGTCGACACGCTCGCCGTGTGCTCGCCCGCCGACGAGGACGAGTGGGAGTTCCTCTCGCTCGACCAGGACGACACGGTACTCGCCAAGCCGACGCTCGAGGCCCCAAGCCCCGCCTCGACTGCAGCCGGCGGCGCTCGTCCACCTTCCACCGGCGCATGAGCCCCGTCCTCCTTCTCTCGTCTCGCCTCGTCTCGCCTCGCGCCGTCTCCCAGCGCCTCGTCGTTGTCTCTCTATCGGCATCGCTCGGGCGGTGCCTCTGTGTGATCACCCCTCCCTCGCTGTCGATACCCCCTTTCCCTTCCCTCCTTTCCTCTCGCAAACCCAGAAGTAGCAGCCCTCGAGCCAGTCTTCTAGTGCACGTCTTGGCTTGTATTGTCAACAACAGAGTACCTCCTCGATCCCTCGCTCGCCGCAGAGAGACCCTCGCCCGCGCTGTCCCTCCTCGAGCAGGCTAGACCGACCCGACCCGCTCTCTCCTCCCTGCTCCGCCGCTCGCGCCGACGCCCGGCGCCTCGTCGCGCATCTCGACGAACAGGAAGTACTTGGCCGAGTTCCTCTGGCTGCTCGTGCCCTCGCCGACGGCGCGCGTCCACCCGCCGCCGCCGCCGCTCGCCGACGGCGAAAGGGCCGCCGACCCGGCGTTCGGGAGGTGGTTGAGCGTGAGCGAGGTCCAGTTGCGGGCGGGCGTGATGCCGAGGCTGAACATGCGGTCGAAGAGACTGTGCGGGAGGGCGATGAGGGAACGAGGAGAGGTCAGTGCGCAAGTCAGGGAGGGAAGGGACTGCGAGAGGGGAGAAAGAGGGACGCACTCGGCCACCCAGAGGCGAGCATAGTTCTGGCAGGTCGTGAAAGGAAGGTGGAGCGCCGGCGAGGAGAGGGACGGCTCAAGCGAGCGCAGGCTGCGGTAGATGATGGACCTGCAGGCGACGACCGGACTCTCTCGAGTCAGTGTCCGTCGCCTTCTCGGCCCAGAAGAGTGCCGTGATACACACGTCGTCTCGGCTCGAGAGAAAGGGAGAGAGAGGACGTACGGCTGAGGGGTGCCGAAGCGGAAAGCTGCCGAGAAGGCCGACCGCCACTTCTCGTCGACGAGCCTCGCGCAGCGATACGGCTCGTCGCAGTGCGAGTGACAGCTGTAGTCGCGCAAGATCGACACCTGGCCGAGCTTGAGGAGGCGCTCGAGAAAGTTGGACCGCCGTCGCTCGAGCCGGAGGAGCGTCGTCGGCGACAGGGTGGCCAGGTCCTCGCCGATGCTGTTGTACGCGTCGATGACGTAGCGGGACGCCTCCTTGTACAGCTCGGGGATGCCGTTCTCCTGCGCACTCGGTGCTGCGGTCAGTCACTGGCTCTTGAGACGAGACGAGAGAAAGAGAAGGTCCGGGCGCACCTCGGCGATCTTCATGCACAGGACGGGCCGACCAGCGGCCGAGGGGAGAAGAAACGCGAGACAGGCGTTCATCAGGCTCGGGATGTCGAACTTGAGCGCCATGCGGCTCCTGCAGAAGGTCGCAGGTCAGTACAAGATCGAGAGGAGGATGTCAAGGAGGGAGAGGAGGAGGAAAGGGTGGACGCACAGGTCCTCGACGTTGGTCCAGTCGATGGCGCACTCGAGTCGCGGGTAGATGTGGCACAACAGGTCCTGGAAGCTCGACGCCGTCTCCTCGACGAGCCGTAGGCGGCACTCGAGCCAGTCCTCGCCGTCGTCCTCGTCCTCCGTGTCCTCGACGACGCTCGACGCCGCGAGCGAGATGGTGACGGACGCGGCGGGCGCGCCGAGGAGCGACGCTGTCGACGCCGCGAGCGGGTATTCGGGTAGGTCGAGGACGGGCGTGCGCGAATCGTCGGCGCCGTCGTCGGGGAACGGCAGCGGCTCCGCCGAGTCGTCGCGGTCGGTGCTCGCCGGCGCGGCAAAGCTGTCGCGCTTCGTCGACGCGGCAACGGGCGTTGTGCTGCTCGTCTGCTGCCGCCTCGACGCGACGGGCTCGGTCTCGCGCCAGCCGCCGCTCAGGACGCCCTCGAAGAAGGGCGAGGCGAGGGCGAGCACCTCGCGGTGCGTGTAGAAGGTGGCGCTCTGGACGCGGATCCGGACCGTCCCTCGCAGCGGCGCAAACTTGCTGAAGGTCGGCAGAACCGAGACGAACGGGCGAAAGGCCGCTCGGGGCGAGGTCGAGGGAGGAGGAGGACCGGTCGACGAGGGATGGCCGGCGGCATAGCCTGGCGAACCGAACGCGGCGGTGTCGCTCGACTGAGTCGCAGTCGTCGGCCGGCTAGGCTGGAGCAGGTTGGACGGCGGGTGGCTCTGCATCGTCGAGGTCGGCTCGACGGTGGGGGAGCGAGAGCTGTCGTGGGGCAAGCGCGCCTCGCAGGAGAGCTTGGCGGCAGCTCTGTGGATGGCTGTGCACCGCAGCAGGCGCGGGCTCGCGCTTGAGCTGGGGGAAGCGAGAGGACGACCTCGTCGAGACCCGACTCTCGCCGTTTGTCCTGCCACAGCTCTCGCCTCTCCCGCTAGGGAGCTTCTTGTACCCGCCTCGCTGCGAGATGAGCTCTATGCTCCTTGTGCGCGCCTCGCAGACTCGCCCGCGGCGATGCCTGCTCGAACTTCTCATCTCGAGATGGCGTCTGTCGGCCTCGTACACGCTGGAAGGACCCTCTGCTGGTCTCCAGGCTCTCCTATACGCTGCACAAGGGCCTGGCTCCGGCCTGTGGCTCTCTGGGGCCGCTCGCCTGTCGCTGCCCGCTCGCGCCTCGAGCCTGCTCCCTCTCCTCGGTGCCGCGCTCCGCGAGACCGTACAGTGCTCTTCCGCTGCCCACGAACTGATCATACAGCACTACTGGCGAACGTCGAGCGCGCGTCGCCAAGCGAGACGCAGGTACAGGCGCGCGAGCGGGGCTGCCCAGCTGCGAGGCCGTCTTTCGCTCAGCTGCTCTGCTCAGGCTTGTGTCGGGCAGAACGAGTTGTTCCTCGACGGCGTTGTCGAACTCGTTCCTGAGAGTCGACCGTTGCGCAGAGAGCCCGCTCTGCGAGCGCCGGCACAGCAGAGGACTCTGCCAGCCAGGGCGGACCTTCGAGCAGAGCGGACGCGCCACGACGAGAGCAGTCGCCGCGCGACCGACATTGCCATGAGGCGCAGCCAGTGCGAGAGGCGGGAAACCCTGGCGCCAGAGCGCCATCGCAGCGCGCACGCCGGCAAGTCGCGCGACCGCGCTCGTCCTCCGAGCAAAGAGAGGGGGCCAGGACGCCCGGCAGACGCCGCCACGAGCAGTGCAAGCTCTGTCCAAGCACAATAGGAGAGCCATGAGCGAAAGAGCGGCGCCATAGAGCGAGGCAAGGGTGGCGAAGAGCTGACGCAGAGAAGGTCGACCGGCGGGAGGAGGAGAACGAGAGGCACAGCGGCAGCAGGGGGCGTGGTAGCAGGCTCGGTGGGCAGCTGAGGCCTTCTGCTTAACGATGGCCGAGTCGAATGCCCAGCAAGAGAGGCAGACGAGCGGCGACAAGGGCAAACGCAGCTCGCTCAAGAGGGGGAGAGGCGAGGTCGAACGTCTCCCTCCGTCCGCGCCGCCTTCGCTCAAGCTAGAGTCGTTGCGAGCCAGTCCTGCCCGTCTACTGCCCTACGTCTCGCCTCGCCACCCCTCGCCTCGCCCCACAGCTTGGCCGCCGCCTCGTCGTCCACCGCCTTCCACCTCCCATCACCCGCCTCTCGCCCCGCTTCACCCACCCCTCGAGCAGAGCAGCAGCATGTCTGGACTCGTCCTCCCGACTCGTGGCAACAACCAGGCCAACGGCGGCAACGGCGCGGCGGCAGCGGCAGGAGCAGGAGGACCCGGTGGCGCAGCGGCCGAGGCCGACTCGCAGGACAAGGGCAAGGGCACCGCCCAGGCGGGCGACGAGGCAGGAGCCGTCATCCCGGGCGTCAACGGGATCGTCCCGACGTTGCAGTGAGTCCTCGCAGCCTGCTTCACCGCTTGCTCTGGACCGTGCCGGTGCGGGGGAGGAGGAGGCCTGGTCAGCCGACCTCTCGCGGTACGAATCGCCAGCCTTCGTGCTGCGCAGTGCGGGACAAGGTGCTGGAAGGAGCAGGAGGGAGATGCGCGCATGCCCCGAGCCCCTCCCTTGCCGTTGTGACCTGTGTTGACACGCTCTGTTCCTCTTCGCCGCGCGAAAGGAACATCGTCGCGACCGTCAACCTCGAGTGCAAGCTCGACCTCAAGACGATCGCGCTCCACGCCCGCAACGCCGAGTACAACCCCAAGGTGCGTCCCCCCCTTTCCTCCTCTTCCAGATTCTCGAACTGACTCGCGCTTCTCTTCTTCCCTCTCTCCCTCGCCCACAATCACCTCGACCGCTTTCCTCTCCCTCTCTATCACGACGAGCAGCGTTTCGCGGCGGTCATCATGCGCATTCGCGAGCCCAAGACGACGGCGCTCGTGTTCGCGTCGGGCAAGGTCGTCGTGACGGGCGCCAAGTCGGAGGACGACGCTCGCCTCGCAGCGCGCAAGTTCGCCCGCATCATCATGAAGCTCGGTTTCGAGACCAAGTTCACCGACTTCAAGATCCAGAACATCGTCGGCTCGGTGCGTCCCCTCTCACCGCCTTCTCTCTCTTCCTCGCGCGAGCATTTTCCTGACCCTGCCCGCCGCTTCATCGACAGTGCGACGTCAAGTTCCCGATCCGCCTCGAGGGCCTTGCCTACGGTCACGGCCACTTCAGCTCGTACGAGCCCGAGGTGCGCTCCGCTCTCGTCCTCTCTCATCGCCCGTGCGGAGCCTGATCCTCTCCTCCCTCCTCGACACAGCTGTTCCCGGGCCTTATCTACCGCATGGTCAAGCCCAAGGTCGTCCTGCTCATCTTCGTGTCGGGCAAGATCGTCCTGACAGGCGCCAAGGTGCGTCTCGGTCGCTCTCCCCTCCCTCCCCTCTTGACCGTTCCTGACGGGCTCTCCTTCGACACAGTTCCGCGAGGAGATCTACCAGGCGTTCGCCCAGATCTACCCGGTCCTCAACGAGTACCGCAAGCCGTGATCGAGCTCTCGCATCGACTTGTTCGCCTTGCCGCCGCCCTCGCCCTTCGCAACCGACCGTCATACCCTCGTCGTCCGCCTCTCTCGTCCGCCTATACCTCTCCCCTTCCTCCCTCGCATACGGACTCGTCGCGACCGCACCGCCGACCCGAGCGGGAGAGCGCTTCACTGCTGCTTCCTCCTGCTCGTCGTCGGCGCGCACGCCGCACGAGCCCCACCCGCCAGCCCGAGCTCGCCTCTTTCGCCTGCGCACCCGCAAACCCGATCAAGACCAGAAAACATCCCCAGTCGTTCCCCTTTTCTCTCTCTTCCCCTCGATCTCGTCAAGCTGTACCCTCCCTTCGCGACCCGACTCGCGCTCGCCTTTCGTCCCCCTTGCCCTCTCTCGCGCCCTCGACGTGTTGTACGCGCGCCCCTGTGCCTCTCCCACGATGCCTCTGTGCGCTTTCTAGCCTCTGTACAACGCCGGCGGGGCGAGGAGGAAGGGGAGGACGAAGGCGGGTTCGGCGACGTCGACGAGGGCTGCAACGAGTGCTTGATGTCACATAGAGTGTCGTCCTTGTGTCCAGTGTCGAGCTGCAGCGAGCGAACGAGCAAGCGTTGACGAACGGCTCCGCAGAGAGCGAGTCGAGAGGGCCGAGCGGCTCGAGCGGGAGAGCGAGCGGACTGGGGTACCCGGCGACCGGCCGCCTCGGAGATTGCCCGCACAGTTCTGTTGCCGCACGGACGAGACGAGCGTGCGCGGTGACGAGCCCGAGCCAAGCGAGGCTCGTTCGCGCCGAGGGGCACCAGGCGAGAGGCAGGAGACGCAAGCGAGCGAGAGCTGGCGGGATGCGAGGGCTACGCCGCAGCGAGGATCGGGAGCAGATAGTTTTGAGAGAGCCCTGGCCGGAGCCAGATCCCCGCAGCAGGCGTGTAGCAGGCGTGAGCGTCTGCGACGAGGCGAGAGCTGAGTCAAGCGGCGTGGACGAGCGAGTCGTCGCCAACTCGCTCCGAGCGCGAGTGGATGCCGCAGAGGAGGCGAGAGAGGTGATGATGTGTGCATGGCAGCCTTGTATCGCCCGTATAGCGGCGGCGGGAGGAGCAGGGGGGCAGGGAGAGAGGTGGGTCAGCTCACGCGGGCCGTCGTCGACAGCGACATCGCGGCGTCGAGAAGAGGCGAGAGATGAACGGAGGGGTGCAGGACTCACTTGTCAGGAGCTGGGCGGGCCAGATAAGCGGCTGGTGGTGCTGTGAGGGCGTGCGAGGCGGGCAAAGGCTGGTGACCGAGGGGGGCGAGTCGGTCGTCGTGGGCTCGCTCGCGGCGTCGAGAGGGTGCGAGAGTCTGGCAGGGTGGGTGGAATGGTGGTGCGAGTCGACTGGCGGCAGCTGTGCAGGACCAGAGAGGGCTGGAGGGCCGTACGGGGATTCGAGGGCGGCTTCAAGTGGCGGCGGGCGGGGCGCGCACAGCTTGTCTTCGCTTCTCCTCCTTCCCTCTCTCGCTCGCCCGCGCCGTCGCTGTTGGCTGTGTCCCGCCTCACCCTCGGCTCGGTCTCCTCCCCCTCCTCTCTCCCTCTCCCTCCCCGCCCTTACTCGGCAACGCCCTCGAGTCCTCTTCACTGAGGTACACGCAACAACACCGACCCGCCTCGCCTCGCCTCGTCCAGCCTCGCCCTCATCATGGACGCCGCACCCGAGCACGACGCACCACCGGCACCGGCCCCGCCGCCAACCCTCAAGGGCCCCGACGTCGTCTCGACCTCGTCCCTCCCGACCCCGCCGGCCACCTACGCCGTCGAGCCCGCCGACGCTCCGGCCCCCGATGCACCGCCCGCCCCGCAGCCGCCAGCGACGGCCGACTCGCCTGCGCCCGCCGTCGCTCACGAGCAGCCGCACGACGCTCCGCCCCCGCCCCCGCTGGCGCCCTTGCCCGCGCACCTCGGCCTCCCCGCCAAGCTCGAGCACCGCGACAGCGCGAGCAGCCTCGCCGCTCAGCCGCCGACGCCCGCCCCGGTCGCGCCTGCGCCCGCGCCACCTGCGCCCGCCGTCGAGCCGCACCCTGCGCACGCGCACGACGAGGTCAACGGCGCGATCGAGTCGTTCGTCGAGCACACGGGCGCGCACCCGGGCCTCGGCTCGCACCCGCTGTCGGCCCTCGACGAGCGCGCAGCCAACGGCTACGGCGACGCAGGCGACTCGAACGGCATGTCGTCGGTCGACGTGCTCGCCGACGTCGCCATGGGCGAGGCGGCGCTCGGCCTCGCCGACTTCGCGGCCGGCGCGGGCTCGGGCGACGTCAGCGGCGGGTCGCCGAGCCTGTCGCAGTCGGCCGCGACGGGCGCCATCCCCGAGTCGTCGCCGGCGCTCAAGCGCACCGCAGACGAGGCGGCGTACGGCGAGCAGGGCGGCATGTTGGGCGAGTCGGCCGAGGAGCGCGAGGCGAAGCGGCCCAAGGTCGAGGACGAGGTGCGTCCTTGCTCGCTCTCTGTCTCTCTCGTCCTCTCCCGTATCGCGTACTGAACGCGCACGTCGTCCCGTTCCTGCAGCCGCCGGCGATCCCGACCCCGGCCGTCGAGCAGCCGTCGCCCTATCCCTCGGCCCCGGCGCCTGTTCCCTCGGGCCCCGAGGTCGTCGAGCCGTCACCGGCCCCGTACTCGTCGCTGCCGCCTGCGAGCGCGCCGTCGGCCTCGCCGGCGCCGACGCCCGTCCAGGGCTTTGACCCCTCGGCCTTCACCACGGCGCCCACCTTTGCCTCGTCTGCGCCACCACCTCCTGCGTCCGCACCTGTCGCCGCACCGACCATGTCGCCGTCCGACATGCACCACTACTCGCAGTCGCCGCTCGGCGCTCCTCCTCCCGCCGCCCAGTCGTCGTCCGCCCTTCCTCCCGCCAGCTCGTCGGCGCCGTCGCCCGCCCACTACGGCACGCCCGGCGCGTACGCGCAGCAGCCGCAGCCTCCTGCCGCCGGCGAGCAGCAGCAGCAGCAGCAGCAGCAGCAGCAGCCTCAGCAGCAGGAGGAGCCCGTCGCGTCGACCTCGGCCGCCAAGCCCGATCCCGACGCCGAGGGCTCGCCCGCGCCTGTCGAGCCGGCGCCGATGCACATCATCACCAAGGAGCAGCAGAAGTTCGCCATCAACATGGTGCGCAACCTCAAGCGCAACAAGAACGCGCCGCCGTTCCTCAAGCCCGTCGACGCCGTCGCGCTCCTCGTCCCCGACTACTACAAGATCATCACGCAGCCGATGGACCTCGGCACGGTCGAGGCGCGGCTCCAGGCGACGGGGCGCGGCATGCAGGCGGCGGCCAAGGCGGGGCGCGTGTACGGCCTCGACTACAGCGAGGGCCGTGACGGCGAGGGCAGGTGGGAGGGCTCGAATGCCGGCGAGGACGGCAACGAGCCGTACCGCACCGTCGCCGAGTTCAAGACCGATCTCGACCGCATCTGGGCCAACTGCTTCCGGTACAACGGGCCGCGCGAGAAGAACCCTGTGTCGGGCATGGCGGGCGCCATGGCCGACTCGGCGGAGAAGACGTACCGCGGCATGCCTTTCGCTCCCGCCATCTCTGTGCGTCTCCCTCCCTCTCTCCTCCTCCTGCCCCTCGTCGTCGTCGTCGTCGCGCTAGTCTCGATGCCGTCACTGACGCTCTCGTCCCTCCCTTCCCTCCCCTCGCAGCCTTATCCGCCCAAGTACGTCGAGCCGCCCAAGCCCGCCATGCCGATGCCGCCTCGTCCTGCCGAGAGCTCGCGCCCCAAGCGCGAGATCCACGCGCCGGCCAAGGACCTGCCGTACCTCGAGAGCGCCGGCGTCGACGTGACGGCGGGCGGCATCTACAATCTGGCGGGCCTGCCCGGGTACGGCGGGTCGGGCGCGCCGCAGAAGAAGGTCAAGAGCGCGGCCAAGGTCGCCCAGGAGCAGATGCGCTTCTGCAAGGAGGTCGTCAAGGAGCTCTACAAGAAGGTCCACGAGCAGTACGCCTACCCGTTCTACCACCCTGTCGGTTCGTTCTCTCTCTCTCTCCCCATCTCTCGCACCACCCTTTGTCGACGCCGAGGCCTGACTCTCTCTCCCGTCGTCGCCGTGCCCAGATCTCGCGGCGTACCCGACCTACCTCCAGTTCGTCAAGAAGCCGATGGACCTGTCGCTCGTCCGGTCCAAGGTCGAGCACAACCAGTACCCGTCGCCGCCGTACGAGGCGTTCGAGCGCGACGTGCGCGCCATCTTCCAGAACTGCTACGCGTTCAACCCGCCGCAGACGCCCGTTCACGAGATGGGTCGTCGGCTCGAGACCGTGTTCGAGGCCAAGTGGGCCGAGCGCCCGATCGCGTACGAGGACGACTCGGACGAGGAGGAGGACGGCCTCACGGCCATGGAGCAGCAGCTCAACCTCCTGCAGCAGAACATCGAGCTCATGAAGGCCAACAAGAAGGCGCAGAAGGAGGCCAAGCGCTTCGCCCAGATGCAGGCCCGCATGCACGCCGCACCGCCTCCTCGTCCTCCTCCGCCCCAGAAGAAGCCGGCCCAGCAGCAGCCCTACCTCCCGTACGGCGCGCCGCCGCCGGCTCCGCCTCGGCCCAAGAAGACGCACAGCGGCGGCCCTCGTCCCGGCGGCGCGCCCAAGAAGCCCAAGCGCCGGCGCGACGACGACTCGGACGACTACTACGAGGACGACGGCGGCGCGTACTACGGCGGCGGCTCGGCGTCGACGTCGAGGCGGCACACGGGCGGCGACCTCGGCCACCACCACGGCGGGCACCACCAGCCCGTCATGGAGGAGTACGTCGACTTCGAGATGAAGCGCGAGCTCGCCGTCAAGATCGTCGCGTTCGAGGGCGACCAGCTCGAGGAGGCGATCAACATCATCCGCCGCGGCCGCCCGGACCTCCTCGGCGCCGCCAACCAGGAGATCGAGCTCGACATCGACCAGCTCGACCAGCGCACCCTCCTCGCCCTGTACCGCTACGTGTGCCCCGACTCGCAGCCGGCCGTGCGCGCCGTCGCGGCGGCGCCGCCGCCGCCTCGCGGCAACTCGTCCAAGCCGCCCAAGGGCGGTCCCGGGCGCAACCAGCGCAAGAACCTCGACGAGGAAAAGGAGGCGGCGCGCATCGAGGCGCTCGAGGCGCAGCTCGCCCAGTTTGACAACGCCGGCGGGCCGCCCGGCGGCGACTTGAGCCGGCGCGGGAGCGAGACGGGCCTCGGCGGCGGCGGCGGCGACGGTGCCGTGCCACCGAACGCCGGGGGCGGCGCAGGAGGCGACCAGGCGAGCAGCGACAGCTCGTCGGACGACGGGAGCGACTCGGACTCGGACGAGGAGTGAGCGGCGGCGACGGTGTCTTTTCCCTTTCCTTCTCTTTCCCTTTCTCGCCCCGCTCGGGCACTCTATACCCTCTTCCCCCACTCCCTCTTTACTCTCCCACCCTTTCCTACCCCTCCCCGACCGTACACACCCTCTCCTCCTCGGCGCTTTTGCCTCGTCCAGCCGTGCTTGCTCTCTCTCCCTCCCCCTCCCTCTCCCCCTGTTCGTCTCGTCGATCTGTTGTGCCGATAGCCCCCTCCTGAAACTCGTCGCAGTAGCATTACCTCCCCTTACCCGAGCGCTTCGTCGTCGTCGAGAGCGAGAGCGAGAGCGACGAGGAGGAGCAAGTGAGCGGGACTCTCTCGAGGGTGCGCGCTGTCGTCCCCGTTGCTCTCAGAGCTATTGCGAGACGCACTGTGCAGCACTTCAGCTGACTTGCAAGCCAGGGAGAGAGCCGTGAGGCGGTGCACCGACGGAAGGCGGAGGAGCCGTGCTCGACCTCATCTCTCCGCCACCAACGCGGCTGCTCTACACCTCGAGCCCGCCTCTGGCCATGTCAGACCCACGCTTTGCTCGCTTGCACACCGATCCGCGGTTCGTCCGCCCAAAGGCGAGCAAGACCAAGTTCGTCGTCGACGACCGCTTCAAGCAGCTCTTCGAGGACCAGCAGCGTGCGTCCCTCGCCCTCTAGCTCCGAGCCACTGCCGTCTAAAGCTCACACTCTCTCCCACGCAGCTGCCGGTGCCAAGAAGAGCAAGCTCGCGCGCAAGGTCGACAAGTATGGCCGCCCGCTCGACAAGGAGGCCTCGGTCAACGAGCTCAAGCGCTACTACCGCATGGCCTCGCCCAGTGCCGACGACGCGCAAGTCGGCGAGGAGCAGGCGGGCGAGGACGAGGAGGGCGAGGAGGCGTCGGCGGGCGAGAGCGCCGAGGAGGAGGAGGAGGACGAGCCCGCACGCCCGGGCTTCGTCGACCTCGCTCGTGGCGAGGTCCTCCTCGAGTCGTCGGACGAGGAGGCCGTCTCGGACGCCGAGTCGGACTCGTCGTCGCGCGCCGGCTCGGTGCGGCTTGGCGGTCGCGCCTCTCGTCGTCGCCCGTCGCGCAGCCCTTCCATCGACCTGTCCGAGACCGAGCCGGCGTCCCTCTTCCCCGACGAGGACGACAGCGCCGCCGAGCTCGACGACGACGACGACGACGACGAGGGCGCCGAGCCGAGTCGTCGCCTCGCCATCGTCAACATGGACTGGGACCACCTGCGCGCGTCGGACCTGTACCGCGTCCTCGCGTCGTGCCTGTCGGCGACCGCCGCCTCGATCCAGCAGCGCAAGGAGTACGCCAACGACAACCGCGACGCCGTCAAGATCCCGACCAAGCTCGCGATCGCGCCCGGCCGGCTCAAGAGCCTGCGCATCTACCCGTCCCAGTTCGGCCGCGAGCGCATGGAGCGCGAGGCGGTCGAGGGCCCGCCGGTCGACGTTCTGCGCGCCAAGGTCGCCGAGTCGAGCGACGAGGACGAGGACGACGGCGGCAAGACGCTCAAGCTCGGGAGGAAGGACAAGGGCAAGCAGCGCAGGAGAAGGGCCGACAGCGCCGACGAGGGCGACGACTTTACGACCAACGACCTCATCGACGAGCAGCTCCAGGAGGGCGACGACTACGACACCGAGGCGCTGCGCAAGTACCAGCTCGAGCGGTTGAGGTGCGTCCCCGTCTCGTTCCTTCCGGCTCTCGCCCGCCTCGTCGGCCAGTAGCCTGACTCGTAGGACTCTCTCGCAGGTACTACTACGCCATCGCCACGTTCGACACGGTTGCGTCGGCCAAGCACGTCGTCGAGCAGATCAACGGCACCGAGTTTGAGCGCACGGCCAACATCTTTGACCTCCAGTGCGTCTCCCTCTCTCCCTTCCTCCCTCTTGCCCGACCTCGCTCGCCCAGGTTTCGGTGTCTCTGAACATTGTCACCTCGAATCGGTCCTGACGCTCGTCTACTTCAGGTACGTTCCCGACGACACGTCTTTCGACGACGACCCTGTTCACGACGAGGCGACCGAGGCGTCGATCGCCGCCGAGGGCAACAGCTATACCGGCATCGACTTCCAGACCGACGCGCTGCGCCACTCGAAGGTCAAGCTCACCTGGGACGCCGACGACCCTCACCGCAAGACCAAGCTCGAGACGTACCTCGCCTCGGCGCTCGACCGGTCCAAGCAGAAGGGCGCGACCAAGGGCAAGGCCAAGATCGGCGAGGACGACATCGCGCAGTACCTCGCGTCGTCGTCGGACGAGGACGACGTCGCCGAGAACGGCGAGGACGAACACGACGACTTCTTCGAGGCGGAGGAGCCGACCGCTCCTGCCGCTCCCGCCGCCGCCGCGCCGGCCAAGGCCAAGAAGGAGACCAAGCGCGAGCGGCTGCGGTCGCTGCTCGGCCTCGCAGGCGGCGACGGCGAGTCCGAGGTGACCTGGGACGGCGGCGCCGTCGCCGGCGGCAAGCAGCGCAAGGGCGCCGACGCGGGCATGCAGATCACGTTCGCGCCGGCCCTGTCGGAGCGCAGCGCCAAGCAGCTCGAGTTTGCCGGCGGCGACGAGCGCCAGGAGACGAGCATCGAGGCGTACAAGCGCAAGGAGAAGGAGCGGCGCGAGCGCAAGAAGCTCGAGCGCAGGGCGCGCAACGAGGGCAAGACGGTCGAGGAGCTGCTCGAGGAGGAGGGCATGCGCAAGGGCGCCTCGGGCGCGCCGCTCGAGCCTCGCGAGGGCGACGCCGGGTTCGACGACGACTTTTTCGCCGACGACGGCGAGGACCCGTTCGCGGCGTACGACGACGGCGGCAAGGACAGCGGCGACGAGATCGGCGGCGTCGGTGCGCAGGGCAAGAAGGGCGACAAGCTGTCGAAGAAGGCCAAGCGCGAGCAGCGCGAGGCCGAGGAGAAGGCCAACGCCGAGGAGCACGCCAAGCTCGCGCTTCTCGTCGGCTCGGACGACGAGGACGACGTCGGCGGTGCCGGCGGCGAGGGTGGGCGCCACTTCGACATGCGCAAGATCCTCAAGTCGGAGAAGAACGCCGGCAAGAAGCACAAGGTCAAGGGCAAGGGCAAGAAGGCGCTCGACAAGGACGAGCCCGTCAACGACGAGTTCAAGCTCGACCTCGGCGACGACCGCTTCAAGAGCCTGTACGAGGACTACGACTACGCCGTGGACCCGTCCAACCCTCGGTACGCTCGCCGTCTCTCTCTCCCTCCTCTTCCTCCTCCGCCTTCCATCTTTGGCCCTCCTCCCTCGGCCTCGTCTCGCCGCCCGAGCCTCTCCTGACTCTCTGTCTTTCTCGTTCGTCCACAGGTACCAGAAGTCGCGCAACATGGAGGCGCTCCTCACCGAGGGTCGCAAGCGTCGTGCCGCCAAGACGGACAAGGTCCGTGCGCCGGTCGCGCCCTCAGAGGAGCGGCCTCGCGCCAAGGCGGCGCCCGCACCTGCAGAGAGCGACTCTTTGCGCGCCCTCGCAGAGTCGGTCAAGCGCAAGGCGGGCGATGTCGGCGGGCGGGGCAAGCGCACCAAGGTCTGAGTAGCGCTTTCGAGCTCTCGTGCAACATGCTCTCGCGGCAGCGACTCGTGCCCGTCCCTCGTCCCGAGAGCGCCGATTTGTTCAGACCGAGAGGATCGAGTGATATTGCACCGAGAGACAGATCATGAGAGCGCGAAGAAGAGGAAGGACGGCGCCAGCTATAGAGGTCGCGCTCACTCTCCACCGCCGTCGTCTCCTCCTCCGCCATCATCGTAGCCCTCCTGATACGCATCCTGCTGCGAGTCGTCGACTGCGAGGACGGGCAGGAGGAGGAGAGGGAGAAAAAGAAAGAGGGAGAGAAAGGGAGAGAGAGAAAGAAAGGGTCAGTGCACGACCTTGACAAAGTGGCTCTGCCCGAGAAGAATGGGAGGAAGACGGGGCGCACTCGCGTTCATGACCATCATGCCGCCGAGGAGACCTGCACCTGCGCCGAGCATGCCCGCGCCCATGCCGCCCATGCCGCCGCCGCCGCCCATGCGCCCTCGGCTCTGCATCGGCATCTGCTGCTGCCCGTACATGGGCTGGCCGTACATCGGCTGCTGCATCATCATCGGCTGCTGCTGCTGCGGGTAGCCGCCCTGCATGTAGCCCTGCTGCGGGTACCCGGCGCCGTACGGGGGCTGCTGCTGGTAGCCGTAACCTGGAGGGCGGAAGGGTCAGTCCGCCGTTCTCGATGGCTCGCCGCCTCCTCGCCGCTGTCCTCGCCAAGGGAAGGTACATAGAGAGAGAGAGAGAGAGAGAGACGCACCCTGCTGGGGCTGAGCATAGCCTCCGCCGCCGCCATGGTAGCCTCCGCCCCCACCGCCGGCAGAGTCCCTCGCGCCCGTCGCCTGCTCGTACGCCGGCGGACCCGACTGCCCAGCGCCCGCGTACTGCTGCGAGCTCCTCGACGAGTCCTGGCCCGAGCGGAGAGGAGGTGGCGGCCCTGGTGGAGGAGCGTAGGCGGGTCGGGCCGAGGCGAACACCTCGTCGAGGCTCCAGACGGACTTGGGCGGCGTCGCCTTGGTGTCGACGTAGAAGTTCTGCTGGTCTATGGGCGGTCTGCGAGTCAGTCTGGCTGTCGAGGGAGAGAGGGAGAGAGTCGTCCTCGTCACTCGGGCTGATGAGGTGGAAGGTGGGACGACGGAGGGGGACAGGGACGGCGAGAGGACGCACAGTTGCTGTCCCACTGCTTGATCCACCCATCTGGTAGCGGTCGGTCGTCTGCTGCGCCCATCTCAGCCGTGAGAGAGGTGTTGGCGAGGAGCGAGAGGTCCGCTCAGCCCGGCCGAGGTCCGCTGGCTCACGCACCGCCAGCCAAAGCGCTCCTCTCGACAGATGCAGGACAGCCGTACGCCTCTATTACATCCACACGAAGCTACAAGGGCGACCCTCTAGGCAAAGATGTTTCTCAAAGTGAGGGCCGTCAAGACGACGCTCGAGAAGATGAAGATGGCGTACTGCGCGAGCAGGTACGACGCCAGGATGTCGGCGTTCGACTCGCCGTCCTCGGGCGCAAAGATCTGCGCGGCGGAGCGAGGCAACGTGAGCCCGGAAAGCGCTCGACGACGGGGAAGGAGGAGAGGGACGAGGACGCACGACGGTCAGGGCGCACTGGGTCGTCGCAGTCGGTACGACGGAGAAGAAGATCATCTGCAGGGGCGACAAAGTCAGTACGGGCGAGGAAGGTCCGAGAGGCGAGAGGGACGCACCACAAACTGGAGAACGAGGTTGTCCTTGCTGACGAGGTTCGTGTGGTTGACGAGAGCCTGGACGAACACGTAGCCGATGACGGGAAGGAGGACGACCTTGCAGAGGGCGAGGGCGAAGATGCTGTAGAGCGGGAGCTTGGAGATGGGTCGAGGGATGCGCATGCGGCCGAGGGTCGAGCCGAGGACGAGGAGGCCGAGCGGGACGGACGCGTTGCCGATGAATGCGGCCGTGTCGAGAAGGATGGCGAGTGGTGGGGCGCCGTCGGGCGCCGTCGGGTGCCAGTCGTAGTCCTCGACGGTCGTAAAGAGCTGCAGGAAGGAAGGGCTGCTCGTGAGCTCGACGACGTTGAAGAGGACGAGAGAGAAAGAGAGACGCACAGCCTTGAGCGGCTTGACGAGTGCGCAAATGAGGGCGGTGACGAGCGAGATGGTCGGCGGCGTGAGGAGAGAGAGCGCAAAGCCCTTGACGCCGACGAGCACCCGCAACCACCTCGGCCGCACACGCTCCGCCGCCTCGTGCTCCTCCTCCTCGCCCTGCATCGACAACGCCGCACCGTCCTTCTCGTCGCCCGACAGCTTCTCCTCGATCGCCGCCGCCGAGGTCGACCTCGTCGCCGCGAGCTGCATGTCTTTGCGGTCGAGCTCGTCCGGCGGCTGGGTCCCGACCTCGGTGATCTCCTCGTCCTCGTCGCCGACGGCCGACGTCGCCCGCGACGCCGCGATCGTCTTGAGCCGCTGCTCGGCCGCGACGACGCCGCGCAGGTGCCGCCGGCCGAACGACCCTCGCCGCAGCGTCTCGCTCGCGGGCGTCACGGGCGCGCCGGCGAACTGGCCCGTCACGTCGCTCGGCGACGCGGCATGTGCGGCACCGGCAATCTCGCGGATCGAGGCGGCGTCGTGCGAGCGCGAGGTCGTCTGGCGCCGCAGCGGCGCAAACGTCGGCTGCGCAGCGTCCGCCGCCGCCTTCTCGGCCTCGTCGCGGCCTGCCGCCACACTCGACGCGCCCTGCTCCTCGTCACGGCCCGCCGCCGCCTTGCGCCCTCCTCGACGACGCCGTACGAGCCCGCCGACGTTGCGGCCGATGCCGCGCAGGCTGTGTAGCGGGCTTCTCGCCGCGTGCGCCTCGGCCTCCTCCTCGGACAGGACGCGCGCCGGGTGCGTGTAGTCGCGCTCGATGAGGTGGATGCCCCGCATGGGAAACAGCGTGATGTAGAAGACGAGGATGAAGATGGAGACGTAGGCGATGGCGAGATCGGCGTCTTGCGGGCCCGAGAATGGCGCCGACGCGCAGACAGTCTGCAGGAAAAAGCCTCGTAAGCATGTTTGCGACGAAGGGAGAGCCACACGAGGGCGAGACGCACCTGAACGACGCTCGTCGGCAAGTCGCCCCAGTCTGCGGGAAGGGCAAGGTCAGGGTGCGCCGCGTTACGAGGAAGGGCGAGAGAGGGACGCACTGGACCAGGTTGCGGCGGCGAGCAGGCCCCACCTGAAGTTGCGCGGCGTCGGGCACACGAGGCGGACGATCGTGCCGAGGACGAACGAGATGATCATGTAGACGAGGGCGACGAGGAAGATGGGGCCGATGGCCTGCGCGTTCTCGCCATTGATCGACGGCGTGATCTTGGCGAACAGGAGCGCAGGGAGCGTGACATTGAGGATGACCTGCGATGCTCCTCGGGCGGCAGGAATCGGGAAGAGGCCCTTGCGCGTGAGCCAGACGCCGATACCGACGGGGATGGCGAGTTTGAGTAAAGGCTTGACGGAAAGCCAGATGAGGGCGTTTATAGAAGGGATAGATGAGCTGCAGAGGAAAGACGCGACCGTCGAAGGAGAGGGCGGGCGGGGGAAGCGGGGGAGGGACGGGGAGGAGGAGAGGGAGGAGAAGCAAAGGTTAGTGTGGTCCGGCGTGAGCCCGGGGTGCCTGGCGGGCTATGCGGCCTGTGCGGCGGACAAGATGGCGGCTTGCCTGCCGGCGAGGCTCACCGCCGCGAGGAAGGGTCGCCTGAGAGAGAGAGGGTGGACGCACCTCATGTCGGCGGTTAGGGTCGCTCGGCACGGCGTCTAAGCAGTCTGATAGTTCTTTTGGTCGTGTCTAGCGAGCGGGCTGGCCCTCGGCGCAGGTAGTGAGCGCCGTGGAGCGGGCGGCGAAAGTCAAAGGGCGATGAGGCGGGGCCGGGCGAGCTGGCGGCTGAATGGGCGGCGCCGATGATGCAGTCGGGCTCAAGGGAGCCAGCAAGTGCGAGCCAGTGCACTGCTCGCCGGACGAGCGACGTGGTGTCGAGAGAGGCGAGGGCCGCTCTCCCTCGGCTCGACTGGGCGCCGTCGACTCGCGCAAGCTCTCGTTCTGCTCTCTAGTCGCACTGCACGTGCATCAGGAACGAACCCTTGTGTTGCAGTATCAAGAAGAGAGAGCGAAGAGAGCTCGAGACAAGGTACAGAGGGAGAGGACCGGGCGCGAACGGACGACGAGACGACGACGACGAGGAAGGGTCACTGCGACGACAACGGCACAGACTTGCAGATTCACGCCTTGGCAAACTTCTCCTTGATCTGGTCGATGACGGCCGGCTCGGCGAGCGTCGACAAGTCGCCCAGCTGGTCGCCCTCGCCGCTCGCAATCTTGCGCCTGCAGGACGGGCAACGTCAGCGCTACGTCCTGGGACGTGGTTGGACGCGAATTTGACGGACAGCAAGCGTCGCATTATCTTCCCCGACCTCGTCTGCGACCCAGGGAGTGCGAGGGAGTGTCAGGAGCGTTCGGGAGAGAAGGAGGAGGCCGGGGGAGGCTCCCGACGCCCTCGAGGGCTGGAACGGTGGCGCACCTTGGGCAGGTCGTTGACGAGAACGAGCTTCTTGGGCGCAGCGAACGGTCCTGCAGGTGGGACGGTCTGAGTGAGTACGAGGTGACTTTTGCGAAGGCCGGCAAGTTGAGAAGGTAGGACGGACCGATCGTCTTGCGGACCTGGAGGACGAGCTCCTTGAGGAGCGCCGGCTCGTCCGGGTTCTCGGCGGCAAACTCGGGCTTGAGCGAGACGTAGGCGACGACGGCCTGGCCCGTGAGCTCGTCGGGGATGCCGACGACGGCGGTCTCGGCGACGCCGTTGTGCTGGATGAGGGCGCTCTCGATCTCGGCCGTCGACAGGCGGTGACCCGACACATTGATGACGTCGTCGACGCGGCCGCGGATCCAGTAGTAGCCGTCGTGGTCACGACCGGCGCCGTCGCCGGTGAAGTAGAAGCCCGGGTACGGGTTCATGTACGTGTCGAGGAAGCGCTTGTGGTCGCCGTACACGGTGCGGGCGATCGAGGGCCACGGCTTGCGGACGCACAGGACGCCCTCGACCTCGTTGCCCTCGATCTCCTTGCCCGTCGTCGGGTCGAGCAGGACCGGGTCGATGCCGAAGAAGGGGAGCGTTGCTGCGCCGGGCTTGGTCTTGGTCGCGCCGGGAAGAGGCCTGTACAGGTTCGAGAGAGAGGTGAGTCAGGATGTGGCACGAGGAAGGAGAGGAGGGAAGAGAGAGAGAGGGAGAAGGAGACGCACGTGATGATGATCGAGCCCGTCTCGGTCTGCCAGTACGTGTCGACGACGGCGCACTCCTTGTTGCCGACGTGCTCCCAGTACCACTCCCACGCCTCGGGGTTGATGGGCTCGCCGACCGAGCCGATCGTGCGCAGCGTCGACAGGTCGTGGCCCTTGGTGTGCTCCTCGCCGAGGCGGCGCAAGAGGCGGATCGCGGTCGGCGCCGTGTAGAACTGCGTGAGCTTGTGCTTGGCGACCGTCTCCCAGAAGCGCGACGGCGTCGGGTACACGGGCGTCGACTCGAAGATGGTCGTCGTGACGCCGTTGGCGAGCGGGCCGTAGACGATGTAGGTGTGGCCCGTGATCCAGCCGACGTCGGCCATGCACGCGTACCGGTCGTCCGGGTGCACGTCAAACACGTACTTGAGCGTCATGAAGGCGCCGAGGAGGTAGCCGGCCGACGTGTGGACGACGCCCTTGGGCTGCGGGCGAGGGGGACGACGAGGGTGAGCTCCGGGTTCCTCGAGGGCGCAGGACCTCGCCGAGAGACAAAGAGAAGAGAGGGACGCACCTTGCCGGTCGAACCCGAGGTGTACAGGATAAAGAGCGGGTCCTCGGACGAGACGATCTCGACGGGGCAGTACGGCTGGACCTTCTCCTTCTCCTCGTGCCACCAGTGGTCGCGGCCCTCGGTCCACTTGACCTTGCCGCCGGTGCGCTGCAGGACGAGGACGTGCTCGACGTCCGGGCACTCGGTGAGCGCCGCGTCGACGATCGACTTGGTCGCGATCGTCTTGCCGCCGCGCTTGCCCTCGTCGGTCGTGATGACGACGCGCGACTTGGCGTCGACGACACGGTCGCGGAGCGACTCGGCGGAGAAGCCGGCAAAGACGACGGAGTGGATGGCGCCGAGGCGGGCGCACGCGAGGAAGGCGATGGCGGCCTCGGGGACCATGGGGAGGTAGATGGCGACGGTCTGCTCGGGAGGACAGGACGACAGGGTCAGTACGACGCGGTGGGGCGTGTCGAGCGAGGGAAAGGAGGACGCACGTCGCCCTTCTTGACGCCGTAACTCTTGAGGATGTTGGCCGTCTTGCAGACCTCCTGGAACAGCTGCTCGTACGTGAGCTCGACGTGCTCGCCAGGCTCGTCGGCCTCCCAGATGATGGCGGTCTGCGACGAGGGCCCGAACGTGTCAGTCTCGAGCGCAGGGCGGAGCGCAAGGCGAGAGAGAGGGAGAGTGAGAGGGGGCGCACCTTGTTCGGGTGCTTGTACGCCCAGCGGTCGACGCAGTTGTACGAGACGTTCAAGCCGCCCTCGGGGAACCACTGGACATCGCCGGCGGTGAACGAGCCGGCCGTGACGGTCGAGTACGGGCGGTGCCTGCGCAGGGGACGAGGAGGACGAGGTCAGGACACGCTCTCCTTGCGGCAGCGGTGGAGCCGACCGGCGACGCACCAGTAGAGGTGCTCCTTGGCCATCTGTACGGCGCATCGGGACACGGTGGAGAGGTGGTCAGCGTGCTGCTCCGAGTCGTCGCCCGTCCCCGCAAATGCTCCCACGCGCTGCCACGGCCTCGCGAGGATGTGCAGCCTGCCGGGTCTGCTCGAGATAATTCCATCAAGCATGTCCAAAGCCGTTGCGCGTCCCGCAGAGGCCCAGTGCCGGCGGGACAGCTGAGCGCGCCCCTCCCAACCCATCGGGCGAGCGCAAGTCCTCCTCCCTCGCCCCTCGCCGGCTCAATATCCATGAAAGCGCGCGATACGGCCTGCAGAGCGTGCCTCGAGGCTACGGTGCAGGCCCCGTCCAAGCGCACGAGCTGCCGCGAGCCCGAGAGCCCGTGCCCGCCCCCTCGCCCCCCCTCCGACTCGCTCCCCACACAACGCTCGTGGACGGTTGGGCTCACCTTGTCCCAGAACTGCGCCGGCTGCTCGACCGACTCCTTGTACAGCGCGGCGTACTCGTCCGGGTTGGCGTGGCTCGTGTGCGACGAGCCGTCGTTGCGCTTCGAGATGGGGTGCGTCTTGGCGCTGCGGTAGTCGTGCTCGGTCGCCATGTTGGAGCAGGTGGTGGTGGTAGAGACTCGAGAGGTATCGAGGTAGGGTAGGGAAGCGGAAGGGGGAGAAGGACGAGACGGCGAGCGCGCGCTCGTTCCGACGGTGTGGGGCACTCGCTCTCGACGCGGAGCCAGCCGGGCCCTTGCAGCCTCGTCGCTTCCCAGGCACAACTCGACGCTCTCCCGTCATGGCCAAGGCCAGGTTCCCTCGCTGCACCCGCTCCACGTCGCCTGACCCACCTCGTCCTCGACGTCCGACCTTCTCAAACTGCAACTTGCTCTCCCGCGCCCCTCTCGCGCACTCTCCTGTTTCCTCTCGCGACGCACAGAGAGGCCTCGACGTGAGAGAGACGACCGCATTGTACGTGCCCGAGTCGAGAGGGAAGCTCGCTGCTCGTCCGACTCGCCGCGCAGGCCGCGCCCGTACGAGCACCTCCGACGAACGAGAGCGGCGCGAATTCCGCGGCCAAGCGGGTGCGCACAGGCGGCGGGCCGAGGCAATCGACCGGTCGCCCAATGTCGGAAGTGCGATGCAGGCCCAATCAGAACGTGGCGGAGGCCGGACCGCGCGGGCGAACGCAGCTCGAGCGACGAGGCGGGGACGACGAGCGAGAGGGCGAGGCGAAAGAGGATAGGAGGTACAGGGTATAGAGAGGCGAGGGGGAATGGGAAGGGGTACAGGGGAAGCGGCGAAGAGCGGGCGGGCGGCGCTCAGACGGTGTCTGCTCGAGCGCGGGCAAAGACGGCGGGTCAGGGCTGTCGCGACGGCGAAAGGGCGCGAGAGAGAGTGTCGTGCGACGTCGAGAGAAAGTGAGAGACTCACCGTCGTGATACGCCCTGCAAAGAACGAGAGAGCGGCGAGGAGAAGGAGGATGGGAGGGACGTCGAGCGGGTCGTCAGCGACCGGAAAGAGAGCTCGCCTCGTCGCGCCGGCGGCTTCTCGTCGCGACAGGCTGTACAGCTCGACAGGCTTGTCCTCGATGACGACGAGCTCGACCGAGAGGGAGGCAGGGAAAGAGGAGGACGCACCATCTCGTATCTTTGGGCGACTTGGGCGCGTTGCGGACCTGCGGGCCGGCGAGTGTCAGGAGGACCCTCGACGTAGCCTCCTAGACCAACAGGAATGTCCACCGACACGTTCGCCGAGCTGGAAAGGCAGGGAGAGAGGGACGCACGTAACGATCATTGTCCGGCGGGAGCTCCTTCGACTTGCACGACGCGAGCATGCTCTGCATAGTGCTGCGGACGAGGACAAGCTGCGGTCAGGACACGTACGCTCGGCTCGGGACCGGCCGAGGCGCTGGACGCACATGAGGAGGCTCTGGACGTTGAGGACTGGGGACCAGCCTGCGCGCAGAGGACGACGAGATGGGTCAGTATCGGCCCGTCGAAGTGTCGACGTTGCCCGTCGGAAGAGACCGAGAGAGGCGTGTGACGTACCGCTGCCGAGGACCGAGGCGCAGATGTGGCTGCACGAGCAGGGGAACGAGCGTCAGTGCATCCTGACGCACAATGGCGACACCGCCCCAGGCTCGTAGCGCAAGCGACGTGCGGACGAGGAAAGACAAGAAGGAGAACGAGGACGCCCCCGTTGGTGTAGACGTGCGGGTGCTGCGGCGGCTTGAAGCCGTCGCTGGTGAGGAAGGTGACCTCGGGCGACTGCGCGCGACGAACGAGGGTCAACGACGTGCTTCAAAGGTCGCAGTAGAGGGATGAGGGTGAAAGAGAGGGCGAACGTCTATAGGGTACTGGTTCGAGAAGCGGAAGCGCTGCAGGAGAAGGAGGATGAGGACGAAAGTCAGCTCGTGGTTCGCCGGCGGGACGAGGGCGTGGACGGCTCGGCGCACCAGGGCAAACTCCTCTGTATGGGGAGGGCTAGACGTGAGTGTTGTGCTCGAGGGTGCGCAGGAGAGAGTCGACGACGCACCGCCTTGAAAGCACGAGTCGCCGAGAACGGACAGGGCGACGACCCACTCCTCGAGGTTGTCGGCGTGAATGATGCGGCAGCCTGTGTGGGCGACAGTCGACTCGTCGACGCGTCAGGCGAGCTGCGCAAGGCGAGGGAGAGGCGAGGGAGGCGGCACCCCACACGCACCAGTTGGCGGCCCCTTGGTCTGCAGCTCTGTGAGCTCCTGCGGGGCGGAGGCGGCTGTCAGGAAAGTTCACGCATAGACACGTGGCAGGACGCACCTTCTGGAGGCGCTTGGCGGCGATGCGTGAGGCCATCGAGGTCGAGCCAAGGTGGGTCGAGGAGGTGGGCGAGCGGTGAGCGTCGAGGTCCTTTGGGCGCAGCTGCTGACGTGTGAGGCGGGAAAATGGACGACGCTCTGGCGGGTTGCGGTGTCTTCTGCTCGAGCGGAGCCTGGTGGAGAGACCGAACCTGCACCGCCTCAAGCGACGAGCCGCCGACGATGGCGAGCGGCGTCGCTCGCACGTTGATTTCGCTGTCGGGTGAACCTAAGTTCTGAGGAGCTAGATAGATGCTCGCTAGGGCTGCACAGCCGTCCACGCTGTGCTGCGGCCGGGTGGATGACTCTGGCTCGCCTTCTCCTCCCGCTTCCTGGCTCGACACCCTCACCCGCACTCAGCATGGCCGCACCAAATGCTGCTCGCCAGGCCCTGAGCCTCACTGCCCGCACCCTGCGCACCCGCACCGCATCGCCCGCCGCGTTCGCCGTCGCCGGCACCAGTGGCAAGCGGTCGCTCCACTCGGTCGTCTCGCTCGCCTCGACCTCGACCAGGCCCAGAGCCACGACCTCCCGTTCGGTCGCTGCAGCATGGCAGCTCACTGGTGCGCCCCTTTCCCCCTGCCCCTCGCGCCTCGTCGCCAACCGACGCTGACCTCATCTCTCTCCCCCTTCCCCCCGACACAGGCATGCAGCGCCGCACCATGTTCATCCAGACCGAGACGACGCCCAACGCCGACTCGCTCAAGTTCATCCCCGGCCAGCCCGTCTCGCCAGAGTCGACCCACGAGTTCCTCGACGCCGGCAGCTCGTCGGCCTCGCCGCTCGCCGACCGCCTCTTCCACCTCCCCGACGTCCGCTCCGTCTTCTTTGGGCCCGACTTTATCTCGGTCAACAAGACCGAGGACGGCCAGTGGTCGGAGCTCAAGCCCGAGATCTACTCGATCATCATGGAGCACTTCACCGCCGGCCGCCCCTTGTTCGAGGAGGGCCGCGGCGGCGGCGCCGAGGACACGCGCATCCTCGACTCGGACTCGGAGGTCGTCGCCATGATCAAGGAGCTCCTCGAGACGCGCGTGCGCCCGGCCATCATGGAGGACGGCGGTGACATCGAGTACCGCGGCTTCAACGAGGAGTCGGGCGTCGTCCAGCTCAGCCTCAAGGGCAGCTGCAGGGGCTGCGAGAGCTCGAGCGTGACGCTCAAGAGCGGCATCGAGCGCATGCTCATGCACTACATCCCCGAGGTCAAGGAGGTCGAGCAGGTGCGCCCTCTTCCTCGCCCTCTCTCTCTCTCTAGCCGCGACTGACCCTCCCCCTTTCTTCGGCGCAGGTCCTCGGCGAGGCAGAGGCGGTTGCAGAGGACGAGTTTGCCAAGTTCGAGGCGAGGCTACGGTCGGGCGGCAAGACCGTGAGCGTGTAGAGCCGTGAAACGTCGCTTCTCGAGCCTCTACTTCTTCCTCCCTCTCGCCTCGCTCTCGAGAGAAACGACAGAGTGCGACGGTGAGCTGGTCTGCACCTTGCGAGGAGGCTTGAGAGCTGTCCACTCGGGCGGTTTTGACTGGCTCGCTCTCTCTCCGTCCGAGAAGTCCGTCGTCTCCCGCGGCCTCGTCGCGCTCCGCATCTCCCTCTGCCCGCCACAGCAGCAGCCGCACCAGCTCGCCCGGGTCCGCCATGCTCCCGCTCTGCAAGCACGCCCTGTCGCGCGTCCCGCGCCTGTCGCGCTCGCTCGCCACCCCGGTCAGCTCGTCGTCGTTCCCGCCCGCGCCTCAAAAGAGCTACAGCGCCATCACGCCGCCGTACCCGCGCTTGCTCGAGCAGCTCACCAAGGTCCGCCAGGTCCTCAACAACCGCCCCCTGTCGCTCGCCGAGAAGATTGTGTACTCGCACCTGGTCGACGTCGAGGAAGGCCTCGCCGGCGGCGACCCCATCCGCGGCGAGAAGCACCTCAAGCTCCGTCCCGACCGTGTCGCTCTCCAAGGTGCGTCCAGTCCCTCCCCCCCTGTCGAGGCGCGCTAGCCGCACGACCTGACGTCCCACCACCTCGCTCGCAGATGCTTCGGCGCAGATGGCCATCCTCCAGTTCTCGACGTGTGGCCGCCAGTCGACTGCCGTGCCTGTCTCGATCCACTGCGACCACCTCATCTCGGCGTACGAGGGCGCCGAAGCCGACCTCAAGGTGCGTCGCTCCTCCTTCCCTCCTTCCTCCCCTTCCGCCAGCGTCGTCGCGGCAATGCGAAGAGCTGGGGGGCGTAGACAGACTCTCAGCGATAGAGGACTGACCTTCGCACCCTCTCGACCCGCAGCGCTCAATCATGAGCAACCAGGAGGTGTTCGACTTCCTCGAGAGCGCGTCCAAGAAGTACGGCATCGAGTTCTGGGGCCCGGGCAGCGGCATCATCCACCAGATCGTCCTCGAGAGTACGTCCTCGCTTTCGACGTCTCTGCAAGAGGTGGCGGGACGGCGACCCCTCGGCGACATGTCGTGGACGAGCCCGCACTGACCCCTGTCCCATTTCGCAGACTACTCGGCACCGGGCCTCCTCATGCTCGGCTGCGACTCGCACACGCCTAACGCCGGCGGCCTCGGCGCCATCGCCATCGGTGTCGGAGGAGCCGACGCCGTCGACGCCATGACGGCGACGCCGTGGGAGCTCAAGGCGCCCAAGTTGATCGGCGTCGAGCTCAAGGGCGAGCTGTCCGGCTGGTGCTCGGCCAAGGACGTCATCCTCGAGGTCGTCGGCCGTCTCTCGGTCCGCGGCGGCACGGGCTCCATCATCGAGTACTACGGCGAGGGAGTCGAGCGCATGGGTGCGACGGGCCTCGCGACCATCGCCAACATGGGCGCCGAGATGGGCGCGACGACGTCGACGTTCCCGTACTCGGCCAACATGCGCCAGTACCTGCACGCGACCAACCGCGGCCCTGTCGCCGACGCCGCCGACCATGCCCAGGCGGCGGGCCTCCTCAGCCCGGACGCCGGGTGCGAGTACGACCAGCATCTCACGATCGACCTCGCGACGCTCGAGCCCAAGCTCAACGGGCCGTTCACGCCCGACCTGAGCACCCCGCTCGGCCGGTTCGGCGACCTCGTCAAGGAGAAGGGGTGGAAGGACGAGCTGAGCGCGGCCCTCATCGGCAGCTGCACCAACTCGTCCTACGAGGACATGGCTCGTGCGGCGAGCATCGCGAGGCAGGCCAAGGCCAAGGGCCTGTCGGTCAAGAGCTCGTTCATGGTCACGCCTGGGTGCGTCCCCGCTCTCGCTCTCTCGGTCTCTCTCTCTCCTCTTGCGCCCGTCGACTGACCCTCGCTCTCTCGCAGCTCAGAGCTCATCAACGCGACGATCGAGCGCGACGGGCTCAAGGCCGACCTCGAGGCGGTCGGCGGGCAGGTCCTCGCCAACGCGTGCGGGCCCTGCATCGGTCAGTGGGAGCGGTCCGAGAAGAAGGGCGAGGAGAACGGTGCGTCCTCGGTCTCCCTTTCCTCGTTCCGGCCTGCGACTCGTCGACTGAGATGTCGAGCGTCCTGCAGCCATCTTGACGTCGTTCAACCGCAACTTCAAGGCGCGCAACGACGGCAACCGCCTCACGATGAACTTCCTCGCCTCGCCCGACATCGTCACCGCCATGGTGCGCCTCGAGTCTCGCCTAGCCTCTTCGTGGTACATGTCCTGACATCTCGACTGTACGCAGGCCTTCTCGGGCAAGCTCAGCTTCGACCCTCGGCACGACACGCTCCTCGACTCGGAGGGCAACCCGTTCAAGTTCGACCCGCCGACGGGCGACCGCCTCCCGCCGCAGGGCTACCTCGCCGGCAACACGACCTACCTCCCCGAGGCGACGCCTGCTCCCGTTCCCGAGACCCCTCTCGCCATCTCGCCGACGTCGACCCGCCTCGAGCTCCTCGAGCCGTTCGACCCGCACTTTACGGCCGCCGAGTTCACCAACCCGGCCAAGAAGCTCGAGTTCGAGGACCTGCGCTGCCTGTTGCGCATCCGCGGCAAGTGCACGACCGACGAGATCTCGGCGGCGGGCAAGTGGCTCAAGTACAAGGGCCACCTCTCCAACCTCGCGTGCGTCCTCCTCCTCCTCCTTCTCCCTCTCCTCCTCGTCGGCCCGTCCACTCCAGGACGAGTCACTGACCGACATGTACCCGCAGCGAGAACACGCTCATCGGCGCGACCAACGACGAGACGGAGCGGGTCAACTCGGCGATTGACTTCGAAACGGGCGAGGAGGGCACCATCCCCGAGGTCGCCAAGAAGTACAAGGCTCGCGGTCAGCCCTGGATGATCGTCACCGACGTACGTCCCTCCTCTTCCCTCCCTACGACTCGAGGCGCCCCAGGATCCTGACGAGCTCTCGACCTCGTCCGCGCAGCACAACTACGGCGAGGGCTCGGCTCGCGAGCACGCCTCGCTCCAGCCTCGGTTCCTCAACTGCAAGGTCATCCTCGCGCGCTCGTTCGCGCGCATCCACCGCACCAACCTCACCAAGCAGGGCGTCCTCCCGCTCACTTTCGCCAACGAGGCCGACTATGCGCTCGTGAGCGCCGGAAACTCGGTGCGCACCGAGGGCCTCGACGCGCTCCTTCGCGGCGACCTCGACGCGAGCGTGCACGTCGTCGTCAAGGGCAAGGACGGCAAGGAGACGCGCATCGAGACGGTGCACGGCCTCAGTCGCGACCAGGTCGAGTGGATCCGCGAGGGCTCGGCGCTCAACCTCATCAAGCGCAAGGCGGCCGAGGCGGCGCAGTGAGCGTTGCAGGGTCGGTGTGTCGGTCGTGTGGGACCGGGTCGTCGCCGGCGTCGTCGTCGTTGGCCGGAGGAGGAGGAGGATAGAGCTGGCTCTCCCTTGTTGTCTAGATTTCCCTCGTGCTCTGTCTCTCTTGGGTTCACTGCACCTTGCAAAATCGCACGTTCGACTGCGTCCTGGCCTCGTCGTGTCGAGAGGGTTTCTGCGGCAGCGAGACGTGCGACGGCGGGGCCTCTCGAGCGAGGAAGCGGAGCGGAGCAAGGTCGCGTCCACACCGCTCTCGACGACCGCCAGAGCAGCTGCAGCCGAGCAGTCTCGCACCAGACCAGCTCGTACACCTCTAGCAGTGAGTCCCCTCTCCTCTGCGCCGCCGTCACCGTCGTCGAGCGGCAGGCGACGAGGACCCCGGCTCCACACGCACCCTCCCTCGTCGAGTAGACGGCCGGGCGAGCTTGTTGGAGGGCCAGATGGGCCGCAGAGACCTCTGTTCGGAGGTCTAGCATGGCGTCTCGACCCGCCCTGTCGAGCCTACCTCGCTCACCTCGTCGTCGCCTCCTCCTCTTCTCCTTGCAGCCAGGCCAGCGATCTACCTCACCATGGCAGGTCCCGGCTCGTCCTTTGCCGCGCGCAGGAAGGCCGTCAAGAAGGGCGTCCAGTTCACGCTTCTCGTGGTCGGTGCGTCCGAGCTACCTCTCCCTCTACGCCCCCATCCTCCTGGTCACAAGCGCTAACTCCCTCTGTCGCGCCCGCAACTCGCAGGCCAGTCGGGCACCGGTCGCACGACTTTTGTCAACACGCTGTGCGAGACGCCCGTCATCGCGCACAAGGCGCCCGTCGCGCCGGAAATGGCCCACCTCGAGGACGGCATCAAGATCAACCCGGTCAACGTCGGTGAGCCCGCGCTCCCTTGTCCTTCCTGCAGTCACCGTAGCGTCGAGAAGACCAAGGCGTGCGTCGTGAGCTTACACCGGACACGCCTGCAGAGCTCGAGGAGGACGGCGTGCGCATCTCGCTCACGGTCGTCGACACGCCCGGCTTTGGCGACCAGATCGACAACGAGTTCACGTGCGTCCACCTCCCCCTCACACTCGACGACGAGCGAGAACTGACATGACGCATGGCCGCAGGTTCAACGAGATCATGGGCTACCTCGAGCGCCAGTACGACGATATCCTCGCCGAGGAGAGCCGGATCAAGCGCAACCCGCGCTTCCGCGACAACCGCGTGCACGCCCTCCTCTACTTCATCACGCCGACCGGTCATGCGTACGTCCACTCTCGGCGCCTCTCGAGACTCGGCGCGAGCCCTCACTGACCTTGCCCCCCTCATCCTGCCCGCAGCCTGCGCGAGCTCGACATCGAGCTCATGCGCCGCCTCTCGCCTCGCGTCAACGTCATCCCCGTCATCGGCAAGTCGGACACGCTCACGCCGAGCGAGCTCCAGGGCTTCAAGCGCCGCGTCATGGAGGACATCGAGCACTACAGCATCCCGGTCTACAACTTCCCGTACGACGCCGAGGAGGACGACGAGGAGACGATCCAGGACAACAGCGAGCTGCGTGCCCTCATGCCGTTCGCCATCGTCGGGTCCGAGGACGAGGTCGAGGTCAACGGCGAGCCGATCCGCGCGAGGAGGTACCCTTGGGGCCTCGTCGAGGTCGACAACCCGCAGCACAGCGACTTTCAGCGCCTGCGCAACGCCCTCCTGTCGACCCACTTGACCGACCTCAAGGAGATCACGGTGCGTCGCCACGTTTCTCTGCGTCACGAGGTCAAAGCCCTGACCTTGCCTTCCTCCCTTCCCCTCGACCTCTCCTCGCCCTCTCTCTACCTCTCGACCCTCGCACGACTATCCTGCACGTTCCCAATGACAGCACGGTGCGTCCCGTCTCACTCACAAGCCCGTGGGACGGTCACTGACTCTCTTTGCCCCCGCCGACCCCCCTCCTCCTCCCCAAACTCGCCTTAACTTGCCCCGACTCGCCCTGGCTTTGCCCTGGACCGTTCTGCATCAAAATAGACCATCTCTACGAGATGTATCGTACGGAAAAACTGTCCAGGAGCATGGTGGGCGACGCCGGCGGTCCCGACTACTCGGCGGACCAGGATGGGTCCGTCCTTCCCGAGGACATGGCGACGCAGTCGGTGCGCCTCAAGGAGGACCAGCTCCGTCGCGAGGGTGCGTCCCTGCTCTCTTCCTACATCGTCCCTGCCGTCGCCGTCGACGTCGTCCTGACTCTTCCCCCTTGTCGCGCTCGCAGAGCAGCAGCTTCGCGACCTCGAGCTCCGCTCGCAGCGCGAGCTCGCCGAGAAGCGCCAGGAGCTCCTCGCGCGCGAGGAGGTGCTGCGCAACCTCGAGGCGCGACTCGCGCAGGCGCAGACGAGCGGGACGCCGCCGCCCCAGCAGCAGCAGCAGCTCAGCATGAGCCAGCACGGCGCCATGCACCCGAACCTCACGCCGGGCGGGTACGCCGCCGAGGAGCAGCAGCACCTCCACAACGGCATGCAGCAGCAGCACTGAGCGGCGACGGCGGCGGCGCGACCTTTGACGACCTTCCCTCGAGACGACCCATACCCTCCCTCTCCTTTCCTCCTCCCTCCTCCCTCTCTCTCTCTCGCTCTTCCACGTTACCCGACTCGCCCTCGTTGTGCTCTCCCCCTTCTCTTGCGCTCCTCCCCCCTTTGTCAAGCAGTCGTTCACTTCCTCGTCGTCCGAGCGAGAGATGAGAGGTCCGAGAGCGCTCTGCGGCGCCTCGTCCTTCTCCACGAGTGACGCGTGTGGGTGGCGCCCTATCTTGGCTGCGATTGGTGCCGAGAGCTGGGCAGAGAACACGGCGAGCCGTGAAAGGCTCTCGTCGGAAGTAGAACTCTGAGACACAGCGAGGAGCGGCTCTCTTCGGCTCCCTTGGCCGATTCGACGACGGGCGCCGAACCTCGCGCTGCGTCTCCCTCTCCTCTTGACCGCCTCCTCTGCCTGCGCACACGACCGACGACCGACACCCACCGCCGAGCACCCTCCCAGCACACCTGCAGCGCTCGCCCTCCTCCTCGCGGCACCGCCCCCACCTCCAATCTCTCGCCCTCTCCTCGCCCGAACACTCGCCGCAAGCCCAGCCGACACCCGCCCCGCATGGCCACTCGCACGACCTTCCTCGAGCTGCGCGGCCTCACCCGCCAAGCCGCCGCCGCGCCGCTCAAGTGCGCCCGCCCCGGCGCTCGTCGGCTGCACTCGTCCAGGTCGCCTCGCACGACCCACTCGTTCGCCTCGAGCCCCGCCGCAGGCCCCGCCGAGGGCTTCAAGAGCGCGCCCAAGTCGAACCGGCGCCTGTTCGCCGGTGCGGGAGCCGCCGCCCTCGCCGCGACGGCATACCTCGCCGCGACCGGTTCGTCCGACGCCGACGCCGACAGGCCCCTGCTCCTCGCCAACCCGAACGACCCGCTCTCGGCACTCGACCCGGCCATCCTCGGGCGCACGACGGCCCACCTCACCGCGGCGTCCGTCCCCGACCTCGTGCGCCAGTGGGTCGTCTACGCCGTCTCGGAGCAGTCGCTCCTCGTCCAGATGGGCCCGTGGATGGTCGGAAAGCTCCAGTGGGCCCACGAGAACGTCCCTGTCCTCGGTCCCGCCGTCTGGGCCGTCTTTGCGGCGGTACGTCCCCTCTCCTCGCCCTTTCTTGAGAAGGCCCCCTCTGACTCGTGTCGGTAACTGCAGGGCATGGACAACACGTTCTACCGCGTTTTTGTCGGCGGCGAGTCGGTCCCTGGCTGCACCGAGCAGGTGCAGAAGTACGCTAACCGCGGCGTGCGTCCTCGTTTACCTCTCCTCGTGACCTTCCCAAACGGCGAGTCCTGACTTGCTCCTCCCTCGACAGGTCGGCGTCATGCTCAACTACAGCGCCGAGGCGCCTCTCGGCTCGGCCAAGAGCGGCGGCGGCATCGACCAGGCCGCCATGACCGAGATCACCTACGCCGTCTCGCAGGCGGCCAAGCTCACGCCGGCGGCGGCCGAGTCGGTCGGTACCATCAAGCCTGCCCTGTTCGCCATCAAACTGTCGGGCCTCATCTACGACGCGTCGGTCCTCGCCCGTGCCTCGCTCGCGCTCGCGAGCGACTCGACGATCGCGCGCGGCGGCCGCCTCTCGTCGTCGACCCTGTTCCCGCACTCGCCCGAGCTCTCGTCAGAGGACCACGAGCTCCTCGACAAGCTGTACGACGGTCTGCGCAAGGTGGCTGACGAGGCGCAGACGCACAACCTGCGCCTCCTCGTCGACGCCGAGCAGTCGTGGTTCCAGCCGGCCATCGACCGCTACGTCGACCTCCTCAGCGAGGAGTTCAACAAGGTCCGCCCGTCGACGCCCGTCTCGAGCGCCCCGTCGGCGCCCGTCGTCTACAACACGTACCAGTGCTACCTGCGCGACGCGCCGACGCGCATCGCCGCCGCCCTCGCCCACGCCGACGAGCACGGCTACTCGTTCGGCGCCAAGCTCGTTCGCGGCGCGTACCAGGAGTCGGAGCGCGCCCGGCACCAGAAGCTGCCGGCGTTCGAGTCCGGCGTGCCGTGCGTCGTGTGGGGCTCGAAGGCCGAGACGGACAAGTGCTACGACGAGTGCGCCGCCCTCCTCGAGAAGCGGCTCGTGCAGGACCTCAAGAAGCAGGGCGACCAGGCGGTCAACCAGGCCGGAGTCGGCGTCGTGCTCGCGAGCCACAACGGCACGAGCATGAAGCGCTTCCTCGAGTCGCTGCGCGACGACGGGCTCGCCAAGGAGGAGGGCGGCAAGCTCGCCGTCGACGAGCGCCTGCGCGGTCGCGTCGCGTTCGGCCAGCTTATGGGTGCGTCACCTCGTCTCTCTCTCTCCCTTTCTCTCTCTCTCGCCTGCCACAGCCACTGACTCGACCTTTTTTACGCTCGCGCAGGCATGTCCGACAACCTCACCCAGACCCTGATCGACCTCATCCACCCCTCGTCCGACCCGGCCGCCGCCCCGCTCGTCGTCAAGTACATGCCTTACGCCTCGCTCGAGCAGGGCCTGCCGTACCTCGTCCGCCGCGCCAACGAGAACCAGAGCATCCTCCAAGGCGACCCGACGAGCGGCCGCGGCGGTGCGCGCGAGGAGCGTCGCGCCGTCGGCAAGGAGATCCGCAGGCGCATGGGCCTGTCGTTCTGAGCGTACCCTCGCTCGGGCGAGACGGACGAGGACGAGGAGCGAGGAGGAGCGGGGAGGAGGAGGAGGAGGTTCTCGGCTCGAGCGCATCTCCCTGTCGTACCGGTTCTCTGCGCATCCTTTGTTGTACTCTCTGTTGCTCCTCGCCATCTAGAACCTGCATCGTAGATCTGTGTCACGTCTCGCGGTCGGTCGGCACAGCAGAAGAGAGCGAGAGCGAGCAGTTCTCGTCGCTCTCGTCGCGAAGGAGGTGAGGAAAGATGCCCCGCCTCTCAGTTGCACACGCTCCAGTGCTACAAGCTCGCCCGCCCTCGCGCACACCTACTGCTCGCTCGCCCTCTCCCCTCGCCGTCGCTCTCAGCCTGCCTGAGGGTTGACGAGGAGAAGGTCGACAGGGAGGCTCTGGAGGCCGGCAGGGCAGGACGCCTGCGGCTCCTCCGTGTATGTGCAGGGCGGAAGGAGCGTCTGGAGGGCTAGCAGATGCCACTCGACGAGGACGACGTGAGAAAAGAGGGTCAACTGATGAAGTCCGTCTCTCGCTCCTCCACCTCCTGCTCGCTCTCGCTCAGCATGGATAAGTGGGCCGCCAAGCTGTCCCAGGACGCTCTCCTGGTGCTCACAGGCCTCCCTCGCGGGTCTGAGTTCGGGTTCGACGGCCGGCTCTGGGTCCTCGACCGCTTCTCGGTGCGCCCCCTCTCTCCCTCGTCCCTCGCCTCCAGCAGGCGCGGTGGGCTTGAGCGCAAGTTGACCAAATCGAGCACAACAGGGCGTCAAGTTCCTCCCCGCCGGCCTGCACTTCTTCGTCTTCTCCGCCGCCCCCACCTCGTCCTCCTCGTCCCTCCCGACCACCGACCCCGCCTCGACCGCACAAGGTGTCGGCGCACGGCATGCCCTCCTGCGCTTCTTCCGCAAAAGCGAGCGCGTCGTCCTCGAGTGGGACAACGCCCGCGAGGAGCTCAAGCGTGGACCGGCGGCCGGCTCGTCGACCAGGCGCAGGCGCACGACCCGGCAGGCGCACGCCGACGTCGCGCGCGACACGGTCATCTCTGAGGAGTACCTCCAGAGCCTCGACAAGAGCCTCGCGGCGTACCCGGCCGACGAGCTGCGCGACCAGTGGGCGGCGCTCGCCGGGTTCGTGACCGAGGACACGCTCGCGAGGGTCGTCGGGCTCGACGAGCAGGCGTGCGCGACGTGCGACGCGCTCGTGGGCAGCTCGCAGGACGAGGCGGGTGCGGTGCAGGGCGGGTCGAGCGCGAGGAGGACGTGGGGCAAGGCGCGCGAGGACGAGCCCGAGGTGGGCGAGGTCGTCGACGAGGAGGGCGAGGACGGCGCGGCGGCACCCGCAGACTCGGGCCTGCTCGAATTTGTGCGCTTTGACGACAAGCGGAGCTGGCCAGGAGGGGCGGTCGGCGCCGACCTCACGAGGTGGAGCAAGGACAAGAGCTGGCAGCTGAGCAGGGTCGTCGAGGAGCAGCTTGGTGGCGGTGCGCACGCTCTCTCTTTCCCCATCTCTCCTCGACCTTTATTTGACTCGTGTCCTGCAACAGACCCGAAGGAGCTCCTCGCCGAGCTGCAACTCGCCTTCGTCCTCTTCACCCTCGTGCACAACTACTCGTCCCTGTCGACCTACAAGGCCCTCTTCGCCCTCGTCTGCCGCGCCTCGACCCTCGCACGACCTTCCTCTCGCCGAGACGCCGCATCGCCGTACACTCGCGACCTCCCCGCCGACTCGGCGCTCCCCCTCTTCGCCTCGTTCCTGTCGACCTTCCTCGCCCAGGTCGACTTCCTCGACGAGTCGTTCTTCGCGACACAGCTCCCGTCACTGGAGCAGCACCTCGTCGAGTCGCTCGGGCACCTGTCGGACGCGCTATCGGACGCGCGCCGTCGTGGGAGGAGCTGGGCGCCCAGGACGAGGCCGTCGCGGGCGTCTGGCGCGAGGTCGTCAAGCGGTGGGACGCTGTCGCTAAGTTGACGACGGCGAAGTTCGGGTGGGATTTGGGCGTGATTCGTGGGAGCCGGGCCAAGTACCTGTCGGCGAGCGGGCGGTCCAAGCGGGACGAGGACGAGGTCGACCTCGAGGACCTGGAGGAGGGGGAGGATGCGCCGGTCGTGCTGGACGACGACGCGCTGCACGACTTGTACTAGCTGGCGACGAGGGCGGTGAGCAACGCGAGCGAGCTGTTTGCCCTCCCCGCTGCCGGACTTCGCCGTGAGGGAGAGATTGACCCGGCCCTCCGCATCTCACCGCTCGACGACCTCGTCAGCTGCGAGGCTACTCGCGCGCTCGATAGACCTCGGGCGCACACTGCAGCACAGCGCGGCCGCCGTCACTCGCCTCGCGAGCGTTCGATCGCGCCCCCCCGCCCCCGTCCGACCCTTTCCCACCCACCCGCGCCTCTCCCCCTCGCTCCGCCGCCCAGCCGCCTAGCCGGTGCCCGACTCGCACCATGTCGAGCGCCAGCTTGCGCCTCACCGAGCCGTGCGTCTTCCTCGTCGGCGGCCTCGACTGGGAGCGCGCTCGCCAGAGGCAGCGCCGCGCCGCTCAACGTGCCGCCAACGCCGCCAACACGCCCACCAACGCCGGCCCCACCGCCAGTGCCACCGTCGACAGCCCGAGCCAGTCGCGCCACCCGTCGCCCGACCGCGACCGCGGCTCGCGAGCGGCGTCGCTATCGCGGCCAGGCTCGCGCGCCGCCTCGCCCGCACCGCGCGGTCGGCTCGGCGAGCTCGCCCAGCAGGGCACCGACGAGTTCATCCCGCCCAACAGCCGAGGGCGCAGCCACTCGCGCACCCGCCAGCCGACCCCGACCGGCAACCGCACCCACAGCCTCTCGCGAGGGCGCGACGGCAGCCTCGTGCGCGACATGACCGACGCCCAGCTCGCCCTCCAGCACCAGCGCGACGAGCGCGAGGACCTCGACGAGCCGCCACCGGCACTCTTGCGCGGCCTCCTCACCGTCCACCTGTCCAAGCCGACCCGCATCAAGGACATCTCGGTCCGCTTCAAGGGCACGGCGAGGACCGACTGGCCCGAGGGTGCGTCTCTCCTTCCCCTCCCTCTCTCCTTGGCCTCCTTGCAGCGAGACGAGGCGCAGAGAGCTCACCGGGAACGTCCCTTCACAGGTATCGGCCCCCGTCGCCTCGACGTTATGGAGGAGACGCAGCTCATCAACGTCACCCAGTCGTTCTTCTCGGCCTCGTCGGCGTCGATGCAGCGTCGTGCGGCGTCGATCGGGCCAGGCGCAGGCGACCACGGCGACGAGTCGCGCGGCAGGTCGACGAGGCGCGCCGCGAGCGTCGTTCCCGGCCGCCAGGTCAGCCAGGGCCGCTCGTACCCGCGCGACAGCGTCCTCCAGCAGCACGAGTTGGCGCCTGTACCTCTGCACCAGCACGCGCCCGAGGTCGCACGTGCGCCCGGCCTGTCGCGTATCTCGTCGGAGGAGGACCTCGGCGACCACCGCATCCCGCCCGTCCTCCCTGGCGAGGCGGCGCCGAGCTACGAGGTCGCCGTCGACTCGGCACCTGGATCGCCCATGCACCACCCTGTATCGAGCAACCACTCGGTCGACACGCTCGACCTCGGCTCGGGCCTGTCGACCGCGTTCCGCGGCACCCACCACCGTCTCGAGCGCTCGCCCACGCCGTCCCGCTCGCCTCTCGCCACCTCGAACCCGATCACGTCGCCCGTCGAGTCGCCGTCCAGCTCGTCTAACCACCTCCCGCTCGCCCGCACGACGACTCGAGCGAGCCGCCTCTCGCACGACTCGACCGAGACGGTCTCGTCGGCGCACTCGAGCGGCACCGACCGTCCTCCGCTCGACCGCCAGCTGTCGTCGGGCACGGGCACGTCCAACACGGCGTCGCTGTCGTCGGATCCCGAGCGTCACGGCCCGGGGTGGCAGAGCGCGCCCGTCCCTGGCTCGACCGCGTCGAGCTTCGGCCGTGGGCGGTCGCCCGACCGCCAGTCGTCGAGCGCCAGCGGCGCGACGGACGGCGTCGATGGCGCGACGAGCGCCGTCGCCGGCATGACGTTCCAGTCGCGCCAGTCGATGGCGCCCGCACCGGCGAGCGCGACGGGCACGGACCGCCGCCGCCGCACCTCGTCGTCCTCGGCCGCGACGACGCGCCGGCTGTCGAGCAACACGGAGCGTCCGTCGGCCCTGCCGAGCGCGCTCAAGAGCAACTCGGGCTCGAGCGGCGGCAGCGGTGGCGCCGGCGGCGGCGGGCGGTCTGCCTCTCGCGGCGCGCGCTTCACCCTGAGCGGCATCACCGAGGTCCTGCGCGGCAAGAGCTCGAGCCGTGCGCGCAACGGCAACGGCAACGGCAACGCGGCCGCCGTCGACGAGGCGCACGCGCCCGTCGTCGCGCGGCGGACGAGCAGCCCCGACGCTCGTGCCGGGTCGTCGTCGTCGCGCATGCGCAGCCAGTCGCGTGGGCGCAAGACGGCGCTCAAGGCGCTCCGAGACGCGCTCGTCGTCGGGCACCACTCGAGCCACGGCGAGCGCGACGGCTCGGACGAGGACCGGCACGGCGCCGGCGGGTCCGAGGTGGTCGGCGACGGGTGGAAGGAGTTCAAGGCGGGCACCTACACGTACCCGATCTCGATCACGGTCCCGGCGACGCTGCCGCCGAGCCTGACGTGCGAGTTTGGCCACGTCGGGTACACGCTCAAGGCGACGGTCCACCGGGCGGGCGCCCTCACGACCAACCTCACGAGCTCGACCGAGGTGACGCTCGTCACGACGCCCGGCGAGGAGGACACGGAGGAGAGCGAGAGCATCGTCGTCGAGCGCTTCTGGGAGACGCAGGTCAAGTACCACGTGGCGCTGAGCGGCAAGGTGCGTCCCCTGCCCTCTCTCTCCTGCCCTCCCTCTCCCTCCCTCCTCTTCCTGGATCTCGCTCACTCGGCGTCGCGACAACCCGCAGAGCTTCCCTATCGGCGGCCAGATCCCAATCAGCATCCGGCTCAACCCGCTCGCCAAGATCCGGCTGTACCGCGTCACGGCCCAGCTTGAGCAGAAGACGAGCTACTTTGCCTCGGGTGCGTCCCTCTCTCTCCCTCTCTCTGTCTCCCTTTCCTCGCCTCCACCTTGCTGACCTCCTTCCTCGAGCAGTCAACTCGGGTCGCAAGCTCACTCGCCACGAGACGCCCAAGCGCTTCCAGCTCCTGCGCATCGAGAACAAGGACCCGAAGGAGCCGCTTCTGCCAATCCTGTCCGACGACCCGGACGTCCTCCTCAACCACCCTCTGCGCGAGTTCTTCATCAACGCCTCTTCCTCGGACGGTCCGCTCTTTTTTCGCCTTTTCCTCTGTGCGGTCGGGCACTGACTCTCTCTATTTCTTGCTCGCAGACGACACGCCGTCGCTGCTCGACCCGATCGGCCCGTGGCACCTCGACGGCCTCCTCCAGCTGCCCGACTGCAGCTCGAAGCTCTGCGTCAGCACGCACCACGAGAAGTCCAACATCTCGATCTCGCACACGCTCAAGATCATGATGCGCGTCGAGCGCGGCGACGACGACTACCTCGACTCGAAGGGCAACCGCAAGGTGCGCCCCGACCCTCTCTCGCTCGCACCCTCGTCACGCTCTGACCTTTCGCGTCTCTGCAGCTGTGGGACATCGTCGTCGAAGCCGGCGCCGTCATGCTCTCGTGCCGCCTCGCCCAGAACATCCTGCCGGCGTACTCGGACGCGACGCCCTCGCTGGCCGGCCCGTCCGGCTCGTCGTCCCGCTCGTCGCGCAACAACGCCAGCAGCCGCGGCGCGACCCACGACTGCGGCGCCTCGCACCCTCCTCCGCCAACACGCGCCGCCAACATGCACATCGGTATGGGCTCGTCGACGACGCACCGCTCGCACTCGTCGACGGCGGCGCCGATTGCGACGCTCGAGCAGAACCTCCTCCTCGCGCGCCTCATTGCGGGCGAGACGACGCCTGCGGGCGAGACGCCGCCGACGTACGACGCCGTCGTCGACGGCACGGCGCCGCTCGGGCGAGGACGGGCGACCGAGGTGGTCGAGGTCGAGGCGGAGGAGGTCGAGCGTGGGAGGAGCAGCAGCACGAGGAGGGGGACGGCGAGGGCATGAGCTCCCAGATTGAGCTGTGATAGACTGTAGTGCTCTGTGGGCTGTAGTGCGCATCCGATTCTGCATCAATCCGTCTCGTCATCGTCGACTTGCCAGAGCGGCGACGAGAGAGAGCGAGGCGCTGCGGAACTCGGACCCTCGTCCTTCCCTCGACCCGCGACCGCCTCGACTCGAGCCATGCCGAGCGCAGCCTGCTGAAGCGCCCCAGCTCGCCCATCCGCACCTCGTCGCCGCACCACTCTCGCCCGCCAAGTCGTCCCCGCCCCACCGTCCGCGTCGGATGCCGCTCCTCCCTCCTCCGCCGCCCCAGTTCCCGACGCGGTTCAGCCACGCCGAGCCACAAGAGCTGCAAGATGCGCCGGCGCAAGCAGCATGGCCCGCCGAGGGGCCCGAGGGCGTCGACGTCGACGGCCAGTCGATCGAGTGGGCGATCAAGACGCAGGGCGAGGAGCACATCGACCGCTTAGGTGCGCCGCACCGCCTGACTCTCGCAGATGGCCCTCTTCTGACCCGCTTGCCCTAGCAGAAGCGCGCCTCGCTCGACTCGCCGCAGTTCCCGCACCCTCCCCCTCCTCGTCCGCCGACGTCAGACCTCTCGACTCTCTGCCCACCCTGCCGTCCAGCGACTTCGACGACCTCGACGAGCCCGACTTGCACCCGGACGCGGCGGTCGGGGAGGAGCCAGAGGCGGACGGCGTCGCTGTCGGCGACGAGGCGGACGAGGGTCGAGCCTTGCTGTCGGCCGCAAGCTCGCCAGAAGGGCACAGCGAGGCGGCGCAGCGGGACCTGCACTTTAGCGACGACGAGCAGAACGATGCGCTCGTCGCGGCGGCGGCCCAGACGCTCGAGCAGGGCGGCACGCTCGACCTTCCCGCCGACCTCGCGCCGGCCGTCCTCCAGCGCATCAGCTTCGGCGAGACGGTGCGGATCTCGGGCGGGATCCGGTCGTCGTCTCGACCACATCGTCACCGCCACGTCCATGCCGACCTATTCCACCCGCCGCCGCCGCATGAGCGGACGTCCCTCCTCTCCGCTCAGCCCCGACCCATCTCGGCACCCTCGGACCTCCTCGTCGCCGCCGTCACCCCTGCCGCCGGGCCCTCGCGGTCCGCCTCTCCCGCCTCGAGATCTCGCCGCACGTCCATATCGTCGTCGCACCGCAGCGGCACCTCGTTCGCGCACCTCCACCCGTCGTCGCAAGCCCTGTCGTCGTCGCCCGCCTCGTACGGCGCCTCTCGATCGTCGTCACCCTGTTCCTCGATCTATGCTCCGCTCCAGCCGCCGTCCAAGTTCAGCCCAAACCCGCTCTGGGTCCGCACGACGTCGCAGCGCGGCCTGCGCCGCACTCGGTCCGGCGCGAGCCTGTCGTTCCAGGACTTCCTGCGCTCGGGCGCGGCGTACGCGTCGCCCGACGACGAGGACGACAGCGACGACGAGGACGAGTCGGCTCTCGTCGACGCAGCAGACGAGCTGCTCGACCCTCGAGGGCGGCGGTTCGGGCCAGCTCGTGCCGAGTACCGCGACCTCGTCGAGGCGCAGCGCGCGCGCCGCGAGCGTTGGGAGGCCCGTCGAGCGGCCAAGGAGGCCCGCGTGCGCGACGCCGAGGCCAAGGCGCGCAAGGGCGCCCGGTTCTGGGACCGCGTCGCGAGGCTGCTCGCGCTCGGCATGACCGGCGCGGGGCCGGCGCGCGCAAGCTCCTCGGCCGGCGGCGGTGGCTCGTCGTCGTCGAGGAGCGGGCACGTGTCGACGCGGCAGCAGAGCGGGTCGGCGGCAGCAGGGAGGGGCAGGGGCAGGTCGCCGGCGAGGCCGGGTCCGTCGCCGCTCGGGCTCGGGCGTGGCAGCAGCGGCGCTCGCACGCCCTCGGGCCTCTCGGTCGAGTCGAGCCTCGGCTCGCTGTCGTCGCACGAGAGCGAGCTCGACGACGAGCCGCCGCGTTCGCGCCCGCCGAGGCGACCGCCGCGCGTCGTCGTGCTCCCTCGTCCTCCTCCTTCGCCTCGCGCCAGTCGAACGCCGGTGGTCAAGACCGAGATCGACGTGCGGTTCGGCCCGGCGCCGGCGCGGTACCTGCGCCTCGACTGGCTGCGGTTCAAGCTGGCTCAGCTGATGCTGGCGGCGCGGGCAGCGCTGCGGACGGCGCTCGTCGGGCTCGAGCGGCAGAAGGGTGCGAGGCGCGAGGCAGCGTACGAGGAGGTCTGAGCGCGGTCGGTAGCTCGCCGTGCGCAACGCGAGAAGCATGCTCCTCGGTCGCGGTCGCTCGCTCTCTCCCTCTCTCGAGTGACCAGTTGAGCGTGAATCCTCTCTGCGAGCGAACCTTTTGCGAGAGATCGGACACTGCGAGGTGCGAGGTGCAAGCTTGGAGTTCAGAGTGGGCAGATGTGCGAGGCGAAGACGGCACTGTGCGAGAGAGGATCGCGAGGCGAGGCGGTGCGGCTGAGCTGGGCTGGCGCCGAAGCTGTGAGGCGCTGCTGCGCTGCGGAGTGTCGACGTCGTCGGTCGTTGCGCGTCGCGGTCGCCGAGCCGAGCCTCCCTCGAGCTGCTCCCCTCCCTCCTCCCTCCTCACACGACCTCTGCAACCCTCTCCAGGTGAGCCCTGCCTGCTCGCATCTTCTCCTGTACCTTTTCTGACCCTGGCCTCGCCCACACAGCCAGCCCGTGAGTCTCGCCGGTCACCACCGCTCCCCCCGTGGTTCCCCCCCTCGTCCTCCCGACCCCGTCCTCGCCCACTCGCCTCACCCCTCGCGCTCGAGCGCCGTTGTCACCACCAGCTCGACGCGCAGTCCCACGCCGAGCACAACGCGCCAACCCGCACCATCCTGCGCTCGTCACGGAGCGAGAAAAGATCGCTTATCTGACCTCGTCATACCCTCGCCTCCTCGTCCTCCGCCTCTCGTCCCGCAGAACCCGCACTAGCACCATCAAGATGGCCTCCGCTCAGCAGAAGTTCGACTACTACATCTCGCAGGTTGACAAGGAGGTGCGTCCGCCGCCCTCGGCCCCTCGTCACTCCCTCCCCGCCTCATCACGCAACCCCGGACTCGCCGACTGACTGGCCCAGTTGCCTCTCTGCAGCTCTCCAAGTACCCTGTGCGCCTACTCGGTCCTTGCCCGATCAACCGCGCAGCAGTCGATTGACTCGTTCGCCGTCCACAGACCCTCAACCGCCTCGAGTCGCAGACCGGCATTCCCAAGGCCTACGCGACCCTCGGCGCCGCCGCCGTCTTCTCGACCCTCGTCTTCTTCAACATCGCGGCGAGCTTCCTCACCAACTTCCTCGGCTGGGCGCTCCCGGCCTACTTCTCGATCCGCGCGCTCGAGTCGCCCGGCCACGACGACGACGTCCAGTGGCTCACCTACTGGGTCGTCTTTGGCCTGTTCACCTTCATCGAGAACTTCTCGGGCCTCATCGTCGCCTGGTGAGTCGCCCCTTTCGCTTTCCGTCCCCGACTCGGTCCTCGGGCCTTGTCAATCGTCCCGCTCTCGCGCTCGAGCCTCGGAACCGCCTCCTGACGCCTCGACCCGCTCCCCCGACAGGTTTCCGTGGTACTACGTCGTGAAGACCGGCTTCATTTTCTATCTGATTCTTCCCTCGACTCGCGGCGCCGTCGTCCTCCACGAGAAGGTCGTCAAGCCCATGTTCCACCAGCGCAAGGTCGCCCCGACCACCACCTCGGGCACCACGAGCGTCACCTCGACCCCGGTCGTCGCTGCCCAGTGAACCGCTGCACGCAAGGCGCTCGCCGCGCTCGACCGCGTCGACGCCGAGGTTGCACACTTGAGCGGCCGAGCGAGGAGCGCTGTCGAGCGCCTCTCTGCCCGTCTGCCCTAGTTTGCCGTCCTCTCTCGTCCTCCCCCTCCTCCCTCTTTGTTCGATAGCTCCCCTCCCCCGTGCTTTCCCGTCGTACCTGCGTCTCTCCCCCTTTTACCCTTACACCTCCTCTCGTCAATCTCCCTCCTCGATCCGCTTCCTCTCCTCTCCTCCCCTCTCCGTCTCGACATGGACACAATCAAGTAGTGACGCTCCATCCTGTCTGTCTCTAGAGAGAGAATATGCGAGAATGGTGAAAGCGAGAGCGAGTGAGCCTGTCCTCGCTCAGCGCGGGCGACCTTCTCACAGACAGTCGAGCCTGCCTCGCTCCTTCCTCTGGCTCGAGACGGTCGGCCGTCGCTCCCGAGCCTCTCTAAGCATCGGTCGTCGAAAGCGAGAGCCGAGACGAGCTCGAGAGGAGGAGCAGGGAGGAAAGCCTCTCGTGCGAGCCGGCCTTCTCACCTCGACCCGCCGCCAGACCGAGGCAAAGCGCGAGGCCAACGCGAAATAAAAGAAAAAAGATGAGCGAACCTGGCCAGGTTGCATGAGGTGGTGGCTTGACGGCGGAGTACTGAGCGCGAGATACCTCTTATCCCGGGGCCACCATAAGCCGACTAGCGAGTCTTAGCGCTGCTTGTACTCCTGTGTCGTTGTGGCGACGAAGATCTGTAAGCAAGACTGGGCAAGGCAGAGACGTCGTGATTCCACGGGGCGGTGGCATTTGAGTAGAACCGAGCCATGGCCTGAACTGGTTCGAGCAAGGAAAGGTCGGCTTGCCAACGCGCGCAACACGCATTTGGGTCGTCACCTTCTCGGTCCTCCTGCTTCCCCCTCGCCTCGGATCGCTTCGGGGAGAACACGAGCGACTCGGGCCTTTTCTGCTGCATAGCTGGAGACTCACGGCGGGCCTTAACTGCGACGAGACGAGGCGAGAGCGCGAGACGAAGCGACACGAGGCGGGCGCGCGCGCCGCGTCGCCTCGGCTCCTTCCCACTTTGCTCTCCTTCTCTCGCCTCGTCACAGCTGCACAGCGTCCTGGCGCAAGCTCTAACGCGTCGTTACCGCACAGCTCGGTTCGGCCGCGAGCGTGTGAGAGAGCGCGAGAGCGCGCGGCCAGGCTGCGCTTCTTTCCACTCTCAGTTTCGTCCTCTTCCTCGCAGATTCGTGCGGGCACATCGAGAAAAAGGGAGAGGCTCGAGCCCGACGTCGAGTACTCGTCTCGAGAGTTTGAACGAGCAGAGGACCGTCGAGCGAGAGCGAGGCATGCCTGCAAGAATGCTCGCTTCGTCCTCCTCGTCCTCCTCACTTGGCGGGACAGTCGCCGCTCAGAGGGCTTTCGGCTCGCTCAGGACGTTCTCACCTATTCATCGAGAGGCGCTGCGACTGTGCTGGAGCCAGACCGTCCACCCGCGTCTCTCGCTGAGGAAAGGAGAGTGTCGCCTTCGCAAAACAGTCCGAGCCAGCCTTCTCTCGCCTCGCATCGAGTGTACTGGACGTCATCGGGCACAACATAGACTCTCGTATGGCTGCAGACCCGAAATGCACAGCTCAGGGACAGGTCGTGCTCGAGAGGGAGCGTGCAAAGCAGGTACGAGCGCTTGCGTTGGCTAGGAAGGTCGCCAACGGCGGGCGCTTTGCTCTCGCGCGCGCTCAGGCTCGCCCGGGCTTCTTAGTTCAGCCACTCTCACGAGTGGAGAGAGGAGCGGTGACGAGCTCGAGACCTGCGTGGGAGGGAAAGAGGTGAGCGAGTTTCGCGAGGAGGGCCAGAAAGGTTGTGAAACGTCGCCAACGCACCTCCATCATCTTTCCGGAGGGAAACCCAAAGATTCATCGTGCCCACCTCGGTCAGGCGATGCTCGGGGCCGAAGAGCCAGAGGATTTGCTGGTAGCCGAGCGCCGCGGCTGCTTCTGAGAGAGGATGCCGGCCGAGCAAATGGGCTCGAGCGTGACGGTACCCATGCGACTGTCCAGCGGGCATGGTCACGCGTCGAGTTGACGCACGTCGTAGCCTGTGCCGCCTCTCAAGCTGTCGTGCGAGCCGGGCGGCCAGCTCGAACTTTCGTAATCGGACCTTGACCTCGACGCTCGCAGCCGAGGCTTCGCCCAGCTCCCACCACATGCGGTCAGATGTCCGAGCCCGGTCCTGGTACGTTCGAGAGGAAGTGTCAAGGCGGTGTCAGGCTGCGGCTAGTCAGCTTTACCGAGCGAACACCCCGAGCTGCCGGCCGACTCGTCTTCTCCTTCCGTTACCGCTCGCTGGCACTTCTCATTGTTTCTGTTTGTGCAATAGTCGCATCGGCACGAGAGAGGAAGCTTTCCACGCCAGGAGAATGGCGCCGAGCCGCTCCTCTCGCCCGACCGCGCACGGACCTCCGTTCTCGGCTCGCTCGCTCTGCCTGACTGCGCGGTCCGGGCCAACGAGAGCCCTCGCAGCGACCTTGGCGATGCGCGATTGCACGCTCTCACGGTCTGGAAGGGCAGTGCGCGCAACAGGTGGCAGCTGGACCGGCCGTACGGAGCTGCGTCGACTTGAGAAGGTCGCCCTCGTTCGCCGTTTCCTGCTCTCTGGCGGCTGTCGGCGACTCAGAGCGGCACATCGACGCACTCGTCACGTCTCTGTCGGTCTGTAGCGTCCCCGACTTGGTCCTCGAACGTCGTCAATCGTCCCGCTCTCGCGCTCGAGCCTCGGAACCGTCTCCTGACGTCTCGACCCGCTCGCGACAGGTTCACCTGGTATTTCGTGTGCAAGACCGCGTTTATCTTCTACCTAATTCTTCCCTCGACTCGCGGCGCCGTCGTCCTCCACGAGAAGGTCGTCAAGCCCATGTTCCACCAGCGCAAGGTCGCCCCGACCACCACCTCGGGCACTGCGGCGCTCTCGGTCGCATGGGCTCCAACGACCGCAGCCCGAGAGAGCGAGAGCGAGAGCGAGAGAGAGCGCGTGCAGAGAAATTTTGAAGCGACAGGACGCACGACGTGACGGTCGAACGATGAGGAAAGGCCCGGCTCGCGTTCAGCTCTCTCTCGCTCTCTCGAACTCGCTCGCGACGAGGAAGGAGAACTGCTGCATTGACACAGAACCATCTAGCGCTACTCTGCTCGACAGCTTTGGCAAGATCGAGAGGAGGCCACGCGCTCAGGCATCGACCGGGAACGACCACTCGGACGGAATGTCGCCCGTCTGGCGCCCGACGATCTCGCGAAGCATGACACGGGCAACGTCGCCGACTGCGAGGGACAGAAGCGTGAGTCAGAGTGTCCGAGAGAGGGGAGAGGGAGAGGAGAGGGAGGAGGAGGAGGACGCACGACCATCCTCGCCGCAGGGGACCTTGACGAGCTCGCCCTCGTAGCCGATGCCGTCGACGCAGGACACGATGGCGGCCGTGCCACTGCCGAACACCTCGCTAAGCGAACCGTTCCTCGACGCCTCGACGAGCTCGGGCATGGTGAGGTTGCGCTCGCTGACGGTGAACTTGTCGGGAAGGCCGGCGAGCTTGCGCTTGCCGCTCGCGTGGTCGCGGGCGAGAGCGAGGACCGAGTCGCGCGTGACGCCGGGAAGGATCATGTCCTCGAGAGGAGGCGTGATGAGCTCGAGGCCTGCGTGGGAGGGAAAGAGGTGAGCGAGTTTCGCGAGGAGGGCCGGAAAGGTTGCAAAATGTCGCCGACGCACCTCCATCGTCTTTCCGGAGTGCCACCCAAAGATTCATCGTGCCCACCTCGGTCAGGCGATGCTCGGGGCCGAAGAGCCAGAGGATTTGCTGGTAGCCGAGCGCCGCCGCCTGCTGCTGAGGAACCACGCCGGCGGCGTAGTTGGACCCGAGCTTGAAGCCGCCCGTGCCGCCCGGCCACGCGCGCACGTCCTTGGTCGTCGCGTAGAGCTTGACGGGCTTGAAGCCGGTCGAGTAGTAGGGCCCGACGGGCGACGCACTGCGAGGACGAGGTCGGGGAAGGAGGCGAGGTCAGTGCGCACCCTGCGACACCCTGCGGCCCGAAGGCTGCAGCCACTTCGAGATACGGCGACTCGGGTTGCGGTGGGACGCACATGACGAAGAGGAGGACGTCGGTCGAGGCGCCGACGCCGAGGCCAGCCTGGGTGCCGATCATGGTCGGCCGAATGTCTGCGAGCGCGACGAGAATCAGGGCCTGTCGCCTGCCAAACCATACAAGAGATCGAGGTGGACGCTTCGACGCACAGAGAGACGTGCCCGGGTCGCTCGGGACCCACTTCGAGTCGACCTCGACGAGCTTCTTGATGAGCTGGGTGACGTTCTCGCCGGTGAAAGTCTGCGAGGGAGAATGTCAGTACCGGTCACCGACAGTCCGAAAGAAGGCGAAGACGCACAGGGAAGGCGAGACGAGCGGCCGAGCGGTTCATGCGCTCCATGTTCTGCGAGACGACGAGGGTCAGTCGCGCTCTCTGGCCTCGAGAACAGGCCAGATCGCCGCACCTTGTCGGGGCGGAACAACCGCAGGACACCGTCCTTGCCCTTGTACGCCTTGAGGCCCTCGAACAGGGTCGGGGCGTAGTGGAGGACGGTCGAGGACGGGTCGAGCTGGAGCGGCGCGTACGGCTGGATCTTTGGCGTGCCCCAGCCGGTCTGCGAGTTCCACGGGATCGTGAGCACTGCAAGGGAGGTAGAGTCAGTACCCTGTGCACATCGGAAGGAAAGGCGAGGGACGCACTGTGGTCGGTGAAGGTACGGCCGAACACGAGCTGGTTGGTCGGCGGGATCGTCTTGGGGCTCTTGGTGAGCTCGACCTCGAGTCGGGACGGCTGCGCGCAGGCAGTCAAGCGCTCGTTAGTGCTGCCGCTCGTCTCTGGTGCGCTGTCCCTCGCGCTCTGACCCGAGGCCGACCGTCCCGCTCGATATCCCCGCCGCCCGATCACGTCCAGCGCAGCCTCCTGCTGGCTCGCCGACGCGGCCCTCGGCCCTGCAGCCTGTACAGCTCCATCTTACGCTCGCCTTGCGCGCACCGGCCCGACCCGGCGTGCCGTCGTCGCTGATCTCGGCCGCCAACTGCGTCGAGAGTCAAAGGTGCTCGAGAGGACTCACGTCGATGTCGGCGCTGCGGATGACCTCGCCGGTCATGGCGTCGACCGAGCCTGCGGCCGACGAGCCGATGCTGGGCGCATCTGCGGTCGAGGGTGCGTCGGGTGCGAGACGGCGAGCCGAGAGGTGGAGGGAGCGGGCGGTGTGGACGGCGGCGAGGGCGGCCGAGGGCGACGAGCGCGGCGTGGCGGTGCGCAGAGCACCTCGCAGAGGAGCCAGCGAAAGGCGGGGCATCTTGCGCTGCTGTGAGGAGCGAGACGAGAGCTGTTCGACCCGCGAGGCGACGAGCCTCTCCTCGGCACGGCGCAGGTGGAGCGGCACGCAGGCCTCACTCTCTCACTCGTCGTGCCACCACAGCTGAAGCTTCCCTCTCGGGAGACGCAAGCGGTCGCTCAAAAGACGCGACTGCAAGACAACTCTCTCGAGTGCACGGACGAAGAAGAGAAAGAAGTCGAGCCGACCGGCGTTTCAACGAGCGAGAACTGGGGAGGGGGTGCATAGACAGAGGTGAAGCAGATGAAGTGGGGGTCGCTCATGCTGTTGGGTAATTAGCCCGCTCGGGTACTGCGTCGGGGCGGGGGAGAAGGAGAGGGCGCGCGTCGCCAGGGGGGGAGGGGGCCAAAACGCGAGGGACGCCGAGTCGAGTCGAGTCGCCAAAGGTGCGGCGCCTCGTCACGACGACGACGAAAGATGCAGAAAGGAAGAGATCGGCAGGTCGAGCCGCTTAGAAGTGGACCTGTGAGAGAGGGGAGGAGAGAAAGTCAGGACGGGGGTTTCGGGACTGACAGGAGGCGCAGAGAGCGAGTCGACGTACCTCCTCCTCCTTCTTGGGCGCCGGCTGGGTCGCCTTGCTGGCGATGTGCGACAGGAGAGCGTAGACGGTCGCGCCGAACAGGATGAAGGCGCCGACAAAGCCGAGGCCGTGGTACGCCTTGGCGAGCGACGACGAGACGCCGCCCATGTAGCCCTTGGTGTTGACGATTCCCGAGTACTCGCCGATGGCGGCAATCGACAGGATGAAGCCGAGGAAGAGGACGACGAACTGCATGCCGCCCGAGAAGTAGCGGGTGTGCGCCGCGAGGGCGGTACCGATGACGAGGACGGCTGCGGGGCGCGCAAGCATGTCAGCTCGGCCCGGTCATCTCGACCAGACGAAAGAGAGAGAGGGGGAACGCACTCGTGAAGAGGGTGTTCCACGACCAGGCGAAGACGTTGAGGATCATGACGTTCCTCAGCTCCTGCGGCCACGCCGTGCCGTCCTTGATGATCTTGGCCGAGAGACCGAGGCAGACGACGCTGAAGACCCACGCGAGCGCGAGGACGCTGCACGACGACGAGCAGGTCAGCGTTGGGCGCTCCCGAGCAATCTGACGCCGGCGCGAGCCAGATCCAGCTGATCTGCCCGGCGCAAGAGACAAAGGGGGGCTGCAGACTCACGGGAGGAAGGCGCGGGACTGCAGGACAGGCAAAGGCATCGTGCGCGCACGGCCAGGTCAGCGGTTTGGTCCAATGACGGCGTCGGAACCGAGCGGGACGATGAGGACGAGGGAGGGGCGAGGACGCACAGGCATTGCGACTGAGGGCTTGCGGGGTGGGTGTGCGTGTGCGGAGAGAGTAGCAGAGGCAGAGCACGGGTCGAACGGTGCGCGAGAGTGTGGGAGGAGGGGAGGCGAGAGGGAAAAGCCCTCCGAGGGAAAGGGCGGCTGCTCCTCGCCCTGGCTCGGCCCCCGCATCTCCTTTCGGCGGGCCAGCTTCGCTTTCGAGCTTGCCCTTGCCGCTTGTGCCTCCTTGCCGACGTGCGCGAGAGAGAGCTTCTTCTCCTCGGGCACAAAGCGCGCACCCTCTTCCTCCTCCTCCTCACCTCTCCCTCCCGCGCAAGCTCGCGCCGCCGATGACATTGGCTCGCCCGCGTCCGCCGAGTTGACTTTGGCTCGCACGGACAATCGACAGCGCCAGCTGCGCTCGTTCGTCGCGCAACACGGCCGGGACGTCTCGTCGGCTCGAGCGCGGTCTCGACGCTGCAGCCGATCCGCCTGTGCGAGGGCCAAACCGCATGCCGAGGTCGACGAGTTGGACGTGGGCGCGCGCGGACGGAGGTTAAAATGGCGGAGGCCCGACCTCGGCTTGCGACGGCGCGGGCTCGAGCTCTTCCGGTCGGGTTGCTGCCTTGCTCGCTCCTCGGGCTCTACGCTCTCGAGTTCGTCGACACGCTCTCGCTGTACACTCAGTCGTCGACTCGCACAATCGTCGAGATCGTCCTTGCTCGACGACCCAAGCCCAAGCGCTTGGCGAGATCTGCTGCGTCGCTTATCTCTCGCTCTCTCTGTCGCTTTCTCCCGCAGGCGTATCGCTCGCGGACTTTGCGCTCGACGAGCTCGACGGAGGTGTACGAGGCAGGGAGGGTCGAGCCGACAGAGCGTCGTCGACGGCGACGACCTTCTCAACTTGCGATTGCCGTGCTGGCAGCTGTGCGCTCGCGTCCTCTGTCGGCTGCCGCAGCGCAAAGCCCACCCGACGTTACCGCGTCGTCGCGTGTACCGCGCTCAAACGGCGAGAGTCGCCGAGAGGAACGTGCACGCTCGAGAACGAAGCTTTCTGGCTGCTGCTGCGCTCGCTCGCTCTCGTGACGCTCGTGGGTCCAACGATGCGCTGCATTATGGCGAACAGAAGTCTAACGATGATCCGACAGATGTGGCAACAAGGGGAGAAGAATGTGCGGCGACCGGTCGCCGCGAGAAGCCCGAAAGGAGGATCCACCAGCCACCCCCCCTCCCACCGCCCGTTCCACCTTCTCTACCTCGTCTAAGCAGTCTTATCCGCACCCCCTCCCGCAGCGGCGAACCGCCTCATGCCCTCGCGCAGCGCCTCGAGCTCGCCTCGCTGCCGAAGCACGTCCTGCACGAGCCGGCGCGCCTCGCCCGGCTCGAGCGTGCCCGGCTCGCCGCACTCGAGGCGGTGCCGCTCGTCGGCGAGCCGCGAGTGGGCCACGGCGTAGGTGGCGTACGCCTCGAAAAAGGCGAGGCGGGAGGACGAAAAGTCGGCGGCGGACGAGATGGGGACGGGCTCGAGCGGTGGAGGGGCGACGATGGGCGGCGAGGCGCGCAGGGCGGCGGCAGAGGTCGAGGTGCGCAGCGGCGAGCCGGCTGGGGGTGCGGTCGTGACGGGGCCGGAGGAACGCTTGGGCGCTGTCGAGCGACCAGGCGGCTTGGCGCTCGAGGAGGTTCTCGACGACGGACCGGCCTCGTTCTCGGACGACGACGACGAGTACCACCGGTCGGTCTCGGCCTTCTTCTTCTTCTTGCGTGCAGGAGGCGGCGACGCCTTCGACTCGGCCGTGTCCTCGCGCCGCTCGCGCCCTCGAGGCTTGTCGGCGACCTTGGACGACTTGATCCGGCTGTCGGAGCGCGAGGCCTCGCTGCCGCTCCCGCGATCGACGACGCTCTTGGGCACGGCGACGATCTTGGTGACGATCTTGGTCTTGACGACCGGCTTGGGCGCCGGCGTCGACGAGGCGCCGGTGCGAGACGCCGACGATGCGCGACTGCTGCTCACGCCCGAGCCGTCGCGCTCGTCCGCCTCGACGCGGCGCTTCTTGGCCGGCGCAGGTCGTGCCGGCGCCTCGTCGACGACGTCGGGCTCGCCGGGAGCGTCCTCGTCCTCGCCCTCGGCGTCCTTGTCCTGCGACGACGCCTGCGCCTGCGCGACGTCCGACGACCGCTTGGCCGGGACCGACCCTCGCTCCTTGGCACGCTCGTCACGCCGCTTCTCCTTCTTGAGCGTCTCCTTGCCCTTCATGAGCCCGCCGCCGGCCCGGACGGCGCTCTTGGCCGCCGTCGCCGCTGCCGGCGAGGGGTCGAGCCCTTTGTCGTCGGCCCGAGGCGGCGCCGCCGCCTTGGTCGTGTCGCCGAGCGTCAACGACTCGGGGCTCGTGACGCTCGCGCCGCTCGTCTTCTGCAGCAAGCTCGTCTCGGAGCTGCTCGACGTCGACGAGCTCGCCGAGTCCTGCCGCGCCGCCACGGGCGCACCGACGGCGTCGGGCACGGCTGTGGATGCCGCCGCGACTCGAGGTGGCGAGGCGGCGCCGCCGCCGGTACCCGACGACGAGCTCGAGCTGGCGCCGCGCGCGAGCGCGATCGAGCTCGGGACCGTGCCCTTGCCGATGCGGAAGCTGCTGCTCGTCGGCGGTTTTGGCGGAACGGCGGTCAGGCGAGACGGCTGGCGGCCGGTCGAGGCGGGCGAGGCGGTGCGCGAGGACGGGGCCGAGGCGGGGCCGCCGAGAGGGGCGTGCGGGCGGGAGGGGCGGTTGTGCGAGAGGGAGCGGGCGTGCAGCTTGGTCGGCGCCGAGTCGAGGAGAACCGCACTGCGAGGGCGAGAGAGAGGATCGTCAAGGTCGGGGCATGGTGGAGGAGCCGGACAGGACGACGCACCGGCGGCTGTCCTTCTCCTTCTCGGCGAGCTCGCGGTTCTCGCGAGCGCGTTGGCCCGCCTTGTCGAGGTCGGCCTTGGAGTGCTGGACGTTGGCGCGGTGCGTGACGGCGGCGATCGGCTGCATGTCGCGCGAGGACGACGACAGGCGGACGAGCTCCGTGTTGGGCGCCTCGGGATGGACCGAGAGGGCGTGGCGGACGCCGTTGACGATGAAGGCCTGCAATCGATGCGTCCTGTGTCAGCTCGTGAACGTGTAGAGAGGTGCAGGGAAACGCGAGAGCGCACCGGCTGGGATCCGAGGTCGAGCCTGAGTGCGCCGTCGAGAGCACCGGGCGGGCCCTTGCGCGCCGTGTCGACGAGCTCGCGCAGGACGTCCTCGGTGAGGCGCACATGTACGGCCGTTCTCGCTCTCGGCGCCGGTCTCACGTCGGCTCCCGCTGCGCGCCCTGCTTGAGCGGAACCCCCGCCCGAGGGGGCCGATGCGGGCGGTTCAGGGGGCGGGACGAGAGGGCGGATCGCGCGCGGCTGTGCGAGGTCGAGAGACATGCCGCGAGACGGCGTCGACCGAGTCGGTGGCCCTGGTCGGGCGGCGAGGAGACGATGAGCGGCTCAGGAGGACGAGGTCGGCTGGCTGGCGGGGAGGGGAACGGCGACGGCTCGTCGGGGCCGAGTGGTGGCTCGCAGGCGCGACTGCGACGGAGAGTGCGGAGCTCTCGGCGGCGGTCGATCAAGGCCGGGCGGTGTGCGAGGAGGTGCAGAGGGAGCGGAGGGCGGGCGAGAGACGTTCCGGATCCGCTGCCGCCGGCCGTCCCCCTCTCAGAGTGTGCGCGTGTGGATGGCGATGCTTCTGAGTATCTAGCGAGCGCTGCAGGTCCAGCGAGAGGGTCCGCTGTGCGAGTTGAGGGCGTGTCTCGCTCGCCGCGGCCAGTTGACGAGCCACCCGTCCCCCACCGCTCCTCGCTCGCTCGCACCACGACACAGCGCACTCGAGACCGCCTCGCCACCTGCACCACCACCCAAGGCTCGCCCATCAGCCGCCCTCGCCGTCCGCGCCTCGCTTCAACACCTCGTTCACCCTCGCCTCCCCCAGCTGCCAGCCATGCCCGCAACTCCGCAGAGCTACGACATGCTCGCCAAGGTGCGCACACACTCTCTCCTACTCTTCGTTACCGTCTCGCCCAGTCGAGTCGGCAGCGCCCTCGTCACGAGGGCGAGGCGAGGCGCCCGAGCCACTCGTCCGGCTGCGTTCTCATCGCTCCGAGCGAGACGGCGACGACGCACCGGTCCAGGGCCGTGGAGCACACAGCACTGACACTCGCACCCTCCCACAGATGCTCCTCATCGGTGACTCTGGTGCGCATCCGTCTCTCGCCCTCTCGAACCACCCGCCCGCACCGCCCCACCGAGGGCGCACAGCTTCGGCTTCGACGGGTCGCCATCGGTCCCTGCAGGACCACCGGCACTGACTCTCCTTCTCCACCCCGTCCCTGTCCACCTCCCCCACGACGCTCTGCGCCAACACCTCGCCCCACCTCACCCCTCCTCGCAGGCGTCGGCAAGTCGTGCCTCCTCCTGCGCTTCTGCGACGACGCGTGGACCCCCAGCTTCATCACCACCATTGGCATCGACTTTAAGATCCGCACCATCGAGCTCGAGGGCAAGCGCATCAAGCTCCAGATCGTGCGTCCCCCCCTTTCCCTCTCTTCCCCTCGCGCAGTCGAGGACTGACCCTCTCGGTTCTCGCAGTGGGACACGGCCGGCCAGGAGCGCTTCCGCACCATCACGACGGCCTACTACCGCGGCGCGATGGGCATTCTCCTCGTGTACGACGTCACCGACGAGCGGAGCTTCAACAGTGCGTCCTCGCCTCCTCGCTCTCTTGGCACGACCGCCCGGCCCCGAATGTTGGGACGTCGCTGGGCGTCTGACGGCCCGAGCGAGAGCTGACTCTGGTTCTCGCAGACATCCGGACGTGGCACGCCAACGTCGAGCAGCACGCGTCCGAGGGCGTCAACAAGATCCTCATCGGCAACAAGTGCGACTGGACCGACAAGAAGGTGAGCCACCGTCCCACATCTCTCGACGTTCCAGGTGAGGGCGGTTTCGGCGCTCGAGCACGACTAACCTCGCCGCCGCTTTCCTCGTCGCAGGTCATCTCGGAGCAGCAGGGCCAGGAGCTCGCAGACGAGCTCGGGTTGCGCTTCCTGGAGACGTCGGCAAAGAGCAACATCAACGTCGAGCAGGCATTCTTCGCGTTGGCAAGGTCCGTCGGCGGTTTCTCTCGCCTCTGCGGCTCTGTCTCGAGCGAGAGACCCGCACGACGACGGCGCGACTGACTGCCTCTCTCGCCCGTCTGCAGCGACATCAAGAGCCGCCTGATCGACACGGCCAAGCCGGAGGACTCGCCGAGCGGCTCGCGCAGCGTCGGTATCGGCGCAGGCCAGGGCGACAACGCGGCCAAGGGCGGATGCTGCTGAGCGGCCTCCCTCCTCGCGCCGTCCTCTTCCTCGCGCCGCCGCATCGACCATCTCGCCTATCTCTACGAGCCGAACGACCTCGGCCCACCCTTGTTCGGTCCGCACCGCCTCATCCACCTTCGTCGCCCTCCTCGTACCTCTCGACTCGGCTCTCGCGCACGCCCCATTCACGATTACCGCCTCGACCCACATCCGCCCTTGTTCTGGTTCCCTCTCCTTCAGTCACCCCCGCCCTATTTCAGTCCTCAGTCGTCCTCGCCTCGCGGCCCAGCAGCCGTCGCCGTCGCCTTCCTCCCTTTCCTTTTCCCCCTCGTCCCCGCGTCCCCCGCCTCTTCCTGCACAATTGTGCGGAGGCTCTCGATTCGGCGCGTGCGCCGCTTTGCCCACTTGCAATCTCATGTAGACCAGCTCCTTCAGCATTCGTCTCGTCGCCGTTCTGCGCGAGCTGCTCGCGAGCGAGAGAGAGGGCGAGCAGAGCTACCCGAGCGACGAGCTGTGACCGACGTTTGAATGGCATGTCGGCGCGAGGCTCGCACGTCGAGGCAAAGGTCGAGGAGCGAGCGCGCGAGCCGTGAGCCCAAAAAGGGAGAGGCAGGCGCGGGCGCGTGCGGAGGAGAGAGGCGTCGGCCAACGATCCGTCCTCGCTCTTCTCCCACCCACCCAGTCGTGCCCTGCTGCACTCGACGACGCGTCTCGAGCTCCGACACCGACCGTGCACCCACGCACGAGCTCGCCCGCGTCCAGTAGCGAGCGCAGGCCGCTCGCCGACGCGCCTCTCTCACTCGTTCGACTCCTCCTCGGCTATCCCGCCGGCCAACGATGGCGCACCCGTCCTTGTTCCCGCTCAGCACGAGCGGGTACCTCAACCTCGACGACCGGTCCGCCCCGCCGTCGCCCCTCTCGTCACAACACCACTTCCCCCTCCCCGCTCACGGCTCGCCTCGCAGCCCCTCGAGCCCCTCGTTCCCGCCCGGCTCGTTCTTCGCGTCCGACCCGCTCCGACTGTCGTCGACGCCGACCCGCACGCCGCGAGAGTACGCCGAGGGCGTCGCGCGAGGCGAGATCGGCAACGACTTTGGGCCTTACTCACCGAGGTCGTCGCCGCGAGGGAGCCCCGACCTGCGCGGTCGGCAGAGCAGCCCGTTCTACGACGACGGCACGTCGTCGCGGTCGTCGTCGCCCGGTCGCGTCACGGCGTTCGCGGCCCACCACGAGGTGCCGCGGTCGCCGACGCTCGGCGCGAGCGAGGTCAAGGCGTCGTCGGGCCCGCGCAAGTACGCGCCCGTGCTCGGCTCGGGCGCAGCCTACTCGGCCAAGGACCAGGCGTTCGACGACCTGCTGCACACGTACTCGCCCGCCGACCGCCTCGCCGGCGGCGGCCCGTTCCGCGCGTTCTCGCTGCGCGGCTGGCTCAACCTCGTCGCCGTCGTCGCCATCGCCGGCGGGCTCATCGGCGTCTTTGCCGGGTACCCGATCGCCGACTGGGCCATGAAGCACTCGGCGCACGGCTACAACGCGTTCTCGCTCGGCGGTGCTGTCAGCAACGGCACGGGCCAGGTCCCCGTCATCCCCAACCTCCCGGGCCTCATCGACGCCGACACGCCCGACGAGGTCATGACGAGGGTCGGCAACGACGGCCACACGTACCAGCTCGTGTTCAGCGACGAGGTGCGTCGTCGTCCCCCATTTCGTCGTTCCCCCTTCCCCTCGCGAGGCGCTCCTCCTTCCTCGACTCTCGGTCACAGTCACAGAGAGACTGACGACTTTATCGAGCCCGCAGTTCAACGTCGACGGGCGCACTTTCTGGCCGGGCGACGACCGTGCGTCTCGCTTTTCTTCCTCTCGACCGTCCGGTCTCCTCGCCTTCGAGCGTCGCCCTGACTCTCGCTCTCTCTCTGCAGCGTACTGGGAGGCTGTCGACCTGCACTACTGGCCGACCGGCGACCTCGAGTGGTACGACCCCGACGCGGCGACGACCAAGAACGGGAGCCTCGTGTTCACGATGACCAAGGAGAAGATCAACAACCTCAACTACCGCTCGGGCATGCTCCAATCGTGGAACAAGTTCTGGTGAGCAACAGATTCGAGAGGAGGCGAGGGCTTGGGTGATTGTCGAGCGGCCACTGACTCTCCTCCTCGCGCCTACAGCTTCACGGGCGGCTACATCGAGGTGCGCCCTGCTTCGGTCCTCCTCCCTCGTCATCATCATCATCGTCGTCGTCACTCTCTCTCGTCGTCGTCGCCGGTGCCGGTCCAGCTCCGCCGTCGTCGTCGTCGGGCCCCGAGCGCGCACTGACCCTCTCTTCCTATTTCTCGTCGCGCAGGTCAGCATCTCGCTCCCAGGCGTCGGCGACATCAGCGGCTTCTGGCCTGGCGCCTGGACTATCGGCAACCTCGCTCGAGCTGGTGCGTCCCTCTTATTCTCTCCTCTCGCGACGTCGCCGACGTCCCGCTCCCTCAGGCTACGGCGCGACGACCGACGGTACCTGGCCCTAGTGCGTCTCTCTCTCTCTCTCTCTCTCTCTCTCTCTCTCTCTCTCTCTCTCTCTCTCTCTCTCTCTCTCTCTCGTCCCTTTGACTCGGCCGCACTGACTCGGTGCGCCTGCAGCGCGTACAACTCGTGCGATATCGGCACGCTCCCGAACCAGACGTACGTGGACGGCTCGGGGCCTCCAGCAGCGCTCAACACGTCGGTCACCAATATGGCCCTGTCGTACCAGCCCGGGCAGCGTCTTTCGTGCGTCGCCTCGCGTTCGCCCCGCCTCGTCGGGCCCGTTCACTGACCCTGCTCGCCTCGCCGCAGCGCGTGCACGTGCCCTGCCGACAAGGCCGAGCATCCAGGGCCCTCGGTCAAGACGGGTCGTGGCGCACCCGAGATCGACATCATCGAGGCGTACGTCGTGCTGCTCTCCTCCGCGTCCCTGCCTCGTCCTCTCTCGGCGACGCTCACCTCGTCTTCCCGCTCGCAGGCAGACTTTCTGGACGGGGAAAAAGCTGATCGGCGCCGTTTCTCAGTCGGCGCAGTTCGCGCCTTACGACGCCGACTACGTGATCCGTAATTCGACGCCCTACGTGACCGTGTACGACAGCGACAAGACGCTCCTAAACGAGTGCGTCCCCTCCTCCCCGTCGTCCTCTCGCCGCCTCGACTGGACGTCGACCTGACGACTCGCTCTCGCAGCTACACCGGCGCCGTCTACCAGCAGGCTGCGTCCGCCATCACGGCGACCAACGTCGACGCCTACCAAAACGCCGAGGACACCTTTTCGGCGTACGGCTTCGAGTACTGGCCCTCGACCGGCTCGGACGGCTTCATCACGTGGTACTCGGACGGCGAGCCGTCGTGGACGCTCACGTCGGACGCTGTCGGGCCCAACGCGGCGAGCGGCGTCGGCCAGCGCACCATCTCGCCCGAGCCCCTCTCGATCGTCCTCAACCTCGGCATCTCGGACGGCTTCCAGACGATCAACTTCGACGAGCTCGAGTTCCCGGGCGTCATGAAGATCGACTACGTGCGCGTGTACCAGAGGGAAGGTGCCGAGAACATCGGGTGCGACCCGAAGGCGTACCCGACCGCCGACTATATCGCCAAGTGCGTCCCTCTTTCTCTCTCTCTCCTCTCCTCCTCCCTGAGGCCTCCTCGAGGAGGCGAGAACGTCGCGTCGCAGAGGACGGCCCGAGAGCGAGAACGTCGACACTGACTCGCCTCGTCGCCCTCGCAGCCACCTCAACGCCTACTCGAACCCGAACCTGACCACCTGGGCCGAGGCCGGCTACGAGTACCCGCGCAACTCGCTCAAGGACACGTGCTGAGGGTCACGTCGAGCTCGCCAGTCGACCGTCGAGGCTCGCCTCTCCCTCGTCTCGTCGCCCTCGTCCTGTCGTCTCGTCGACGCACGCTCTCTCGCACGCCACAGACCCTCTCATATCTTTTGTGCCCGTCACCCTTATGTACCCACTCGTATCCCCGACGTCGCCGCCGTGGTCGTCGTCGTCATCCTCGCAGAGCGTGGGCACGACCCTTGTAATTCTCGCATCGCAAGCTGTCGTCTTCGCGCGAGCTCTTTGCGAGAGCTCTGCCTGGCCAAGCCTCGGAAGTGTGCGTCGACGTGTTGCACGAGCGCGAGAGAGAGAACGCGCTTGTGAACGCTCGACGAGCGAAGCGTGATCGCCACGAACGGGCCTCGAAGCTCGAAGCGCGCTCGTCGCAAACACACTCTCGCTCTCCCACCAGCTCGATCCGCCTCGACTTGACGCTTCCTCGACTAGCTCGAAAGCTTTGCCGCCGTCGACCGCACCCACTTGCGCCCCCGGTCACTGGCCCCATCGCGTCGCGCCCTCATCTCGAATCGCCTCCGCGCCCTCGTTCGACACTCCGCAATTCGCCCACGCCGAACACACACGCGTCCAGCAGCCGCTCAGCAATATGGCTGGCCCTTACGACTACCCGTGCGTCCACTCTGCCCCTCCCCTCGTCGTGTCGCGGCCGCAGGGACGAGCTGCGCTCGCTTTGCGCGGGGGACCCTCGAATCCGCGGGGAAGACGGCGCTGACACCGCCCCTCGTGCCCTGTGCCCCCCTTGCAGACCCGCACACGGCTCGTCTGCCCACCTGAACGCGCCCGGCGAGAAGACCAACGCGCGCTCGTCCTTTGCCACGAGCATGGCCCCCAAGAAGTCGCGCCGCACCTTGTGGTGGGTCCTCGGCGCGCTCCTCGCAGTCGTCGTCATCCTCGGTGCCGTCCTCGGCGGCGTCCTTGGCTCGAGGGCCAGCAGCAACAACGACAACAGCAAGAGCAACGCCGTCAACGCGGCCGACGGTGACGCCGCCGCCGCCTCGTCCTCGTCCTCGTCCGGCTCGACCAACGCCAACGGCCGGTCCTCCGGCACCGCCACCTCGTCTAGTGAGTTCCTCTCCCTCTTCTCTCTCTGCGGTGTGTGGGAGCAGCTGCGCCGGCGGGCGGCGAGCGACCGACGTGCGGGAGGCGAGGCGGCAACACGAGCCAGAGTCGCTCGCTGACCGTCTCCTTCTGCAGGTGCTGCCGCCTCGAGTACGCCGGCGGGCACGCTCGTCGAAGTCGTCGACCTTCCCGCATGGAACTGGGGCCAGAACAAGTCGATCGGCGTCTGCCTGGGCAGCTGGCTCATCCTCGAGAAATGGGTCCGTCGCACTTTCCCTCTTCCACTGCGCGCCAGCCTCCCCCCTCTCTTTGTCTCTTGCCGGCCCTGACACTCTCTGCTTCGTTGTCGCAGATGCTCCCCGACTGGTTCAACGAGACGGTCAACGCCGTCACGCCGGGCGCCGGCGCCACCGCGCTCGACGAGTGGTCCTTCTGCGAGGTCCTCGGCCAGGACGGCTGCCGTACCGCCCTCACCGAGCACTGGGACAACTGGATCACCGAGGCCGACTTTGACGAGATGCTCGAGTACGGCATCAACCACGTCCGCCTCCCGACGGGCTTCTGGGCGTGGATCCCGACCATCGAGGGCGAGCCGTTCCTCAACGACACGGCCCTGTTCCAAAACCAGATCGAGAAGGTCCTCGGCTGGGCGCACGCCCGCGGCATGTACGTCCTCATCGACGCGCACGGCCTCCCCGGGTCGCAGAACGGCGAGCAGGCGTCGGGCCACCTCACCAAGACGCCGTCCTGGTTCGGCGGTTCTGCCGACACCGAGACGCCCAACCAGATCCGCTCGGACGCCATGGTCGTCGCCATGACCGAGTTCCTCGCGCGCACGCCGTACCGCTCGGTCGTCACCGGCCTCGAGGTCATCAACGAGCCTCGCCCGTACACGGACGACCAGATCCAGCAGCTGCAGAACTACTACGCCCGTTCGTACACGACGATCCAGCAGTCGGCCTGGCCCGTCGCCACCTTCATCTCTGAGGGGTACACCAACCTCACCTTTTTCCGTCCTTTCGCCGAGGAGCGCGCGACCGACCCGCCGTCGCTCGTCATGGTCGACCACCCGTACCCTGGAAACTTCCCGCCGCAGGACAACTCTCAGGACATCCTGTCGCAAGTCTGCACGGCCGGCAACAAGTACCTCGACTACCCGATCCCCATCTGCATCGACGAGTGGAGCGTGCGTCCCCTGCTCTCCTCTCCTCTCTCCCTATCGTTCGAGACCTGACGTCGACTCGCCCACCACCTCGCAGCTGTACACGGGCGTCAAGGACCAGGGCTTCGAGAAGACGTTCTACGAGCAGCAGCTCGCGACTTGGTCGTGGTCGGCCGGCGGCATGTACTGGTCGTGGCGCCTCGACACGTCGCAGCAGGACCTCGCCGCGGGCATCGACTACTCGCAGTACTCGTTCAGTGCGTCCTCTCGTCCGCTCGAACCCTCTCCTCCCTCCTCGTCTCGGACTGACCCTTTCTCTCCCCTCGCAGGCACCATCGTGCGCAACAACAGCGCGACGATCCCCAAGCCGTCCGACTTCAACCTCGCCGACACGACGACGGGCGACTCGGTGCAGGCGTACCTCGCCGGCGTCGAGGGCGACTTGACGTCGTCGTGCGGCACGGCGCCGGCCAACGCGGCGCCGTACACGTCGGGCGCGTTCCCGACCTGGACGGCCGAGGTCAGCGCACGCTCGTCGGCGCAGGGCCAGACGCTCACGGCGACGTCGACGACGGCGAGCACGACCGCCACCTCTCGCAAGCGCGCCATCTCGTTCTGAGCGAGCCGTCGCCCTCTCTCTCTCTCCCTGTACTCGACCCTCTCTCCCTCTCTTTTGACTTATCCCCATTTCACGACCCTGGACGGACACTGCCCTCTCCTTTGCAACCCACTCGTGTGCCCGATGCCTTCGTCGAGAGTGAGAGCGCGCGCGCGGACCCTTGGAGGCGTCGGCGAGCAATTTCGGGGAGGTGGCTTCCGCGTGCGTGGCCGTCTCGACCCTGCACGGACCTGTCGCAGCCCTGAGCGAGGAATGCAACGAGCGAGTCGCCTCTGCGCCGCCTTGCCGGAAGGAGGAGGCGCGAGCGGACCCCGGGGCCCCTCGGCGCCAGAAACCAGGGTGGACCTCGCTCGCTCGCTCTGTCGCTTCCCACCGCGCCTCGTCCTCGCCCAGCTCCATCGAGCAGTGCACCAGCCAGCCAGCCAGGCGTGCCGACCAGGTTCAGCCGCAGCACGAGCCAGCTTCTCTCAGAGCCACTCGCGTAAGAGCGACCCTCCTCCCTCTCGACCACGTCGCCGTCCCCCGTCGCCTCGACGCGTCTGCCGGCGAGCGCGACCACCACCAGCCCCGACACGCCCACACGACCCACCACGCGAGCGCGCACACCTCACCGCTGCGCGCGTCCCTCCCCTCACCTACCTCGCCGCCGATCACCGCCCTCGCACCTTTGACCGCGCTCCACCTCGCCCCTCGCACCTCCTGCACCCCGGCACCATGGCCACCCTGGCTCCAGCACCTCCCGCCGAGCTTCAGGTCGCTGAGCCGAGCGAGAAAGCCGTCTCGCCGGCTCTCGACCTCGCCGCCGCCGACTCGCCCATCACCCGTCCTGCGCCAGAGAGGACTGTCGCCGTCTTTCGCGAGGTGCTCGACAACGTCGACGAGCCTATCCCGACCTACGACGAGCTCGAGGTGTGCCCCCTCTGTCTCTCTCTCTGAGAATGCGTTGGGCCATGACGCCGGTTTACTGACCTCGTCCTCCTCCTTCCGCATCAACAGCGCTTCGGGCTCTTCGACTTGGCCGACTGCGCACGACGCCTCGCCGAGTACCGCCTCAAGCACCCTGTGCCGGCGACGTCGTTCGCCCTGCCCCCGCCCTCGGCCTCGAGCGACTCGGAGGCGCCCAGCACTCGCCGTCCTCGACCGACCAAGCCCCACCACCGGCATTCTGTCGCCATCGTTCCCCTCTCCAAGCCGTCGCAGCAGGCTCCGCCGCTCGCGAGCCCGTCTCTCGCCATCCGCGTCAACCCGTTCAACCTCGTGCGGCGGACGTCGCTCCGCCCGCGCCCGTCGCGAGCCGCCAAGAGTACGGGCGACGTGCCCCTCGCACCGACGAGCGAGTCGGCGGCGCAGTCGGCTCCGCAGGCCGTTGCCGCCGATGCCGCGCAGGCGGCTAAGCCGCGCCCGTCGTCGCGTCTCGACCCGGCCAAGGAGAACCGCGGCGCGCGCAAGCTGCGCAAGCAGGCGCCGCCCAAGATCACGCTCCGCACCGACGACGAGTACCTCCTCCGTCCGTTCGCCGAGGCCGTCAACCCGAACGCGGCCAGTCGGCCCGCCCTGACCGTCTCGGTCCCGACCTCGGCCCACTCGCCTCGTCCGACGGCGCCTCGTCGACAGAGCTGGCGCTCGGGCACGTCGTCGTTCGTCAGCTCGCCCCTCGCGTGCGAGCCAAGCGACGACCCGTTTTCTCGCCCTCGGTCGCCGTCGCCTGTCGCGACCTTCCCGAGCAGCGTCCGGCGCGAGACGCTCCCGCCCGTCGAGCGCAAGAAGCGCGACTCGAGCATGTCGTCGTCCGAGAGCGTCTACCTCGCCGACAACGAGCGCACGCGCCTTTCGCCTCGGGTCGAGAAGGCGAGCTTCCGGTTCAGCGTCGGTGCGCCGCCGAGCCCGACCGGCTCCGCCTCGTCGAGCAGCGTGTGGTCGCGCGCGCTCAAGTTGAGCATCCCGATGGGCAGGCGCAGCGGTTCGCGCCCATCGAGCGTCGCCAGCTTCGACTCGCCCGTCTCGCCGGTCGACGACTCGGGCCGCAGCTTCGAGGTCCTCGGTCGCCGCGCCTCGCCGCGCCCTGCGGTCGAGCGCGCCGCGTTGGACGCTACGGTCGTCGAGGCCTCGCGCCTGACTGCTCCGAGCGAGCTGTCGGAGCTCGCCACGTCGGCGTCGGCGCCCAACTTGAGCCGCATCGTCGAGCAGCCCGAGCAGGCCGACAAGCGCGCGTCGCTCGTCTCGACGGGCTCGCGAAGCCTGGCGCACGCCGCCTCGTCCGACTCGCTGCCGCCGTCGAGCGGCGTGACGACGCCCGCCGTCGTGTCGGCCTCGTCGAGCGTGACGATCCGGGACGGCACAACGACGCCGAGCCGCCCGGCGCTCCCTCGCTCGCGCGGCTCGTCCAACCTCGTCCTCGCCTCGTCGTCGTCCTCTCGGTCCCTCGCCAGCGCCTACGCCAACGCGCCCGCATCCGCCCCGCCGCTGCAGACGTCGTTCCCGTCGACGTCGTCGCTCTCGCTCGGCGCCGACTCGTGGCACTCGTCGCCGTCGTCGAACGCCCACTCGCGGTCGCACGACTCGCTCTTCTACTCGGGCAGCGAGATGCACCGCGACGGCGAGGACGAGTTCACGGGCGCGTCGTCGGCGCAGGACGACGACGACGACGTCTTTGTCAACGAGGGGCGTTGGCGCCGCTCGTCCGGGCGCAAGGCGGACGCCCTGCCGCAGGTCCTCGCCGCGCCGGTCGTCGTCGACCAGGGCCACTTTGTCCACCCCACGATCGGCCAGGCCGTCTGAGTTGCGCTGCTCGAGTCTGTGCCCTCCCTCCTTCCTCCCCCTCCTCGTCGACTTCCTGTTCTCCCACGCATTCTTGTCGTTCCTCGTCACCCCGCATCTACACACGATTCCTCCCCTCTTGTCAGCCTATCGTTTGTCGTATTCCCTCTGTCGCTGTGCAGTCCACCTTGGCCTTCCTCTCCTCGTGCGCGGGCCGTCGCTCGAGAGCTGTTCGAGAGGCTCCCTCGCTTGAAAGCTCGGCGTAGCTGACGGGCGTAACAAGTACTAGTAAGCTCGCCTGCGCGACAGCGCTGCAGATCCCGGGCGCGCGCGAACTCGCTGTTCGAGGTGGAACGAGGTGAGGCGGCGGCGGCGACCCCCACCTTTCGCCTGCAACACAGCGCAGCTCGCCCAGCACTTGCCTGCGACGCTACAGCACACCTGTCAACCTCGACCATGGCCTCCACCGCCTTCGTCTGCGCAGAGCCCGAGGGTGACGCGCTCCCTCCTTCGCTCCAGAACCTCCTCGACCAGGACTCGCTCAAGTGGATCTTCGTCGGCGGCAAAGGTGCGCCCAGCTCTCTGTGCCTTCCCTGTGCACGGCGGCCCGCAGCGCCGGCCCACCGAGGGCGTGCCCGGACGTCGAGGAGCCGCCCTCGTGTTCATCAGCCGGCGACTGATCCTCCCTCTCTCGACGACACGCAGGTGGCGTGGGCAAGACGACGACGTCCTGCAGCCTCGCAATCCAGCTCGCTGCCGTCCGCGAGTCCGTCCTCCTGATGTGAGTCCCCTCGCCTCTCTCCTCTCCTCGCCCTCGCCCTCCCCACCTCGTCTCTCGGATTCCTGCTCACTTTCCCGGTCCTCTTGCGCCCGTACAGCTCGACCGACCCGGCACACAACCTGTCGGACGCCTTCTCGCAGAAGTTCGGCAAGGAGGCGAGCAAGGTCAACGGCTTCACCAACCTCTTCGCAATGGAGATCGACCCGAGCGCGAGCATGCAGGACATGGTCGAGTCGGGTACGTCCCTGTCTCTCCCATATCTGCTGTACAGGCGAGCCGCCGAGCTGACAAGTTCGTGCAACTTTGCAGGCGACGACAGCGGCATGAACGGCATGATGCAGGACCTGGCGTTCGCCATCCCGGGCATTGACGAGGCGATGGGCTTTGCCGAGGTCATGAAGTGCGTCCCCTCTCTTTGTCGAGCGGCTGTCCTCTACGATCGCGAGCTGACACGTCGCCCCCCGACCCGAGCAGGCACGTCAAGTCGATGCAGTTCTCGGCCATTGTCTTCGACACGGCGCCGACGGGCCACACTCTGCGCTTCCTGTCCTTCCCCTCGGTCCTCGAGAAGGCGCTCGGCAAGTTGAGCGGCCTGTCGGGACGGTTCGGCCCCATGCTCAACCAGGTGCGTCCCGGTGACTGTTGGCGAGGCGGGATCTCTCGACAAGTACCGCGAATTGACCCTCCCTCTCGTCCCTGCGCAGATTGGCTCGATGATGGGCGGCGGCCTGAACACGGGCGAGATGTTTGAGAAGCTCGAGAGCATGAGGGAGGTCGTTACCGAGGTCAACGCGCAGTTCAAGAACCCGGTGCGTCCCAGCTCTCTCCTGCCTGGTCCCCCTGCTCTCGACCGCCATCACAAGACTCAGTCCTGAGGCCTGACTCTCGTCCCGCCATCCTTGCAGGATCTCACGACCTTTGTCCCCGTCATGAGTGCGTCCAGACCTTTCTCGCCTTCCTCTTCTCGAGCCGCCCCTGACCGCTCGTGCCTCTACAGTTTCCGAGTTCCTGTCGCTGTACGAGACCGAGCGCCTCATCCAGGAGCTCACGCAGTACCAGATCGACGTCCACGACATCGTCGTCAACCAGCTCCTGTACCCCGAGAATGGTGAGCCCTCGGCGCATCTCCTGGCGGCCCCAACTCTGCCGCTCGAGACTGACCCTCGCGACGCACGTACGCAGACTCGCAGTGTAAGCACTGCAAGGTGCGGTGGAACCAGCAGCAGAAGTACCTTAAGGAGGCGTACGAGCTGTACGGCGAGGTGCGTCGTCACCCACTCCCTCTCGTCGCTCGTCCTCTGGCTGCCAGGAGAGCCGGACTGATTTTCGAGCTCGCGTGTTGCGCAGGACTTCCACATTGTGCGCATGCCGCTGCTCAGCCAGGAGGTTCGCGGCACCGACGCGCTCAAGAAGTGCGTCCCCTCGCCGTTCTCTCTGGCTCTGCGAGGCCGATTTTACATGCTCACCTCGACTCTCACACTGCCTACAGGTTCAGCAAGCTCCTCATCGAGCCGTACAAGGCGGGCCAGGTCGTGGACCTGTCGGCGTCGTCTTGAAACTGCTCTCCCTCCTTGTGTAGATCCATCCCGGTCGCAGAGCAGCTTTGTCGTGCCGTGCGCTCGTCCGAGAGCGAGCGAACTACTTGCTGCTACCGTTGCCTGCGCGAACAAGCCCTTTCGAGGCGGTCGAGCGCTTCATCGGCTCGTCGTCGCCTCTCCCCTCCCCCTCGCTCGCTCTCGCGCTCATCGACCACCACACCTCGCTCGGCCGACACACGACTGCTCGCCATGTCCGACGACGCCGCTGCTGAAGAACGCCGCGCCAAGGCCGCCGCACGCCAGGCCAAGCTCCTCGCAAAGAGCAAGGAGCGCCTCGACCGCATCCAGGGTGCCGTCAAGGGCGAAGGCCGCGTCGTGTCCGACTGTGCGTCCTCTGAATCTCTCGCACGTGCCGTACGAGTGCTTACCTGCGCGCGCACGCCCTCGCAGCCATCGGCGGCATCGCTCCTCGCCCCGCCAACACCAACCCTCCCCCGCCGACCTCCCTCAGCGACATCAACAACGACGACGACCCGGCCGAGATCGACCTCGCCACCGCGAGCCCGCTCTCGCTCCTCGCCGGCCTCGGCGGCGACAGCGCAGGCGGCGCGGCGCAGAACCCTTTCGCGGCATTCGGTGGAGGGGCAGGCGGCGCACCGGGCGACGACATGTTCTCGCAGATGATGGCGCAGATGATGCAGGGCGGCGGAGGAGCTGCGGGAGCTGGCGGAGCAGGAGGAGCGGGAGGAGCGCCGCCCAACCCGTTCATGCAGCCGCCGACGTCGCCGTTCGCCCCGGCGCCCAAGACGCTCCTCGACCGCGTCTTCCCGCTCGTGCACATCCTCTCGATGGTCGGCCTCGCCGTCTACGTCGTCTTCGTGTACGAGCCGGCGCAGCGCCTGTCGCTGTACGGCTGGACGGGCGAAAACGGCGGCGTCGACTGGTACGCGTGGGGCTCGCTCCTCAGCCGGCAGCCCAAGGCGCTCGAGTCGGCGGTCGCGCAGAGGATCGGGTTCGGGACGCTCGCAGAAGTGGTGCGCCCCCTTTTCTCCCTCTCTGCCTGAGTCAGCCTCCCCCAAGCCCGGTACCTGACCTCCCCTCCTCGAATCCCCTCGCAGCCTCTCCTCTGGATGTTCATCAGCGTCGAGCTCGTCCTCCAGACGACTCGCCTCTTCCTCGTTCGTGTGCGTGCGACGTTCTCTCTCGCCTGGACGAACCGCAGCCGATCTGACCGCCCACTCGCCCGCAGAACCGCCCTGCGCCGCCCGGCATCCTCAACTCGATCCTTCCCCTCCTCTCTCAGTTCTCGCCGCAGCTCGGCCTCGCCCTGCAGACCGGCGTGCGCTACTTCGACCTCTTCTCGACCTGCCTCAACGACCTCGCCGTCCTCGTCTTCTGCATCGGCGCCGTCGTGCTCGTCGGGCGGTACAAGGCCGGCGCGCCTGCCCCGCTCGAGATCCTGACGGAACAAGCCGCGAGCGTCGTCAACAAGGTCGTCGGCGAGCTGTAGATGTTCGCGTGCGTGCGCGGTGGGCGCTGTACTGTCGTGCGGGCGAGCCCTCCTTCCGCAGTACTTCTGGCTCGAGCGATGTGCGGCCAGCTCGCGCCACGGAGGAGCCTCGACATGTGGCCGAGCTAGAGAGGAGAGCGGTACGATCCTTGCAGCCTCTCGCAAGTGCGAAGCGAGCGCGAACCTGCTGGAGAGCAGGTGTGGACCAGCTCCAAAATCGCTCGCACGAGCCCCTCGACTCGGAGAGTTGCCCACGCTCGATCACAGACCCTTTTCATTGCGCAGGCGCGCAGTTGCCTGATTGCGCAAGGCGAGAAAGGGAGGTCACCGTCGGCGCAGAGGGCGCTGGCCCCGCTCGCCTCTCCCTCCCTCCCCCGCACGCTCACCTGTGGACCGACAGCCGCACCATGGGCGACAACTACCGCGACTACACACGGCGCACGCCCCACGTCGACCGCTCGGCGCAGCCAGACCCGTACGCTCGCCTCTCTCTCTCTCGTCCAACCTCCCCGCCCGGCCACCTCGCTGACCTCGTTCTCGCGCTGGACAGGGCGCACGAGACCGGCGGCAACACGCGCGGCATGCAGGGCGAGAAGAACTGGCAGGACATGGGCACCAAGGACCTCGAGCGGGCCATGGTCGACCAGCACGACCGCCCGCTCGGCACTTTCGTCGGCGACGGCGGCGTCAAGGAGCACGACGGCCACGAGGACGAGGTGCGCCCACCTTGCCCTCCTATGTCGGACCTTGCGAGCCCACGCTCACCCTCGCCCATGTGCAGTACTTGGGCGGCTCGACGGCGTTCGGCGGCGGAGAAGCACGAGCGCCGCAGCAGCGCTTCGAGGTCGAGGGCGGCGACATTGGACGCGCTTACGGACGGCCCGAGGACGAAGCCTACTAGTGCGTCCCGTCTACCTGTCGAGGTCGGCGTGCACCGGGAGCCCACTGACCTCGTTGCCCGGTCCAGCAGCGCTCAGCCCGCCTCGTCGGCTCAAGCCCCTTTCGACGACGCGCACGCCGCTGCGCCGAGCTTCAACTACGAGCCCGAGAAGGCGCCTCGCCGTGACTGGTTCAGCAGGCCCGACGACCTCGGCTACGACCCGAACGACAAGTGCTTCGTGCACGAGCTGCCCCGACCGCCCTACCCGACCCTCACCTTCTACCGGCGTTGCCTCCTCGCGGGCTTCCAGCTCGGCTCGTTCCTCGGCACCTCCCTCGCCTTCCTCCTCATCGTCGTCCTGTCCCTCGGGACCGCCGCTGTCCACAAGGTCAACCCGTTCTACAAGTCGCCGCCGCGAGCGCCGGTCGACAAGGAGTACGAGGCGCGCGTGTCGGGCGAGCGCTTCTCGGCGAGGGCGCAGTACTACGCCGAGTACTGGGGCTACAAGTGCGAGGACGTCGACGTCGAGACCGAGGACGGCTTCATCATCCGCCTCCACCACCTCACGTCGCCCAAGCACGAGAAGCCCGGGTACCCCGTCATCCTCCAGCACGGCATCCTGTCGAACTCGGTCACGTTCATGGTCAACGAGGAGCGCTCGCTCGCGTTCTGGCTCCTCGAGCAAGGTTACGACGTCTGGTTGTCCAACATCCGCACGAACTTCAAGTGCGGCCACCGGACTGTGCGTCCTCCTCTCTCTCTTCTCTCTCGAGCGTCGTCCCGCTCCTCCCCTGCCTGCCCTCTTCCCCTATCTTCTCGTCTGCCTCTTCCCCTCTCCCTCTTCCCCTTCCTCCCCCTCTCCTCTCGCTCTCTCTCTCCCTCTCTCTTCCTCCTTTCCTGCTCGGACACGTTCGGACGGCGGTCTCGAGCGGTGGGTGCGGCCGAGACGAACACTTACTGACCTCCTTGCGCACGTTCCGCTCGCAGTACACCAAGAGCGATCCTCGGTTCTGGGCTTGGGGCGTGCGTCAGCCTGTCCCTCCTCTCGTCCACTCTCCCTCGTACTGACGCTCTCTCCCGTCGCAGGTCAAGGAGATCGCCATGTACGACCTGCCGGCGATCGTCGAGCACGTCGGCAAGAAGACGGGCCTGAAGGTGCGTCCCGGCCCTCGGTCTCGCTCGTCTCGACGCCCACAGCCACGGGCTGACTCGACCTCTCCTCCCTCTACAACCTCACAGCCCGCCTACATCGGCCATTCGCAAGGGTGCGGCTCGATGTTCATGACGCTCTCGCGCGGCGTCCGACCCGACCTCGGCAACAAGCTCGCGTGCTTCATCTCGCTCGCGCCCGCCGTGTACGCCGGCCCAGGCCTGCGTCAGTTCCCGTTCTCGCTCATGCGCAAGTTCGCCAAGTCGCGCAAGGTCTGGCGCCTCGTCTTTGGCGGTGCGTCGTCCCTTCCTCCCCCCCCTCTCCTCCCACGAGCCGGCCTTCCCTCGCCCAGCCCGGCCTCGACCTGACTCTCGCCCTCCCACAGTGCGCGAGTTCATTCCCATCATGAGCCTGTGTCAGCAATGGCTGCCGTCCTGGCTGTTCGGCCACCTCGCCGCACCCGTCTTCTCGTTCGTCTTCTCGTTCCACGACCACAACTGGCGAGTCCCTTTCTCTTCCCCTCTCCCCCTTCCGACAGCGTGCGCGATAGACGAGCGGCTGTCGAGGATATCTGCGACGCCAAGGACTGACCTTCGTCCTCGTCCGTAGGCTCAAGCGCCAAATCCCCAAGTTCTTCCGGACCGTCGCCGTCGCCAACAGCTCTGAGCAGCTCCTCTGTGCGTCGTCGCTCCTCTATCTCGGCGAGGCGGCGACCTGCCTACCTCGGACGCACTGACCCCTTCTGTCCTCCCTCGCCTCGCAGACTGTGCGTCCCGCCTCCTCGCGCCTTTTCGCGTGCCCCCTCGTGCCGCAGACAACCTCTCTGACTCTCTATTGTTCCTCCCGTTACAGACATGGGCGTCTTGAGCGTCAAGAACTGCGCGTTCGACACGACGACGACCGAGCCGTGGTTCCCTCCGTCGATGCCGCCGATCGCCATCTTCTACGGCACGCTCGACACGCTCGTCCTCGGCAAGCCCCTCGTCGAGCGCATTAGGGCACACGAGCCGCACGTGCGCCTCGTCAAGGCCGTCGCGCTCGAGAACTACGGTGGGTCGCCTGCTCGCCCTCCTCCTCTCTCGAGCCTTGCGAACGAGGCGGTGACTGACACGCCTTCTCTCTTCCGGCGACTCGCAGAGCACCAGGACCCACTGTGGGCTCACACGGCGGTCCGCGAGTGCTACCCGGGCATCCTCGAGGTCCTTCAGGCGACGCAGAACGGGTACCCTGCGCGAGCGTGACCTCCCTCGCGACCCTCTCTCTCTCTCTCTCTTCCTCTCTCGGCCCTGGTCAGTCTCTGTCTCATCCTGTCGCAGTTCCACGTCTACATGTATCGCAATGAAGCAGTCAATCGAGTCGACGAGCAGCGCAGGCGAGCATGCACGTGAAAGTCGGCGACGAGGAGGAGGGGCGAGTGACGAGAGGGAAGAGGGTCGGGTTGGGTGCGAGAGCTGTACAGCGTGAGCTGCAAGATGGTGACTGAGAAGCGCGAGCGAGAGGGAGGGCAGCATTTGCCGGAACCAGGTGCGTCGAGTTGCAAGAGCCGACTCGCTCCGCCGGCTCCTCTCGCCCTCGTCCCTCACCCAGCACCGCTCGACCGACGACTGCGCCAGGCCACGCAAGAGCCAGCTCGGGCTCACCAGAGCGCGCTCACCAGGTGCGCCGTTCGTCCACCTTTGAGCACACCCCGCGCTCCCTCGTCCTCATCGTCTTGGCCCGCAGCATCGACTCGTCGCGAGCTCGACACGGCCCAGGTCATGCCGCCGTGGACCGCGAGCACCCTGCCCTCCACCTCTCGACCTCGTCCATCCCCGACCGCGCCGTCCAAGTCGCACGCCCAGTCGCTCCCCGACCCGCACGCGCTCGTCGCCCTCCCGACCCCGCCTCCCTCGCTCCCGACCTCGACGCCAGGCTCGCCAGAGTCGTCCCTCGCCACTCGGTCTTCCCTCGCGCTCGCCGACGGACCCGACCCCGAGCTCGCCAACCTCGACATGCCCTCTCATGCCCCCTCTCCCGCCGGGCCGCGCCGCAGAAAGAAGCGCGCCGACCACCACCAGCTCGCGCACGGCCTCGCCAACCTCGACGAGGACCCGCAAGAGCCCTCCTCGCTCGCCGCCGTCCCTTTCCCGTCGGCGGCGGCGTCGGACGAGCGGCCTCGCTCGGCGGCAGCCGGGCACAGCTCGTCCAAGAGTCACGAGGGCACGCCCGCCAGGTCCGACAGCCGCAGAGCGGCGTCGCACTCGACGACGACGACCACGACGACGGCCACGCGCAAGACGGAGCGTCGCCAGGTCCGCTACTCGTTCCCGGGCCTCGACCACCTCGTCGCCCCGGGACCTCTTGCCGGCCCACATCGCCCGCGCTCGCCCAGTACGGGGTCGTCGAGGACGCGCTCGCCTGTCGGTACCGGCCGCAAGTCGTCAACGCTGTCGGCGCCGCGCTTGGCTCGCCGCTCGTCGAGCAAGCACGACCCGCACTCGTCGTCGGACCCGCCCAAGCCGCGCCAGGAGGAGCAGCAGCAGCAGCAGCGTTGGCGATCCTCGTCCTCCTCGACCCCGGCCACGTCGTCGCCCTTCTTCCGTCGCTCGTCGTCGGCGTCGAGCTACGCGATCCAGCGCCGCCAGTCGACCCTGGGCGACAACGGCGCGCTCCTCCCCGCCGGCTCGGCCCCGTTCCTGCGCCCACTCGTCAACGCGTTCGCCTTCTTCGTCGTGTCGGCCGTCGCCGCCCTCACCATCTCGGCCGTCCTCGCCACGTCGTTCAGCCTCACGTTCTACGACGACTGCTCGCGCCGGGTCGGCCACGTCCAGCGCAGCCTCGGCGGCAGCATCGAGGGCGTGCGCGCCGGCATGGGCCGCATGATCGGCAACGCGCGCGGCGCACTCGACCTCGCCGTGCGGGCGGCGGGCGGGACGGCGGCCACTGGCGCCGGCGCCGGCGGCGGGTACGGCAGAGTGCCCGCCGCCTCGCACTCGCCGTCGGCCGTCGACGCCGAGAGCGCCGACCGTCGCCGCACGACGATCCCGACCGTGCCGCAGGCGCAGGAGCCCGAGCTCGAGACGGACGACGTCGACTTGAGCGGCACGAGGAGCAGGTCCAAGCGCACGCGCAGCTCGAGCGCGCAGGCCGACTCGCCGTCGTTCGCGCCCGCCGCGCCGTCGCCCTCGAAGCGCCGCAGGCCCTTCTTCCGCGCCACGCCGTCGTCGACGCCGCACGATTGCGCCGAGCGGAAGCAGGACGCAGGTGCTGCGACGCCGGGCTGGCGCACCGACGACGACGACGACGACGGCGCGGCGCTGCCGTTCCGCGTCCCGCGCTCGACGCCGCGCTCGTCGCGCGCCACGTCGCCGCTGCGGAGCGCAGGCGCCGGCACCTCGCGTCGCGCGCTGCCGCCACGCCCGCCGTTGGCGGTCCTCGTCCCGTCGGTCATCTTTGCGCTCCTCTTCACCCTGTTCAAGGTCCTCTACCAGGCGTGGAAGGGTCGCAGCTGCGCCGATCGTCGCTCGTACTCGTCATCGCGGTCTCGCTACTGAGCCGGCGCCCCTCCATCCTCTCTCCCTTTACCCCCTCCTCCCCCAAAAAGGCGGCTGTGTGACTTGCCTCCCTCCCTCCCTCCTCGCTTCCTCTCTGTACCCTCCCTGCCCATAGTTGCCCCTCGCTTTCCCTCGTTCGTACTGTCCTCTCCCCGGCTCGCCGCCGCCCGTGTTGATGTGTCTTCCTCCGTCCCTTTCGCTTTCTCGTCGATTCGCCTCTCCTGCTCAGTCTCTCGTGCAACGATCCTTTGCGCACCCTCTCTCTTTCTCTCCAGGCCTCGTCGAGACGCAAAGAGAAGTGAAAGCGAGAGTCGCACTGCACGAGCCGCCAACGAGAAGAACTAGAGGAACGACCCGCCGCCGAACCTGCCGCCGAGGTCCTTGGCGTTCTTGATGATGTTGGACCGCTGCCCGTCGTCCATGAGGCGGCCGCTGACGCCCATGTCGCGATCGCGGTCCCAGATGCCCGGCGGCGCGTCGTCGCCCTTGCCCTTGGGCTTGGCCTTGCGGTCGCGCGAGTGCTGGTCGACGAGCGACTCGTGGCGGCGCGAGGTCTGCGGACGCGAGAGCGATTCGTCAGACGCTCGCTCAGAGATTGGCGTCCGAGAGAGAGAGAGAGAGAGAGAGAGCTCGACGACGCACGTTGTGGCGCTCGACCTCGGCCTTGAGCTGCTGGTCGCGGATGCGCTTGCGGCGGTCGTCGTCGCGCTCCTCCTCGACGGGCGCGTTCTCGGCGCGGCGCTTGCGCCCGAGGGCCTCGTCCTCGAGGCGCTGCTGCCGCTCGGCGGGCGTCTCGGTCCACAGGTTGGACGGGCCCGCCTTGTTGGCCGCCGACTGGGCCGCTTTGCCCGTCGCGAACCCGCGCGACTTGAGCTTGGTCGTGTCGAGCGCTGCGGGCGGGAGGTCGCTTGTCAGTCACGAGGACTCGGCGTACGCCAAGAGAGGGGGACGCACAGCTCATGAGGTCCATCTCCTTGGGCGGGACGAGCATCCACTCCTCGCGCTTGGGCTTGTTGTCCTCGCGGGCGGCGCGCTCCTTGTCCCTCGCGCGCTCCTCGCGCTCCTTGAACGCGCGCGCGCCGTCCTCGTCAACGCTCGAGGGCGCGTACCCGGCGGGGAGCGGCATCGGCCCGACCGCGTCGTCGTCGTCATCGTCGTCGGCGGCGGCGGTGGCGGCAGGAGGCGACCGAGAGGGGCCGGCACGAGCGGCGGCGAGGTGTGGCGGGAGCTGCGGCCCTGCTGGAGGAGGGCGCGAGGAAGGGTCGGCGAGGTGCGGGGGCAGTTGAGGGCCGGCGGCGGGCGGGCGCTCCTTGCGCTCCTGGGCGAGGTCTGGCGGGAGGGATGGCCCGAAGTCGTCGTCTGAGTCGCTGTCAGGCGGTGGCGCGGCTGCTGGGGCGAGTGCAGGCGCGGGACCCGGTCGAGATGAGGACGAGGCGGGGAGGCGGACCGGCGAAGGCGAGCGACAGCGCGCGAGGTGTGGCGGGAGCTCTGGACCGATTCCCATGCTGCTCTCGGCGAGTCTGGACAGGCACGACTGCGATTGCGCGACGAGGGGAGAGCTACAACAGATCAAGACGAGACGAGAGACGATGACGAGCTACTCCTCCTCGGCAGCCAGAGGGTTGTAGTGGTTCTTCTCGAGCACCTCCTCGAGGTTCTGTGCACGCCAAGCGAGTCAGGCCCGCCCACAGAGAGACAGAGGAGAGAGCGACGACGCACCTCTCGCACTCGCTCGACCGCGTCGGGCGCAATCAGGACGTGCGTCTCGTCCAGGTCGGCAATCAGGAACCGCTGGCTCGGTCGTTCCTCCTGGTCGAGCTGCAGCAAGATCTGCTTGACCGCCGGGTCGCTGCGGGACGAGAGACGGCCGTCAGTCAGTGTCGGCCGCTTCGGAACGCAGAACCGCGGGCGCACCAGGTTACGAGGACGCCTGCGCACGACAGAGAGCGTCAGTAGATGCTCCTGGACAGATCCTGCGAGGGGACGCACCGCGAGTTGCCTTGACCATCTCGACATGCGCAAGAAGAGAGCCAGAGGAGCGCGGCGAGGCCGACTGGCGCACTATGCTCGCAACCGTCGACTTTGACTTTCCCGGGCTCTCTCGTGCTCTCCCCATCGACCGAGGCTCGCGCAGAGAGAAGGCCAAAGAGGATCGCGTTGCACCGGGCTTGCGAGAAGTCCTCGCCGACAGACTGCTCGGCGACGCTCTCACCTCGTCGCTGGCACTCGACAGGCAAGCTGCGGCCTTAGAGAGCGAGATATGTTGGCTCGAGAGGAAATGCGAGAAGCTGGGCGGGCGCAACAGGCGGCGAGGGCCGGACGACGCAAGGCCGGCGGGCGAATCTATGCGCGAGAGCGGTCAGTACGTGAGGCGACGAGGTTGAATGGGTAAGGGACGCACCGAACGTGAACTGCCGCCTTCTGACGAGCCGTCGACCCGATCCTGCCGCCGCCTGGAGCGACGAGAGCGCTCAGGGCGCCTCACAGCCGCTCGCTCGCGACCATCTGCCACTTCTCCGGCGGGCCCTCGCACTTCCACACCTGCACCTCGTCGACCTCAATCCCCTCGTGCCCTTTGACCGCACACCGCCCATCCTCAACCTGCCGCACCTCGCCGCCCTCGCGCCGCAGCTCATCCATGATGCCCTGCGCCGCCTTGCGCTCGTCGTCCTCGCCGTACATGAGCGACAGGTGCGGCATGTAGTCGTCGGCCTTTGCGCGCTGCTCGGGCGACAGGAGGGCATCGCGCGTCGCCTTGCGCAGGGCGAGGAGCGCCTCGTTCGAGTCGTCGACGTGCGCGAACAGGTACTGGAAGAAGACGCGCTCGGCGGCCTTGCTGCCGAGCGAGCTGAAGGCGAGGCGGAGAGGGGCGGCATGCGACTGGCGCCATCGGGCGAGCGCGGTGCGCAGCGAGTCGAGGAGGGAAGGGAGCTCGGCGGAGGAGGGAATGCCGGAGAGGAGGGTGACGTGAGGGTCGAACCGAGGCGTGCCGTGCTTGGCGGAAAGGGTCGATATGAGGTTGGAAAGGTCTGTGTGGTACTCGATGTCAGCTCGGCGCGCGTAGAGAGCAAGGGAGGACGGACCCGAGGTTGTGGTGGGGGACGAGGGCGCGAGCCACAGGGCGAGTCCTGCGAACGAGCCGACGCGGGCATCTAGTGCGCTGGTGAGCTGAAGGTCTGTCGAGGTCGAGAGCACAGCGGCGCACCCATGTTGGCGAGCGAGGGTGGGGAGAGGACGAGAGCAAGTCGGTTGGCGAGCGCGCAAGGAAGACGGTCTCGCTTCCTCGGGCGATACTGGTCGCGCACGCCGCAAGAACGGACTATGATGCACAACAGAGGGCCGGCCGCCGAGAACGCTACGCAAAATCGAAATCTCGCCCTCCCTCACCTCCTCGCCGGCACGATCCGCAAACCTGCGGCCGGGCAGGGCTCGGTCAGTCCCTTGAACAGCGCCAGGGCGAAGAGAAAGAGGAAGAGGACGCACTCAGGTCCTCGTAGCGTGCGCGCCGCATCGGGTCGACCTCCTTGAGGCGCGCGAGCATGTCGACGCACGCGAGGTTGAGCTGGTCGCGTTCCGGCCGGGTCGAGTCGCCTTGCGGCTCGAGGAGGCGCGAGAGGAGGCGCTTGTAGTGGACGAGCGAGTCGAGGCACCCTGTGCGAGAGAGGCTGGGTTAGTGAGGCGAGGAAAAGGAGAGGGAGAGCAGGAGACGCACAGCGACTGTCGGGCTCCTCTTCGAGAAGCTCCTCGATGCCCTCAATCTCGCGCCGCACGATCGAGACGGTTCCTGGGACAAAGGAGAGTCGGTGAGAGTTCAGGAGGACGCAGGAGAGAGGGAACAGAGGGCGCACCGTCGCCGACGAGCCACCGGTGGTACAGCCACGCGCTCTGGTCGTTCGGGTCGGACCAGATGGCCTGCTTGACGAGCTCAAACTCTGCAGAAGCGACGAGTCAGTGCTGCTCGGGACAGGGGGCGAGTAGGAAAAGTCTGACGCACCCTCGTCCACCTTGTCGAGCCGCTCCTGCGCGTCGGCCGCCCACCCTCGCTCGTCCCACAGCTTCTGGAGCAACTTGGTGCGGTAGTGCCACGCGCTAAAGTTGCTGAAGTTGGCCGAAATCTTGCGCGTCGTGAAGGCAAGCTCGGACGAGGTCGTCGGCTGGGGAAGAGGTTTGGTGCGAGGTCGAGGGAGGGAGGAGGAGGAGGACGAAGGGGAGGCGATGGACTGGATCGACGAGACGAGGTACCGGCGGTAGTCCCAGCTGTGGACTTTGGGCGGCGGGCACAGTCAGTGCGGGTACGCGAGCGAGGAGGAAGCGAGAAGGGAGACGTACAATTGCGCGGGTCCTTCTCGAGGTACATCTCGACCATCTTGAACTCGAATGCCCAGTCGGCGTCGGGCATCGTCTCGAGGACCCACTTGCGGTGCTCCCACACGCAGTAGACCTTGGGGTTGAGCTTGAGCGACGCGTTGGTGAGCTGCAGGTCGGCCTCGAGGAGCTGTTGGCGCGCGTCGTCGTCGCTGCGGGACGTCGAGGGGGCGGACGGTCAGCTCGTCGTGGGCAAAGACTACTCTCGGAGCTGGTCGAGTGAGGAGAAAGTGGACGCACGGCGCGTTGACGAGGAGGCCCTTGAGGAGGATGCGGCGGCGGACACCCCACCCAGTCTGGAACTCGGGATTGAGCGACAGGAGGCGGGTCGTGTCGGCGAGGGCCTCGTGCGTGTACACCTCGGTGCGGTTCTGCAGGTCGTCGAAGCTTGTAAGTGCCGTCGCCCCGAGTTGGCTCATCAGTTGGCCTCATCTCCCTCGCCGTCCGCCGGCCCGCAGACCTCTCGAGGCGCCAGAGCAGAGAGAGGGAGCCGGTGCTCACCTTGTCGAGAACGCCCTCGAGCAGTGTGCGGTACTCGTCGATGCGCTGGAGCTCCTTGTCGCGCTTGCGGCGGGCGACCTCCTCCGAGTCGGGGACGGGCGGGACGCGAGAGCGCTTGACGCCGTGCTGCGGGGCGAGGCGTCAGTGAGTGCGACCGCAGAGAGGGCGTGGCTGAGCAGGCGCACCATGGTAGTCGAGACGTGCGAGGAGAGGCAAGCCCGGCGAGACGACGACGAACGAGAGGCTCTCTCGCGCCTCCTCACCTCCCTGCTCCGTGCAGTGAAGCTCGCCCTGCACGAGCACGACACCCGCATGGCCCCGATCACCCACATCGTCGCATTCCGCTACAAGCCCACCACCCTCGACTCGGAGAAGCACCTCGTCGCGTCGTCCTTCCTCGCCCTGCAGGACCTGTGCGTCCTCGAGCCGGGCACCGACGAGCGGTACGTCGCCGTCACAGGTGGCGCCAACAACTCGAGCGAGGGCCAGACCAAGGGGTACGAGGTGCGCTCCCTCTTCCCCTCCCCCACCTTCCGGACGCGCCTCGCTGACCCGCACCGCCCTCGCCTCGTCGCGCACGCCGACCGACAGCACACGTTCGTCCTCACGTTCCGCAACCGCGCCGAGCGCGACTACTACGTCGACCAGGACGAGGCACACCAGCGCTTCAAGGAGCTCGCAGGCCAGCACGTCGACGACGTGTTCGTGTTTGACTACGAGGCAGGGACGTTCTGAGCCAATAGCGCAATGTACTCTCTTCTCACGCGAGCGGGCCGAGTCTCGAGAGAGGACCGAAGAGAAAGCGAGGCTCTCGCACTGCAGCCGACCGTCCTCCTTAGTCGCCCTCCCTCAACCGCTTGTAGCTCCTCTCCCTCCCCTCGCCCCGCCAGTCCCGCTTGCCCTCGCCCGCACCCGCACCTGCTCCTCCCGCTCCCCGTCCCGAGCGCGCCTCGCCGACCCGCTCGACCCCGACCACGAGCGGCCGGCTCCCCAAGCCCGGCCGCACGTCCCTCGCCTCGCCCGCGCCCGCGTCGGCGTACGTCCGCGCCTCGACGAGCGTGCCGAGCCCTGCTCCTGCTCCCGCGCCCAGTCGTGCACTCGGTGCCCCCGCCGTCGTGCTGCTGCTGCTGCCCGCCCCGCTCGAGCCCGAGAGCTTGCTCAGCAGCTGGGCGCCGCGCGAGTCGCTCGAGAACGGGTCGGCGGCGGCCGGGGTGGCGGCGGGCTTCGACGACGCCGGCGCTGCTGCGGCTGCGGTTGCCGTCGACGACGAGCTGCGGCCGGGGACGGCAAAGAAGGGCGAGGGCGCGGCGAGGGCGTTGCGCTCGCGGCGGGCGGCGGCGCGGTCGATGAAGGGGGACGAGGTGGCGGGTTTGGAGGTAGTTCGAGGGGTCGGTGCGGGCGAGGACGAGGTGGAGGAGGACGAGGTGCCCGGCGCCGGCTTGAGGAGCTTGCCGCGCAGGAGCGCCATCTGCTCTCGGCGGTCCTGCTCCTTCTGCGCCTTGGTCTTCGAGCCCGTGTAGGCCGGCGTCGAGGCCGAGGGTGCCGAGTCGGACGGCGCGGCGACGAGCGGGATCAGGTTGGACGAGTCGGACGCGACCGAGCAGGCGGTGCAGGCGAACGAGGCGTGGATGTGGACGGCGAACGTCGTCGAGCCCGTGCGGATCGTGCTGCACGGTCGAGAGGGAGTCAGACCGAGACTCGAGAGAGCGATGAGAGGAGAGGAGGGGACGCACTCGAGGTGGTGGAGCCGCTTGGGCGTCGAGGCGACCTTTGGGTCCGACAGGCGCACCTCGTCCTCGCCGCCCTCTGCGCCGACAAAGGTCCCGTGCGTGCTCCCGTTGTCGACGACGGCCCAGTGCCCGCCCTCGCCCTCGCCCTCGCCGTCGCCGTGTGCCCAGAACAAGGTGCAGTGCGTCTTTGAGACGGCGAGTTCTCGGAGGCGGATGCGGCGCTCGAACGACTTGTCGCGGCCGATCGAGACGGGCTCGGCGGGGTCGAGGGACGCGACGGTGTGGGCGAGGGGGAGGACGGCAGGGTCGGGGCGGCGGTGGACGACGAGGCGGAGGAGGGGAGCCGACGAGAAGCGGTCGGCGGGGTCGAGGTCGTCGTTGTCGTCGTCCGAGGCGGGCCAGAGCTGCTCCTCGGGGACGGCGGTGGCGACGTCGTCGTAGCTGACCTGGACGCGGTGCGAGGTGGTGCGGTCGTCGTCGGCGGAGGGTTGCGGGTCGTCGTCGTCGTCGTCGGGCGGCTGATCGGGCGGCTGGTCGGGTTGTTGGGGTGCGGGTGCCGAGTTGTGGCCACCTGCGTAGTCCCAGCCGCCGTCGGGGCGGGGCTTTGCCCACTGATGGGTGGCCGTGTTGAAGTAGAGCGAGAAGGTTGGGTCCCACGCCCAGGCGCTGGTCGAGGGAGCGTGTACGGGCTCGCCGTCGTAGGGGAGCATGAGGGCGTGCCCGATGTGGCTCGCGGCGTGCTCGAGTGCGAGGGTTGGTGTGGCCAGAGGTCGAGAGCGGGGGAGGCCAGGAGGACGACGACGCGCCGACTGACTCCCCCTCGTCCCGCTCCTCGCACACCCTCTGAGCAGATCCAGCACTACCGAGAGCCACTCGACAGCCTCAGCCAACCCATAGACACGACCCGTCGTCCGCCTCGTCGAGCACACGCCGCCCTGTGCCACCGCCCCCCGATTTAGCTCGTCGCGTCGTCTCTCTCCCTCCCTCGCTCGCCCGTCGCCCTCTCGAGTCGCACCGACCACTCGCACCGGCACCCACACACTCCTTACACGTCCCCCTCCCCCACGGCCCCCCCCCCCCCCGGTCATGCTCGTCCACTCGGCTCTCGCCTTCGCCTCGGCCTCGGCCCTCCTCGTCGCCGCACACGCCGACCCCCGCCTCGTGCGCCGCGCTCCTGCTCCTGCCGGCGAGCCCTCGACCGCCACCGTCGCCGCTGCCGCCACCAAGACCCACAAGGTCGCAGCCGCAGCCGCCGACTCGACCGTCACCGCCGTCGCGACCACCGACAACGTCCAGATCAAGGCCGCAGCCCAGTCGGCCCTGCCCTTGACCCAGTACACCTACGCCTACGACCAGGTCCCCTACCAGTCCGTCCCCTCTCGCTCTCTCTGGACCGCGCGACCTCGACCTGACCTCGCACCCGCTCGCGCCTCCACCTTCGCTCTCCTCGCGCAGGGTCAACCCGTACCCGTCGGTCCGCGGGCCCCAGTCGGGCTACAACCAGTGCAACTCGACTACCGAGGGCGACGACGCCCTGTGCCAGACCCTCAGTGCGTCCCCTGCCGTCCTCCTCGTCGATCCATTGACTGACTCTTTCTCTCCTCCCCTGCCCTCGCTTTACCGCCTCGACAGTCGCCAACGACATCAAGGACTTTTGCCTGTGGGGCAGCGACCTGACCGGCACCGAGCTCGACACGATCGGCGACAGTGCGTCGTCCCACTTTCCTCTCGCCTCTCTCCCTCGCCCGACCTGACCCTCGTGCCTCTCCCTGCGCGCAGTCGAGGCCGCCGTCGTCAGCTACTGCACCCAGAAGGGCCACGGCGGGCGCTCCATCAAGGGCGGCGCCATCACGGGCGTCCAGGTCCTCAAGACCGAGGCGTGCGTCTCCTTCTCCTCCTCTTTCTCTCTCTCGCTTGCTTCCGCCCGCACGGCCCTGACTCGTCGTATGCGCCTCGCAGGTACATCCAGTGGACTGGCTTCATCGACCAGACGGCGCTGCACCTCACCGCCGACGACTCGGGTGGAGAGCTCGGTGCGTCGTCATATTTCTCTCCTTTCGCTTCTCGCGCCCGTACTGACAGTTCCTTCACAACACAGACCCGCACGGCGCAGACCTGCAGGGTAATCCGCTCGGTTCGGCAATCCTTTCGTCCCTCTCGTCGCCACGCCCCGTCGCTTACCTTCCTCTCCGCCTCCGTCCCAACAGGCGGCCTCGTCTACTCGTCGGGTCTTCCGTCGGGCGACAACAAGACCCTCGAGCAGGCCGTCGAGTGGAACCTCTTCATCGTGCGTCCCCTTTTCGCTCTCTCTCGCCCCTCTGAAAACGCTCGCCAACCTTTCCTTCCCCTCTCTCGCGAACACAGGGCGGCGGCGTCTTCTGCCTCAAGCTGTGCGACCCCGAGTACTACAAGAAGACGGGCACGTTCTTCTGCGAGAACCGCTACGACCGCATGGGTGCGTCGTCGTGCCTGCCTCTCTTTCCCCCTCCCGCGCTCGAGCCCACTCCCCCTTCGTCCTCTCCTCGACCTTCTCCTCCCTCTCTCTCTCGCGAGAACGCTCTGACCCTCTCGTGCCACCTCGTGCGCAGGCTGCTCGTACAACATGCCGGCGTCGTACGTCGACAAGGAGTTCTCGGTGTGCGACTCGGAGCTGCAGGACGTTGTCGGCGTCTACACGGGCACCGACGGCAAGAGTGCGTCCCGCTCACCGTTCGGCGTGTCCAGGACGACGTTCTGACGTCTCCCCTCCCTTCCTCGTGCAGCCTCGACCTACTCGCAGCCGCCTGAGGGTGCGTCCCCTCTCTCGCGCTCGCGCTCGGGCCCTTTCCCCTCCTTCCCGCCCCCACTGACACCCTCCGCCCGTCGCACAGGCACCGCCCCGAACCCTCCTTACACGCCTCGCGTCCCCAAGTCGTCCAACTGCCAGACGTACGCCTCGACCGACCTGTTCGAAGCCGTGTCGACCTCGGCCGCCTCGTCGTCGGCCTCGGCCTCGGGCGCGTCGATGACGAGCGGCAGCATGTCGGCCGGCGCGTCCCAGTCGGCGTCCGGCACGGGCACGGCCGCGAGCCAGGGCGCCGGCGGCAACTCGGGCGCCGTGTCGTCGACCCGCACTGGCAGCGGCGCCTCCATGTGGCTCGCGTCGTCGGGCTTTGTCGCGCTCGTCGCCGGCGCGCTCGCTGTGCTCGCCTAAGCGGGCGAGTCAGGCAGTGAGCATGGTTGGGCGGGCCTGGGCGCGAGAGCGGGACGTAAAGGAGCGCGAGCGCAGGGCGCCGCCTTCTCTTCCTCGTCCTCGTCCTCGTTCTCGTTCGGGCCACTTCTCCTCGTTCGAGTACCCCCATCTCCCTCCTCTACATCTATACGCCGCACCTCAGGGCGCACAGACCCTTTCTCCTCCCCCTTTGCCTACGTCCCCTTGTTCCCTGCCGGCGTTCCTCGTCGCTCTCGCCCTCCCTCCTCCCGTCCCCTCTCGCCTCTCGTACACGCCTCGCCTCTCGTTATACCTACCTGCCACCCTCGCTTTCGTTCCTCCGAGCGAGCGCCCTGTCGGCCGCTCGTCTCTCTGCATTGCACTGCTCGTCGCGCTCTCTCTCCGCCGGCTCGCATCTCGAGTTTCGCCGCAGCCCCCCGAGAGAAGAGAGCACGCCTCGTCGAGAGAGCGCGACGACCACCTCGACGAGCCGAGACTCGGTCGAGCGTCGAGCGAGAGGAGGTCCGAGCGAGCCTGGTCGCCTCGACTGTCTTCCTCTCGTTCGCTCGCGCTCGAATTCTCTCGCTCTCGCTCTCGGGATCGCGCACCGAGTAAAAGAAAAGGGCCATCAAGGCCCAGGCATGTTGCAGCCACACCTCCCGCTCGAGCACCTGGCCAGAAGAGACGGGGAGGGGAGAGAAGAGAAAGAGCTGAGAGCTCCCGCCGAGCGTCCTGCGCGACCGGCACGCGAGACGAGGGCGGGAGAGGGGAGGGGTGGTGGGTCGTGAGAGAATAACAAAGATGAAGAGGTGGGTCGGGGCGCTAAAGGAGGTCATGATGAAGGGAGGAGGCTAAGAGGGGGGAAATGCACGAGGAGGGAGGGCACGTCGTGGGGATACAGGTAAAGAGCGTGGGGTCCGACTGCGAGGGCGGTGACGGCAGGCGGGGTTCGTCTGGTTCGGGAGGCGGTTGCGAGCGGGCGTGAAGAACGACGAGGAGGAAAACTGAATGGACGGCGACGGTGACACGAGGAAGACCCTGAGAGACGACGAGAAGGAGGCGAGCTGGTGCTGGACGACGAGCGCATCTAGGACGCGAAGTACTGCTTGGTCGCCGAGTCGCCGTCGCAGGCGGCGATGCGGAAGTCGTAACCCTGAGGCGGAGAGAAGGGGGTCGAGCGTCAGGGACGGCTCGGTCGAGACGAGAGCGAGAACGAGAGAGGACGGACCTTGTAGTAGTTGAACCACGAGACGGCGAGCATGTTGGGCATCTGCTCGTTCGAGCCCATGATGTTCTCGAGCCATGCGACGCGCGACGACATGCTCGCACCCTGGCCAAGGCCGATCTCGCCAATCGCGAACTTGATGCCGTTGCCCGAGGTGTACTTGTCGTGGAACGCCTTCATGTTGCCCGAGCCCGTCGCAAAGTCGAAGTCGGACGTCTGCTTCGGGTACCAGTCGACGCCGATGAGGTCGACCGTCGAGGCGTCGTCGGGGAAGAACTCGTCGTCTGCGCGCGTGCGACACCTCGAGTCAGTCGCTGAACAGGACGAGGGCCGCTCGAGAGAGAAGGGAGGGGACATACACTCGTCGAGCGAGGCAACGTTGGGCGTGTACCACATCTTGACCTCGGGCGCGATCGAGCGGCACGCCTTGGCGACGACGTCCCAGCCCTCCTTGAAGTCGTTGACGTCGCCCTGGTAGGTGCCGTCCTGCTGGTAGTAGCTGCGAGGAGGAGGCGAGAGCGTCAGTACGGCCGAGAAAGGACGAGACCGAGAGGGAGAGCTCGACGCACTTGACCTCGTGGGCGAACCGGAGCCAGACCTCGAGGCCGGCGTCGGTGTACTCCTTCATGACCTGCACATCGTGAAGAGAGAGTCAGGGAAAGCTCGAAAGAGAGCGAGGGAGAGAGAGAGAGAGAAAGAGGGCGCACCTTGCAGATGGCGACAGCCTGCTGGTTGTCCTCGTACTTGAGGCCCCACCAGCCGCCGGTCGGCATGACAGCCGGCTGGAAGACGCCGCCCGACAGAATCTGGTCCTTGCGCCACTTGAACTGCGAGCCGTCGAACAGGGTGCCCGACTGCGCCTGGGCGTACCAGCCCTGCGCCGACGTCTTCTGGCCCATGGACGACTCGATGTCGCCGATCGAGTGAGCCGTGCCGCCGCCGGAGCCTGTTGCGCGAGGAGAAGGGCAGTGTCAGTCGAGAGGCGCTCGGGGAAAGAGGCGGACGAGAGAGAAGGCGGCGAGGACGCACCATCGTCCGGGAGCCAGCCAAACGCGATGTTGTTCTTCTTCATGCCCTTGAGGCCCCACCCGAGCGAGCTCGATGACGACGACGAGCCGGTCGACGACGAGGAAGAGGGCGACGCGGTCGAGTCGGCGGCCGCGGACCACGCGACCGAGGTCGAGCTCGCGCTGCCCTTGGCGGCGCCGACGAACGCGTCGCCGCCGGTTGCGGTCGCCTTCGACGACGAGCCCGACGCGGCGATGCTCGACGCGATCTTGGAGTGATGACGGCGGTGGCAGCCGGCTGCAACGGTCGAGATGGACGACGCGCCGAGGGCGGCGAGCGTGACGAGGCTGGTGAAGTGCATGGTGGGTTGGTCGTGAGAGGGTGGTGGTGGTGGTGCTGGTAGTGCTGGTGCTGGTGCTGCTGCTGGGCGTCAAGCCGGTGCGCGAGGCGAGGTGTGATGAGGCGGTGCGAGGGCGAGGGGGGGAGGAGCGCGACGCGGATCCGGCTAGCGGTGTCGACGTGCGAGGGAGGGACTGGCGTGAAGGAGAAGGGGAGATGGGAGAGAGAGAGAACCAGACGAGACGAGTGAAGGAAGGGAAGAGAGAGAGCGAGAGCGAGCCGAGCGAGCTGGGCCTTTGTCCGCCCGTTTGTGCTCGCCGAGAGAGCGGGGGAGAGGCGCGTGCGGCGACGCGTCGGACAAACGCCCGGGCGCTCTCCTCTCCCAACGGTTCGCGGTCTTCCCCTCGTCGCTCGTAACTCTGGGCCTGTCACAACTCTCCGGGCCGAGTGTGCTCGACCTTTTGCGCCTCTCGCAAGGAGGAAGCGCGGGCCAGGTAGCACCGCCTCGTCCAACCTCTCCTTCTCTCTTTCCGCGCGCGTCCGCCGCTCGTTCGTCGCGCCGATTGAGAGCAGAGTTACTTCTGTGCGTGCTCGAGAGCCGAGCGAGCGAGGCTCGAGCGCGAGAGAGCTCTCGCATTGACCGCGACGCGACGGTCGCCTCCTCGCCGAGCATTCCTGCCGGGCTCCGTCTCTCCGATCGGGCTCGTCTCGCGTGCGCTGCGACGTGATCCCTTTGACCCGGGCTTTGTACCGAAGGGCGGCCGAGGGAAAGCGCGCATCCTTGGGAGGCAGCACATCGAGCCGTTGGCGCTTGGCCCTCCTCCTCTCGTCGTGAGAAATGAGGGCTCGTGCCGGGCCTGAAGGGAGCTCTCATTCTCTCTCGATGGACTCGCTGCATGCAGCTTGCAGATGTGATTGACGAGCGACGACAATGCGCGGACGAGAGCTCGACGTGCGAGAGGGCTGTGCTTGGGAAGGTGACGGCGCGCTCTCGAGGACAGGTCACGCCGACAGCGCGACGAGGACGAGGTGACACGGACTTATATTGACACTTGGGCTGATCACGAGAAAGGACGACAACGAGGGGCGGAACAGGGCGAGGACGAGGAGGCGGGACGAGGCGCAGCATCTTGCTGCGCGAGGGCGGCTTGCTGCTGCGCACTTAAGCGAGGGTGCCCATCGGGTCCTGCGGACGAGCGCGTCGTCGTCAGTACGCTGTAGGTGACGAGAGAGAGACAGAGAGAGAGACAGAGGGACGCACCCAGGGCGGTAGTCGCGTCGGCCTTGTCAAAGACGTCGACGAGCTTCTTCGAGATGAACTTGCGGTCGGCGACGACCTGGTACACGAACTCGCTGAACCACTCGTCGCTCATCATCATGTAGCTGTCGACCGAGGAGGAGAGAAAGAGTCAGTCGGGCTCGAGGAGAAGGAGGGAGCGAGAGCGGACAGACCCCTTGTCGCACGCCTCGACGCCCCACGAGTTCTCGACGCGCCAGCGCACCGGCTTGCCCGCCTCGTCGAGGTGGACGCCTGTGAGGAGCATGGCGTGCGTCATGCACGAGTCGCCCGTCTTGAGGCGCTGCGCCTTGGTCAGGCCGAGCGAGACGCCGAAACCCTCGTCGAGGTCGTACAGGCGCGTGTCCATGATGCCGAGCGTCGACGAGCTGCACTTGCCGACGTCGCAACCGAACCAGACCGGGACGTCGGCCTTGAGGAGCTTGACGGCCGTCTGCTTGAGGACGTCCACGTCGACGTTGACGTACCGGACGGGGCGACCGCCGACGACGTTGCCGAGGCGGCTGACGTTGAGGGCCGTCTCGTACTCGTGCCGCGGGTCGTTGACGAGCGAGAAGGCGTCGGCGAGGCGCACGGCGACGTGGTCGCGGTAGAACTCCTGGGGCGTACAGTCGACGCGGTGGTACTTCTTGTCCTTCTTCGAGTAGTACTCCCACGTGATCGAGTCGGTCGGCTTGGGCGGCTGGCCGAGCGCGATGGCGAGGATGCGGTACACCTCCTGCATCTGCTCGTCCTTGCGCTTGCGCGCCGACTGGGTCGCGAGCGCGGCCCGCTCGGCGTGCGACTTGGTGTCGGCGAGCTCGGCGAGGGTCGCCATGGCCGCCGAGTGGATCGACCGCAGCTCGAGGGCGTACTCGCGCAGCTTGGTCGTCAGGAGCGTGTCGAGCTTGCTCGTGTTGGACGAGTTGAACGACTCGGGGTAGACCGGCTGCGGCACGAGGCCGAACGTCTCGAACAGGTTGACGATCATGTCTGCGGTGGGTGGCAGGCGTCAGGGGCCGGGTCTCTACTCGAGAGAGGGAGAGAGAGAGAGAGGAGGACGCACCCCACTGGCCGCCGTCGTTCTCGGGCTCGGTCATGAGGTACTGGATCGTGCGGTCGTCGACGGGCGTCTCGGCGAGGTCGAGCATCGACTCGAGGAAGTAATTGGCCTTGCTGAGCGAGTCGTAGAAGAACAGGTACGACTGCGAGAACTGGAACTCGTCGAGGTCGAGCTTGCGGGCGAGGATAATGCGCAGGTAGCTGTGGGTCCGGGCGTCGCGCGAGTCAGTACGAGAGCGTGCGGGACGAGGGCCGAGGGCACGCGGAAGACAACTAGGGCGAGGGCGAGAGACACAGGAGGAGGAGGAGACGCACTTGGTCGACGCAAAGAGCCAGCAACGTCCCGACGACTTCTGGTTGGTGACCGGCGAGCCCTCGGTCGACAGGGCCACGTTGTAGACCTGCTTGGCCTCGATCTGGGCGTCGCGGCGCACGAGCGTCTCGGTGAGGTTGGCCTTGGACAGGACGGTCGACGCGAGGCGGTGCTTGGGGCTCGAAGCGAAAGCGTCGCCCCAGGCGGCAATGTTGTCGGACGTGACGCCGGCCGCTGGGCGGGACGCGCCGCCGCTCGAGGTGCGCAGCGACAGCTGGGCGAGCAGGTCGGCGGCCGAGGTGGGCGACGAGGCGGTGCGACGCGGCGAGGCGGTGGCCTGCTTCTCCGAGGCGTGCGACGGGGCGACAGGGGTAGAGGCTGCGGAGCCCATGGTGTGCTGGTGTCTGTGTGTGCCGGCGAGGAGTCAGCGTCGTCCGATAAGCGGTGGCCGGTGGGTCGGTGTGGGGGAGGAGGGAGGAGCTGGCGAGGCGAGCGAGGGACGCACGGTGTGGCTGGTCGGGGTTGTCGAGGGTGTGTGCGAGTAGTGTGGCGGAGCAAGGCGAGTTTCGAGCGGTCGAGACGAGGAGCGAGGTGGGGAGCGAGAGCAAGGTCGACCGCGAGGGTGTCCGCCGGACCGCCTTCTCGCCGTGTCGCTTCTATTCTTGCCTCGCCAGCAGCTCGTGAGGACGCTCTCACACACTCTCAGTACCCGTGACCGGCCGCGCAGAAATCGCCGCTGAGCAAGAGGTTGCACACCGGGAGCTCTCTCGAGCCCCCTAGTCCTCGTCCATTGCCTCGCCCTTGGCCCGCTTGTCCGCCACGCGCTGCTTCATCTTCTCCTTGGCCTCGGCCATCTGCGACGTGAGCTTGCCCTGCTTGGCCGACTCGTGCAGGAGCGCGTGAACCTGTGCGCCTCGAGGAGGAGTCAGTCTCGTTCGGCTTGGCGCGCGATCGACGCGACGACGAGAGAGAGCAGGACGCACCAGGCCGATGTAGTTGTGTCGTCGGAGCGTGTTCTGCGCGAGCGACGAGGTCCGTCAGTAGAGGGATCGGTGAGAGCGTAGGCGAAAGGGAAAGCGGGCGCACCTCGACCTCCCAGTCCTTCAACCGCTCCTCGATCCCCTGCAGCTTCTCCTCGACCTCGAACCGTTCCGGTGCGCCCTCAGGCAGGCCGGCGAGCCGCTTCTGCAGCGCCTGTCGCCGGCCCGTGACGGCGAGAAGGTTGAACATGACCTCGCCGGCCGGGTATGTAGCGATGCGGCGCTCGAGAACCCTGCGGGGGTAGCTACATGTGAGCTTGATCGGGAGAGATAGGCAGGAAAGGACGAGGGACGCACTGTCGAGCGAACGAGGTCCAGTTTGCGGCGCCGCCAGGAATGTCGCCGTGCGAGACGGGCGTCTCCTTGAGGCCGTCGAGCTCGAAACTGCGAGGGAAGGGCTCGTGAGTCTGTCGTCGTCGTCGCCGAAGAGAGTCGAAAAGGCAAGGCGACGCACAGCTTGTCGCCGATCGGGAGGTAGGCGATGAAGTGGTACGCGTCCTCCTTCTCGTCCTGCGGCCGGTGCTCCTCGAGGTGGAACGGGTCGCTACGGGCGAACGAGTTGTGCACTGCGTACTCGAAGGAATGAGTCATTCCATCCTCTCCTTCGAAGCTGCTTACGGCCGTGTTGCGCCCGCAGCCGCACGAGAGGGAGAAGGAGCGACTCACCCTCGCGCAGCTTCTCCGAGTTGCTGAGCGTCCAGCCTCGCGTCTCGGGATCCAGTCCTGCGCGCAGAACGAGCTGGTCAGTGTCACTGGTGGGCGGAATAGGCTCAAGGGGAAGGGGAGCGCACCTTCGGAGAACGCCTGCAGGTTGCTCAACTCCTCGCCGAGCTCGACGTCCGGGCTGCGGATGTTGAGCGTCGCGTTGATCAAGGCGATACTCGCGCAGGCGTTGTTGATGACCTGGTGACTGTTGCGCGGCAGCAGAGTCAATGATCTGGGACGTGCGAAGGCGGGTGGACGAGGGGACGCACGCGAAGTAGTGAGGCTGCGCGGGCTCCTCGAGCTTGCCGTCCATCGTGTTCGGGTCGGCATGCCCGACCCACTTGAAGAGGAAGACGAGGGCGTACAGCGGGCTGTGCGGGTGGGCAGAGTGTCAGCGAGGAGGGCCCCACCTGGACGGCGGCGAGGAGGACGAGGAGGGAGGGAGGGTGAAAGGGCGAGACGGACCTCAGGTCGTTGAGCAGGTCCTGGTCGAGGCCCCACAGCTCCTCGACCTCGACACCGCGCACCCCCAGCTCGCTCAGGATGCCGGTGAACACGCCCGGGTCTGCGAGAGAGATGAGGAGAGGCGACGTCAGTGTGGCTCGGTCCTGGCCCGCTCGTTCGAGTGCAGGGAGGGCTGTAGGGGCTCACCAGACTCAGTAAGACTCCATCCAGCCGAGTCGGACATGGTCGTGCAGCGTGAGGTGAGGCGAGAGAGCTGCCTCGTCGTCGTCGTCGGTTGGTGGCCGTCCACCTCGCTCGCTCAGCACAGACTGCACCATGTGGGGCTTTGGGCGCCAGCAGGAGCCTCGACAGGCACCCTCAGCCGCGTCCACCTCGACCGCACCCTCTCCTTCCCTTCCCTCTCCTCCTCCTCATCCGCCTCCGCGCACCCTCGAGTCGCTCATCCAAGAAGAGCTCCCGGTCCAGCGCCACAGCGTCGAGATGGAAGGCGGCATGCCCTCGTGCCTCACCCTGTTCGACAACTTTCTCCTGTGCTACTGTGCGTCCCTCCCTCCTCGCCTTTCCCTTCCCTCTCGCACCGTCGAGCTGACCTCTCCCCGTGCGGCCACAGCTCTCGCGTCGCAAATCAAGTCGGTCTACCGCCACGGCGCACCGCGAGAATGCACGCCCAAGTTTGAGGACTTCAAGTTCTGCATGTCGATCAAGAACCTCGACGAGGACCAGAAGAACGAGGTGTGGGTCCGCAGGAGGGCAGAGTGGTGGGCTCGCAGGCGCCTCGGCAGGAGCTCAGAGGACGTGTGGGAGGCTCGCAGGTGCGCACCACACCTCTCTCCTCGTGAGGGCCGTACTCGGAGGTCCTGACCCTTTCCGTCCGCGCAGGGACGTCTACACCGACCCGCTCGAGGACAAGCGCAAGGCCGACGGATCCGCCCCGCAAGCATGACGAGCGACGTACTCCCGAGGTACACTGGCCCGACGCCGGCCAAGCGGTCGCTTTCGTCATCGACGTCGGCTCTTCTCCTTCCGTCCTCTTTTCGCCCTCTCGCCGTCAGCCAGCCCGCACCGCATCACACCGCATCGTGCTCGACGGCGCTCTCGTACTCAACCTGTTGCCATCATGTAATGCCGCACTTCCTCGCCCTCGAGTCGGTGCCCTGAGCGAGCGAGAGGATGGACGCCGTCTGTGCGAGTCGGCAGAGAGCACAAGATCTGCCGCTGCAGCGTGCAGCTTCGCAGAGCCTGCTCCGATATGTACGAGAGCGCTCGAGAGTCCAACGCAAGTCTGGCTGTGAGCGGACCTCGCCCCGCTCGACTTTCCCCCACTTCGCTCTTCCTCGACCAACTTGGCGCCATGGGCTTGCTCTCGTGCTTTGCGCCCCTGCTGCCGGCACGCTCGACCGCTCACTCGTCTGCATCCACTGCCACGCTTGTCGACAAGGACGCTCACCGCTTCATCGAGGGCAAATCATCGGCCGACTCGGACGAGGACCGCGTGGTCGTCGATACGGGGCGGCGGCTCGACGAGCTGAGGAGGGAACTGGACAGGGCCGACGTCGATGCCTAGTGCGCCCACTGTCCTCTCTCTACAGCCCTGTGTGGCGCGCTGACCACTCTCGAGCCTCGCAGTGTCGTCCCCACCGCCGACGCTCACGGATCCGAGTGCGTCCACCTCTCTACCTCTCCCTGGTCCCAGAGCTGACCCTGTACATCTCGCAGGTGGGTCGGATCGTGCGACGAGCGCCGCGCCTTCATCTCTGGGTGAGCCCTGGACCCCCTTGCCTCCTCGTCCTTTCTCCCCCCCCCACCTCCCGCTCACGCTCTCGCCTTGACCTGAATCACAGCTTCACCGGCTCGTCCGGCGTCGCAGTCGTCACCAAGACCGAGGCGCACCTGTTCACCGACTCGCGCTACTACGTCCAGGCCGGCAAGCAGCTCGACTCGCACTGGACGCTGCAGAAGGTCGGCGAGGAGGGCGTCAAGAACTGGGACAAGTGGATCCTCGACGTGCGTCGCACCGCCTCTCTACTCTCTTCTCGAGGCGCCGGCCGGGACTCACCATGTTCCCGCTCACAGCTCCCGAGCGGTAGCAAGATCGGCATCGACCCAACGCTCCTCGACTATGGTCCGTTCCTCTGCCCTCGCTCCGTACCGAGCGCTTCCTGACTGCCCTCGATGTCTACAGGTACCGGCAAAGCCCTGTCGCAGGCCGTCAAGACCCGCTCCCTCTCGCTCGTCTTCCCCTCGTCCAACCTCGTCGACGCCATCTGGCGCTCTCGCCCGCCACGCTCCGCCGCACCGATCCAGCCGCACCCGCTCAAGTTTACGGGCGAGTCGGCCTCGTCCAAGCTCGCCGCCCTGCGCAAGTACCTGCGCGAGTCGCACCCGGCGGGCGACAACGACAAGGCCGACGCCGCCTACCTCGTCACGACCCTGCCCGCCATCGCCTGGCTCCTCAACCTGAGGGGCGACGACATCGCCCACAACCCCGTCTTCTACGCCTACGTCCTCATCACCGAGCGCGAGTGCGTCCTGTGGGTCCAGAGCGCGGCGCTCGCGAGCGACGAGGTCCGCCGCGCCGTGAGCGAGTTTGGCGGCCGGGTCGAGGAGTACGGCAACGCGCTCGAGGGCATCAGGAGGGAGAGGGAGGGCAAGGCGGGCAAGGTCGTGACGGACGCCAAGGCGAGCTGGGCTGTCGTGGACCTACTCGGCGAGGTGCGTCGGGGCGCTCAGTCCTCCTCCCACCCTCTCCTCGCACCGACTGACTCTAGCTCTCTCGCCCCGCAGGACAAGGTCGAGATCGTCAAGTCGCCGATCGAGACGGCGCAGGCCGTCAAGAATCGGGTCGAGATCGAGGGTTTTCGCCGGGCGTACCTGCGCGACGGCGCCGCTTGGGTGCGTCTTCTCCTCTCGGTCCCGCCGTCGACGCGCCCTATACACAGAGCTCACAGATCTTTCCTCCTGTAGGCTCGTTGGCAGGCGTGGCTCGAGGACGAGGTCGCGAGCGGCAAGGAGGTGACTGAGTGGAGCGCGGCCGAGAAGTTGACCGAGTATCGCAAGGGACACAAGTACTTTGCCGGGGTGCGTCGCCTCTCTCTCTCTCTTCCTTCCTTTCTCCTTTGGCTCCTGGACCGAGCGAGGCACTGACGCACGTCTCTCACTCGCCGCAGCTCGCCTACGAGAACATCTCGGCCACGGGCGAGAACGCGGCCCTGCCGCACTACGAGCCGTCGCCGTCTCGACCCGTTCCGCTCTCGCTCTCGACGCCATACCTCAACGACTCGGGCGCGCAGTACCTCGATGGCACGATCGACACGACGCGCACCATGTGGCTCGGCCGCAAGTCGCCGTCGCGGGAGCACAAGCGCGCGTTCACGAGGGTCCTGCAGGGCCACATCGCCGTCGACGCGCTTGTGTTTCCCGAGGGAACGACGGGCGAGCAGGTCGACGTGCTCGCGAGGGCGCCGCTGTGGAGCGAGGGCATGAACTAGTGCGTCCCGCCGCCGTTCCTCAGTCTCTCGCGCTCTCTCTCGTCGCACGAGCCGACTGACACCTTTGCGTCCTCTCGCAGCGGTCACGGTACAGGGCACGGCATCGGCGAGTACCTCTCGGTGCACGAGACCCAGGTCGGCATTGCGCACTCGGCCGCATACTTCAGTGCGTCCCCCCTTCGCCGTCTCTCGAGCCTTCTCCTCTGCCGCACCGATCTGAAGCCTATCCTCTCGCCCACAGACACGCCCTTTGTTCCCGGTCACGTCACGTCGAACGAGCCCGGCTACTACGAGGTCGGCTCGTACGGCATCCGGCTCGAGAGCGTCCTGTGCGTCAAGGAGGCGCACACCCGGCGCGGCTTTGGCGACCGGCGGTGGCTCGCGTTCGAGCGGCTGACAATGGTGCGCACCCTCTCTCTCCCTCTCCCTCTCCCTCTCTCGATCGCGCATGTGCGGCGAGCAGAGCTCACGAGCGAACGTCGCCGACCCTTTCCTCGACCGCAGGTCCCGATCGACACCAAGCTCGTCGACTATGCGCTCCTGTCGCCCAGCGAGAAGGTCTGGCTCAAGTGCCACAACCAGCTGTGCAGGGACAAGCTCTTGCCGCTCGTCAAGGACGACAAGCGGGCCGTGCGGTGGCTCAAGCGCCAGTGAGGCTGCACGAGGAGGGTTTGTCGAGCGCTCCTTGGCCATGTGCAACGAGACAAAGTTTGGCAGCACGCTCAGAGAGTTCTCGTCTAGCTTTCGAGAGACGGCGAGTCGCAGCGAGACGTAGGGAATCCGCGATCGCGTCGAGAGAGCCAACTTGCGAAGGTCCCGCTTTTCTCTCGCAAGCTCGTTGAGACGAGTCCTGCACGCGGCGTGTTTCGATCAGGCGAGGACTCGAGGGGCACTAACTGTTAACGCTGGGGTTGCCTAGCTACAAGGCCGTCAAGCGAGAGAAAGAGAGGGACCAGGGAGCAGAGGGAGGAAGGGAAGAGGGGCTACGAGAGTGGTTTTGCGAGGAGGGGAGGATCAACAAAGGGTAGAGGAGAACGACTGAGGTAGGTATGTACACAGGGGAGAGCGAGGCGGAGGAAGGAGAAGAGAGGCGCCGCGCCGGGCGAGACGGAGGCGGGAAGGGGAATCGAGACGTGCTGAGGGCGCATTACGCGTGCGTCGCGAGCGTCTTGGGGGCAAAGTAGTCGCCGCTCGGCGCCGCACCGTCCCAGCCGGGCGTCGTCGGCGGCGCGCTGCTCGAGCGGAAGTGCTTGGCGAGCGGCATGTCGAGGATGGCCTGGGTCGAAGGGTCGACGGCGCTCACGGGCGCGTCGCGGTCGAAGCTCCCCTCGAGCGCAGCGGCCATGTCGAGGCGTTCGAGGCCGGCAAAGTCGGCGTCCGACAGGTCCATCGTCGGCGGCATCGGCGCGGGCACGAGCGCCGGCGCGATGTCCGAGCCCATCGACCCGCTCGCGACGGCGGCGGCGCGACGAGTCATCATCGAGCGCGTCAACGAGTCATTGGTTGTCGACGTGGAGGCGACGGTCGTCGGACGCTTGACGGCCGGCGACAGGGAGCGGGCCTGGACGCCCTTGTCGATGATCGGGATGGCGGCGCCGGGGAGCTGAGCGCCGGTGTAGACGGCGCGGGTCGGGGCCGAGGGCGCACCCGCTCCGGGACGGTCGAGGAACGAGTAGACGTCGTCGTCGGTGCCCATCGACGGTGGGACCGAGTAGTCGAGGTGGAGCGTGCGGCCGGCGAGCTGGTCGATGGTGGCGATGCCGCCGCCCTGCCGGTCTCGGGCGATGTACCCTTGCGCTGCGGGTCGAACGCGATGTCAGGTACCGTCGGCGGAACGACGAGGAGGAGCGAGAGAGGACGGACCGTGCTCGCAGCTGCAGTTCTGGTGGGCGTGCATGAGCTGGCGAAGCGTGAGCGCCTCCTGGCGCAGCGCGAGCGCCGTCTGCTGGAGGACGTGGTTGCGGTTGCACAGGTCGGTCGCGACTGCGTGAATAGGAAGGGAAACGGCAAAGAGTCAGGGTTGGCGGCACGAGGAGGAAGAGGAAGAGGACGAGGACGCACGACGCTCCATGGCCGCCGTCTTCTCCTTCTTCTTCTGGCGACTCTTACACGCCGCGACGCGGTTGCGCTCGAGGAACTGGCGGCGCTTGAGCGACTCCTCGTCCTCCTCCTCGCCCTCCTTGAGCTCGGCTCCCTCGCCCTCCTTGCTCGGCGACGCCTTCTTGCGCCCGCCCTTGCGCTTCGGCGTCGGCGCCGGCGTGCCCTCCTCGGACGCGGCACCTCCGACCGGCGCGAACGAGACGGCCGGCGCCTTGCCCTTCTTGCTCACGCCGCGCGTGACGGTCGGCTGCGCGCCCGCGAGCGAGTCCTCCACCGCCTCGGTCTTAACCGTGATGTCGAGCGCGCCCGGGCCCATCGGCAGCGGCATGCTCTGCGAGAGCGTCGCCTTGCCCGCCGCGATCATGGCCGAGCGCTGCTGCTCGAGCTGCGACAGGAGCGAGAAGGCCGACGCCGGTGGCGCCGGACCCATGGCGGGCGCGCCGAACGACGACGAGCCGACGGCGATGTCGCTCGCACGCCGCTCTCGCTGCGGGCTCTTCGAGCCCGAGGGGCAAGCGGTCGAGGCGGGCGGCGTGTCGGCGACAGACGAGGCGGGCGAGTCGTCGCTCTCGCGCTCGGTGCCCGAGAAGACCTTGTCGGCGACGGACAGGGCGGACGAGGCGAGCGAGTCGATGCGAGGACGCTTCTGGAGCGGTTGCAGGGCGAAGTTGTGGAGCGTGGGGATGGACGTGGCGTGGGAGGTCGGCAGGAGGAAGTTGAGGGAGGAGCCGCCGGGCGTGCAGATTGCCGGGGAGGACAGGGCACGCTTGCGCCCGCCGAGCGGCGTGTGCGACGCCAACAGGTCGAACTGGTGCGGTGCGCCCTTGGACCCGGCGGATTTGCCCTCGTCGAACGCGCCGCCCGCCGCCGCGGTCGAGGGCCGCCTGGTCGCGGCGCCGCCGAGCGTGAGCTCGAACGGGTTCGTCTCGCGGCTGCCGCCGGCCACGGTGCCGGAGAAGGACGGCGTCATGCCGCGGCCGGCGTCGAGCGAGCCGAACAAGGACGGCGTGATGGCGCCCTCGATCGACCATGACGGCGGGGTGCCGCCGTGAATGAACTTGGACGGCGTATCGAGGGCGAGACCGAAGGACGGGTAGTCGTCTGTAACGTCCAGGCAAGTCAGTTGGCGGTCCAAAGAGCTCGATCAGGCTGTGGCAGCCGGAGTGGTGCGACCTCGCGGCTTCGGCAACGTGAGGGGGGGCCGCCGTGAGCGGACGCCGTCGTCGCCGACCTCGTGCGCGCCCGCAGTCGACTCGAGCCGACTCACAGGCCCCCTGGCCGCGCCTGCTGCACCGCTCGTCCGTCGCAAAAGGCCCTCGCCCCGCGTCCTCGAGCATCGAAGCCGGGATTTCGCTTCACCTCGCGCCTCGCTCGCGGCGCTCGCCGACAGCTGGGATGGGACGAGAAAGAGTGGACTCACTCGATGTGTCGATGTTGGCCTGCATGGTGACCTGAGGCGAGCTGGCGAGCGGTCGGAGTGCGGAGAGCTTGAGAGGTGGGGCCGGGGCGGTGCTGGTTGGACTGGGGCGAGCGCGAGTCGAACGGAGTGCCGGGGCGACTGGGCGAGGTTGGGCGCAGTTGAGAGAGCGCAGCAACGCAGAGAGCTGGTCGAGTTTGCGGGTCGGTGAGAGGGAGGAGGCGGACGGCTGCCGGTGCGCGCGAACGCCGCTTGGCCTCGCTCCTTTCTCGCGTCGGCTCGAGCGGGTGAAGCTCTCCCTCGCCCGCCCGCGAGGCGATGCGATCGTGCTGCCCGCAGGCTGCGCACCCCGGTCCGGCCGTAGCCATGACGCGCACATCTTCTGCCCACAGCCAATGAGGCCGCTCGCACCCGCACTCTTTCCTGTCCGACCAGCCGAGCTAGTTTTCGGCGTTCGCGGCGACGCTTCCGGACACTCTCGCGCTTGCTCTCGCGTTCGCTCGGGCCCTTCGCAAAGTGGAGCGCTTGAGCGCGGGCTGGGAGGACGAGAGCGAAGCCGGCAACTTGCTCTGGAACAAGCTGGCTCACGGAGCTCACGAGCGCACGCGCCGCGAGCCATCTGTTCCCTGCTTGCGTCTCTCCCTCGCGAGAGAGTCAGCCTACCCTCGCTCGACGGCAGCTCCAGGCGCTCCTCAGCCTCCTCTGCCCATCGTACGTCGAGACGACGAGCTCCGTCCACAGCCCTGAATTACGCAAAGCGTCCGCGCCGGAGGCCCGATCTCGGCGGCGCAGCGCCCGCGTGTCCACGCAGCGAGCGCGGCTGAGAAAAGAGAGGCTCGTGCGAGCAAGCAACTTGCGCCGAGCGGCCGACCCGGCCGGCGGCGTGGTTCCGGCGGCAGCTTTCGAGCCAGCTCGGGCACGAGAGAGAACAAAAGAAGCGCGACGCAGAGGTGCGGATCGCCGCTTCGTCGGGCATTTGTCAGAGGCAGCCGTAAGCGGGTCGAGGTACGAGCGCCGAGGCGACCTTCTCAAGTTGAGCGTCCCCGGTTCTCGGTACTTGCGCACTCCCAGAGTCGTCACCAGAGCTCCTGCCTCTCCGTCTGTCGTTCCTATGTGATCGCCCGAGAGTCCAATTGGCGCAGAACATACTCTCCTCTCGGTCTCCTCGTCCCAGATCTTTCAGCTCTCGCAGGTCTCGCTCGACCGGACGGGACAGGGCGTGGGAAGCAAAGAGAAGGTGCAGAGCTCGCTACAACGCTGCCTGCTCCCCCCAGAAGACCTCGGCTGCTTAGGCCTTGATCTTGAGCTGACCCTCGAACGCCCTCTTCTCCTCGATGGTCTGGTGACGGCCGTGACTGTTGAGGGCGACCGAGTCAGTACATGTACAGATAGGAAGGCTGCAGATAGAGAGGGAGAGGACGGACCCGAACTTGGACGACGTGTCGATGAACTTGAGGTTGATCTTCTCGAGGGCGGCGCGCGAGGTGTGCGTGATGAGCGACTTGCGGAGCGTGACGACGCGCTTGACGACACCCGGGCACGAGCCCTGCGGGAGAAAGAGAGAGTCAGGGACGCAGCTCGAGGAGGGAGAGAGGGAGAGAGAGGGAGAGAGGGAGAGAGAGAGAGAGAGAGGGACGGACCTTGATCATGACCCAGTCGTTCTTGACGATGCCGTAGCGGACAAAGCCACCGATCGGGGTGATGGCCTTGTTGGTGATGTCGAACTCGGTCGAAGCCGAGGCCTCGTCGCCGGCCTTGCCGATGCGGTAGACCTTCTTGTTGAGCTCGGTACGGTGGTGGTAACCGTCCTGACCGGCGCGAGCGACCGAGTACATGACCTTGCTCGGGTGCCACGCACCGATGCAGGCAACCTTGCGAAGACCCTTGTGGGTCTTGCGCGGGAGCTTCTTGGTGCCCCAACGGTGGGTGACGCCCTCGAAACCGTGACCCTGGGTGACGGCGATGATGTCGATGTTCTCGTCCTGCTCGAAGATCGACGAGACGTCGAACGTCTTCTCGAAGTGCGACTTGGCGAACTCGACCTTGTCGGCGATGGAGCCGCCGTTGATCTGCGGGCGAGCGAGAGGGTGAGGTGGGGAGGGATGGGGAGCGAGGGTCAGTCTCGGCGACGGCGGCGGGCAAGGGAGACAAAAGAGAACGCTCGAGGACGCACCTGGATCTCCATGAGGTGCGCCTTCTTCTGCGCGAGGCCAGTCTTGCGGATCTGGGTGTGCGCGAGGACGCGGACGACCGAGCAGTACTTCGAGATGCGCTCGAGCTCGCGGGCGACCGACGACGCCGAACCCGACTCGGCGTGCTTCTTGGCGTACTTGGTGAACGCCTTCTTCTTCGAGCGGTACCAGTTCTTGTAGAAGCGACGCTTGACCTCGTCCGACAGGTGCTCGGCCCACACGGTCGTGAGCGAGCGGAGGCCACGCGGCGTCTCGACGTAGCCGACGACACCGACAGCGACCATAGGCGGCGTCTCGATGATGGTGGCGGCCTCGACGACCTCCTTCTTGTGCATCTCTGCGAGCGGGAAGGCGAGGTCAGGATCGGGTTGAGAAGAGGTGGCGGCGCGCAGAGAGGATGGGACGCACTCGAGCCGGGGCGCTCAAGGTCACGGACGACGTGGGTCATGCCGGCCTTGTAGCCGAGGAAGGCGGTGAGGTGGACCGGCGCCTTCGGGTCGTCCTGCGAGGCGGCGGCGAGAGGGGGTCAACTTTGGGCTCGTGCGAGCGAGGCAGGGCAAGGAGGGACAGGGGCGCACCTTCGGGAAGCTCTTGGCCTTTCCACGGTGGCGGGCGGCGCGCTTGCGCGGGAGGAACCCGAGGGAACCGCAGCTGTGAGGGAAGGGGAAGGGTCAGGGAGCGGTCCGGCGACGAGGGGGCAGAGGAAGAGGGGCGTACCGGGGGTGCTCGTACTTCCTGTGAGACATCCTAGCCGACCTAGTGAAAGGGCGGACGAGTGAAGAAGGAGGGGGAGGGAGAGGAGGAGGAGAGGGTCAGCGACGAGTCGAGAGAGGCGAGCAGCGACTTTGCGGGTCGAGCGCGAGCCCTCGACGACGGCCCCGCCGCTCGTGGTTGCCGCCGTCCACCCTGACCGTCCTCCCATAGGTCCAGCTGCCGGCCTGCGCCTCGCGATCCACCCAGAGCGGCCGTACGAGGTGCGGAGGGTTGGCGGGAGAAAAGGTGGGAGAGGCGGCGAGGGTCGAGTTGGAGGTGCTGGGGGTTGTCGTGCGGCGCGCAGAGGGTCGCAAGGGGTCTGCCGTCGTCCAGACAGTCGGGAACGCGGGCTCACCTGTCGACGAAGAGAACCGGGGAGCAAGGGAAGGTGGGCGGTCGACTCGGCGCGAGCGGGTCGGTCGCCAGCTCGAGCTGCGACTCTCGCTCCCTCGCAACGCCCGCAGAAATTGCGTCGAAGTGCTCACGGTGTGCCTGAAGCTTTCTATGCAGACTCAGTGGCCCGAGAGCTGTACTTGTGCTGAGGGCAGCTGGCACCGGGCGAACGACCTTGCGCGCGGCGAGCGACCACGGCTTGTCCTCCATCAAACTACAATGCGGCTCCCGATGAGCAAGCGTTGAGTTGCTCTCGCGTCCACTGGTCTGCACTTGCACCAGCGAGTCAGGCCTGGCGCGCGGGCGCTAAACGCCGGGTCGCTTCGTGCCAGATCCACCGTCGGCGCACTTTTGCACGGCGCTCTCTTCCCGCCGAGGACAAGTGCCTCTATCCTCTCGCTCAGACGAGGAGGGGCTTCAGCGTGGGGGAGGGACATTCCTTTCAGCAGGGCTCGAGGTCGCGGTCGCGTCTGTCGCGGGGCGGCGAGGAGGAGGGACGAGGGCCGGCGGGACGGAGGCGCGCGCGCGCAGGCAGGCGAGGGCAGGCGTGGGGCCGTAGAGCTGACGCGGTCGATTGCACTGCACCCCCCTGCCTCTTCTCTGTGTGTGTCTGCGGCGAGAGACGAGCGAGTTGCAGAGAGCCTGGCGCGAGCGCTCCCTCTCTCGTCGCCTGTCGGCTCGAGGCGCGTTGTGTACTGCTTGCGAGCCACAGTGTACAGAGGCCTGCCCGTCGCACGCAGCTCCAGTGCTCAGAAAGCCGAGGCTGCCGACCGAGCTTCCTCGTAACGATCGTCCGACTTCATGGTCGCCGAACCTCTCCATCCCTCTGCTCCCTCCTGCTTGCTCGCCTGTAGCTGTACTCGCGCCGCCAGCTCGTGCTCCGCACCGGCAGCCCTGCCAGCAGCGAGCCATGCCCTCTCGGCCCTCGCGTCCTCGCGCCTACACGATCCCTCTCGAGCCAACTCTCCGCCAACCTGTCGAGCACGAGTGCGTCGAGGGACGCTCGAGGCGCATCAGCTGGCGCAACCCGCTCGGCCTGCCGGCGCCTTTGACCTGGAAGCAGGTGCGTCGCTCTCCCTCTTCCCCCTGCACCGCCCGGCTCACCTCTCTCCTCTGCGCTGCGCAGATCCTCTACATCGTCGGGCCACAGATGATCGGTGCGGCATGCATCGATGGAGGAGCAAACTTTGGCGTGGCGTGCGTCCCTCACTTTTGTCGCGCCCGAGCGGATCCGACCCTGACGTCGATTCCTCGAGCAGCTGCGCCATGTACCGGACGATCAAGCCCCAGGACACGATCACGATGTGGGACATACGGCACAACACTATCGCAGGCGACGTCGCCGTGACCGTCTTTATCCAGGTGCGCCCCGCTCGCGCATGGTCGTCGGGGACGAGCAGAGCAGGACTGACCTTGGCGCTCTCTCCTGCCCCCTTCCTCGCCTCTCCTTGCAGGGCATCCTCACGTTCGTCATCGCGTCGGGCATGGTTCACGTCGACATGCGGCACGGCGGCATGGCAGCGTTTCCGTATCCCTGGGTGCGCCCTCGCGTTCGCCTTGTCCACCTCGCCGGATAGATCTGACGGCTCCTCCTCCTCCTTCCTTCTCTCGGCCTACCTCTCCTCATCCATCTGCAGCCCGACACGCAGTTCGCCGTCGTCAAAGGCGCCGACCCGGACGCCGCAACCTCGCGCCGTTCCAAGCTGTGGCGCACGTTCCATCAGCGACACGGCCTCGGGCGAGGGCTCCACTTCTTTTCGGGCTCACACGTCAACGACATCTTTGACACGAGCCTGACGCTGCGCCAGTTCGGCGAGCGCCTGTTCTGGAGCGTGTGGAAGGGCTCGGTCCTCTCGGCCCTCTTCTTCCTCGTGTGGTGGCCCATCACGATCGCCATCATCGCTCGTGCGTCCCGCCTCTCCTCTCTCGACCTCAGACCCCGCAGAGTCCTGACTGTCGTCCTCGCGCACAGCTATCTGGGGCGGGCGCAACATGGCGCACACCTGGACGCCCGAGGTCATCAAGGGCGTGTTCGGCTTCAGCCTCGGCCTCGCGATGAACCCGCTCTGCGCCATGATCGCTCTCGGGTCTGAAGACTCGGTGCGGCATCACCGCAACGAGGTGCATGCGCAGAACGTGCGCGAGATGGAGGAGGCGCCGCCGGCCATGGTGACCGAGGCGGAGCGAGTCGTGCGGCCGAGGCCGGTGCACTACCGCGAGGGCGTCTAGCTGGAGCGTTTCGAGACGGCGAGGGGGTGGGGCGAGGAAGGAGTGGGAGCAGGGCGGGGCGCAGGAGGTAATGCAGCCGGCTCTCGAGGACGAGGGTCAGGGTCGGCGGGGCTCGTCGTGCACACTAGTAGACTCTCCTGTTGTTGACAATCTCTCTAGACTTTCTCTGAGACTCTCGAGAGCTGCTCGACCAGTATGTGCCGTAAACGATCGAGTTGCACTGCCACTCGCCGTCGACGACGTCAAGCCGTCCTTCCGTCGTCGTCCTCCTCCCGCTCGACGCAGCTACGCCGACGCCGGCGCCGCGTAAAGACCCTGCTGCTGCTGCGGCACCGTCGGCGACCCATTGACGCCGCTGGTCGTCGCGCTCGACCCGTGGTACAGGCTCGCGTTGCTCGAGCGAGGACCTTGCGCCGGCGAGACGGTAGGCGGACCCTGCTGCTGCTGCTGCTGCTGCTGCTGCTGCTGCTGCTGCGCTGCGGCACGAGCGTACGAGCGCTGCACGAGGCGCGAGCAGTCGCCCCGAATCATGGCGGCGAACTGTCGGCGAAGGAGGAGGGCCGAGCGCAAGGTCAGTACGTCGCGACGACGACGACGACAGAGCTGTAGTGAAAGAGAGTGCCGACCTTTTTGCCGACGGGCCAGACGGTGCCGACCCGGTCCATGGCGTCGCAGGCGATGTTGACAAAGGCGACGCGCTCGTCGAGGTACGAGGGCGGGAAGGCGTCGTCGCCCGAGGGCAGGTCGTGTCGAGCGAGGTGGGCCATGACGGACTCGGAGCGGTCACGGGAAGCGACTGTGGCGACATGGGCGAGAACGTGAGTCGGGTTCGCTCGAGAGGGAGGATAGGGCAACTCGAGAAGGTACGTACCGATGAGGGTCCAGTCGCCGATGACGAACTTGGCGGGGAAGGCGATGGCGTAGAGGACGTCTGCGAGCACGTGAACGAGTCAGAGAGGCTGACGAGAGGCGAAAAACCGGGAGAGAGACGGCGAGGGAGGGAAAAAGGGACGCACAGGGCACAAACGCCGTGTAGGTCGACGCTCTGCTGCGGTGCAGGCTCGTGTGGGCGTTCTCGTACGCCGCGAGCTGCGACAGGATCTCGTGCATCGAGTGGATGGCGTCCCAGCACCGCTTCATGGCGTACTCGCTCGAGCCGACGTAGATGGTGCCGTGCGGGTCCCACGGGAAGCGCGACAGGCCCGACGCCGCGCGCAGGTGGAACAAGTTGGTCAACATGCTGCAGGCGTGAGAGTGTGGGTCAGTCTCGACGAGCTTGCCGAGGAAGAAGAGGAGAGGAGGAAGGCGAGGACGCACCAGTTGAGGAAGAGGAGGATCATGAGCATCGGCCCGTCGACGCCCTTGCCCTGCTGCGCCTTGCGCGCCGCCTTGGCGACAAACTCGTTGCGGACGTACTCGAGGACGTTGTCCATCTCGAGCGAGTCGCTCGGCGAGTCGAGCGGGTCGAGGTCGACGTGCTTGTTCCACGGACCGCCGGCGGGAGGGCCCGACGCGCGGTACGTCTCGCTCTGGATGCGCCCGCCGAGCCACACGACGCGGCACAGCCACGCGAACGTGCCGACGACGGGAACGCGCTCGGACCCTGCTGCGCCGCCGCCGATCGACTCGGGCTCGCCCGGACCGCCTGCTCCTCCTCCTGCTCCTCCCGCCCCGCCGCCGTCGCCGTCACTCGCTCTCGCCGAGGCCGCAGCCGCAGCTTTGGCCGCCTCGGCCTCGACCATGATGCCCTGCCACCCTGCGGCGCGGCTCGTGCCCATCTCGTCGGCGGGCCACCACAGCGGGTTGTCGCGCCCGTCGGCGTCGCACGTGCCCTGGTCGAACAGCTCGTCGGCGCACGGCAAGAGGACGCGCACGTCGCCCTCGGCGATGGCGGCCGGCCAGCCGACGGTGGCGCTCTCGAACCGGTCGAGGACGTAGACCGTGCACATGGTGCGGCGGCACTCCTCGAGCAGGACCGGGTCGGTCGGGAGCGGGTGCAGGGCGGGAGGACGCAGGCGCTTCTCGCGCATGACGCCGGTGCGGTCGGCGACGCGGTCCTCGTCCATGCGGTGCAGGCCGAGCATGGCGGCGATGCGCACGGCTTGACCCATCGACAGGAACGCGCGCTGGTGGTCGCTGACGCCCATCTCGACGAGCGACAGGAGGCACAAGGCCTGGACCATCTCGACCGTGAACGTCGCCGTGCGGCCTCGACCGCCGTTGGCGGCGCCGGCGCCGGCGGGCGAGTGGTGCGAGTGCGACCCGGCGTTGATGGCGGCGTCGACCTTGGCGCGCGCGAGGCTGTACCAGGTCGCGCCCTGGGCGCGCACGGCGGGCGAGTCGTGGTACGCCGCCGAGATGGCGAGGACGGCAAAGATGAGGCTCTGGGACGGCGGCGACGAGAGCGAGGCGGGGTGGTGGAGGGTGTAGAGGAAGCGGCGGCAGTGGAGGAAGGGGAGGTGGGCGTGCAACGTCGAGAAGTAGAGCTCGGCGAGCTCGAGCATGAGCTCGAGGGCGGGCAACTCGGTGCCCCATGCCGGCGCGACCGCCGCGTCGCCGTACCCTGCCGAGAGGCGCGCCGCCGAGCCCGGGACCGGCGACGGCGCCGCTCCGGGCGAGTACTGGGGCATGCTCGTCGCCGACGGCGGGTTGATGAGGTCCGACAGCTGCGGCGTCGGGTTCATGGCGAACGGGAACGACTGGAGGTGCGCCTGGACCGGGTGCTGCGGCGAGTTCGAGATGGCCGACTGCGGCTGCTGCTGCGGCGGGCCCAAGTACGACGGCTCGTTGACCCTCGGCGGGAGCGGGAACGCCTCCGAGTCGCGGTGCGAGAAGCTCGACGACGACGCGCCGTTGGTGCGCGGCGACTGCTGCGGGTACCCGGCCGAGAGCTGGGCCTGGCCGTTGCCCTGCGGCGACTGGTGGAGCGGGAGGTGGGCGTCCGAGTGGAACAGGTACGGCGCATCGACAGGCAGTTGCTGAGTCGGGTACTGCGAGTACTCGGCGGCGACGGGGGCCTGCGAGAAGGCGTGCGGCGGCGCGTGCTGCTGCTCCTGCGCGTGATGCGCGAACGAAGGGCCGCCGACGGGTGCGTCGAGGACCTGCGCGTCCTGGAGCGTCGAGTACGGGTTCGACTCGGGCGCACGAGCGGGTTGAGCGGCCGGCGGGAAGGGCGAGTAGGGCGTCCCGCTCGACGGGGTGGTCGTCGGTGCGACGCCGCGCTTGTACGTGTCGAGCTCGGCCTCGAGCGAGCCTGCGCGCAGTCGAACGTGTCAGGGACAGTCAGGCCGTCGAGAGAAGGGAGAGGGGAGACGCACGAATGCGGTCCTCGAGCTCTCGGTGGCGCTCGGCGATGCGCTCTTGCGTCGGATCTGCTCGAGGAAGGCGGGGCGAGTCAGTCATCGCTGCGCTCGTCCTCGTGAAAGAGGGAAGGAGGACGCACCGCCGTAGACACAGTCGTGGCTGAGGCGCACACAGGTCCCGCACGCAGGCCTCACGCCGTCGCACCGCTGCAGGACGAGGTTCGAGGGCGTCAGTTTCTCGCCGCTCGCGCCGAGCGAAAGACACAAAGAGAGCACACGGGACGCACCAGTTTGCGTTTCCTGCACAGGCTGCACGCGCTGCCCCGCTTGAGCGGCGGCGGCCCGGTCTTTGGCCGCTTCGACCCTCCACCGCTCGCGCTGCCCTCGCCGTCCTCGTCCTTGACGTCGCCGTAGTTGGACCCGCCGCCGAGTGTGCTCGACGGTTGACGGACCCTGGGCACGCCGTGATAGTGCGGCGAACCCTGGTAGTCGTGGTGGTCGGGCTGGGCGTGGTCGAACTCGTCGCCGTCGTCGTCGAGGGCGGCCGGGCGCTTGTGGCCGAGGCGCTGCGGCTGGTGCAGGGCAGGGCACGGGTAGACGCCGTCCATGGTCGAGACGGGACGGGCGGGCTCGAGAGATGCGCGTGGAGGCAAGGTTGAGGCGGGCGCAGGGTGGGACGGCGCGAGAGGGCTGAAGCGCGGCGCGGGTGCTGCTGGACGGACGGCTCGAGGTGGGCAGAGGTCGGTGTCGAGGCGGACGCTCACGCGAGGAGCGCGGACGTCGGGAGGGAGCGAGCCGGTGCGGACGGACGCAAGGTGTGGAGCTGCCCGCTCGCGAAGGCGGCCGTTGTCGAGGCGAGTGACCTTGTTGGCGGGCTCGCTGGCGAGAGAGGCGCGAGAGAGCGAGCGTGGGTGCTCTGCGTGCGCTGGCGCGGTGGTTGGAGAGGTGGGAGACGAGCGAGAAGGAGCTCGACGGGGGGCACCCACATCGGGCTCTCCGAAGCGGCGGAGAGGGCCTCGACCTCGCGCGAGCGAAGTGGCCGGCTGCTCGTCTCCTCACCCACACCACTCCACCACCTGGTCACTCCCCGCCCGGGTCACGAGCAGCACCTTGCTCCACCTCTTTCAAGGACCGCCTCGACCCCGAGCCCGCACAGCACCCGTCCCGCTCAGCTCGCGTGCTGCCGGTTCCCTTCGCCCTCTCGTCGGGCTCAACCCCCTTCCTCGTTTCGTCCAGCCAGCGACCCAGCGCCCGTCTGCCTCTCGCCCCGGTCTACCTCTCGCAACAACACCGCCGCCCGTCATGCCGCCCAACCCTGGCAAGCCCTCGATGAGGTGCGTCTCTTCCCCCCTCCCCCGCCCTTCTCATCGCCCGCCCTTTTGTCCCCTCCCGAGCCTCTCGCGCCGCATCCGGCGCTCAGCTGGGTGTTGCTGCGTGCGCAGGGGACTCGTAGAGGACTCGTGCGTCGCGAGACTGACCCTCCTCGTCGCCTCACAGCGAGCTCAAGCTCCGACGATTGACAGAGCACAACCAGCGCCTGCGCGAGGACCTCGAGCGCCAGCGGGTCCGCGTCTCTGAAGCCAGCGCCAGGTCCGTCCCGAGCTCCCTCTTTCGTCCCCCTTGCACCTCTCAGGCGCGCGCGCTGACTCGTCGCTCCCCTGCCCTCTCCCTCGACCTCGTCCCCTCCTCCCCCGCCCCGCACGCCGACCTCGACCCCGACCGCGACCTCGCTCAACAGCCTCATCCGGTACTGCAAGACGACCCGTGACTACCTCGTGCCGTCAGTGTGGGGCCCAGTCCAGAAGGGCGAGGACCCGTACGCGCCGCAAGCGAGCGGAGGGGTGCGTCCCACTTGCTCCCCTGCCCTCGAGCACTTCAACGCGCCTCGTACGCCCTGACTGACCCTCTTGTTCGTCCACAGTGCTGCAGCGTGCAGTGACGACTCGACTGTCGCCGCGCCATCGCCGACGGCCCCGCTCGACTCGCCCCCTTTCCCCTCTTCTCGCCTCCGCATATCCCGGCCCGCCCAGCTCGCAGCGTCCACCTCTCCCCGATTCCCACTTCGTCCCTGCGTCATCGTCGTCGCCTACCCGCGCTGCACTTGCTGTTCCTCAGCCGCGCACCCGATACCCCCTCGGCGCCGGCGTGCGCGCGTTCCTCCCGCCCCTCGCGCCCTCGCCCACCTCGAGCCTCCCTACTCTCCTATCTCTCGGACCCCCAACGCCTTCGTCGACGCCTCGAACCTCTATCGTCCGCCACGGCGTGCGCCCCGCCGCGTCGACGCCGTCGTCAGCCTCGCTCCCTCCTCGCCTTTTCCTATCGCCTCTCCTCGTAGCCCCCTTGCCCCTATCTTCTTGTCTCCCCTTTCGTTCCTGCAGTAGTACCTGGCACTCTGACTTTTCTGCGGCGGCGCGACCTGGAGAGAGAGGACGGAGAGGAAAGTCGCCGAGCCCGAGGCTTGGTTGGCCGCAGGGCTCTCCCTCACCTGTCTGCACAGCTCTCCGTCTCATACGACGAGACGCCGATAGCTCGCAACGCAGGCCTGAAGGCGCGAGCACAAGCCCAGCACCGCTCGAGCTCCCACACGTCGGCTCCCCCGCGTTCTCATCTCCACGACCCCCCCTCCCCTCGCTCAACAGCACACACCAAGCCGGGCATGTCGTCCCTCGTGCCCCCGCTCAACTTGCGCCCACGCTCAAGCACGACCGCCGCACACCAAGCCCCGCCGCCCTCGTCGCCCGCACCGGCACCACCGGCGGCCGCTCAACTCGGCGACGCGCACGACCCGGCGGCCACGGCTGGGGGCGTCGTCATGGAGGGTTATTTATTGAAGAAGAAGCGAAAGAAGCTACAAGGCATGATAAGGCGGTACTTTCGCTTGGCGGGCAACGGTGCGTCCCCCCTCCCCTCCTCTCCTCACTCGACTTGGTCGAGGGCGGCGGGTGTACCCCGTACCTGCGCCAAGGCGCCGCTCGAGCGACACGCTGACAGTTCCCAACGACCTGCAGGTGCCCTCTCGTACGCGTTCAACCCGACTTCGCCGCTGCGCGACTCGATCTTCGTCTCGCTCGCCTTCATCTCGGCGTCGCGCAAGCACCGCACCTTCCACATCGACGGCGGCACAAGCGTGTACCACTGCAAGGCGCTCACGGTGCGTCCCTCGTCTCCCTCGACAGCCCTCTCGACTCGCGGCAGGACGTCCTGACCTGCTCGCTCCCCGGCAGCTCGACGACTTCGACAAGTGGGCAGCGGCGCTCAAGCAGTTCATCCCCGTCGCGCAAGTCCCGAGCGGCGACGCCGAACACGCCCGTGGCCTCGTCAGCAACCTGCGCGGCGTCAACCTCGGCGGCAGCTCGGCTCCGCAGCGCGACGAGGCGGTCGAGAAGGTCCTCGACGCGCTCGGCAAGCTCAATCAGGTGCGTCGCCGGCGTCGCCTCATCTATCCACAGAGCACGACTGACTCGACTCTGTGCCTGCAGCCCATCGCCGACATCGAGATGCTCGCCAACGAGCTGCGCCAAGCCGACCCGTCGCAGAACCAGGCGCCGCAGCCCCAGCCCCAGCAGCACCTCGTCCCTCCTGCGCAAGGCAGCCCTCAGCACTCGCAGAGCAACGGCGGCAGCAAGTTCCGCTTCCTCGGCAAGCGCTCGAACAGCACGTCGGCGCCATCCGGCGCTCGCTCGCCCTCGTTCAGCGGCTCGCCCGGCGGCGCGCACGGCCAGCCGCAGCCGCTCAACCTCAACGTCGGCGCGCCGAGCAGCTCGGTGTCGGGCACGACGATGCTGTCGAGCTCGCCCACGTTCGACGACGCGTTCGACAACAAGCCGTCGTCGGCCTCGTCCTCGTCGCAGGGCAACGACGCCCTCCTGCGGCAGCTGAGCGGCGCCGTCGCCACGCTCAAGCACCAGCACGCTCAGCTCGCCCTCGCCGTGCGCGCGCTCCCGGCCATGTCGCCGTCGCCAGCCTCGCCAACCTCGCCCGGCGGCGGCAGCAGCAGCGAATTCTACGGCTCGGCTCGCGCAACCTCGCCCTCGAGCGCCCCCTCGGCCGGCGGCGTGTCTGCCCTCGCCGGGCCGTACGCCTCGCGCTCGGCGGTGGGCTTCTACCCGTCGCACTCGCGCGGCGCGCCGTCGCGAGCGAGCAGCCGCGCGAGCTTCTCGAGCATGTGGAGCGACGGCGGGAGCGACGACTGGCACGACGCCATGGCGGCCGTACCCGGTGAGTTCGTCGACGAGGACTCGGTCGTTGAGGGCGCGGGTGCGGGTGCCGGTGACGAGGGCGAGGGCGAGGGGAGGGAGAGCAGCCCCGAGCGCGAGCGGAGCACGGTCGGCGAGGGCACGAGCACGGTCGACGAGGACGAGGACGAGGACAGTGGGGGCGAGACGGAGGACGAGGCCGAGTCGGACCGGGAGGCGGCAGAGGTCGAGGCGGCCACGAAGAGGGGCGAGGGCGCCGGCGACCAGGGAGGGTCTCGCGGGGTCGACGCGGCGGCGGCGGCGCTCCAGAGCGGCAAGGACGTCAAGCGCAGGAGCCAGTTGCCGGCGCCCGTGTCGGGCGACGAGTTCTCGATGCTGAGCATGCTGCGCAAGAACGTCGGCAAGGTGCGTCCCTCGGTCCCTTCCTTCCCTCCCTCTTTCCCTCAGAGGCATCGGCTCACTCTTTTGCCACGCGCCTCGCAGGACCTGTCGACCATCTCGTTCCCTGTCACGATGAACGAGCCGCTGTCGGCGCTGCAGCGCGTCGCCGAGGAGCTCGAGTACTCGGAGCTGCTCGACCGCGCCGCTCAGGCGACCGACCCTGTCGAGCGCATCACGCTCGTCGCGGTGTGGGCCGTCAGCGGCGCGTCGAGCAATAAGTACAGGGGCTCGCGCAAGCCTTTGTACGTCGTCGAGCCCTCGAACCCATCGTCGTCGTCGTCGTCGTCGAGCCCGCACTGACTCTGTCCTTCTGTGCGCAGCAACCCGCTCCTCGGCGAGACGTACGAGTGCATCAGGCCCGACAAGGGTGCGTCTTTATCTCTCTCGCCCTGTCTTTGCGCGCACGCGCGACCTCACTCACCTTCCGCTCGGACCTCCAGGTTTCCGCTTCATCTCCGAGAAGGTCTCGCACCACCCGCCCGTCATCGCCTTCCTCGGCGACGCTCCTGAGCGAGGCTGGCAGATCTGCGGCTACACGTCGCCGAGCACCAAGTTCTGGGGCCGCTCGATGGAGGTGCGCCCCTCTCCCCCTCCACTTTCCCCTCCCCTTTCCTCCCCCACGAGCTCACCCTGCTCGCCTCCCGCAGATCTTTGTCGAGGGCGAGTTCTGCGTCCGCTTCTCCGACAACGACGAGGTCCTCACGATCCGCAAGCCGTCGTCGTTCGTGCGCAACTTGGTCGCCGGTACCAAATACCTCGAGGTGGTCGGCGACCTCGTCGTCACGACGTCGCTCTCGTCGGCGCAGGCGACCGTCGCGTTCAAGGAGGGCTCGACGTGGGGCGGCCTGAGCGGGCGCAACAAGATCGAGGGCAAGGTGACGGACGCGAGCGGGAGCGTCGCCGTCGAGCTCGTCGGGCGGTGGGACGACGCCGTCGACAAGAAGGAGGGCAAGAACAACTTTACGCGCCTGTGGCAGGTGGCTGAATTCCCTCCCAGTGCGTCTCGCCCTCTTTCCTCTCTCTCCTCCTCGCCGTCGTCGACGACTCGAAGCCTGACCTCGTTCGTGTTCGACCGCGCACAGACCCCGAGCGATACTACGGCTTCTCGCGGTTCGCCGTCACCCTCAACGAGACGACCAAGCTCGAGGAAGGCCTCGTTGCGCCGACCGACTCGCGCCTGCGTCCCGACCAACTCGCGTTCGAGCGCGGCGACATTGACGAGGCCGAGCGGGTCAAAGCTGCTGTGTGCGTCCCTCTCCCTCTCCTCTCTCGCCTCGAGCCCGCCTGACTTACCGTCGTGCGCCCGCAGCGAGGAGAAGCAGCGCACGAAGCGCAAGGAGGGCTGTGCCGCCAAGCCGAGGTGGTTCAAGCAGGCAGGCGAGAATGGCTGGGAGTACGGCGGCGATTACTGTGCGTCCCTCTCGTCCCTCTCGTCCCTCTCGTCCCTCTCCCTCTCTTCTCGCAAGACGTCGTCACTGACCTCGACCTGTCCTCTTCCCCTTGCAGTCGAGGCGAGGGAGAAGAAGACGTTCGAGGACCCCGATATCTTCACTTGACGTTGCCGGCCGGGCTCTGGCGCACACCTTGTAGACTAGAAGACGTCGCGATGACAGATCTTGATCCGTTCATGCTCTCTCCGTGCCCATTCTGGGCCTCTCGAGAGCAAGGACAAGAGAGCTCGCCTTCTCAAGTCGACCTCGAGCTCGATTCTCGATCCTGAAGCGCTCTTTTTCACCTCGCGCGCCCATCTACATCGTCAAGCAACTTCTCAGGAACGGCGCGAGCGTCCTGCACCCGTCCAGTCACCTCGCACCCTGCTTGGCCCTCTTGCTCCGTCTCGGTCCCACCGGCTCGTCCTCGAGTCTGCTCAGGCCCTCGTCCGGCACCGCGACCACCGCATCCTCCTGCGTCTGTGCACGTCTCGTCGACGTCGACGCGCGAGACGCGCTCGAAGCGCGGCTGCTGCTCGACGACGACGGCGCGCACGGGCCCCCGAGCGGCGAGTTGGGCTCGACGCTCTCGCCGAGGCGCTCCTCGTCGACGCGCGACATCCTGCGCTTGGCGCGCTCGACGACGTGCTGCCCTTTTGGAGCCGGCGACTTCGACGACGCGACGAGGGGAGGAAGGACGGCGAGGGAAGCCCGACGCGCGTCGTGGCTCGAGGGGAGCGGGGCGGCTTGTTCACGTAGAGAGTCGTCGTACGGCGTGTCGCCTGCATGTACGAGATTAAGAGTCAGTACATGGTGCTGGACGGTATCGAGAGACGAAAGACAAGGAGAGGAGGGCGCACCGTACTCGTAGACGAAGCGCAAGGCGCGCTCGTTTGGCGGGTGGCACTTGGCCGGGAGCGGCGGTAGCTGGTCGGCGTCGAACGTCCAGGTGGGTGTCGGAAGGCTGGACTTGTCGAGCGAAGGGGCGGACGACGTGGTCGAGGTCGAGGTCGAGGCGGCGTTGCCGCTGGACGAGCGCGACGCGAGCGACGACGACGACGCGGCACGCGAGCGGCTCGACGCGCCGGTCGACGCTGACAGTGAGCGTGCGTGCCGCATCGACCTGGCGGGCGGCGGCATCTCGCAGCCGTCGCTGCTCGCGAGCGTGGCCGCAGGAACGAGCCCCGCTCGGACCGCGAGGCCGCTCACCGAGCCGGACCCGAACGTCGACCCGCCGCCGCCGGCGTCGTCGCACCCGCTCGCGTCTGCTTCGCGGACACACGCCTCGAGGAGCGCAAAGAGGCCGAGCGGGAGGCGCTCGGGGTGCGCGAGGATGCGGACGAGGTTCTGGGCGAGGGACGAGGTCGGCGTCGACGGGAGGACGGGTGCGTCGGCGGCAGTCGAGGCGACGTAGAAAGGAGACAGGAGAGGGCGGTCGAGGTGGAGGGACGAGAGGCCCAAGCCGATGCTGACGCTGCGGGTCGGAGCCGTCGGACGAGCGGGCGTGGCGAACGGGATCGGCGCGAGCTGCGGCGCTCTTGCCCTCGCCCCGGCACTCTTCGAGACCTGCGAAAGAGCGAGGGTGAGCTCGCCGGGCGTCGCTGGAAGAGGCGAGGAAGAGAGGACGCACCTTTTGGCCGCCGACGCTCGAGCCGCTCGGACCCTCCTCGGCCCGCTCGTCGAACTGCAACACTCTCGCCGAACTCGCACCGTCACCTCGACCCGATCGTGTCGAAGCCGGACCCTCGGGCGACAGTGAGAAGGCCGACGTGAACTGCCGCAGCAGGACCGCGCCGTCGTGCTCGTCCTGCGCCGTCGCCTCGTCTCGCGCCTGCCCGAGCGGCGCCTCGCCGCACACCGAACCGACGTTTCCCGCAACGCCATCGCCCACGAGCCGACCGTCCTCGAGCGCGGCGAGTGCCAGGCTCGGCAGCGGCGACGGCGTGCGCTCGAGGAACGACAAGTCGTCGAGCTCCGGCGGCATCGTCGCGCCCTCCTGCGGCACGCCTCGCAAGTCGAGGTGCACTTCGAGCGACTGGTCGGTTGTTCGACTGCGTCTGCTGCCCGCCGCTCTGGTGCCGACGAGGGTCGCCCGGCCCTCCTGGTCGGTGCCGAAGAGCATGCCGCCGAGCGCGTCGTGCGTCGGCGCGAGCTGCACGCTTGTTCGAGAGCCCGAGCTGCGGAGAGCACTGAGAGACGACGAGGTCAAGCGGTGCGCCGGCGGCGGGAGCGCGGTCGCCCCGCTCGACATGCTCGAAGAGGTCGGGAGAGCGAGAGGCAGAAGCTGAAGCGACGAGCTACGAGCACGAACGAGAGAAGCCGAGGAAGCGGACAGCGAGAGAGACAGGAAGCGTACGTCCGGCTTGAGAGCCTGCTGAGCGGACGCCGACGGACGAGGCTCGAGCGCCGGCTGTCGATCCCATCTCTCTCCGCCTCGAGCGCGCCGTCCTCGGAAGTTGCGCGTGCCAGTCCAGCCTCGTCCTCCTCGCAGGCTACGAGCAACACGCGCTGCGTAACTTTTGCCCGACCGAGCGCGGGTCCTGCTCGTTGACGCAAATCACGTCCTCGGGCTTGACCGGGTGTCCGGCGCCGGCGCGGTTGCGCACGTAAGGCGTCCCGGCGTGCTCGTCCTCGTCGGTGAGGCCCTCGTAGGCGCGGGCGGCGAGGACGCGTCGAGCGATGTAGGTGAAGCTGCGCGAGAGGAGGCGAGGGAAGGAGGGGTCGAGGTCAGTCTCGTCGACGGCGGCTCGCCAGGCTGCGAGGCCGGTGCTACGAGTGAGAGAGAGAGTGGAGAGAAACGTGGGACGCACACCTCGTCGACGCCCTCGCCCGTCTTTGCGCTCGTGCGCTCGAAGTGCCGAATACCCTCGTCCGCAAACCGCTCCGCCTCGCTCCTTCCCCGCTCGTCCTCGTCCTCGACCTCGACCTCGTCCTCTCCGTCGACGTCGTACCCTCCCTTGCCGACTTCTGCGCCGCTCACGTCCTCGCCGAGGTCGATCTCGTCATCGTCCCGAGCGAGCACGTGCCCCTCCTTGCCGTACGGCCCGCCGCGCCACACGGCCGCCGGCGCGCCCGCGTCGCCAAAGTGCGCCGGTGCGGCGGGCGGCGACGTCGCGAGGAGCAGGTCGGCGATGGGCTCGTCGAGCTCGAACGTCGGCGTCGCGGTCGCGCTCGAGCCGCCCGTCGTCGAGCCGGCCGCCGACGCCGACGACGCGCCGTCGCCGGGCAGCTGCGCGCTCGACGCGGCAGGCTCGGACACACGGCCGGGCTGCGGCTGCGGCGGTGGCGGACGACGCGCTCTGCGGATCTTGCGCGCCGGCGCGCCCTGGTCGCCTCGTCTCGGCGCATGGAGCACCTCGACGCTGACGGTTGGCGCCTTGCGGTCGCGCCTGCGCTGCTCTGCGCGCTGTGCCACCGCCGCCGACTCGCGCCCGGTACGTCGCGGGAGGAGCTCGGCGAGGGTGCGCTCGACGGCGGCGCTGACCTCGGCCGCGAGCGCCGGGTCGGCCTCGTCGGCCTTGGTGCCGACGCACACCCAGCAGAACCGCCGCAGTTGCTCCTCCTCGTCGTCGCGGTCGTCGCTGGCGCCGCCGGTGCCGACAGGGCACTTGTCGCGAAAGTCGGTGAACCAGGTGCGGATGGCCTTGGCGACGGCCGACGGGGAGGACGGGTCGGCGAGCGAGTAGACGAGGAGGCACGCGTCCGAGGCACGGTAGAAGGCGGGAGCGAGCGAGCGAAAGCGCTCTTGGCCTGTCGAACGGACGGGCGAGGGTCAGGGTCGGCGACTGAGGGAGGAAGAGAGAGAGAGAGCGAGGACGGACCGGCCGTGTCCCAGGCGTTGACGATGCACTGGTCGTCGTCGTTGACGCGGACGACCTTTTGGCGAAAGTCGCAGCCGATGGTGGCGCGGTAGGCGTCGCTGAAGTGGCCGGCGACGAAGCGGTTGCGGAGGGCCGTCTTGCCGGTCGAGGCGTTGCCGATGAGGACGGCCTTGAGCGGGATCGGGGGTGGGCGCGGTGCGACGGGAGGAGGTGGTGCGTCGAGGGGAGCTTGGTGCGCCATGGCTAGGCGAGGGTGAGAGGACGGCGAGGGAGGCTGACGGCGAGCGAGATGAAGTGGGGAGGCGGGGCGGGGTTGCGAGGTGACGAGAGGGCGCGGGCCTTGCGCGGCTCGATGGCGTGGTCGAGTGCAGTCTCGAGAGCAGGTACAGCTAGCTCTAGCGCCAGCAAGAGGGCGAGCGGGTGAGGGAGAGGAGCGAGGAAGGACCAGCCTCGTTCGTCGATCGCCTCGACGACGACGACCACACTACGTAGCCACAGGGTGCACAGCTCGAAGCCATGGCCTGGCAGGACGACATCCGCACCGCGCTCCTCGCTCGAGACGCGCGCGAAAAGCACCACGCGCCTCTCATTGCCCACTACCACCGCCTCGCTCAGCACACGGTCAACCTCAAGGACCGCAACTCGGCCCTGCTCCACGCAGGACGCACGCCATCCGGCACTGCAGCACCTCCAGAGTGAGCCCTGCCCTGGTCCAGCTCTCGCGCGAGAGAGGGAGTCCGCTCACTCCTCCTCCTTCCCCCACCACAGCGCACTGCGAGCCGCCCTCGTCACCTCGCTCGAGCAGCAACTCGCTCAGGCCCGCGCCGACCTCTCGGAGCAGTACCGCGTCCAGTCGACCAACGCCCAGCGCCTCCTCGCCCTCACCGACAGCCTGCGCGACCAGGAGGACCGCGGCCGCGACGAGCGCGACGAGCTCAGGCGCCTCCGCACAGAGGTCGACGGCCTGAGGGAGCGTGCAAAATGGCACAAGGAGATCGTCCAGGAAAAGGAACGCCAGCTCGTCGTGCGTCCCAAGTCCTCCTCCTCCCTCCTCTCCTCCCGCTCTCGCCCTCTCGCCATCCCTCTCTCCGTCCCCCACCTCGTCGCCCTCTCTACCTCATCCTCGTCGTCTCCCTGCGCCCTACCCGGCCCGTACTGACCCGGCCCTCTCGACTCGTGCGCGCAGATCCTCCAAGACGAGCACCAGTCGCTCGAGCTCGAGCTCTCGCAGCTCGAGCTGCAGAACGACAACCTCAAGACGGACAACGCCGCGCTCCTCCAACGCTGGCTCGAGAGCAAGGCGCACGAGGCCGACCGCATGAACGAGGCCAACGCGTTCCTCGAGGAGGCAAAGCGCCTCAAGGCCGAGGTCGCGGCGGCTCAGGCGGCCGCGGCGACTGCGACGGGCGAGAGCGCAAAGGGCAAGGAGCGGGCGCTCGAGGAGGCGCTCGCGGGCGAGTGAGCGCGCGACCCTGTCTCCCTCCTTCTCAAGCCGCCACCTGTTGTCGTACCTCGAGCTCTCCTCTCCCTTGTTGTACCACTCTCGCAATGCAACGCGCTCCTCGCTCGACACTCTCGAGAGATCCGAGGGAACGAGAGAGAGAGCTGCAGTGCTAGCCCAACCGAGTCGCCGCCTCGAGGAAAGCGCTAACCCTGCCGGCTCGCCGTGCGGCTCATCGCGCACCGCTCGCTGCCCGTCGTCGCCGCGCTGCCCTCCCTGCGCTCCTTGCGCCCCTGGAGCTTGTCCCTCCTCCGCTCTTCGCGCTCGCGCTCGCGCTCCTGGAACCGCTCGACCCTCCTGCGGTCGACCCGCGTCAGGTAGTAGCTCCCGCCCTCCATCTTCCAGCTGACGCTGCCCGACCGGTACCGCGCCGCCGGCGCCTGATTGAGGATCGGAGCGGCGAGTTGACGTTGTGCGCCGAGAGGTGGAACTTGTCGGGCAGGAACGGCTTGAGCGACACGATGCGCGCCGAGGCGGGCAGCTCGAGGAACAGCCACGACAGCGACTGGTTGAGGGGCGCCGTGAACCTGCGCAGGGACGAGCGAGTCGTCAATTCGGGCGTCGCGTGTGGGAAGAGGGGGCGAAAGAGAGAAGGAGAGAGAGAGAGAGGGACGAGGACGTACACCTCGTTGTTGACGAGCACGACGTCGGCCTTCCTCATGACCTCTCCCACCTCGGCGCACGCCGTAAAGTCGGCCTCAACGACGCGCATGGCCCCACCCTCGAGCCCCCACATGCGGAACCGGCGCTCGGCCTCGTCGACCTGGAGGCGCGCGAGCTGCGACGCGTGCGCCATGTTCTCGAAGCCGTACGACGTCGCGCCCGTGCTGCGAGGTGCGAGAGAGAGGAAGGAGGGTGAGGTTCGGCTCGGCGGCAGGAGGAGAAAGGAGAGGCGGGCGAAGGAGAGGGCGGGGACGCACGCGAGGGCAGCTTGCACGACGCAGTTGCCGACGCCCGAGCCGAGGTCGACAAAGACGCTGTTGGGCCCGAGGTGCGTCTTCTCGAAGCTGCAGGGGCGTGCAGGGTGTGTCAGGGCGTCCGTCGTGCGCAAGGACGAATGGAGAGAAAGAGAGGGCGCACATCTCGTTCATGAACTTGGGCAGAAGCTCGCCGTACACGTTGTCCGAGAACGCCTCGTACTCCTTGAGGCGCTCGATGTCGGGGCCGACGGCGCGGTCGTAGCACTGGAGGAACACCTTGGTCCAGACCTTCTCGCGCAGGCCCTTCATGGCGGCGATGTTGCGCTGGACGACGCCCGCCGCCTTGAGCGCTCGCAGCGTCGTGTTGTACCGCTCGACCGAGGCGAGGAACGAGGGCCCGTCACGCTTGGCGCGCGCCTTCTCGAGCTCGCGGATGAGCGGCGGCTGAGGGTCGTTGGCGGCGGTCGGTGGAGCGAGCGTCGGTGTCGAGCGGTCGGCGGGACGGGCGGCGGCGATACCGGTAGAGGAGGCGACAGCTGAGGAGGAGGTAGGACCGGACAGGGGCGTCGAGGGCGTCCCGGCGCGCGAGTTGCTGGACGAGCGGTTGTACAGGAAGGCGGCGAACGACGTGGCGCCGCTCTGGTGGCCAAAGTGGGTGAACGCCTCGTCCTTGGTGAGGAAGTGGTCGAGGACGGTGAGGATGACCTGCGAGGAGTGTGGACGAGGCAAATCAGGCAAAGTCGCGGTTTGAGAAGGTGGCGCTCGGGGACGCACCTTGAGCACGTCCTCGATCGGGTTGTACTCGTCGTCGGTCCTCGGGGCGAGCAGGGCGAAGCTGTAGAAGGCGAGACGTCAGGCTAAGGCACGTCACGATCGAAGCAGGGAGACATTCGGCGCACCGTTCGCGCACACCCTCGCCCGGGTACTCGAGCTCGACAGTCGGCACGTCCGAGCCGGCCCACGCGCTCGTTGGTCGCTCGGGGTTGTGCGGGTCGATAAAGTCTGCGAGCAAGAGGCCAGGGCACGTGAGCGAGACGCTCGACGGCAGGATCGACGAGAGATGAAGGGGAAGGAGGCGACGCACGGTCCTTGTACGCCATGCGGTTCTCGAGCACGAGGCTCTCGCCGCTCTTGCCGTCGGTCGAGCCCTCGCCCTTGGCCGCCACGTCGCGAGCGCACACGGGCGCGCCCTCCTCCTTGGCGAGCGTCTTGGAGAAGTAGTCCTCGTCGACGCTGCTCAGGTCCGACTCGGACGCTTCTGACGGCGTGAGCGGGTCGAGGTCCGAGCTGGGCGGTTGTGGTCGCCGTCCCGCCGACATGCCGCCCTTGCGCGAGGACCGCGGCGCGCCGTCGCAGTCGTCCTCGTCCGACGACGACTCGACCTTGGCGCGGCCCTTGCGGCTGCGCGCGCTCGCGCCGTTCGACGCCGCGCCGCCGGAGCCGCCCTTGACCGCACGCTTGGCTGCAGGTGCGGCGGCGAGTGGCGGCGCGTCGGCGGGCCGCTTGTAGGCATTAAGGGTGCGGGCGGGCTTGGTCTCGGCAGTGGGCGGAGCGGCGCGCTTGACGACGGTGCGGACGACGGTGCGGGTGACGGTCGCGACAGGACGCTTGGGGGCAGTCGAGGTGGTGGCCGCGGTGGTGGTGATGGCCGGGGACCGTGGCGAGGTGGGCGGGAGCGAGGAGAGTGGGGAGGAGGGCGCGACCGAGTTGACGGGGACGGCGAGGGTGGTGGTGCCGCTCGCGTGCGGTGGCCTGGCGGTGGTCGGTGACGCGCCTGGAGCCTTTGGTGCCGGGCGGCGCGAGCCAAACATGGGCGAGTCGGCGAACGGCGAGGCGGAGGCGCGAGGACGAAAGAGGGCGACGAGAGGGGCGGGAGGGGCGCGCACGCGTGTGCTGGCGGGTTCAATGCCGCTGCCGTGCTGCTCGGCGAGGCGCGCACGTGGTCGGGGTCGTCGAGGAGGAGAGAGACGAGGCGAGAGATGGGGAGCTCTCGCTTGACCTCGTCCTCGTCCCTCACCTCGCTCCAGGATGGCCCGTGAGTCCAGCCAACTCTCCTGCAAGCTCTCGTGACTGACTCGGTCCTCCCACAGGCGGCAACCAGCGCGACAAGGTGCTTCCTCCTCGTCTCGCTCCTCGTTCCTCCTCTCGACCGCGCTCACCTCGCCCTCTCCCTCCTCAACCGACCTGCAGGCACGCGAGAAGGCGGCCAAGCTCAAGGCCGATGCCACCAAGGGTCAGCGCAAGGACGACGGCAAGAGTTTCCGACAGCGCCAGGAGGACGACGCCGAGAAGATGCGCCAGAAGCAGGTCCGTCTCTCGCTCCTCCTCCCCCTCGTTTCTAGACCGACACGGCTCACCCTCGATGCGCTCTACTGCAGGCCGCCGCGCTCGCCAAGAAGGAGGCTGACGCCAAGGCCAAGTGAGCCCACGAGCGACCACCAACCTCTAGACCGTCTCCCGCTCCTCCCACCCACCTTCGCATCGTCGTTCCCCTCCTCCCTGTCGTTACCAACAGCAATACAGCCTCTAACGTCTCTCGAGAGGAGCCGCGAGAGAGAGAGAGAGAGAGAGAGAAATGGCCCGAGAGCGAGAAGGACAACAACAGGCAGCCGTCGCACTGCACGGACCGCCGCAGCCTCGAGAGCTCCGCCTCGCCCGCCCGCTCTACAGCCTCAGGTTGCCCCACCCGTGCTCCTTGAACCACTCGCTGCCGTGCTCGTCGTACTCGGCCCGCGTCACGAACGCCTTCCTCCTCGCCTGCTCGCCGCCGCTCGTCGTCCACCTCGCCATGCCGCGCCACGCGTCGAGCGTGTCGGCCGGACCGCGCACGTGCAAGGGCGCGCCGACGGGGAGGACGGGCCGCAGCGAGGCCGTCAGGCGCGACGCAAAGTTGGGGATGTGCGTGTTGCCGCCGGTGAGGAAAAGGTTCTGCGCGCAGGAACGACAGAGGGGCGTGAGTGGGACGCCGACGACCGTGCGAGAGACCTCGTGCTCGAGGACGAGAGGGAGAGAGAGAGAGAGAGGGACGCACGCTCGTGAGGCGGTCGCGCTCGGCGACCGAGAACGGGCGCAGGACGTGCTCGACAATCTCGCCGAGGCCGGCCTGGTCGAGCCCGCCCATGTGCGGCTGCCACAGGACCTCGGGCACGCGCACACGCTCGAGGTTGACGTGCAACTGCGAGTTGTGCTCGACGCTCTCCGGGTCGTACGTGTCGAGCGGGTCGTCGGGCGCCAAGCCGCGGATGAAGGCGTTGAGGAGCTGGTGCTTGCGCAGCGCCTGGCGCGACGCCGTGTCGTCCTCGGTAAAGTGCGGGTCGTGCTGCAGCAGGCGGGCCTCGACCGAGTTGAGCGCGTCTTGCTCGTCCTCCTCGTCCTCCGAGTCGTCGCCCGTGCCCTGCGCGCGCATCGTCCGCCGAGTGAGCGTCTCGGGCGCTATCGGACAGCGAACAGGGAAGAGGTGGACGCACGATCTCGCGGTATACGGCCCAGTCGGCGTCGTTGGCGCCGAAGCCGTCGTCTGCAAGGAGCCAAAAGTCAGCTCGTCATTCTCCCTCCCAGGCACAGGCAAAGGCGGGAGGGGACGCACCTTCTCCTCCACGCTTGCGCTTCTTGCCGAGCTTCTCGTCGGCGGCGAGCCCGGCGATGCTCTTCATACGGTTCTGCGCCGCGAGCGACTTGCGGTCCGACAGCTGCTCCTTGCGCTTCTTGCGCTCCTTGATCTTGTCGAGGATGTCCTGCAAAGGCGCACGAGAAGAGAGAGTATCAGTGACGTGAGACGAGGCAGAGGGAAAGAGAGCCAGAGTGGGCGAGAGAGAAAGGGCGGGACGCACCCGGTGCTCGGTCCTCAGCTTGTTCAGCCACCCCTCAAAGTTGCTCATCCTCAGCTCGTCGTCGGCCCTCTGCTCCTCCTCGGCCCTGCGCCGCTCCTCCTCCTTCTCGGCCTTGAGCCGGATCCGGGCGTCGTACCCGGCCTTCATGAGCTTCTGCCGCCGCTTCTCCTTGAGGTCCTCCTCGTTGAGCTGGTGGTCGGGCACGTCGATGAGCGGGAACGAGGGCGCCTCCTGCGAGTCGTCGAGTGCGGGTCGTGGAAGAGGGCGTCAGGGAGTGATCGAGGGAGTGGGAGAGGGCGCGACGAGGGGTGCGAGCGGGCGGTCGGGCGCACCTTGTTCTCCTCCTCGATGCCGAGCTCGCGGTTCCTGGCCCTCGTCAGGCTCTTGTTGAGCTTCTTGAGGTAGTCGTCGAGGTCGGCGCTGCTGCTGAAGCCGGCGTCCTTGAGGCGGCGCTCGTAGTCGACCTTGCTCGTCGTCGGTCGCGCCTCCTGCAGCGCCGTGAACGCGACGAGCTCTTCTTGTTGCCGCTCGAGCTGCGCGACGACGCCAAACTCTTTCATCAGTGACGTGCGCCTCGACCGAGGCGCGAACGACCGAGTCGAGGAGAGAGAGAGGACGAGCCGGGGCGCACCTTTTCCGACCTTTGCCTCGCCGCCGTCTCCTTGAGCCTCCTCGTCGCCTCTGCGCGCTTCTCCATCTGGGCCCTTGCCTCCTCCTCGGTCTGCTCGTGCGCCTGGACGGCGACGTACGGGAACTGGACGATGCGGTCGAGGTCGACGAGCGCGCGCGGCGTCGTCAACGTCGAGAGCGTCGACGCGTACGAGGGCGTCGCGTGGTACGAGTGCGTGCGGTAGATGAGCTGTTGCGGGAGGATCGAGGGTCGAGGGGAAGAGCTGCGAGTCAGTGGGACGTCGAAGAAGAGGGAGCAGGCGAGGGAAAGAGAGACGCACGCTCGACTGGTACGACGTGAGGCGCCCTGGAAAGGTCGGGTACTTGAGCTGCATGAGCTTCAGGAGGTACTCGGCCGCCTGCGATCCACCCCACGCGAGCCTGTACGTCGAGGGCAAACATCGATCAGTTCCCGCTCGTCCTGGTCGGACGAAGCGCAGCCGAACGGCGACGAGACCCGGGACGCACTTTTTCGCGCTCGTCATGATGGCCTTGCCGCCGAGGACAGGGATGACGTGCGTGTTGGCCGTGCCGGACGAGATGACGAGGCCGTCTGCGACGGTCGGGTCGGGCGAGTTGGCGTACAGGGACCAGAGCGAGTCGAGGCCGTACGCGACGGCGGGCGCCGAGTAGCCCTCGAACAGGAGCTCAGTCATGACTGCGGGCGAGTGCTCGGGCGTGAGCGGGGTTGGCTGCGCGGGCGAGAGGGGAGAGGACGAGGTGGACGCACTCGAGCGCGAGTAGGCCGGGTTGCACAGCGTCTCGGTCATGGCGATCGGGTTGTGGAGCGTCTCGGTGTCGACGCCGAGCTTGACGAGCGAGTAGTCGAGGATGCTCTCCTGCAGGTGCGGGTTGTCAGTCGGTCGCGGTGAGGAGAGAGAGAGAGAGAGGGCGAGGACGGACCATGGCGTCAAAGTTAACGACGACGTCGTTCTCGTACGGGACGCGCGTGTTGGCCCTGCTGGTGGCGTCGACGTAGACCTCGCCGCCTGCGAGCATGACCTGGCGGTTGAACTTGCGGTCCTTGTACTTGGCGGCGATGTTGTCGACGACGATGCGCGGGTGTTGCTCGGTGCCCCAGCCGGCGCGCAAGGTGGTGGCGCCGTTGTCGATGCAGAGGACGGCGTCGGAGCCCTGGAAGGAGTGGTAGTCGTGCCAGCCTGCGGGGCCAGGGACGACCGGGGCGAGTTCGGGGATGGGGTAGACGGGGCGAGAGGTGCGCGGCTGCGGTGCGCCGCTGGTCGAGGCTTGACGCTGCATGGCGGGCGAGCGCACGGCAGCGAGTGGTGAGGACCGAGAGGGGAGAGTTCCGGTGAGACGACGACGACGACGCAGATGAAGTCGAGGGTCGCAGCTCTCGCTCCCACGCTCTCACCGGCTGCCACCTAGAGCTCACCAGCCCCAGCCATGGCCACCTCCCGCCCTTTGCACGCCCTCATCTCGAGCACCGGCCACCCGGCGTCGGCCTCCTCGTCCAACCTCATCTCGCCCCACCTCGTCCACCTCGCCGACCCGCCCCAGCACACCGTCGACGCCCGCCTCGTAGAGCTCCTCGCAGACGACATGGTCCGCGCACTGCGCGAGTCGGCCGCCGCGGCGCGCACTCGCAGGGCGAGGGACCACCGCGCCGTCGAGGAGGAGCTCGAGGCGCTCGGTCTCGCAGGTACACCATCGGCAGGCGCAGTGGCAGAGCCGGCGGCCGGTCGAGACGTGCAGGTGGGTGCGGCCGGCGAAGGGCTTGCGCGCGAGGCCGAGGCGGACGAGGCCGTGTTTTCGAGGCTCGACGACCTCGGGTTCCGCGTTGGGTGGGCCACAGCAGAACGGTGCGTCGCCCGTTCCTCCCGCCCGCTTGACACGCGCAGCACTGACATCTGTGTCCGCCCGCAGCCTCGCTCGCGACCGACCGCGCTTCCCCTCGCTCGCCCAGACGACCCCCGCCGCGTCGCACCCCTCGTCCGCGTCCGGCACGCCCTCGCACACCCCTCTGCCGTCGCTTTCCGGCGCCGGCCCTTCGTCGCCCGAGACGCTCGAGGTCGTCAAGTTTGTGTGCAAGGACGTGTGGACCGCGCTGTATGACAAGCAGGTCGACAACCTGCGCACCAACCACCGCGGCGTCTACGTCCTCCTCGACCAGAGCCTGCGCAGCTTGAGGGCGCTCAGTGCGCCCGAGGGTAAGGACGAGGAGCGCGAGACGGCACGATGGGTCAAGGCGGTGCGTCCTGGCGCTTCTCTCCTCCCTCTCGCCCCCCGTCCCTCGACACCCGACGAGACTGACCCGACCTCGTCGCGCCCTCCTCCTACCTCGCCGCCGACAGGTCCTCGCCTTCCCGAGCGGAATCATTCGCGGCGCCTTGTCCAACCTCGGCGTGCACGCGACCGTGACGGGCGAGTCGGCCGGCCTCCCTCAAGGTGCGTCGGCCGGACCTTCCCTCTCTTTCGGCCCTCGATCGTTCTCCGGACTGACGAGGGTGTCGTCCTGCTCGTCGCACAGCCTCGTTCCAGATCAAGACGAGCCGGCCTGGAGGACTGTAGACGAGCCGTGCAAGGCGACTTTTCTACGAGCGTGCCGGCTGCGCGAGGGACCGCGAGCGAGCAAAGAGAGCGAGCGAGAGCTGCCGAGCGCGACGTGATTGCAGAGCTCTCTGACTCGGACAGAGGTGGAAAGACTAGCGTGTTGCAACAGGAGAAGGAGAGGGACTACGGGCAGGCGATGCGAGGAGGGACCGCGAGGGTCGAGAGTTGCGAGGACACGGCTCGGTTCGAGGGTTCGGCTCTATTTCGACGACATCTTGTACCCGCTCGTGTCGAGGATCTGCTTGCCGCACATGGCGCACGCTCCTGTGGCCGAGGAAAGGAGAGGTCAGTCAGGCGAGGTGTGGAGAGACGGAAAGAGGCGAGGCGCACCCTTCTTGTAAGCACAACCTGCACGGGAAGGGGAAGGGTCAGTGCCGTACGAGAGAAGAGAGGAACGAGAGGCTGGGGCGCACCTTGGCAGTACTTTGCGCCGGGCCTCGCGGTCACGCTGCGGCACACCTCGCACCTCGCGACGGCGCCGCCGCTCCCGCCCGCCAGGTCGGTCGCACCGGTCGCCTTGCCCTTGCCTTTCTTGTCGCCCGCAGCGCCGGCGGCGGCAGGTGCGTAGGGCGAGTAGCGGGCCTTGCTCGAGAGGAGCTTGTTCTCGCCGACCTTGCGACCGCCGGCTGCGCTCGTGCCCGGCTTGTCCCACACCGAGGTGGCGGCCATCTGGGACACGCCGGCTTTGGCGAGCTTCTTCTCGCACTTGGCGCAGACCTGCGGGCGGGGTGGGACGACGGCGGCGGCGGCGAGGGGAGGAGAGGGGGGCGAGGAGGAGGTCAGCTCGCTGGCTTCTGGCGGCAGGGGCTGCTTCGGGGCGGCGTCTGATAGAGGGTAGAGCACAGGGCAGGGGCCAAAGGTGGCGGCAGGGGGCGAGGAAGTGCCGAGACGAGGAGGGCTGAGTGAGCGGCGACTCACCATGGGGAGGTTCGAGTGAGGGGGCCGGCGGTGGTGGTGGATGGGAGAGGAGAGCGAGGGCGTGCGAGTGTTGGAGAACAAAGGCTGGCGTGGGAGCAGGTGGACGAGGAGAAGGGCGACGGTGCGTCGGTCCCCACAAAGAAGCGCAGCTGGTTCTCATCTCTTGCCTCGTCTCTCTCGCCCGCTGTCGACCTTGGTGCACCGCTGCCACCATGAGCGACCCGCCTAACCTCCTATCCCTCCCGCCCCACCTCGTCGACCGCATCCTCCACGCCGCCATCCTCGTCGACCCCCCCACAGCCTCCCGACTCGAGCTCGTCTCAAGGGCCACCACCCGCGCAGCACGCCGCGTGTGCGCACACCACCTCCACCTCCCAGACGACGACACCCTCCTCTACGACGCCCAGGCCCTCCCCGACCAAGCACCCGCCAACTCACCACGAGGCCCCGCCGCCGTCCCTCCCCCTCCTCCCGCGTCCGTCGTCACCGCCGCTCCCGCCGTCCCGTCCCTCCTCGACAAGGTCGCCCGCTCAACCGACTGGGCCCTCGACGTCCGCCACTGCACCGTCGCTGCGCCCGCCGTCCCCGCCGACTACAGCCCGCCCGCCGACCGCGCCAACGGCGACGGCGACAGCGACGACGAGCAGCACGACCACGACGACGTGCCCGTCCCGCCCCTCGACGACACGGCCTTCTTCCTCCTCGTGTCGCGCCTGAGCAACCTCACGGCCTTCACCTGGTCGTCGTACCGCCTCCCGCCCGACGCCCTCTGCCTCGCCCTCGGCCAGGCGTGCAAGTCGCTCACCGCCTTCAAGCTCGACCTCGTCCCGTCCCCGTTCGCCGGCACCACCCTCGCCGACCACCACCACCACGGCCTCTCGGGCGCGGCACCGGGCAGCCCGCAGCAGCTCGCGGCCACGAGCCCGTCGTCGCCGCCGTCCTTCATGGCCCTCGGCCTCGGCGGCAACGGTCACGGCTACGCGCACGGCCACGCGAGCGGCGGCGGCGGCGGCGGCGCACCGCTGCGGTGGGACGCGCCGCACCTCTCGGCCCTCCCGCACACGCTCGTCCGCCTCGCCGTGTCGCACCTGTCGGCCGCCGGTGCGCGCAGCCTCGCCGCCGCCCTCCCGTCGTTCCCGGCCCTCGAGACGCTCGAGCTCGCGCGCACGCTCTTTGTCGACGACGCGCTCGTCGCCGAGGTCGGCGCCGGCGCGAGGGGCCTCAAGCGCCTCGTCGTGCGCGACATGGGCGGCACCAAGCTGAGCGAGCAAGGGCTCCAGGCCCTGTTTGATGGGTGCGAGGCGCTCGAGGTCCTCGAGCTCGACTGCGTCGAGGGTGAGCCGCAGTTTCTCCCTCTCTCGGCGGGACCGCTCGAGCCATAGCGCTCGGGCCGTCTCCTCGTGGACGTGTGACGCCGGCGTTGCCCTGACTCTTTTGTCTCTCGTGTCCTCGCAGGTCGGTTCTCGCGCACGTGCTGGCAGAAGCTCGCGCCGCTGCCGTCGTCGCTCCACACCCTGCGCCTCGTCTACTCGGAGCACCAGCCGCACAAGTCGTGGGTCGTCGACCACCTCTCGTCGCTCCCGGCCATCCTCGGCCTCGACGGTTCGTCGCTCCACACGCTCAGCGTCACGCGCAGGCCGCACCCGTGCGCGCTCGTCCCCGGGTCGCACCACCTCGCGCGGTACCCGATCGAGCCCGTCGTCGAGCCGCGCCCGCTCGGCGCAAAGGCCATCGACGCCCTTGTCGAGCGCGACGAGCTCCAGCAGCTGCAGCAGGACGGCGACAAGACGAGGGAATGGCGCGTCCTCGAGCTCGACCTGTTCAGCCTCGACTCGGACGGCCTCAAGCGCGTCCTCGACGGTGCGCCGCACCTGCAGCGCCTCCAGATCCTGTTCGACAGCCCGTTCCGCAACCTCGTGCGTCTCTACACGTCTCTCTATCCTCCAGGAGAAGCAGGCCTGACGCACCCTCTGCCGCCCGCAGCTCACGCTCGCGCCGTCCATCGCCGCCTGCGCCTCGCTGCGCCACATCCTCGTCTCGGTCCTGCCGCAGCACACGCCCGAGCTCGCGCCCCTCACGCCCGGCCGAGTACCTCGCCGCCGTCCCGCCCGCGTCGGCGCCCACTCGCACGCGCCCAACTCGCCGCCGGCCCGAGCAGCCCACCGCTGCCCTCGTCGCCGCCGCCGCGCGCGACGGCCAAGGAGCCCAAGGAGGACACGAAGCACCACCCGGTGCGCGCGCTCGACCCGTGCCTGCCGCCGACGCGTGACTGGCGCCGGTTCTGCAAGAAGGCGCACTCGGTCGAGCGCGTCCGGTCGATCGCCCGCGCCGCGCTCGGCACGTCGACGTTCAGCGCGCGCACGGCCGCCACCAGCCTGACAAGGGTCGAGTTTGAGCCGACGCCCCCGGTCCTCGCCCGCCGCGCCTCCCGCGGCGGCGCCGGCGGCACGGGCGACGCGCTCGCCGTCGACGAGCTCGGCGTCGGGCCCCAGGCGCAGCACCGCAGCCCGCAGCTCGTGCCCGCCGCCGTGCACGCCCAGCGCCGCCGCAGCTCGACCGTGTCGCTCGCCGAGACGTGCCTCTCGAGCCTGTCGCTCACCAACACGAGCACGAGCACGGCGGCGACGGGCGCGAGCGACTACTCGCTCTGGTCCGAGTCGCCGACGCACTCGTTCGCCGGCCTCGCGACGCCGCCGCTCGGTGCGGGCTGCTCGCCGCCGTTCGGCAGCTTTGCGGCCGCCGGCAGGAGCGTGTCGCCGCGCAAGGGCAGCAGCGGCGCCGAGTCGGCGCTCGGGCTCTCGCCGCCAGGGCTCGGGTACGGCTCGATCGGCGGCGGCGGCGGCGGCGCGCATCGTCGCCGCTCGTCGAGCGCAGCGGTCGGCCAGGCGCAGGCGTACCACGCGCAGCCGAGCGCCGGCCTCGGCCTCGCGCTGCACTCGACGCCGGCGTCGCAGCAGCACGGCTGGGCTACCTCGCCCTCGTCGGCGCCGGTGGCCATCCCGGGTGCGACGTCGTCGTCCAAGGCCCAGCAGCAGCAGCAGCAGCAGCAGGCGCCGACGACCAAGGGGACGAGCCCCGTCAGCCCGCGCAGCTTTGCCCAGATCGCCGCGCACCCGCACGACAAGCCGTGGACGCGCTCGGCGTCGGCTGCAGCCTCGGCGTCGACCGCATCGGCCGGCTGGGCCGAGCCACCGACGACCGGCGGCGGCGGCGGCGGCGCCGGGTCGTCGAACGCTGGCGGCGCCAAGCGCACCAAGGGCGAGGGGTCGCCGACGCAGGGGCGGCGCACGCGCGGCGGACAGGGCAGGCGCAGGGAGGCGACCCAGTGAGGGCGCGTCTCGCCTCGGCGAGAGAGGAGCGGGCGAGGGAGCGAGGTGGGAGGAGCGCGCTTGGGAGCTTCGAGGGCTGGACCGCTTGAGGACGACTGGGGGCGCTTGTACAGGTGACCGATGATACCAACTCGAGCTTTGCGTTTCTCTGTGCGCCTTTGGCGACGCGGCACACGGAGAGGCAGGAGAGCTCGCGCGAGGAAGAGGCGAGCCAAGTCGGCCGGCCTGAGCGTCGCTTTCGGGGCTCGCTCACGCGCGGCCGTCAACTCGCCTGGCTTTGCGACGGCGCACAGGCTCACGAGAGTGGTCTTAGTGAGCTGTACAGCCGCAGAACTTGTCCGAACGAGCGACGCCGCGAGCCGAGTCGCCCGTGCCAGCTCTCCTCGCTCTCTCGCTCTCTCTCCATCCATGGCGCTCTCGCCTTCAGCTCTGCACAACCCGGTCGTGCGGCTGCCGCCTGGCCCGCGCACGAGGGAGCACATCCCCGTGTCGCTCCTGCCCCTCGCGTCGAACCGCAACGCCCACATCACGCGCCTGTACAACCTCGTCGTCCACCTCGTCTCGCTCGCGCCCTCGCCCGCGACCCATACGCGCACCGTGAGGGCATGGCGCGCCCTCGCCCAGTGCCGCGAGGTCCACCTGAGCGTCCTGTGGAGCCTCGGCGCCGCCATCATCGACCGGGCGCGAGAAGGAGCAGCCGCCCGAGGCTCCCCCGGCGCCGACGGCCTCGTCGACGACGACGACGAGGCGCAGTGGAGGGCCGGGCAGCGCGCAGAGTGGCTTCGGTTCAACCAGGAGGGCGTCCTCGACCGCGTCAGCAAGTTCAACGAGTACATCCTTGCCCTCGTCGCCGCCGGTCGCGCCGAGTTTGCCCTCGACGAGCTCGAGTCGTGCGTCCACTCTCCTCTCTCTCTCTCCCTCACTCGTCGGCTCATACTCTTGCTCTACTCGACTCCAGCTACCTCGACAACCAGCCGTACCACGACTCGATCTCGCTCAACACCCTGTACGGCCTCCTCGCCCTCCTCGTCGCCCAGCCCGCCTCGCACTCGCACGCCGCACCTGCACCCTCCTCCTCGTTCGACACCTCTTCCTCGGACGACGACGGCACGTCTCGGTATCGCGGTGGTCGCGCAGCAAAGCGCGCCAGGCTCAGCAGCCACGGCGAGAACGTTCAACCTGGTCCGTGAACCTTTTCCCCTCTCGCCGCCCGCATGCACCCGGTCCTGACTTTTTCTCCATGCGCAGGTGACGAGTTCGACGAGCTGCTGCGGTCCATCGCCTCGACCTCGCCGAGCCTGTTGCACAAGGCCGAGGAGCGGCTGCGGCGGGCTGCGCTGCTCGAGGAGCAGGCCGACAGGGAGGTCGGCAGGGAGCCAGGCCCAGGCGAGGCAGCGAGGTGGCTAGCTTTGGTGCGTCCACCTTCCTCTCTCCCGTGGTGGAGCGGCGCAGCCTGACCCTCGATCCGTCGCGCTCGCAGATTCATCGACACTCGCAGAGAGGCGGTCGCGACGACTCGCCTCTTTGACGACCCGCTCTTCCGCCTTCTACTGTTCCACCACCCTGTTGTCGTCACACACCACATATCCTGCTCGCCTCCCGTCTCTCAGCTCGACTCGACCCGCCCCTCGACCTTGCCCCTCTTCCTCGCCTCGGCTCCGTCGAAGCCCTTCCCCAGGACCTCTCCACCATGGTGCGCAGCGGCGTCCGATTCGGGTGAGGGGTCAAACCGGAGCCAACACCGACCTCGGCATCGCGACTCGCTCGAGCCGGACCTCGTTCGCGCTTCGACCCTCGAGGCGGTCCCGCCGCTTGCAACACAGCGACGACGAGACCGCCACGCGAGCGTGCCACATCCTCTGTTCGTCCTTCGCTCTCTCTCTCGGTCTCGCTCCTCCCGGCGCGGCGCTCTCTCGAGAGAGCGCCGCACCCTGTTCTGCTCATGCTTCTCTCACTAGATCCGTCTCGTTAGACCTCTCGTTCTTCTCCCGACCGCCACCCATCCTTATCCCGGTACCTTCTCGTCGTCCACGCTCGTCGTGCGGCGGCGTCACACAAGGTCCCGGCATTTAGAGGAGGCGGAGAGCAGCCAGCTGAGCGTCGCTATCTCTGTCAGCCTGCGGGCGATGATCAGCGATTGATAGTAGCTCTAGCCACAGTTCTCCCTTTGCGAAACCACTTGCGCTCGCCCCACTCTTTCTGCGCTTTCTCGAGAGCACGAAAACGAGCGATCCGAGCGAGCGGTCCGAGCGAGCGGCGAGGACTGGGTCTTGCTCTCCTCGTGCTTCCTCTCGTCGCGAGAAGAGAGACCGAGAATGACGTCGAGGTAAGGCGAGTGTGAATACAGACAACGAGGGACGAGGGACACAGGGAGAGAGGGATACGAGCACAAGGGCGAGGAGGGAAAAAGGAGACCAAGGGCCGACGACGAGAGCGGCCCGACGCTCAGCCGTCAATGTCCATCGCAGCCGCCGTCGCCTCGCGCTTCTTCTGCTGGATGGTCGGCTGCGCCGGCCTGCGCGCCTGCGAAGCCGGCTTCTTCTCCTCGTCCTCGGCGGCACCTGCGCCCGCTCCTCCTCCCTCGGCGCCGTCCTCCGTCTTGACCTTGTCCTTGGCCTCGCGGATCGCCTTGCGCGACGCGTCAAAGTACCGGTTCGGGTGGTCGACCGAGTCGCCGCCGCCGAGCCCTTCGCCCTTGGGCACGCTCGCGCCGCCGGGCAGCTTGGCGTGCTGCAGCTCGAACACGCGCGTGCACGCGACGTGGTAGTGGCCCGACTGGGTCGCGGCGAGGATCTCCTTGAGGTCGGCGTTGGCGAGCGTGCCGCCGAGGGTCGAGTGGAGGAGCGACGTGAGGGCTTGCTCCGAGTGGTGGCGGAACGGGCAGCCGTGAGCTTGACCGGGTCCAGGTGTCGGGCCCGTGATGATGGCCGTGCAGCTGCACGCGAGGGAGAGAGAGGTCAGGATGGCCTCGAGCGTTCCCCGAAAAGGAGGGCGGGACGAGGAAGAGGTGCGAGCGTTCGGACGCACGATTTGGGCGTGTAGTTCTTGCGCGAGCCCTCAAGGCCATAGTTGTGGCGGATGTTGTAGCGGTACTCCTTGTTGAACTTGTCGTCGGTGATGGACGAGAACGACTTGCGCCAGAACGCGATCGACTCCTCGACCGAGAGACCGATTCCCTGCGAGGACGACGACGACGGCGTCGTCAGGGTCGCGCTCTTGACGAGAGAGGGAAAGAGAACGAGGGGGCGCACTTTGAGGAAGAGGCTGTACTGCTGCCGGCCCTCGTGCTTGAGGTGCTTGCTGCCCTTGAGCGTGTCCTGCATGTTGCGCATGCACAGCGGGAAGCTCTGGTTGGCGAGCTCGGGCACCATCTCGGCCGTGATGGCCTCGCCGTCGGCCGTCGAGATGAACGAGTAGTCGGACGTGATGCCCGCCATGAAGCCCATCGACAGGTGCGACAGGATCGGGACGAGGCGAGTGTCCTCGTCAAGTCGAGGGAGCGCCTTGGCCGTGAGCTGCGAGCGAGCATCGTCAGGACGCGGTACAGCGTCGAGGAGAGGACGAGAGAGGGACGCACCTCGAGCCCTCGTGCTAGTCGAGACGCAAACTCGGCGGCGACGAGCGAGTACTCCTGCGACGACGGGACGTACGCCTTGCCGCCTCGCAACAACACCTTGCGTTGCGCGACGAGGTCCGTCACCTTGGTCCACTCGACCTGTGTGCGCGAGCGTCAGGACGGCTCAGGCAGTGCGCTCGACGACGAGGAAAAGGAGGGCGCACCTTGAAGAACGACTCGGCGATCATGGCGTCCGACTTGAGGCCCGACGCCGCCATCAACTCGCCGTACAGCTCCTGCTTCTCTGCCGCCGTCACCTGTTGCGTGGGGGAGGAAGAGTTGGCTCGGGACGGGGCGAGGGCGGCGCGACGACAGGGAAAGGAAGAGGGACGCACCACCTCCCACCCAAAGTTGAGGCTGTCGACGAACCTCCTTCGCTCGGCGGGATCGTCCGTGTCCCACCGAATGTGGAACAGCTCCTTCTCCGCCTTGAGGAACCGTTGCCGCAGCTCTTCTCTGTACGCGCGCGCTCGTGGCAGGTCAGTGAACGGCGGGCGGCAGGGCGACGAGGAGGGAGCGAGAGGAGACGCACGACCTGCAGAACGCGAGGCGGAGGATAAAGTGCGAGTACTGGTCCTTCTTGCGCTCGGCGTCGAGGTTGATCGTGCGCGCGCTCGTCTCGGCGTGGAGCGGGAGGTGCTCGGCGGCGCGCTTCTCGACCAGCTCGCGCACGTCCTTGAACGGGCGGTTGCGCGCTTGAGCCGACTCGATGTCGGCGAGGACTGTGGGCGAGTGTAGGGTCAGCGGGGCGTGGGAGGTGGGAGGCGAGACGGCTCATCTCGAGACGAGGAGAGAGGAGGGGACAGGGAGAGCTTGGGACGCACGCCTGAGCCGGTCGATGGCCCACACCTCGAACTGCTCGAGCGTGAGCTCGTCAAGCGGCGGCCGCTCGTACAGGTTGAGCCGGTTCGGGTACTTGGTCGAGCGCGACGAGGAGAGGTGGACCTCGGACGACGGGCCGGCGAGCGAGGACGCGCCGAGCGTGTTGACCGGGCGCGAGGTGAGCGCACCGCCGTTCGAGCCGCGCTGCATCGTGCGCTACAGGTGTGCTCGCGGCGTAGGTGAGGAGCGAGGCGAGGACGGAGCTGGTGGACGCGACGCGACCTGCGCGTCTCAGCAATTCTCGCGGCCACACAGCGCTCAAGTCGGCTCGCACTGCGCCTGGCGACTCTCGATTGTCCTTTCGATACTCGCTGCGACGGGCCGAGGCTCAAGGGGACAAAGGAAAGCGGCTGTTTCGGCGAGTCGGTCCGTGCGACTCAACTCTCCCTCCTCGACGCCGTGCGCCCGCGCCCGGGTCGACCTCGCCCGCCCGTCCACCTCACCCGACAAAGTCGAGCAGGTCCTCGCGGTCCCGCCTCAGGCTCCGGCTCGCGTCCGTCCACGCGCCAAGCACGCCGTCGAGGCTCCCTCCCGCCGCCTCGCTCTCGATGTTCTGCCCGAACGCGTCCGAGTTGTTGTGCACGACGAGTGTCGCGCCGTCGCACTCGGGCGGGAAGGCGAGCGTGCCGCCGCGCTCGGCGGGGAACAGGTTGTCGCGCGAGAGGACGACGACGTGCGGCGGGAGGACGGCGCGCGCGAGGGGGAGGAGCGCAGCGAGCGCGGCGAGGTGCGTCCCGAGGGCGAACAGGCGCATCGCGGGGAGTGCGGCGCGAGGTCCGGGAGCGTGCGCGGCGAGGACGATCTCGCGCAGGGCGCACAGGACCAGGAGCGTGCTCAGGTCGGCGGGCAGGCGGCGCGCAAAGATGGCCGGCGGCGAGAACGTGTAGGCGTAGCCACCCTCGTCGACCACGCACAGGGCCTCGAGCGCCGAGAGCTCGTTCGAGAGGGAAGCGATGTAGGCGGCGACGAGCATGTCGAGCGAGAGGACCGTGCCCGACTCGAGGACGAGGCAGCGGTCCCGCACGGCCGCAGACGGCGGGACCGACGGCGAGCTCGACAGGTGCCGCTTGAGCAGCGTCGTCGCCTGCGCGCTCGACCACGGCGGGTGCGACAGCGAGCCGAGCGACGGGAGCGCGCCCGACGAGACGAGGTGGCGGACGGCGTGGCGCTTGAGCCGGAAGTCGTACGCGGCGCGCTGCAGGTCGTCGGCTTTTTGCGCGACGGTCGGGATCGAAAAGCTGCCGTCGACGTACAGGTCCTGGCCCGAGATGGGCGCGCGCGCGACGGCAAAGAACGTCTCGGCGACCTGGCCGTCCTCAAAGTCCTGGTGGAGCGCGGTCGACAGGACGATGCGGCGAGCGCGCTTGCGGCGACCGTCGCGCGTCGCGCCGAGCTCGACGGCCGAGTGGCCGCCGTGCCAGGCATAGTCGGCGCACGCGGCGGCGGGGACGAGGGCCGTGACGAACGAGTGGAGGGCGGCCTCGCCGTTGGTGATGGCGGTGCCGGCGAGGTACTTGGTCGTGATGGCCGAGTCGCGCTTGTTGCGCATGAGGTGCTCGACGAGGTTGTCGGGGATGAAGGGCGAGCAGGCGATGACGGGAGGAGGCGAGGTCGAGGTGGACGCCCACGAGAGCCAGTGGGCGCGGGGCTCGGGGCAGGTGACAGGGACGTCGGTGTCGACGAGGGTCGCCGAGTCGCACGCGAGCGAGGGGAACGAGGGTGGGAAGGGGCGCAGGTGGGCGAGAGCGTGGACGCTCATCATCTCGGCGGGCGGGCGGACTGCTGGTGCGAGAGGGTCAGTACGGGGCTGCACCGTCAAAGGCGAGAGTGAGCGCACTAGGGATGGATCTGGACCTGATGGTTGGCCTGTCGACGAGGGCTCGGACAGGGTGGGAGGGGAGCGACGAGCTGGGGGCACCTCGGGCGGGGCTGTCGAGGCGGGTAGGGTGCGGCAGGACGAGCTGGATGGTGCTGGAGGGGCCCTCGTAGCGCCTGGCGGCAGTACAAGGGAGGCAAGGACGCGTTGTGGACGCGCTCACTTCCGATCACCTTGGTTCTCCCTCGACCCGCTCCCTCCCTGCCTGGCTGCAGGGCCTGTCTCGTTAGAGTGCCCTCGTTGGACCGTACCGTCTCCACCCAGGTGCGCCCCGACTCGCTCCCACCCTCCCTCGCCCATTTCCCGCCGCCCTGGACCCCTCTCGCCTGTCTCGCCCTTCGCGCCTTCGTCCTCGTCGCCCCTCGCTCACACCTCCTCGAGCCTGCACTGCAGCCACCTACTGCGACCCGGCACACCCTACGACACGCCCTCGCACCCTCGCACCATCCCCTCGCGACCCGCCTCGCGCGCTCGAGGCTCCTCCACCCCCTCCTCCTTTCTTCCTCCGCCGATCAACCCCTGCCGTTCGACCACCGCCTCGCCCTAGCGCACTCGACTCGCCGTCCGCCATGGCCTACCCGTCGCGCAACCCCCACGCGCCCCACTACTCGCGCCAGCAGACGTTCGAGTCGGACCCAGGCGCGTTCCACTCGACCTCGTACCCGGCCCAGCCCGCCCACTCGGCCTACACGGTCGACCCGACCGCCCGCTACGGCGTCCCAGGCCAGCAGGGCACCGCGACCTCGTCGGGCGTCGGCGCCGGGCCCTCAGGCGTCAACCGCCGGCACACGGTCCGCGGCGCAGAGCGCGGCACCGTGCGCGATGCGTCGGCCAACCCGCGCCACTCGGTCGCGCCCGCTCGTGCGCTCACGAGGGGCAAGACGCTCACCCGCCCCGACCGCTTTGTCGCGCCGGCGCCCCTCATCGCGCCCGCCGGCCTCGGCAAGCAGGGCAAGCAGGGCGGCAACGTCCAGACGACCCTCGTCGACGGCGTCCCGACCCTCGTCACCAAGGAGCCGTGGTACAGCCCGTGGAGCCTGTTCGTCGAGGTGTCGACTTTTTGGGCGCCGAGGGCCCTCCTGCGCAACTTTGGCATGACCGACCCGACCAAGCAGCGCGCGTGGAAGGAAAAGGTCGCCCTGTGCCAGATCTGCGCCTTCCTCATGGGCGTCATCGGCTTCATCACGATGGGCCTGCAGCGCACCCTGTGCCCGCAGACCGGCCACAACTCGGTCGGCCACTTCCAGCGCCTCGGCACGACGCCCGGTGCGTCCCCCCCCTCTCTCTCTCTCATGTTGCCGACGGACGCCGACTGACACCTCGCCTCTCGCGACAGGCTACATCGGCATCGACGGCTGGAACATGCAGGTCGGCGCCTCGACGCCGCCGAGCCTGTCGGGCCCGGCCAACTCGTTCGGCGGGACCGACGAGACGGGCCTGTTCGACCGGAGCGACGACAAGTTCCCGACGTGCGACGGCCTCAAGCAGCCGTTCGCGACCGTCAACCTGTGCATCTCGGACTCGGTCGGCAACGCGACGTCGTGCGCGCTCAAGGCGCCGACCGACAAGTACCTGTCGTCGCTCGGCCTCACCAACACGACCAAGCAGGTCGGGTACGACTGGGCCCAGCTGTCGAACCTCACCAACTACGTCGTCATCGACGGCAACGTCCTCAACCTCACGCCCTACATGAACGCGCACCCGACGCCGCTCGTCAACGACTCGGTCGACGCCCTGTTGCGCACGGTCCTCGCCGACGGCTCGGGCAGCAGCCGCGACGCGACCCGGGCCTTCTACAACACGGACGAGTTCAAGCAGGCGGCAAAGTGCCTCGAGCAGCGGTACTACGCCGGCCACATCGACAAGGTCACGCCGGGCTGCTTCATCGCCAACCTGTTCCTCTACGTGTCGCTCATCCTCATCATGGGCATCATCCTCGCGCGCTTCTTCATGGCGCTCGTCTTCTCGTGGTACCTCGCCGACCGCATGGTCCAGAAGCCCCGCAACCTCAAGCGCGCCGTCGTGTCGCCCGCCGTCCTGCCCGAGGGCGCCAACATCGACGTCGCCAACTCGACCGGCGCCGCCCCGTGGACCGAGGCGCACGTCAAGCGCCAGCAGACGCAGCGCCTGCGCAAGGGCCCCAAGCGCGGCGCCGCCTCGTCGTCCGAGAAGACGCTCGGGCCCGCCGCCGCCGCCGCCGCCCCGAGGCCGACCCGCAAGCTGAGCGAGAAGGGCGGCGCCGCAGGAGGCGACCTCGGCGCACCGCTCGGGCCCGACGGCATGATCAGCCTGGCGTCGATCGGCGCCGAGCTGTTCGCCGTGTGCCTCGTCACGTGCTACTCGGAGGGCCACGACGGCATCAAGACGACGCTCGACTCGATCGCGGGCACCAACTACTCGGACGCGCGCAAGCTACTGTTTGTCGTGTGCGACGGCATGATCACGGGCTCGGGCGAGAAGCTCAGCACGCCCGACATCGTCGTGAGCCTCATCGAGCGCGACCCGCGGTTCGGCGACCCGGTCCCGATGAGCTATGTCGCCGTCGCCGACGGCGCCAAGGCGCACAACCAAGCCATGGTCTACGCCGGCCACTACAGTGCGTCCCTGCTTCTCTCTCCCTCTCTTGTCGGTCGTCGAGGAGGAGAAAGACTGACTCGCCGCCCGAACCCTCCCTTCTCCTCCCTCTCGCCCTCGCCCACGCAGCTCAAGTCGCCGGCCACCGCACGCCCATCATCGTCGTCGTCAAGTGCGGCACGTCGGCCGAGGCGACCGAGGCCAAGCCGGGCAACCGCGGCAAGCGCGACTCGCAGATGATCCTCATGAACTTCTTCGGCCGCGTGACGTACAACGACCGCATGTGCCCGCTCGACTTTGACCTGTTCCGCAAGACTCAGAGCCTCATGGGCGTCACGCCCGACTTTTTCGAGGTCTGCCTCATGGTGCGCTCGAGCCTCTCTTCCCGCCCTCGCCCCTCCCTCGAGTCGAAACTCACCGAGGAATTTCGCTCCCCGCAGGTCGACGCCGACACGATGTGCTACCCCGAGTCGCTCGGGTACCTCGTGCGCACGATGCAGAACGACAACATGATCATGGGCGTGTGCGGCGAGACGAGGATCGCCAACAAGCGCCAGAGCTGGGTCACCATGATCCAGGTCTTCGAGTGCGTCCCCTCGCTCCTCTCTCTCTCTCTGGTCGTGCCCCCCTCGCGCCAGTCACTGACTCGGCGTGCGCGTGCAGGTACTTCATCTCGCACCACCAGGCCAAGGCGTTCGAGTCGGTCTTTGGCGGCGTCACGTGCCTGCCCGGGTGCTTCTCGATGTACCGCATCAAGGCGCGCAAGCAGGACGACGGCGACTGGTTCCCGGTCCTCGTATCGCCGACCATCACGTCCGAGTACTCGCAGAGCGTCGTCACGACCCTCCACCAGAAGAACCTCCTCCTCCTCGGCGAGGACCGGTTCCTGTCGACGATCCTCCTGCGGTCGTTCCCGAACCGCAAGATGATGTTCTGCCCCAAGGCCCGGTGCCGCACCGTCGTTCCCGACACGTTCGCCATCCTCCTGTCGCAGCGCCGGCGGTGGATCAACTCGACCATCCACAACCTCATGGAGCTCGTCCTCGTGCGCAACCTGTGCGGCACGTTCTGCTTCTCGATGCAGTTCGTCACCTTTATCGACCTCATCGGCACCGTCGTCCTCCCGATCGCCATCTGCCTCACGTACGCCCTCATCATCAACACGATCATCAACCCGCCGAGCTCGTTCGGCGACGCGATCCCGCTCATCCTCCTCGTCGGCGTCCTCGGCCTGCCCGCCGTCCTCGTCATCCTGTCGACCCTCAAGTTCGTCTACGTCGGGTGGATGCTCATCTACCTCGTCGCCCTCCCCGTGTGGAACATGGTCCTCCCGCTGTACGCCTTCAGCCGGTTCGACGACTTTAGCTGGGGCGAGACGCGCAAGGTCGCCGGCGAGGTCAAGGGCGGCGACGACCACGGTGCCGGCGCCGGCCTCTCGGCGGCGTCGGCCGTCCCGCTGCGGCGGTGGGAGGACTGGGAAAAGTCGCGCCTGCGCAAGATCCGCCGCGACGAGCGGCGCCGGCGCGATTTTGAGCGCCAGTTCGGCTCGCGTGCCGTCCACTCGCAGCAGAGCGTGCGCGACGGCGCGAGCACGTACGCCGAGAGCGAGACGGCGTCGAGCTTCGGCGGGCCGGACGAGGACCGGTGGGGTGGCCAGATCGGCGCGTACAACGAGGACGCGACGACCAACGTGCCGCCGCCGGTCGGCCTGTACTCGGTCGACGAGCTCGACGACGACGAGGAGGAGACGCTCAACGAGCACGACCTCGTCAACGTCCTCGACGGCGGGTGGGACGACGCGTCGCCGCTCGGTTCGCCCGCGCCTTCAGTCGGCACGCCGTTCGGCCGCTCGACCGGCTCGGGCTACTCGACGCCGTCCGAGCAGCCGTACTCGCCGCCGCAGCCGCAGCACCCGGCGTACGGCCACGCCGTCCCGGCGTACGGCCACGCCGTGCCGGCGCCGCAGCGCGGCTGGACCTTGAGCGACTCGCCCGCGCCGCCAATGGTTCACTCGCACTCGCACTCGCGCCTGCCGCTCAACGTGTCGACGTCGTCCCTGTCGTCCGGGAGCGGCGGCGGCGGCGGCGGCGGCGCCGACCCGTTCGCCGACCCGGGCGCATCGTCGACGATGCTCCCGCCGCCGCTCATCTCGCCGCTCGCGAGTGCACAGGCGCTCGGCCACGAGACCAACTACGTCTCGCATGGCTCGTCGACGGCGACCGACATGGACGGCGGGCGGCGGGCGGGCGGCGCGCACGCTCGGCAGCGCAGCTCGTCGAGCTCGCCGACGCAGGCGCGTGGGACGCCGCTCCTCGACCCGCTCAGCCGGTCGCCCGAGGTCGAGCGTGGCGGGTACGACTGGGGCGAGCAGCAGCAGCAGCACCTCGGCAGCAGGAGGCTGGTCTGAGCCCCGCCCTCGCCTGCTCCCCTCCTTCCTGTCGCCCATCCTCCTCTCACCCTCACGTTGACGATAGATACCCTTTTTCTCTCTCCCTCGTGCCTGTATCGCGCTAGACGCGACCTCCCTCGTTCCCCTTGACGCAGCATGCATTGTTCTCCCTCGCACCCACTCCCTGCTCGAGCCAAGATGAGCGAGTCTCGAGAGCGCACCGAGCAAGACCGGCGGCCGCGTTCCCGAATCGCTCCCGTCTCTCTCTCTCTCTCCGTATCTCTCGGGCTCTGGAGTGACTGTGAGAAGCCGTGCTCGTCGTCGGTGCGCGAGGCGGGCTGCCACGGCGACCTTCCCAAGTTGCCCTTGCGCGCTCGCGTCGAGTGTAGAGCCTCGCCGCAGCTCGCTCGACTCGCTCTCACGAGACTCGTCACAGCTCGCGAGTCGCTCTCGAGGAGGCACGAAGGAGAAGAAACATCGAGAAAGATTGCAGAGCTACTACGGCATCATGCTGCGGCTGCGGCCCACCGCCTCGCCTCCTCGAGACGAGATCGTCCTGCCGGCTGCACGTGCGGCGGCGGTATGCGGCTCGAGGCTGCCCTGCTACCGGCGCTGCGGCTCGTACACGCTCGGGCCTGCAGGACCGTCGACCGGATGCGCCTGCGTGGACGAAAAGGTCGGCGGCGAGCTGAAAGAAGGCCGGTGACGAGGCCGAGAGGCAGAGGAGAGGGACGTACAAGGCTGTGCACGTGAGAGAGGACGTGGTTGAATCTCGCAAAGAGGACGCCTGCGCGGCTGTTGGCGTCGGGTTGGCGGACGGGGACTTGGCCGGGCGCTGTTTCTGGCCAGTTGACGACCTCGACCGACGGCCAGTACCTGCACGAGGGCGCAAGGATGTCAGGCGATAGCTCTCGAGACGAGAGACGATGATGGGCAAAGAGACGAGGAAAGAGAGATGAGGGCGCACCCGGACAGGAACGTGAGGGACCGGGTCACGAGGCGACTGCGCCACTCGATTGAGCCGAGGTGGTGCAGCCACTCGAAGAACGGCCCGACGGAGTCGCGCCCAGACGACGCGGCAAGGTACGAGCGAGCGACCCGGCGAAAGTCGCTGAGGCGGCACGAAAGCCTCGCCAAGGCAACGGCGTCCGGGACCTGCGGGCCTTGCTGCGCCTCGGCTCGAAAAGTTTCCTGCTCGATCTGGACGAGGAGGAAGATGTTGAAGACGCACACGGCGGCGTGGCCTTGGTGCCCGTACGCGTCGACGTGGCCACGGAACCCGGGCGCCCTCGGGTCGAAGTGTTGGCGAAGGCGCACGAGCTCGTAGGTGAGGAGCTTCGAGGCGCTCAGGGTCGGGAAGTCGACTCGTCGCGGCGCCGCGCTCGTCGAGTCGGTCGCAGGCACCCAGACGCCGACGGACGGTGGGACGACGCCGAGGTCGACGTTGCGGGGTGGCTGCTCGACGAGCTCGAGGTGGTGGTGGACGATCGGCATGCTGCGGGACGATGGAGTCAACACGGTCCGAAAGAGAGAAAGAGCTCGACAGGACGCACATCCAGTCTATGCCTCGTCCGGCCGAGCCCGCCTCGACCTCGAGGCGCGGGCAAAGGAGGACGCCGCGGCCAGTTTGAGGCAGCTCCGAGTGCGTCGCTCGGCGACGTCCGTCGAGCTGCTCGACCCACGACAGGACCTGGGAGTTGGCGCACTCGAGGATGCGCTCAAGGAGGAGGCGCGGAACGGCGAGGGCCGAGCCGTCGGCGGACGTGCCCGGCTGGACGAAGAGCGCGAGTTGCTGCGCACCGAGCAGCAAGGAGAATGGTCAGTTGGTGCGCCGACCTCGTCGAGTCCTTGAGGATAGAGACGGACCTGATACTCGGTCGGCAAGGCGACATGATGCAGAGCCTCGTACAGGATGAAGTTGCTTGCCGGCACGTTCGCAGTCGCGAGCGCGAGGTCGTGCAGGCATGCGATCCCGGGGCTCCCTGTATCGAGGAGCAAGACAATGAGTGCGTGTTCGACAGAGAAGGAGGCGACGAGGGCGACTCACACAGCATCGAGAACATGAGGGGAGGGTTGACCGCCGTCCTCTTGACGACCTGGGCGTGCCGCTCAGCTCGCTCTTGAGCCCAAACCCAGGCAAGGACGGCCAAGGCGGCGGCCGGATGCTGGTTTGCGGGCCGGACGACACTGACGACGTCGACGCGCGTCTGGACCAGCGGTGACATGGGCAGGTTCGGCCACACGATGACGGGATTCGGGTTCGCCGGCGGCTGCACAGGCGGCGACGCCATCGTAGCAGGACGAGCAAGGAGCAGGAAGGCGAGGCCAAGGAGGGAGACGCAAGCATCGACCAGCGAGGACGACGCCTCGTGTCCGCCGGCGTCTCCGCGGATACAGTCTCGGCGACGGAGTACGTCCGATCGCGGACGAGCTCGGAGCCTCCTCTGGTTGCGCACGGCGGGGCGAGCCGGTCGCGCGGCGAGCAAGGTGGTCGAGCGGCCCGGGGGCAGCAGGAGGAGGGGAGCGAGAAGCGAGCGGGCGAGGCTGGGAAGTGGCTGCGGGCGCTAGCGGGTCGAGTGGACGTGCTGCTCGCTGTTCAAGGCAGCAGCTCGTGGCCAGAGAGGCTGTGGCTGAGCCAAACCGGACGAGCGGAGAGACGAGTCGAGCTCGAGGCGGAGGTGTCCTCGTCGACTGCCTCCTACACGCTCAAGCTTGCTGGACCGACCTTCAAGCCGGTACTTGCACCTTTCCGACCCGGCTCGGTGCGTCCCTGTCCCCTCAGAGCGAGCGGCGGACACCGCGTCCGTCCTCATCTCCGCCCGGCCTCGTTGGTTCGACACGATCAAGGCGAACTCGAGCCTGTGCGCGGCCGACAGCAGGACTGCTACTGACCGCTCTCCGCCATCTACAGCGCGACTCGGGCCATTCAGCCTCACCCTTCCCACCTCGACCACCTCCACCACCTCGACCGCTCGGCCGACCCCTCACGACAGCCACGGGCAACACCAGCGCACTCGAGTCGTCCTCACGCCACACCATGTCCGCCGACTCGAACCAGTTTGGCAGCCTGATCTTCTGCTCCCGGTGCGGGACCCTCCTCGACCTCCCCGGCGACGAGGACCACCTCGTGTGCAGCGGGTGCGGCCAGGTCGAGGACGCTCAAGGTGCGCCCCCTGTTTCTCTCGTTCGACATCGACGGCTGGCGGCGGTGACTGACGGCGACTGCGTCCACAGCGTACGAGGGCCAGGTCATCACGACCAAGTCGAACCCGGCGGCCTTCCCGTCCTCCTTGCGGCAACTCAAGTCGAGCCTCGTCAAGGGTCGCGGCGAGGTCGAGAAGAAGAAGGTCTACGTGCGTCGACGACGCGCGACGGGCTCGGTGGCCTCCGTGACGACGGGCACTGATCCCCCTCTCCTTTCGCGACAGGTCGACGAGGTCTGCGAGAAGTGCGGCGAGAAGCAGATGTCGGTCAAGACGATGCAGCTCCGGTCTGCAGGTGCGTCCTCTCTTCTCTTTGCCGGTCGAGCGCAATCAGGTGTCCTGACCCAGCCTCGTTTGTCACGTTCTGTCGTTCGCAGACGAAGGAGGTGCGCCGTCTCTCGTTCTCGCGCCTGCCTCGTCTCCCTCCTCGGGGCGCGCTCACTGACCTCTGATCTCTCACAGCTACTGTGTTCTACTCGTGCGAGAAGTGCGGGTGGCAGACGCGCCTCAACAACTAGATCTCGTTCGCGCCTCGTCTGTTGTATTCCTCCCCCTCTGCAACCGCATTTTCCTTGCCACACGTCGTCCAGCCCTCTCAGGCGATCTCGAGAGAGACAGAGAGGCGCGCAGAGAGAGGCTCTGAGGAGCTAGCGGTGCTGGACGTTCTCTGCGGTCGCGCTGTCGCCGCACAGACCTGCGCTTTCCTCCCGGCTCGCGGCACCTCTCTGCGCGCTGGACGGTCGGGCTCATCAGCTTACTGTGCGTGAGCAAGAGAGCAAGGCCAGGTTCTGTGAGTCAAGCCGGCGCCGGCGCCATCGCCGCGGAGCTGACTCGGGTTTCGAAGACCGCCCGCTGCTCGCTGCTCGCTCACCGCACGCAGCTCCCCTCATGGCGACCGCAAACTCGACGCAGGAGAAGCGTGTGCTGTCGATCCAGAGCCACGTCGTCGCGGGCTACGTCGGTGCGCCCTCGTCCCTTCCCCTCGCCCCGTCGTCCAGATCCAGCTGACCTCTCGCTGTCGACAGGCAACAAGGCGGCTTCGTTCCCGCTGCAGCTGCTCGGCTGGGAGGTCGACCCTGTGTTGACCGTCTCGTTCAGCAACCACACGGCAAGTTGTGCGCGCGAGGTCGCTGCATGCGGCTCTCTCCCCGTCGAACCGCGCGCTGAACCTCGCTCTTCCCCTCTCTCCCCTCCTCTCTTCACCTCCCTCGACGCGACGGCAACTTTTCCCGCCTTGGCCACCACCGCCATGCCGTCCTGTCCACCTGCACCCGGCGCAAACACCTCATCTCGCACACCGGCCTGAACTCGACCCGCCGACCTGCAAATAATCCTTTCGCCCAACCTCAACAGGGTCCGCGTGAATCTCCTCTGCTCGTCTACGTCGACCGCAATCACTAACTCTCCTCCCCTCACTCGCACAGGCTACGGTCGCTGGGGCGGCTCCAAGTTTGACGCGGCTCACCTCGAGGACGTTTTCAGCGCTCTCGATGTTCGTCCCTCGTCTCCTCTCTATCGCCCTCCACGAGCAGCAGGAGCTGACCTTGTCCTACTGCACACAGGCCAATGGTCTTCTGCGTCAGTCGCACCTGTTGACGGGCTACGTGCCCGGCGCCGATGCGCTCAAGGTCGTCGTTCGCGCCGTCGACCGGCTGCGCGCCGTCAACCCGGCCCTCGTCTACGTCCTCGACCCGGTCATGGGCGACGACGGCCGCATCTACGTCAGCGAGTCGGTTATCCCCATCTACAAGGCGCTCCTGCCCCGGGCGACGTGCGCGACGCCCAACTACTTCGAGGCCGAGCTCCTCACGGACGTCAAGATCCTCGACGCCTCGTCGCTCCAGCTCGCCCTGCGCACGTTCCACGAGCGGTACCGCATCCCGAACATCGTCATCTCGGCCGTCTCGCTCCCGGTGTCGGAGCTCGCCAAACTCGGGTTCGTGGACGCGTCGTCGCTGGTCGACCGCGCACCGACCTCCCGCATGCTCGTCTGCTCGGGTTCGACCATGACGTCGGCCCCAGGCGAGCCGTTGACGACCGTGTCGTTCGGCATCGCGTTTCCCGAGCTCGCCGAGCACTACGAGGGCGTCGGCGACGTCTTTTCGTCGCTCGTCGTCGGCCGGTTCCCCTCGTCGGCCGACCCCGACTTTGCGGCGCACCCGGTCTCGCCTCTCGCCCACACGGTCGAGCTCGCCATCGCGTCGCTCCAGGGCATCCTCTTCAAGACGCGGCAGCACGCCCTCTCGCTCGCCAAGGCGCGCCCCGACATGATCGTCCCGCGCGAGGGCGAGACGGCCGACGAGCGCGTTCGGCGGCTGCGCACCGTCGAGCTGCGCCTCGTCCAGAGCCAGAACGAGATTCTCGATCCTGTCGTCAAGTACCGCGCCGTGAGGTTCTCGGGCGTCGTCTAGTCGGCGGCCGGCCTCCTCGACCGGTCGTTCTCGAGCCTCGTCTCCTCAAGCTGTGCCCTGTTGTCTGTATCATCATCACCGTGCGTCCACTCTCTCCTCTTTCCTTCCCCATCCTCCTCCTGCCGCTGTCCGTCCGTCCGTCGTCGTCGTTGGCGCGAGATGAGCAACCAGTGTCGCCCCTATCGGATCTACATGACCGAGTGACCTATCCGGACCATACCAAACTGTCCAAAACTCTGAGGCCTTTGCGACGACGACGACGGGCAGGACAGCGAGCAGGGCGCGCCTCCGTTTTTCGGATGACGAAACTGACTCTCTTCGCCTTCCCTGCTCCAGGGTCTGCATCTCGACCTCGGCGCTCGGTCTTTTCGGCCACTCGGACCGCCGCGCTCGACTCGTCGCCGCCGTCGCGCACCTCCTTGTGCGTCTCGACCTCCCTCTCCTCCTCCTCCCCCTCTCGTACCTGGACAAGGGCAAGGACGAAGAAGATCTTCCATGCTAAGACCGAGGGCATAACGCTCTATGGCGAACACAATGTATTTAATTCTAAGAAACGGCCAACGGATGCCCTTGTCCCAGTACAACTTCATCGTCGTGCACGTTCGTCGACCTGACCTCTCTCGACGTTGCGCAGGTCCCTCATGCCGTAGAAGCCTGCAATCCAGCTCTCCTTCTCCGTCTTGCTCTCCTCTTTGCGAGTCGTCTCGAGCGAGAGTACCTTGCGCAGCATAGCGAGGCGAGAGGAGGGCCGAAGAGCGCAACTTGTCCGCCGCTCAGACCCTCCTGCCTCGTCGTTCCTCGCAGCCTCAGGTGCCTCGTCCTCCTCTCTCTTTGAATAGCAGACAGAGTGCAATCCACGCTCTCTCGTCAGCATGCGCAACAGCATGCGCGATCCGCTACATAGCGAGAGAGGGCGGCCGAGAGAAGAGAGCGAGCGCGCCTGGCGCTCAGGCCTCCTCCCTCTCCTCTCTCTCCTCCTCCAGCTCGCACGCTCGTTCGCGTTCCTTGCGGGCCGCTCTCCACTCTGCAGACCGGCAACGGGTGATCGTCTCTCTCTCTCACACTCTCTCTCTCACACTCACTCTCTCTTTCTCTTCCTCGCCACGAGGCCGGCGCACGGGCTGAACAGAACAAGCGGTACTGACGAGGGGGAGCTACGAGGCGACGAGGGACGGTGGAACGAAAGCGAGAGGGAGAGAAAGAGGGAGAAACGAGGGGAAAGGGAACGAGGTGGGAGAGTGGACGCGAGCGTCCCCCTACATGTAGAAGAGGGTCTCGGCGTGGTTCGGGTGGATCTCCTGCAGGCGCACGGGAGAGTCAGTGAGACTCGACGAGGCAGGTGAGAGAGAGAGACGAGGGTGCACCTTGAGGCGCGAGGTGTACTCGGCGAGCGCCGCCGAGCGGAGGTGCTGCTCCTGGCTCGAGTGGCTCGTCGACGAGTACTGCGTCGTCGAGTCGTCGTCGTCGCGCTTGAGGAGGAGCTGCGCGCGCGTACAGACTGTAGGCAGGATGCGTGAGTCAGGTTGCTCGAGGGGGAAAGGAGGAAAGAGGACGACAACGCACGGCGCGAGGCGTAGAAGGCGGGCGTCGCGATCGACACCGACCGCGTCGCACGCGCGTACGTGAAGCACAGGTTGTACACGAGGCTCTGGAGCGAGTCGGGCGACAGCGCGTTCTCGTCGACGAGGACCACGTAGTGCGCCGCTGCGAGTGCGTCGAGGCGGGAGGGTCAGTGCGGCGTCGACGTGGGCAAAGAGGATGAGAGGACGTACAGCGAGCGGTACCGAGGAGGCCCTGGTGCGCGTTGAGATAGCTGCAGAGTTCAAGAGGGGACACTCAGTCTACGAGGGCAAAGAGAGAGAGAGAGGGAAGAAGGGGGGACGCACAAGTCGAAGTTGAACGGCGAGACGATGCCGGTGTCGATGATCGTCTGCGGGACACGCAAGGTCGTCAATCGAGGTCTGAGGGGCTGGTGGTCGAGGACCGAGAGGCTGATGGGCCAGGAGAGGACGCACCCCCGGCTTGACGTTGCCCGTCTTCGGGTCGGCGTCGGCGCGGTTGCTCGGGAAGAAGGACAGCTTGTGGCGCTTGCCGCAGCAGATGAAGGTGAGGGTCCTGCATCGAGGTGCGAGAGAGATAGGGTCAGGGCCAGATCGAGGCACGAGAAGGAGAGAGGGAAGGAGGACGACGGGACGCACGGCTTGTAGCCCGGCTCGAAGCGGTCGCACGCACGGCGGATCGACCCGACCTCGGTCGAGATAACCTGACTGAACTGACCCTCGGAGATGCCGTCGCGGAAGAAGATCTGGCGGCGAGGAAAGGGCCGAGGGAAGGGTCAACTTGAGAAGGTCACCTTGACGCGACGCTCGAAAGCGGCAACGCCGACGACAGGAAGGACCGGGGACGGGAGCGAAGTAGGGGACGTACGAGACGCTCAGGCTTGATCCCGTTGCGCTTGGTGAACTGGCCGAGGAGCTTGAGGAGCATCTCCTCGACCCTCGCGATGACCTCGAGGCGAGCTGGACGGGCACGGTGTCAGTAGACGTCCGATGGCGAGGAGAGGCAGGGACTGAGAGACGCACAAGGCTGCACCGTGATCGCCGAGCCGTAGATGCTGCACGTGTGGTCCATGGAGCCGACGATCGAGGCGACCGAGGGCGCGAGCGAGCCGGGCGACGCGTGCGAGACGTCGCCGCCGAGAACCTGCGAGAGGGACGAGTCAGGTATGCGCTCGTACAGCTCGTCTCGCGATGCACAGGAAAGAGAGGTGCGGCGTGAGGGAAAAGGAAGAGGACGAGACGGACCATCTACAGGTGTCGACGGCGGTGTGACAGGGTCAGTGAGGTCCTCCTCGCCGTCTCGAGTCCGAGAAAGAGAGCAGGAGACGTACCGTCGGGCGCTCGGCGACAGGGCCGAGGTCCTCGGGCTTGAGGATCGAGTTGATGCCGCCCTGCATCTTGATGTTGATCTTGAGCGCGACGTTGCCGAAGTACTGGTCGTTGCCCTTGATGCACTTGGGGACGAAGAGGCACTGCGTGGCGACGCCGACCTGCTGGTCGCCGAAGCGCTTGATCTGCGGGCGAGGAGGAAGGGGCGTGTGAGCTGGACTCGACGAGGACGAGGATGAGGACGAGGAAGACGAGGCAGAAAACGGGGCGGGCAGACTCACGTCGCCATACGCGTCCATAGGGCGGCGAGGCAGGAAGCAGATGATGAGCTGCGGCGGCTTGCCCTGCTCCTGCATCATCTTGAGGCCCTCGTCGAGGAGGAAGGCGTGGACGTCGGCGCCGCGAGGCGCGTACGTGATGGCCGGCTGCTGGTCGAGGATGGCGATGCCCATCTTGGTGCACGCCGTGACGAGGCCCGTGATGGCCGTCTGGGCGCTGCGGAGCGGGAAGTAGTTCGGCTGGTCGAACTGTTGGCGGGACGAGGTGTCAGTCCTGGGCTCGAGCAGCACGAGCCGCGATAGAGAGGGGGCGTACCGCGACGACGATCCTGCGGGCGAAAGCGAGAGCGTCAGTCGGCTCGAGCCGGGAGGAGAGAGGTTGAGAAAGAGGTCGGGAAAGGGAGGACGAACCAGCGCTCGACGCTCGTCCCGCTGTAGAGCTGGTGGCCGCGCACGTCCCACGCGCCGTTCCTCGGCATGACAGGGCTGTGGATCGGGAGGAGGCAAAAGTCAGTCTCGTCGCCGCTGAAAGAAGCCGCCTCGCTCCGCTCCTCCGCAAGGACGCACCGCTTGAAGTTGACGACAGGAGCCTGGAGCTCGCGCGCCCTGACCTCGATCGGCGTCGTGTCGATGGCGATGCCCCACTGCTGAAGCGCTTCGGGCCCGGGCTGGATGCGCTCGAGCCCCTTGCTGAGCTGCTGCAGGCGGTCGCCGGGTCCGACGGTCGTGAGGCGGATCGCGTCGGCCGTCTGCTCCGGGTCGAGCTTCTTGGTCCACTTCTGGCCTGCGAGGGGCAGTCGGCGGGGCGAGGAGAGTCAGTGAGGGTCGAGGGAGGAGCGGAAGAAGAGGGACAAGGGGGCGCACCGGCCTCGCAGTCGACGAGCTCGATCGGCCACGCCGCCGTCTTGCTGACGCGCACGACAGGGAAGTCGGGACGTTGCAGGCGCGTGTTGTAGAACTCGGCAAAGTAGCTCTCGATCGTGGACGACTTGCCGTCGACGTCGAACGGCACGTCGGCCGCGCCGACCGCCTCGAGCATCTTGATCTTGCGCGTCGGCATGACGCCGTCCTTGTCGCGGACCTTGAGCTGCACCTTGAGGCCCTTGAGGAAGCGGTTGAGCTTGATCATCTCTGTGGGCGTCGTCGAGGACGAGGAGGAGGAGACGGTCAGTGCGCGTTGACGAGGGGACCTGGCGCTCGCGCGAGGACGACGGCGACGACGGCGACGACGATGCTGACGTGGCGACGTACCGGTGCCCGGGATCGACTTCGCCGACATCTGCTGGAACGTCAGGTTGCGGCTGCCGGCCTTGAGGAAGTCGAGGATGATGTTGGGGAGCGAGCCGGCGGCGACCATCGGCGTCGACGCGATGTCGAGGTTGAGGTACAGCTGCTCAGGGCCGAGGCGCAGCGAGCTGTAGAAGCCGCGCCACATGACGAGGCCGCGGCTGAGCGACGCCTGGCGCTGGTCGAGCGGCGGCAGGAAGAACGAGGCGTTGCGCGACGGGTACAGCATGCTCGGGCCCATCTGGATCGCGACGTTGAGTGCCTGGATCGCGGACTGGACCTCGCTCGCGTCGGGCTCGATCGACTGGCCGCGCAAGTCGCCGCGGACGAAGACGGCGAGGCGCTCGAGGTCGATCGGGCGCGTGAAGCGGATCTTGACCGTAAAGTCGCGGCCGCCGCCGTTGCGCGACTTGGTGCCGTCCTCCTCGGGGAGCGTGATCGACCACTGGCCCTCGTCGGCGGGCAGCTTCTTGGGCTGCGTGAGGGAAGGGAGGGGGAGCGAAGTCAGGCGTCGACGGTCGAGGTGCGAGGGAGGGGATGCCGATCGACAAGACGCACCGAGTACATCATCGAGCGGCCGTCGTAGCAGACGGCGAGGCCGCCGAACGCGTGCATCTCGCGGTCGAGGTAGGCGAAGATCTGGCGGTTGAGGCGCGGCGGCGTCACCGGGTTGGCGGGCGAGATGGCGACGTCGTAGTGGTAGCAGCTGCTCGGCAGGGGGTAGGCGAGGAAGGACGAGGCGGAGGAGCAAGGAGGAAGAGGAGGAAAGAGGAGGATGGTCGAGAGAGTCAGTGCGCGAGTTCAGGACCCCGACGAGGTGGCCGTCCTCGACGCAGAGACGCAGGCGACGCACACGATGCTCGGAGGCTTGACGAGGTAGGCGTTGGCGCGGACAGGGAACGGCCTGCCCTTGCTGCGAGAGGAGGAGGAACGAGGCGTGAGCGACGAGGGCGACTCGGACCCCCTCGACGAGCCGAGGTGGACGCACGTGCCGAGGCCCGGCCTGGCCATGGGCTGGTTGGCCTGGAGCGACATGCCGGCCGTGGCTGCAGCAGGCGAGGCGAGGCGAGGCGAGAGGTGTCAGCGTCGGCTCTGAGGTGGGAGGGGGAACGAGATGAGGACGAGGACGGACCCTGGGCGAGCGCGTCGGGCCCTGCGTCGTCTTGCTGGCGGAACGGCATGCTTGCTGTCGACCTGGGTGCCGTGCTCGGCTGGACGAGAGGCGGTGGAGGAGAAGAGGGACGACGAGAGCTGGCCGCCGAGCGAGAGGAGGCAACGCCGTCCGCGAACAGGAGAGCGACGGACGCTGCGGACTTGCCGGCGCCTCGGTCACCGCAGCCAAGCATGCACCCAGGCTCCGAAGCCGAAGAGGCGACAGCCAGCAAGAGTCGCTCTCGAAGCGGCCTGAGCGCGAACCACCAGCTTTGCACAAGCCCATTTTCCTCCTCGCCCTCCTCGCGTCTAAGGGGTACAACGCTCCGCTCCGACGACGACAGGAGGGAGATGCAGGGAGAGTGCGGCGGGGAAACAAGATGGGAAGGGGGGCGAGCACGACGAGCTCGAGGCGGGCTCAGTAGCCTGCGAGACCTTGCGGCGCCTGGTTGAGCAGCTTGAGGTGCACGAGATTGAGCGCCTTGACGGCGTCACGCTCCTCGATGACGCACGAGATGCTGCAGGACGGAACTAGGTCAGGGTCGAGGACTGACGGGTCGACGACGACGACGAATGGAGAGGGGGACGCACTTGATCTCGCTCGCGCCCTGAGAGATCATCTCGATGTTGACGTTGCCCTCGGCGAGAGTGCTGCAGTGCGCGAGAACATCGTCAGGACGGCGCTCACGTCGACCGACGGGCGAGGACGCTCGAGAGGCAAGAGGCAGCGACGCACCTGAACATCTTGCCGGCGGTGCCGACCATGTTCTTCATGTGCTTGCCGACGAGCGACAGGATAGCCATGTCGCGCGAGATCGACACCTCGCCGACGGGCTTGAGGTCGCGCACGACGCGGTCGAGGACGCTCTTGCGCATCTCGCCGTGCACGGCGAGCGACACGTGCACCTCGGACGTCGAGATGAGGTCGACGACGATGCCGTGCTTGTCGAGCGTGCCAAAGATGCGCGCAAAGAAGCCGTGCGCGATCGTCTTGCGGTTCGAGTGCACCGACAGGACGACGACCGTGTCCTTGATCGTGATGGCGGTCGGCCCGAGGTGCGGCTCGAGGGCAGAGCTCGGGACGCTCGACGGGGCTCGAGTCGCGACCGATGGCGCGACCGTGTTGCGCGCCGTGTGCTCGGCCGGGTGGGCGTCGGGCGCGACCGAGTCCGGGAAGATGATGGTGCCCTCGCCGCTCGGGTTCTCAACGTTCTTGATGCGGATCGGGATCGCGGCACGGATGACCTGCTCCATGGTGAACGGGTGGATGACCTCGGAACCGTAGTACGTGAGCTCGGCGGCCTCTTCCGGCGTGATGGTCGACAGGAGGCGTGCGGTCGGGACCTTGCGCGGGTCGGCCGTAAAGATGCCGTCGACCTCCTTCCACACCTGCAACTCGGACGCGCCGACGCCGACCGCACACAGGGCCGCACACAGGTCCGAGTAGCCGCGACCGACCTGCGCGAGGAGCGAACCCGGAACGACGCCGAAAAAGCCTGCGCAAGAGGCAAGGGAGGGGCAACGAGTCAGGTCCGACTCGTCGGGAACGAGACGCTAGGCGACTCGAGCCGGGCAAGAGGGAGAGGGAGAGAGAGACGCACCGGTGACGACGGGCACCCTGTCGCCGCACTCGGCCAACCGCTCGCCGAGCCGCTGGCTCAGACGCGAGTAAAACGTCTGCCCAAGTTGCGGCGGACCGTCTGCCGCCTTGCCCGTCTGCGCGTCCTCGTCCGTCAGGACGTCCCAGTCGATGATGTTCTCGAGCGAGACGAGCTCGGCGTCGATGCCCTGCAGGAAAGCTCGCGTCAGTTCCCGTTCCACTCGCAAGGGCAGGGCACAAGGGCTCGACTGCGGCGACCAGGCGCCGCAGAAGGGCCTACTCGCCGAACGAGAGAGAAAGAGAGAGAGGACGCACCCGATCCCGCAACGCTGCAGCGACGATGCGGCACGAGAGCCGCTCGCCAACGCCCATGATGATGTCCTTGGACCGGGTCGAGATCTCGTCGATGATCTGTGCGGGCGCGAGGAAGCGGAAAGGAGAGGGAGAGGAGGGAGGGGGGCAGACGAGGTCAGCTCTGCTCGAGGGACGAGCCGAAGCCCTCGCCCGTTCCCGCTCACTCGCAGGCAGGACGGGAGGACGGCAGAGACACGGCACAAAGAGAAAGGCGCAGACGCACCTGTGCCGCGCGGAGAAAGCCCCTCAAGCGCTCGCAGTCGTACTCGAGTTCCTCCTCGACCTCGTCGAGCAGCTCGCGCGAGTTGACGATGGCCTTCCTCGCCGCCACCATGTGGTCCTCCTTGATCTGGTCGACCGTGTCGTCAAACGGCTGGCGCTCGTCGGGCGTCGCCGAGCGCGACAGGCGCAGGGACGAGACGCTGCCGGACAGGAGGTAGCTGCCTCGCGGCGTCGACGGCGTGCCCGGTGCGGGCGACTGCGAGGGCGAGTTGCGGAGCGAGGGGACGGACGAGGAGAGGTCGGGCTGGCCCTTGGGGCGGAGCGCCTCGTGCGCGGCGCGGAGGAGGAGGTTGGTGGTGCCGGTCGCCTTGGTGTTGCCCGAGCGCGCCGAGCAGACGAGGGCGATGCGGTTGCCCGACTTGATGTGGGTCCTGCGCAGGCACGAGAACCAGAGAGTCAGCTCTCGCAGCTCGTCGTCGAGGATCCGCGGCCGCGGGACGAGATGAGGAGGAGGACAGCTTCTGCGGCCGCGCCGGGCGTGATCGGGCAGGGCGAACTTGCAGAGGCACTGCTAAAGCATGCTTGGGATCGGAGAGGCGGACTCACGGGACGATGGTCTCGACGACGGCGTGCAGCTGCTTGCCGACGCTGGTGCCGCCAATCTTGGCGATGACCCAAGGCTGCTGCGACGACGACGACGCGGCCGCCGTGCTCGAGGTAGATGCCTGCATGGCTGTGCGAGCGAGCTAGTCGGGTCGAGCGTGAGGTGGGGCGAGACGAGCGAGGCCGAGCGGACCAGTCAACCTGCTGTCGTGCTTCGGAGAGTTGACTCTCGCGCGGCCGACCCTCGTCCGCTGCCATCTCGTTCAGCGGCTCGCTCTCTCCCTCGAGCCTCTCTCGATGGACACGGACGAGGAAGAGACGCGTTCGTCGCACTGCACGCTGCGAGAGCCTGGCCCAAACCCGCTCGATATCGCCGCGCTCAAACCCCGGGCGCCGTCGCCCGCCTGAACTCGAGCTTCTCGACGCTCACGTCGCCGCGCTTCTCCTGGTAGACGTACCTGCACGGGGAGAAGGAGGGCGTGAGCTCGGGACCGGGTCCCTGAGGCGACCGCCGCGAGGCAGAGAGAGCGTGGACGCACGTGACGACGACGTTGCCCTGGATGTCGAGCAGCGCAAAGCTCGGCGTTGGTCCCTCGTCCTCGTCCTCCTCGTCGTCCGCCTCGCCGTCCTGCTTGCCGTCTGCGCCCTCAGCTCCTCGTGCTGCGCCCTCCGCTCCGTCCTTCTCCCCCTCCTTGCTGTGCGCCGCATCGCCCTCGGCTGCTGCGCCCCCAGAGCCCTCGGCAGTAGCAGCGGCGGACGGTGGCGCAGGCGTCCACAGCGGCGAGAAGGCGCCGGTGGCCGAGCCGGGGTTGAGGAAGAACCGGCCTTGCGCCTCGAACGCCTCGAAGCTGCAGTACGAGAAGGCCGAGTCAGCGCCGGCGCTCGTTCTGCGCCTGTCCGTGTACTTCGCGACGTCTCGCGCACGATGCGGGGAGGACAGGAGAGGAATGAGGGGCGCACCGGTGGGTCCCGCCGCTGATGAGTACGTCGACGTCCATCTTCCTCGCGGTCGCGCCAAGCATCTCGGCGTCACCGAGAGGGACGACCTGGTGGCCATGGATGACGCCGATGCGTAGTGGCCCGTGCTGGACGACCATTGACGGCGGCAGGGACGAGGAGGGCTGCGTGCAGGGCAACGGAGACAGGGAGGAGGAGAGGACCGGGTCGGCGCGATGTCAGTGCCCGGATTTGCCAACAGCGACTCGGACGCGGTGTGACATAGTGCGACTGGACCGCCTCGCCGAGTGCGCTGAATGCAGAGGGGAAAGAGGAGGCACCTCGTCCCAGTCTCCCCTGACGCCTCGCAGGTCGGGCGCGACGCTTCTCAAGTACTCCCACGTCTCGCGGTCGGTGATGTTGCCCGTCGAGAGGATCTGGCCAATCTTGCCCGGGACCTGTGCGCGCAGAAAGGGGAGAGCGTGTCAGTCTGGCTGTTTGGGGAGCCGGCCGTGGGGGTTGCCCGAGGCGAGGATGGCAGAACGTGGTCCTCGGTGGCAGGACACGGCCTGCTCGCCTGCTCGTGAAGCTGCTCGGCGCACGCGTGCCCGGCCCTGCCGGCCCAGCGAGCGCGAGCCTTGCTCTGCCCCGCCCGCCGTCGCTCGTGCACCAGAGAGGAGGAGCCGAGCGCGCCGCCCACACGAGCAGCGAGGCCACAGCCTCCGCCCATTGCGGCCATGAAGCCCTCCTCGCACCACAGACGCGCCCGCTGTGCCGCCCTTGACCTTCCTCCGAGCCGAGAGAAGGGGTGACGGAACGGGGACGCACGAGGAGCTTCTTGAACTTGGGGGGCAGGTCGTGGGCGCGGTTGGGGATGTGGAGGTCGCCGATGACGAGCACGAGCATGGCGGTGCGCTTTGGCCGGCCTCACAGGCGGTGCGACGAGGGGACAGTGGGAGTGTGAGGTGGGGGAGGTTGATGAGGACGCGCCGACGACGAGGAGAGCGGTGTCGACCTGCGTGTGCGTGCGTATTGTGCGCAAGGTGCTCGTGCTCGTCTGGCTTGGGGCTCGAACGTCGAACGAGAGCGGAGAGGGACGTGAGTGTGCAGGCCTCCCGCCGACTCGAGAACTGCGAGCGCTCCGGCGGATCTGTCGCCGCTCTTCTCGTTGCGAGGCTCTTCTCGGTCGACAGATGTGCAGGCTCTCGGATAAAGGAGACGCTCGCGCAGCACGAGAGACGCTAGCAGGAGCGTGAGAAAGCGCCTCGGCCACGCACCTCCTGGGTCGTCGCTCGAGTCGCCCAGCTCGACCCACCGAGCGAGCTAGCTGCGACCCGCTCGGTCAAGCCAGATCGTACGAGAACCAGGAGCGAGAGGGAGAACGTCGCACAGTCCCGGCTCGACGAGGCGCTCAGCCGCGAAGCCGCGACCGTCCCGTTCGAGAGCTCGCCGCAGCTCCAGTCGACCACCGAGGCCAAGGGGCTCGGCGCATCCTGGTCAAGCTCGATGTGCGAGGGCAGGACCCGTCGTCTTGGCCCGAAACAGCGGAGGAGGCGCCGGCGAAGCGAGGGATTGAACGAAGCGCGAGGGCGACTCGCCCTGTTGAGCTCCCCTCGGCGTCGACCAGCGGTAGGACAGACGCTCGGGCGGAAGCTAGACAGCTCTCTGTGACGCCTCGCAAGTGTGCACGGTGTTTAGCCCGACACGTGCGGAGCAAGGAGGAAGAGAAGCCCGCCGTGCTCGGCGACGCCTTGACGGCAGCCAGGCCGTGTAAGGAGTACAGCGGTCGAGCGGCCGCCGACGAGACCGGATTCGAGCAGAACCACCGGACCGACAGAGCGAAAGACGACTGTTGGCGAACCGTCGAGGTGACGGAAGGAGGGAGAGAGGCAGCGAACCGAGGACGAGCGAGGTCGTCTCGACCGATGGCCCTGTCAAAAGCAGCAAGCGGGTCGCTTGAATAGTACGGAGTAGCCTCGGCGAGCCCTGCAGCACAACAGAGGCGAGCAGCGTGAGGGAGCCGGTTCGATGCGTCGTCGTCGTCGTCGTCCAGGGAGTCCGAGCCTTCCCCTCCCCACCTCTACCTCGCCGCACTCGAGCGAGCGTACCAGCACTCGAACCAGCACCGCACCACACACCCAGCTCAGCGAGGAGCTCTCCCCTCGCCGTCACCTCCCCCCCTCCTCCTCGCCTCGGCCGACCTCAGCTCCCCCCGTCCACCTCCCCTCTCGCCGCCCCTCGCGCCTCGTACGACCCCGGCGCAGAGCATGGCGCGCCTCAAGCGCCAGCCCAAGCGCGGCGGGTCGGCCCACCCCGGCATCGCCGCCTTCATCGCCCAGGTCCAAGCCGTCCCTCAGCACGAGCTGCCCGCGCTCCTCGAGCCCCTCGTCGCCGCCGGGTGGACCTGGCCCCGCACCGACCTGCAGCACTGGATCCACCCGCTGAACCGGTTCGACGACATCCTCGAGCAAGTCATCAGCGACTACGACCTCGCCACGATGGAGCACGGCCAGACCAACACGTTCACGCCGCGCACCAAGGAGCTCTTGCTCGCCGTCCTCTGCTTCGAGAAGCTCCTCCTCGAGAACTCGACCAACCGCAAGATCTTTAACGGGTTCGACCGCCTCAACGACCTCCTCCACACGACCGACCTCGACGTCCTCCTCGCCACCCTCCGCCTCGCGCTCCGCCCCGCCCAGCAGTACTCGAGCTTCAACTCGTCCCTGTCGAGCATCCCCTACATCGAGCGCCGCCTCCTCAGCCTCGCCCAGCCCTGGGGCACGCGCGAGCACGGCATCGAGATGGTCGACCTCGCGTCCGACGAGGGCCTTGAGGTCCCGCTCGAGCTCCTCGAGCCCGAGTGGCAGTTCTACCGCAAGGCCGACAAGGCGGCGGCGCCGTCGACGTCCGAGGACGCCAGCGCGAGGGCCGACGCGCAGGAGATGGACATCGAGGCGCAGGAGCCGGCGGCGGCCACGACGAGCTCGGCGCCGAGTGCGCCTCCCGCGCCCTCGGTCCTGTCGACGCCGGGGCCCGTCCGCCGCACCATGTCGTACGCGGCGGCGCAGCAGACGCCGACGCGCGAGGGCGCCGCACCGCCGACTACGCCGGCGCAGGCCCCGGCGACGCCCGGCCCTGCCTCGGCCGCGAGCGCCAAGCCGCACGAGGGCCTCACGTCGGTCCACCTGCCCAACTTTCGCGCGGCGCCCGAGACGAGCGTCATCGACTCGCTCGTCGACCTGTCGTCGGCGCACGACGTCCCCGAGGGCGACCGCCTCGACCTCCTCCAGAAGCTGCGCATCACCCAGGCCCTCGCCGCACCCGACGCGGCGACGCGCCAGGAGCTCCTCGCCGTGCGACTCCTCGCGCTCGCCGTCTACTCGCACGCCCAGCCGGAGCACAACGCCCAGCTCAAGGTGTTCCTGTTCGAGCCCGAGCTCATCTCCCAGCTCGCCGAGCTCATCCACCCGGAGCGCGACGTCCCGATGGAGGTCAAGAGCGCGGCCCTGTACGCGCTCGAGGCGTTCGCGCGGTACAAGGGCAAGACGGCCGAGGTCGCGAGCGCCCTGAACGCGAGCGTCAGCCACGGCGTCCTCATGGAGGCGGTGCGCAAGATGTCGGCAGACCTCGACTCGGACACGCGTGCGTCTGCGTCCTCTCCTCGTTTCCCCCCTCCTCGAGTGGCGGCACCGAGAGTGACCCGACTGATCCCTCCTCTGCACCGTCCCGCAGCCGAATCCTCGCCCGAGTTCGTCGACGCCCTGTTCAACCTCCTCACCTACATCAACATGCACCAGGCCGTCGGCAACATGGTCATCGGCGCCGGCCTCGTCAGCATCCTGCTCGACTTTGTCAAGAACTCGCGCGACGGTGCGCTCCAGCTCACGGCGGCCAACAAGGCCGTCGTCCTCCTCGACGGCTTCCTGTACGGCTACACGACGGCGTTCACGGCCTACATGAGCGCCGGCGGCCTCGGCGACTTCATCGAGCGCATCAAGGTGCGTCCTCGGCGCGCCCCTCATCCCTCCCTCTTCTGCGGCTTCGAGCCTTGCCCTGCGCCTACGACTGACTGTCGCTTCCTCCTGCCCGTACAGTACGAGGTCACGTCGGCGATCGAGCAGAAGAGCGACGAGGCGGCCAAGCTCGAGTGGACCGTCAAGGAGAACACGATGGGCCTCCTGTCGTTCCAGCGGGCGTCGATGCTCAAAAACATCCTGCGCGCGATGCAGCGCCTCATGACGACGGCCGGCACGACCGAGGGCCTGCGCAACTTGATCGACACGCCGCTCCTCGCCGCCGTCAAGCAGGTCATCGAGCACCGCCTCATCTTTGGCCCTCAAGTGTTCGCGATCGTGACCAACATCGCCGCAACGTTCGTGCACAACGAGCCAACGTCGCTCGCGACGCTCCAGGAGGCCAAGGTCCCCGACGCGTTCTACGACTCGCTCGCGCAGGGCGGCGGCATCCCGGCGTCCAACGACGTCCTCCAGGCCATCCCGAACGCGATCGGCGCCTTCTGCCTCAACCAGGCCGGCCTCGCCCAGTTCGCCGAGCGCGACCTCGTCCCGACCTACTTCCGCATCTTCACGTCCCCCAGCCACTTCGAGCTCCTGCGCGACCGCGACTCGGCCGTCGTCATCGGTACCGCCATCGACGAGCTCGTGCGGCACCACCCGACGCTGCGCGACGAGGTCATGAAGGCGATGATGCAGGTCTTCGAGGACATCAAGGCCTGGGGCGCCAAGTTCGTCCCGCCCGAGGGCGAGCAGGGCTACACGCTCCTCCCGGCGGCGGCGGCGGCGGCGGCGGCGGCAGCTCCCGGCGTCGACGAGGGCAAGGGCAAGCAGAGGGAGACGGAGCCGGACGTGCAGATGGGCGAGGGCTCCGGCGCGGGCACGGGCGGCGGCGGCGAGGACGGCGGCGCGGCGGCGTCCGCCCAGGCGGCGGCAGCGAGTGCCTCGGACAAGGACAAGAAGAAGGAGGACGAGTTCAAGGACAACGAGGTGACCAACGCCATCGACGTCTATGGCCGGGTACGTCCTCGTCGTCGTCCCTCCTTTCGGCCACGAGCGAGGTTGGCGGCACTAACTCATCGTGGTCCCGCCTCTCGCAGTTTCTCGAGGGCCTGTTCCAGAACCTCGGCCACACGACCGACTTCCTCGGCAACTCGACGCGCGCGTTCGACCTCATCCTCGACCTCCTCGAGCTGCCGTGCTGCCCGGCCATCATGCTCAAGAACAGCGGGTACAGCTCGGTCGTCGCAATCTTCCGCATCGCGTCCGAGATCAAGGCGCCCGAGGCGCTCGCCGCCATCCTCAAGCGCACCGACAAGTGGCTCGACGAGACGCGCTGGTTCTGGGACACGCCGTCCGAGGGCGTCGCGCGCGAGTCGACGCTCGGCGTCATGGTCAACCCGTCGCCCGACGACCTCGCCGCGCAGCAGGCGCGGTTCCGCGCCCTCACGACCCTCCTCACGCACATCTCGCTCCTGTCGGACGTGTACATCAACCTCACGTACGTCCATGGCAAGGCGGCGACCGCCATCCTGAGCGTCTTTGCCCCGCCGGCGCCCGTCGTCCAGCAGGAGCTCCTCGAGCGCATCGGCCGCGTGTACCGCGCGTGCCAGTGGGAAAACGTCACGATCCGCCCGACGACGTTCTGGACGGGCGAGGCGAGCAAGAGCGCGACCGACGAGGTCGTCAAGGCGGCCGACGCCCAGGGCGAGGCGCCGACGCCGGCCGTCGCCGCAGCGCGCGAGCACCAGCTCGAGCAGGCGGCCGACAAGGCGGCTGTCGACGCCATCTCGACGCCGGCGACGCCCGACTCGCCCAACATCAAGCTCGTGCAAGACGTTATCCAGTCGTTCACCAAGTCGACGACGCCGCTCATCCAGTGTGCGTCCGCCTCTTCTCCTCTCGTCCTCCTCCCTGCCTGACTCGATTGACTGACTGGCTCGTCCCGCATCACAGCGATCGTGAAGCTCCTCGTGCACCGCCGCAGCTCGGACGCCGCCCACCGCAAGGTCGCTCGCGTCGTCGGCAGCAAGCTCGCGCGCTTCCTGCGCGACAGCTGCGTGTGGCCCGACGCCAAGGACCTGTCGGCCAACCTCGCCTACTCGGCGCAGAGCTTCGTCTTCCTCACCAAGATCCTGTTCGACGAGCGGCCCAACTACATCGGCCTCCAGACGTACCTCCTGCGCGCGTTCGTCGCGTGCGGCGGTCTCGACGCCTACCTCGGCCTGTTCACCAAGCTCCAGGCCGTCGCGACCGACTACTTTGCGTCGTCCGAGGACGCCAACGCGGCGTCGCCGATGATCATCCCGGTCTTTGGCGGCCTCAAGACGGCGCTCGAGCTCCTCAGCAAGCTCACGTCGCAGAAGACGCTCCTCGAGGCGCCCCAGACGGCGCTCCTCGTCACGCGCGAGAAGGACCCGGCCAACGCCGACTTCTTCAACGCGCACGAGTTCCTCGTCCGCCTCCGGGCCGCCGTCCTCCCGACGCTGCGCGAGGCGTGGAACCAGCCCTGGCTCCGCAAGTGCCCGCAGCCCGTCGTTCGCAGCCTCGTCGCGACCCTCATCAACGTGATCAAGGCCGAGGGCGAGGTGTCGACCGAGCCGCCGGCTCGCGCCGAGGCGGGACCCGGTCGCACGCTCGGGCAGGTCCTGGGCGACGGCGGCATCGGCGGCGGTATCGGCGGCGCGCTCAACGCGCTCAACGCCGTCCTCGGCGGCGGCGTCGGCGGCATCCTCGGCGGTGCAGGCGCCCCCGCCGGCACGCCGCCCGCCGCTCCCGCCCTCGACGAGACGCGCGTGTCGCAGCTCATGGACATGGGCTTCCCGCGCGGCGCGTGCGAGACGGCCCTGCGTCGGTGCCGCAACAACGTCGCGCTCGCGACCGAGTACCTGCTCCAGCACCCGGACCTCGTCGGCGCCGCTCGCGACGAGGAGGCTCGCCAGCCAGCAGACGCCGCACCGGCGCCCGCCGCCGATGCTGCCGCCGTCGCCGACGATGGTCCTGCGCAAGCCGACGCGCCGGCACCGGCCGCTCCCGCAGAGGAGGCGCCGGCGGCCCCAGTCGACGGCGCGCCCGCCGGCGAGGAACCTGCGCCGCCTCAAGCAGACGTCGAGATGAACGAGGCCGCAACGGCCGCTCCTGAAGAGCCAGTCGCTGCCGCCGAGCCCGAGGAGCTCGCCGTCGCGCCCATCGACGACGTCCGCAAGGAGCTCGACGCGACCCGCAAGGAGCTCAAGCCCGACTTCATGGCTCGCGCCCTCGAGCTCGCCGAGGACTATGGCGACCTCGTCTTCGACATCAAGTCGATCTTCGGCCTGCTCAACCCTCGCGAGGACGGCGACAGCTCGACGGCGCCGCTCAAGTCTGTCCTCGCCGACCTCGCGACCCGCCTCGAGGCGCCCGGCGACGCCAAGACCGAGGCCGCGGCGGCAGCTCGCCTTCGTCTCGTCGCCCTCGTCTCGACCGACCCGGCCTACCGCGAGAGCATCGAGCCGCACCGCGAGGAGATCATGTCGGCCGTCATCAAGTGCCAGCAGCTCTACTCGCAGCAGTCGCCGGCCAAGGACGCCCGCCCCAAGTGGCTCGCGCCCCTCATGCTCGTCGCCGACTCGCTCGTCTCGATCCAGGACGTGCCCAAGCCGACGACCATCCTCCCCGACGGCGAGGACGTGCCCGTCGTCGAGCTCGTCGCGCAGGGTCCGGCGTGGGACACCGAGCGGCGTGCCCTGTTCAACCTCGCCATGGACGTCCTCGACAAGGGCGTGTCGACGCGCGAGATGTTCATCTCGATGGCGCGCCTGCTCCTCGTCCTCACGCGCGACCACGAGCTCGCGAGCGAGTTCGTCCGCCGCGACGGCCTCAAGACGCTCTTCGCCGCGTTCGCCACCGACTCGCCCGAGACCAAGGGCTGTCACTCGTACGCCGTCATGATCCTGCGTCACATCGTCGAGGACAAGGCCATCCTGCGGCCCATGATCGAGCGCGAGATCGAGATCTGGTTCGGCAACAGCCGCTCCAAGGTGCGCTCGCTTTCCCCTCCCCCTCACGGTCCTTTCCCTCGTCCTGGGTGCGCGCTCACATCGTTTCTCTCCTCCCCTCGCAGCTTGCCGACATCACCGGCTTCATCCGCGGCGCGAGTTCCGCCGCGTTCCGCGACGTCGAGACGTTCCTCGAGGCCGCCAAGTCGACGATCAAGCTCGTGCAGGCCGACGCGCCGCACCACTACCACGTCACGCTCATCAAGGACCCGGCCGCGTCGCGCAAGGCTGTCGACGCCGAGCTGCTCACGTCGCCGCTCAACCAGGACGCCGCCGACAACGAGCACGGCGACGCGGCCATGGGCGACGCCGCCGCGCCGAGCAAGGTCGCGCCGCCGCACAAGGCCATCACGCCTGCGCCCGTCGTCACCGAGTCGACGGTCCACTTCCTCATGCAGCAGGTGCTCGACACGGCCAAGGCGGCGCTCGCGCCCATCCCTGTCCCGACCGCCTCGGCCACGCCCAGCGGAGCCTCGACTGCTGCCGAGCCACCCGCCGCCTCGACCGCCGACGCCGCGAGCGGGAGCCCGGCACCCGTCGACGTCGCGACCAAGAAGGACGGCAAGGACGCGCACATCCCGGCCGACGTGCCGCTCGGCGACTTTTTCCAGTCGGCGTTCTCGCTCGCGTGCCTCGCCGAGCTCGTCGCGTCGTACAACCCGTGCAAGTCGGCGTTCCTCACGTTCTCGACGCGCAAGGGCGGCAGCAAGGAGGCGGTCGCGGCGCGGTCCCGGTCGTCGTTCCTGTACTTCCTCCTCAACGACCTCGTCCCCTCGTCGACGCTCGTCCCGTCGCTCGATTTCGACTCGAAGCGGGCGTCGTCGATGTGGGGCTGGGCGTCGCTCGTCGTCGTCGGGCTGTGCTACGACGCGACGGCCGCGTCGCTCGGCACGTCGGCCGCCGACAAGGACTCGGTCGCCGACATCACGAGCGTGCGCAAGGCCGTCCTCGACGCCGTCGCGCGCGCGTACCGCGACGCCATGGCGTCCAACGAGCCGACCGAGACGCGGTACACGCGCCTCGCGTGCCTGTCGGACCTGTGCCACCGCCTCTTGACGGCTCGCCCGTTCCCGCACGTCGGCCGCCCGCACTCGGAGACGTCGATGCAGCTCGCCAAGCTCATGCTCGAGAAGAACTTTGCCGTCATCCTCACCAACGCGCTCGCCGAGGTTGACCTCAACTTCCCGCACGTCAACTCGCTCATCAACGCCATCCTGCGCCCTCTCGAGAACCTCACCAAGGTCGTCACCAAGCTCGGCCGCGCCAAGGGCGCCACCGGTGCCGGCGGGCGCAAGCGCCCCGTCGACGACGACGCGTCGAGCGATGCGTCGTCCGTGAGCGAGTCGGGCGACAGCGCCGACGACGCGTCCGAGGCGGCTGCCGAGCAGGACCAAGCCGCCGCCGACCTGTACCGCAACTCGGCGCTCGGCATGTACGAGGGCGAGCTCGAGACGGGCCACGGCGGTCACGGCGCCGGCGACGAGTTCATGAGCGAGGACGAGGAGGACTTTGACGACGACGACGAGATGATGGACGACATGGAGGACGGCTTCGGCTCTGGGAGCGACATCTCGGACGCCTCAGACCTCGACGACGACGACGACGTGCGTCCCGCTCTCTCTCTCTCTCTCGCTCTCGCTCTCTCTCTCTCTCTCTCTCTCTTTCTCTCTCGCCCCGGTCGTCGCCGAACGACAAGAGATCCTGACTCTCTCGTCCTCTCTGGCCCTCCCCCTGCGCTCGCAGGACGATGGCAACCTCGACGACGCCGACATGCAGGAGATGGACGACGACCACGGCGACGACGGCGACCTGTCGACCGACGACTCGCAGGCCGACCAGCTCGAGGCCGGCGACGTCGAGGAGGAGATCTCGATCGACGGCGCGTCCGACGCCGACGAAGAAGAGCTCCTCGAGGCGTTCGACGAGGCGTTCGAGGACGAGTTCGACGGCGAGGAGGAGGAGTGGGTCGACGAGGACGAGGACGCGCTCGCGCTCGACGGCGGTGCGGGCGCAGCCGAGGGCGACGAGATGGTGTTCGAGGGCGAGGACGTCGAGGAGATGGACGACGAGGCCAACGTCGACGGCGGCGGCGACAGCGACGGCGGCTTCACCGACGAGGAGGACGTCCTCACGGGCGAACTCGAGTTCGACCCGGAGATGACCGAGCAGCTTCGCGCCCAGTCGACGGCGCAGGCGTACGGCTGGGACCCGGTCACCGGCGGCGAGGGCGGCTCGAACCGCCGCAACCGCCACATGGCCGAGGAGATGATGGCGCTCGGCGACGCCGGCATGTTCGACCGCCCGCGCAACACGAGCACGGCGGCGCCGCACCCGTTGCTCGTCGAGGGCCCGCCTCCCGACGCTCGCCTCGAAACGGCCGCACGTCGTCCTCGCGGCAACAACGCCACCTCGCGCGACTCGCCGGCGTACCAAGAGTGGGTGCGCTCGGTCGAGCAGATGCTCGGGCCCGGCGGCGTCAACACGCTGCAGGAGGTCCTCGGCTCGCACGGCCTCGCCCACCTGTCGGGCCCCGACCAGCTCCGCATCCAGCTCCAGCCCGGCCCCGACGGCGGCATGGCCGTCGTCATCGACCCGACGCCGGGCCTGCGCGCCGCCGCTCAGCAGCCGCCGCCGCACGCCCACCACGACTCGTCGGCCCGTCACGGCGCGAGCGCGCCCACGTCTCGCTCGGTCGCTCGCCAGCTCTCGGACCGCATCAACGCCGCCTCGGCGTTCCTGCCCGTCCAGACCAACCAGCGGTGGCAAGAAGAAGGCCGCATCCTCCAGGGTCCGTCCTCTCGTTCCCTCGCCATTCTCTCCCTGCCCAACGCGCCCTGACTCTCGATTTCCCTCCTCCTCGCAGGCTGTGTCCTCGTCGCCGAGCGCGTCGCTCGCCTCACCAACCACGTCATCAACGTCCTGCACGGGCCGGCGCGCGAGGAGGCCAAGGCCGAGCGCAAGAAGACCGACGAGCGCCGCAAGAAGCAGGAGGACGAGGCGCGCAAGGCCGAGGAGGCCGCCAAGAAGGAGAAGGAGGAGAACGAGCAGAAGGAGGCCGAGCGCTCGAGGGCCGAGGAGGAGGAGCGGCAGGCGGTCGAGCCGGCGCCCCAGCTCGAGCCCGAGCAGCAGGAGGCCTCGATGGAGGTCGACTCGACTGCCGGCGACGACGTGCCGGACGACGTCGCCGAGGTCATGAACCTCGCCCGCTCGCTCGCGGCCGGCCTCGCCGTCCCTTCCACCTCGGGCTCGACGCCGGTTCGTCAGCCGACGCCCTCGTCGAGCGCTCCCGCTCCCGCACCTGCACCAGCCGCCGCGCCGGCCGCCACGACGAGTGCGGGCGACGTCGCTATGGACGCAGAGCCGAGCGGCTCGGGTGACGCCGCCGCCGCCGCCGAGTCGCCCGAGCGCGTCACGGTCCTCGTCCACGGCGAGGAGGTCGACATCACCGACACGGGCATCGACCGCGAGTTCCTCGAGGCGCTCCCGGACGACATGCGCGACGAGGTCATCCGCCAGCACCTGCGCGAGTCGCGCATCCGCTCGATGGGCCCGCCGCCCGCCGTCCCCGAGCACATCAACGCCGAGTTCCTCGACGCCCTCCCGCTCGACCTGCGCATGGAGGTCCTTCGCCAAGAAGCCGCCGAGCAGCGCCGCCAGCAGCAGGCCGCCGCGCCCGCCGCCGCCGCCGCCGCCGGTCAGCCGCAGCCGCCCGCCAACGAGGACGCCGCGCCCGCCGCCGACATGGACCCGGGCTCGTTTCTCGCCACGCTCGACCCGGCGCTGCGCTCTGCCGTCCTCTCGGCTGAAGAGGGCGGCCTCGGCATGGGCGGCGGGCTCGCAGGGGGCCTTCTCGGCAACGCCGGCGCGCTCCTCGGCGCTCGCGCACCTCGAGGCGCCCCGGCCGCCGGTCGTCGCGCAGGAGCCGGTGCGGCTGGAGCCGCTCGCGGCGCCGCGGCGCCAGCCGAGGCCGGCGCGTCGGGCTCGGGCGCGGCCAAGAAGGCGACGCCGCCGCGCGAGGTCATCCAGCTCCTCGACAAGTCGGGCCTGGCGACGCTCGTCCGCCTCCTGTTCTTCCCTCAGCCGCTCCGCAAGAACGCGCTGCAGAAGGTCCTCGTCAACCTGTGCGAGAACGCTCGCACGCGCGTCGAGCTCATCAACCTCCTCCTCACCATCCTTCACGACGGCACGCGCGACGTCTCGGCGGTCGACAAGAGCTTCTCGCAAATGTCGCTGCGCGCAAGCCGCGCCGTCGTGCCCAAGGACACGCCCAAGCGCAAGGTGCCCGACACGCCCGGCGCCGCGCTCCCGCACTTCCCCGGCGAGAGCGTGCCGAACCTCATCGCGCAGCGCTGCCTCGAGGCGCTCCTGTCGCTCGTTAGCGGCAACGACCAGGCGCCCCTCTTCTTCCTCACCGAGCAGGAGGTCCAGGTCAACAAGCGCGGCGCCAAGAAGGGCAAGGGCAAGGAGAAGGTCCGTCCTCGCCTCTTCCCCTCGCCTCCCACGTTCTCGTCCCGACTGACCCTCGTTTCCCGCTTCCTCGCAGGCTCAGCCCTCGACGACGTACCCGATCATCGTCCTGCTCAGCCTCCTCGAGCGCCCCGCCATGCTCAAGACGGCCGGCATGATGGACGCCGTCACGGCCCTCCTGACGCACATCACGCGCGCCCTCACGGTCATCCCCAAGCCGCCCGTCGTCGCCCCCGCCACCTCGCCTGCGTCAGCTCCTCCGAGCGCAGACGCTGCCGGCGCCGCCCCTGTCGCCGTCTCGGACGCCGCATCGACCGCCGCCGAGGCCGTCACGGGCGAGATCGAGCGCAAGGACGAGGGCAAGGACGCCGAGGCCAAGGAGACGAGCGGCAAGCCCGAAGCCGTCCTCGTCAGCTCGCCGCCGCAGATCCCTGCCGCAAGCCTGCGCCTCGTCGTCAACGTGCTCGACGCCGGCGAGTGCTCGAGCCGCACCTTCTCGTCGACGCTCGGCATCATCCAGCACCTGTCGCACCTCAACGGCGGCCGCGAGACGATCCTCGACGAGCTCAAGAGTCGCGCCGAGAAGATCTCGAACGAGATCACGCCCGACCTCGTCGAGTTGTCGGACAAGATCGCCCAGGACGAGCCCGTCTCGAGCGCCATGTTGGGCAAGCTCACGCCCGCCTCGTCGAGCCAGGCCAAGCTCCTGCGCATCCTCAAAACGATCGACTTTTTCGGCACGCCCAAGAAGACGGCGACGCAGGCCTCGGGCGTGCCGGCGTCCAAGACGCTCTCGCCCGAGGAGGAGCAGGTCAAGGCCATCTACTCGTCGCTCGCCGTCTCGGACCTGTGGAAGCGCCTCGGCGACACGCTCGGCGGCATCGAGGCCAAGCCCGACCTGCTGTACCTGTCGACCGTCCTCCTGCCCCTCATCGAGTCGCTCCTCGTCGTCAACAAGTTCACCGACGCGACCTCGACCGAGTTCATCGAGTTCACAACGGCGCACAGCAAGATTCTCAACACGATGGTCCGCAACAACCCGTCGCTCATGTCGGGCTCGTTCGCCGTCCTCGTGCGCAACTCGAGCATGCTCGACTTTGAGAACAAGCGCTCGTTCTTCTTCTCGGTCCGTCCTCTCTCTCTCTCTCTCTCTCTCTCTCTCTCTCTCCCACCCTCTCGCCCTTGTACCTCGAGCGTCGTGTGTACTGACTCTTTGCACGGCCTCTCACAGCGTCTGCACGACCGCGCCCAAAGGACCAAGGCGCACTACCCGGCCGTCAACCTCAATATTCGTCGGGCCCACGTCTTCGAGGACTCGTTCTCCGTCTTCCAGCGCAAGTCGGGCGAGGACATCAAGTACGGCAAGCTCAACGTCAAGTTCTACGGCGAGGAGGGCGTCGACGCGGGCGGTGTCACGAGGTGCGTCTCGGTCTTCGAGTCCTCGCCTGCGCTCGAGCGCCGTCCCTGACTTTTCTCGCCTCGGGCTCGTCCGCAGGGAATGGTTTGGCGCTCTCGCACGTCGCATGTTCAACCCGGACTATGCGCTCTTCCAGCCGCAAGCTGCCGACTCGCTCACGTACCAGCCGAACAAGGTGCGTCTCTCCCGCCTCTCCTCGTGTCCGACCGGCCCGAGTCTGACGACGTCCGCCCACACAGTCGTCGGCCATCAACGAGTACCACCTGCACTACTTCCGGTTCGTCGGGCGCATCATCGGCAAGGCGATCCACGATCAGCGCATCCTCGAGGCCTACTTCTCTCGCTGTGCGTCCTCTCTCGTCCCTCGGTCGGTCTCGTGCAGGGGCACTCGTCCTGACTATGTGCCCTTTCCCTGCCCTGCAGCCGTCTACAAGCACATGCTCGGCAAGCCCATCGACCACCGCGACCTCGAGTCGATCGACCCCGAGTACTACAAGTCGCTTGTGTGGATGCTCGAGAACGACATTGACGGCGTCCTCGACCTCACGTTCTCGACCGAGCGCGACGAGTTTGGCGTCGTCGAGACGATCGACCTCGTGCCGAACGGCCGCAACGTCGCCGTCACGAACGAGAACAAGGCCGACTACGTGCGCCGCATCGCCGACCAGCGCCTCTCGATCGAGATCAAGGACCAGATGAAGGTGCGTGCACCTCCTCTCGCCCCATGTCGATGCCGAGCCTGACTTTGTCACCCTCGCAGGCCATGCTCGAGGGCCTGTACGAGATCGTCCCCAAGGAGCTCTTGCAGATCTTTTCCGAGCGCGAGGTCGAGCTCCTCATCAGCGGCCTCCCCGACGTCGACGTTGACGACTGGAGGGCTCACTGCGGTGCGTCCCGCCGTCCTCCTCTTTCTTCCTTTGCTCGAGATCTGACCTCTCCTCACCGTCACACAGACCTCGTCGGCTACTCGCCCTCGGACCCGGTCATCGGGTACCTGTGGCGCAGCATCCGCAGCTTCTCGCAGGAGGAGCGAGCCAAGCTCCTCCAGTTCGTCACTGGCTCGAGTCGGGTGCCGCTCGAAGGCTTCAAGGCGCTCCAGGGCATGCAGTGCGTCCCCGCATCCTCGAGGTCTTTCGAGCGAATACTCATACTTTGCCCGTTTGACAGCGGCGTCACACGCTTCAACATTCACAAAGCCGGGGCGAATGACAGTCTGCCTTCCGCCCACACGTGCTTCAACCGTGCGTCGGCTCGTTCCCTCCTTTTCTCGCCTCTCTCGCCTCTCGTCGCAGTTCTGTCCCTGACTGTACGTCTCCACGTGTGCGCGCAGAGCTCGACTTGCCCTCGGGCTACGAGAGCTACGAGCAGTTCCGCCAGAAGCTCTTGCTCGCCATCACCGAGGTGCGCACGGCCCTCCTCTCCTCTCCTCCTCTTCCTCTCCCTTCTCCCTCGTCCCTTGTCCTCGTACTGACGTCGGCGCCTCTCTCTCTCCCTCTCTCTCACGCACGCAGGGCGGACAAGGGTTCGGGTTCGCGTGAGCGTGAGGGCGAGCGAGGGTGGCTCGACCGGAGGAAAGAGGAAGGGAGGGGAGAGGAGAGGAAGATGGCCGAGGCAGCCAGCAGTCTTGTCAGTTTCTCTCACCGTAGCATGCTCGCAATCATGTACACAGTCTGTGCGACGCCGCGCCTCGCAGAATGACGCACTCTGTCGACGAGAAGGGAATCTCTCGCCGCCGTCCTCCCTCGACGAAAGCTCTGTCGAGACCAAGTTGGTTCGCCGGCAGGTCCGGCCAGCGCAATGCTCTCTGTAGCTTGGGTGCGCTCGAGGAACGACTGGCTGAGCGCGGCCCGCCCGACGACGGGCAAACGACGACTTCTCGTGCACCTTCTTGCGCAGGTCGCTCGGACCTCCTCTCTGTCGGGACCAGCTCGAGCGTCGCGACGCTCGACGCTTGCTGTAGCTGGACTCGAGAGACTCGCTTTATGGCCTGCGGAACGTCCACCGCGGCAAACGCGAGGCGCAAGTCGCGGTAGTCTGGATTAGAATGTGGCGAGTCGGATTAGCTTTCGGTGCATCGAACTTGCGCTTGACTTGTTGCTATGCGCGCCGGCTCGATTGTACCTCCCTGCTGAGCTCGCATAGCGTCGGTCTCGCCCGAGGGAGGGCACTCGACTGCACTACGTCCGCTCTCTTCCCTCGTTCTCTCTCTCTCTCTCTTTCTCTCTCTGGCGCAGGCGCTCATACTTTGCCCGTTTGACAGCGGCGTCACACGCTTCAACATTCACAAAGCCGGGGCGAATGACAGTCTGCCTTCCGCCCACACGTGCTTCAACCGTGCGTCGGCTCGTTCCCTCCTTTTCTCGCCTCTCTCGCCTCTCGTCGCAGTTCTGTCCCTGACTTTACGTCTCCACGTGTGCGCGCAGAGCTCGACTTGCCCTCGGGCTACGAGAGCTACGAGCAGTTCCGCCAGAAGCTCTTGCTCGCCATCACCGAGGTGCGCACGGCCCTCCTCTCCTCTCCTCCTCTCCTCCTTTCCCTTCTCCCTCGTCCCTTGTCCTCGTACTGACGTCGGCGCCTCTCTCTCTCCCTCTCTCTCACGCACGCAGGGCGGACAAGGGTTCGGGTTCGCGTGAGCGTGAGGGCAAGCGAGGGTGGCTCGACCGGAGGAAAGAGGAAGGGAGGGGAGAGGAGAGGAAGATGGCCGAGGCAGCCAGCAGTCTTGTCAGTTTCTCTCACCGTAGCATGCTCGCAATCATGTACACAGTCTGTGCGACGCCGCGCCTCGCAGAATGACGCACTCTGTCGACGAGAAGGGAATCTCTCGCCGCCGTCCTCCCTCGACGAAAGCTCTGTCGAGACCAAGTTGGTTCGCCGGCAGGTCCGGCCAGCGCAATGCTCTCTGTAGCTTGGGTGCGCTCGAGGAACGACTGGCTGAGCGCGGCCCGCCCGACGACGGGCAAACGACGACTTCTCGTGCACCTTCTTGCGCAGGTCGCTCGGACCTCCTCTCTGTCGGGACCAGCTCGAGCGTCGCGACGCTCGACGCTTGCTGTAGCTGGACTCGAGAGACTCGCTTTATGGCCTGCGGAACGTCCACCGCGGCAAACGCGAGGCGCAAGTCGCGGTAGTCTGGATTAGAATGTGGCGAGTCGGATTAGCTTTCGGTGCATCGAACTTGCGCTTGACTTTGTTGCTATGCGCGCCGGCTCGATTGTACCTCCCTGCTGAGCTCGCATAGCGTCGGTCTCGCCCGAGGGAGGGCACTCGACTGCACTACGTCCGCTCTCTTCCCTCGTTCTCTCTCTCTCTCTCTTTCTCTCTCTGGCGCAGGCGCTCATACTTTGCCCGTTTGACAGCGGCGTCACACGCTTCAACATTCACAAAGCCGGGGCGAATGACAGTCTGCCTTCCGCCCACACGTGCTTCAACCGTGCGTCGGCTCGTTCCCTCCTTTTCTCGCCTCTCTCGCCTCTCGTCGCAGTTCTGTCCCTGACTTTACGTCTCCACGTGTGCGCGCAGAGCTCGACTTGCCCTCGGGCTACGAGAGCTACGAGCAGTTCCGCCAGAAGCTCTTGCTCGCCATCACCGAGGTGCGCACGGCCCTCCTCTCCTCTCCTCCTCTCCTCCTTTCCCTTCTCCCTCGTCCCTTGTCCTCGTACTGACGTCGGCGCCTCTCTCTCTCCCTCTCTCTCACGCACGCAGGGCGGACAAGGGTTCGGGTTCGCGTGAGCGTGAGGGCGAGCGAGGGTGGCTCGACCGGAGGAAAGAGGAAGGGAGGGGAGAGGAGAGGAAGATGGCCGAGGCAGCCAGCAGTCTTGTCAGTTTCTCTCACCGTAGCATGCTCGCAATCATGTACACAGTCTGTGCGACGCCGCGCCTCGCAGAATGACGCACTCTGTCGACGAGAAGGGAATCTCTCGCCGCCGTCCTCCCTCGACGAAAGCTCTGTCGAGACCAAGTTGGTTCGCCGGCAGGTCCGGCCAGCGCAATGCTCTCTGTAGCTTGGGTGCGCTCGAGGAACGACTGGCTGAGCGCGGCCCGCCCGACGACGGGCAAACGACGACTTCTCGTGCACCTTCTTGCGCAGGTCGCTCGGACCTCCTCTCTGTCGGGACCAGCTCGAGCGTCGCGACGCTCGACGCTTGCTGTAGCTGGACTCGAGAGACTCGCTTTATGGCCTGCGGAACGTCCACCGCGGCAAACGCGAGGCGCAAGTCGCGGTAGTCTGGATTAGAATGTGGCGAGTCGGATTAGCTTTCGGTGCATCGAACTTGCGCTTGACTTTGTTGCTATGCGCGCCGGCTCGATTGTACCTCCCTGCTGAGCTCGCATAGCGTCGGTCTCGCCCGAGGGAGGGCACTCGACTGCACTACGTCCGCTCTCTTCCCTCGTTCTCTCTCTCTCTCTCTTTCTCTCTCTGGCGCAGGCGCTCATACTTTGCCCGTTTGACAGCGGCGTCACACGCTTCAACATTCACAAAGCCGGGGCGAATGACAGTCTGCCTTCCGCCCACACGTGCTTCAACCGTGCGTCGGCTCGTTCCCTCCTTTTCTCGCCTCTCTCGCCTCTCGTCGCAGTTCTGTCCCTGACTGTACGTCTCCACGTGTGCGCGCAGAGCTCGACTTGCCCTCGGGCTACGAGAGCTACGAGCAGTTCCGCCAGAAGCTCTTGCTCGCCATCACCGAGGTGCGCACGGCCCTCCTCTCCTCTCCTCCTCTCCTCCTTTCCCTTCTCCCTCGTCCCTTGTCCTCGTACTGACGTCGGCGCCTCTCTCTCTCCCTCTCTCTCACGCACGCAGGGCGGACAAGGGTTCGGGTTCGCGTGAGCGTGAGGGCGAGCGAGGGTGGCTCGACCGGAGGAAAGAGGAAGGGAGGGGAGAGGAGAGGAAGATGGCCGAGGCAGCCAGCAGTCTTGTCAGTTTCTCTCACCGTAGCATGCTCGCAATCATGTACACAGTCTGTGCGACGCCGCGCCTCGCAGAATGACGCACTCTGTCGACGAGAAGGGAATCTCTCGCCGCCGTCCTCCCTCGACGAAAGCTCTGTCGAGACCAAGTTGGTTCGCCGGCAGGTCCGGCCAGCGCAATGCTCTCTGTAGCTTGGGTGCGCTCGAGGAACGACTGGCTGAGCGCGGCCCGCCCGACGACGGGCAAACGACGACTTCTCGTGCACCTTCTTGCGCAGGTCGCTCGGACCTCCTCTCTGTCGGGACCAGCTCGAGCGTCGCGACGCTCGACGCTTGCTGTAGCTGGACTCGAGAGACTCGCTTTATGGCCTGCGGAACGTCCACCGCGGCAAACGCGAGGCGCAAGTCGCGGTAGTCTGGATTAGAATGTGGCGAGTCGGATTAGCTTTCGGTGCATCGAACTTGCGCTTGACTTTGTTGCTATGCGCGCCGGCTCGATTGTACCTCCCTGCTAAGCTCGCATAGCGTCGGTCTCGCCCGAGGGAGGGCACTCGACTGCACTACGTCCGCTCTCTTCCCTCGTTCTCTCTCTCTCTCTCTTTCTCTCTCTGGCGCAGGCGCTCATACTTTGCCCGTTTGACAGCGGCGTCACACGCTTCAACATTCACAAAGCCGGGGCGAATGACAGTCTGCCTTCCGCCCACACGTGCTTCAACCGTGCGTCGGCTCGTTCCCTCCTTTTCTCGCCTCTCTCGCCTCTCGTCGCAGTTCTGTCCCTGACTGTACGTCTCCACGTGTGCGCGCAGAGCTCGACTTGCCCTCGGGCTACGAGAGCTACGAGCAGTTCCGCCAGAAGCTCTTGCTCGCCATCACCGAGGTGCGCACGGCCCTCCTCTCCTCTCCTCCTCTCCTCCTTTCCCTTCTCCCTCGTCCCTTGTCCTCGTACTGACGTCGGCGCCTCTCTCTCTCCCTCTCTCTCACGCACGCAGGGCGGACAAGGGTTCGGGTTCGCGTGAGCGTGAGGGCGAGCGAGGGTGGCTCGACCGGAGGAAAGAGGAAGGGAGGGGAGAGGAGAGGAAGATGGCCGAGGCAGCCAGCAGTCTTGTCAGTTTCTCTCACCGTAGCATGCTCGCAATCATGTACACAGTCTGTGCGACGCCGCGCCTCGCAGAATGACGCACTCTGTCGACGAGAAGGGAATCTCTCGCCGCCGTCCTCCCTCGACGAAAGCTCTGTCGAGACCAAGTTGGTTCGCCGGCAGGTCCGGCCAGCGCAATGCTCTCTGTAGCTTGGGTGCGCTCGAGGAACGACTGGCTGAGCGCGGCCCGCCCGACGACGGGCAAACGACGACTTCTCGTGCACCTTCTTGCGCAGGTCGCTCGGACCTCCTCTCTGTCGGGACCAGCTCGAGCGTCGCGACGCTCGACGCTTGCTGTAGCTGGACTCGAGAGACTCGCTTTATGGCCTGCGGAACGTCCACCGCGGCAAACGCGAGGCGCAAGTCGCGGTAGTCTGGATTAGAATGTGGCGAGTCGGATTAGCTTTCGGTGCATCGAACTTGCGCTTGACTTTGTTGCTATGCGCGCCGGCTCGATTGTACCTCCCTGCTGAGCTCGCATAGCGTCGGTCTCGCCCGAGGGAGGGCACTCGACTGCACTACGTCCGCTCTCTTCCCTCGTTCTCTCTCTCTCTCTCTTTCTCTCTCTGGCGCAGGCGCTCATACTTTGCCCGTTTGACAGCGGCGTCACACGCTTCAACATTCACAAAGCCGGGGCGAATGACAGTCTGCCTTCCGCCCACACGTGCTTCAACCGTGCGTCGGCTCGTTCCCTCCTTTTCTCGCCTCTCTCGCCTCTCGTCGCAGTTCTGTCCCTGACTGTACGTCTCCACGTGTGCGCGCAGAGCTCGACTTGCCCTCGGGCTACGAGAGCTACGAGCAGTTCCGCCAGAAGCTCTTGCTCGCCATCACCGAGGTGCGCACGGCCCTCCTCTCCTCTCCTCCTCTCCTCCTTTCCCTTCTCCCTCGTCCCTTGTCCTCGTACTGACGTCGGCGCCTCTCTCTCTCCCTCTCTCTCACGCACGCAGGGCGGACAAGGGTTCGGGTTCGCGTGAGCGTGAGGGCAAGCGAGGGTGGCTCGACCGGAGGAAAGAGGAAGGGAGGGGAGAGGAGAGGAAGATGGCCGAGGCAGCCAGCAGTCTTGTCAGTTTCTCTCACCGTAGCATGCTCGCAATCATGTACACAGTCTGTGCGACGCCGCGCCTCGCAGAATGACGCACTCTGTCGACGAGAAGGGAATCTCTCGCCGCCGTCCTCCCTCGACGAAAGCTCTGTCGAGACCAAGTTGGTTCGCCGGCAGGTCCGGCCAGCGCAATGCTCTCTGTAGCTTGGGTGCGCTCGAGGAACGACTGGCTGAGCGCGGCCCGCCCGACGACGGGCAAACGACGACTTCTCGTGCACCTTCTTGCGCAGGTCGCTCGGACCTCCTCTCTGTCGGGACCAGCTCGAGCGTCGCGACGCTCGACGCTTGCTGTAGCTGGACTCGAGAGACTCGCTTTATGGCCTGCGGAACGTCCACCGCGGCAAACGCGAGGCGCAAGTCGCGGTAGTCTGGATTAGAATGTGGCGAGTCGGATTAGCTTTCGGTGCATCGAACTTGCGCTTGACTTTGTTGCTATGCGCGCCGGCTCGATTGTACCTCCCTGCTGAGCTCGCATAGCGTCGGTCTCGCCCGAGGGAGGGCACTCGACTGCACTACGTCCGCTCTCTTCCCTCGTTCTCTCTCTCTCTCTCTTTCTCTCTCTGGCGCAGGCGCTCATACTTTGCCCGTTTGACAGCGGCGTCACACGCTTCAACATTCACAAAGCCGGGGCGAATGACAGTCTGCCTTCCGCCCACACGTGCTTCAACCGTGCGTCGGCTCGTTCCCTCCTTTTCTCGCCTCTCTCGCCTCTCGTCGCAGTTCTGTCCCTGACTGTACGTCTCCACGTGTGCGCGCAGAGCTCGACTTGCCCTCGGGCTACAAGAGCTACGAGCAGCTCCGCCAGAAGCTCTTGCTCGCCATCACCGAGGTGCGCACGGCCCTCCTCTCCTCTCCTCCTCTCCTCCTTTCCCTTCTCCCTCGTCTCTCGTACTGACGTCGGCGCTCCTCTCTCCCTCTCTCTCACGGCCCGACGCATGTACTGACAAAGCGTCGTTGGCAAATGCCCGCATCAAGCGGCCACGGTCAAGCATCCTCCCGCCGTCCCCCTCCGTCCTCCTCCCTTCTCGCCCCTCCAACCCTCGCACTACTTGCCCTTGGTCGGCGCCTTGGCCTTCGCGGGCGCCTTCTTGGCCGCCTTGGGCTTCTTGGCCTTGACGAGCTTGTCCTTGGTGACGTCGCTCGAGTCCGAGTCGCCCGCATCGTCGTCGTCTCCCTCGGGGAGCTCGTCCTCGACCTGCAAAGGCAAGGCCGGCACAGGCGCGTCAGTACGAGTGTCCAGATGCCTAGAGAGAGAGAAAGGGGGTCGAGGCGAGGGCGAGAGCGAGGAGAGGAAAGAGAGAGGGAGAATGCGAGGGCGGGCGAGAGTGGGGTTGAGGGCGAGAACGAGGGACGTACGAAAGCCTCCTCGAGATCGGGCGCGTCACCCTGCGGCGCGAGCTTCTTGGCCTTGGCCTTGCCGGCCTCGGGCTTGTGGTACGGGATCGGGTGGTCCTGCGCGTTGTACCTGCGAGATGAACAGCCAGGTCGTCAGTACCTGTGCTCGTTGCACGTCTAAGAGAGAGAGAAGAGAGAGAAGAGAGGCGAGGGACGCACTTGCGGGTAAAAGCCGACTTGGTCTGCGCCGGGATCTTCTTGAGCACCTCGTCCATGCCCCTGCCCTCGCCAACGCCGAGCTCGACGATGGCGTCCCACTCGTCGCGGCCGAGGTAGTACTCGTCCATGAGCTCGATGACCTCCTCGACGCCGTCGACGCCTTGGTCCTGGAGCGGCTGGACGAGGCGCGGGAACAGGGTCGGGAGGTACGACTGGCGCAGCTCGCGCTTGTCGCCGCTGACGCGCAGGCGCATGCGGACCTGGATCTCGGACAGGGCACGCTGCAGCTTGTTCTGCGTCGAGTTCTTGCCGAGCCACCTGCAAGAGAGAGAGAGAGAGGGCGCGAGAGGGCGAGGGAGGAAAAGGGTAGGCAGGAAAGGGGTCAAGGGCCACCGTCAGGACACTTGACGGCATGGAAGGGAGTCGAGAGAGGTGTGGACGCACGCAGGGAAGGACGGGAACCCGCCGCCGCCGCCGTAGCACAGGCTCGCCGGCCTCACGCACGAGAGCATGCCGTGGACGGGCATGAGCGACCACTGCTGCTGCTGCCTGTAGACCACGACGCGGTCAGGTCGACGGGCCGCTACGAGGGCGCAGAGAGAGGGAGAGGGAGAGCGAGAGAGAGAGAAGGACGCACCCGTGGATCATGGCGTCGACCAAGTCGCCGTCCGAGATGGCCTCGGCCGCCTTGCACACGAGGTCGAGGTTCTTGATCTGCGCCTCGACGCCGCTCGCGCCCGCCGCACGCGTGAACTTGCCCTTGATGTAGTTCTCCTGAACGAAGAGCGGCATGATGCTGAAGTCCTGAAAGTACACCTCGAGCTTGTCGGTGAGGGACAGGCCCGACACGGGCGAGAAGGCCTGCGGGCCGAACAGCTTGCTGAACAGGGTCCACGGCGTCTGGAGCGCGTTCTTCTCGTTCATGCGGACGCTGTGGGGGCGAGGGCAACGTGAGCTGGACCCTTCTCGCAGGGAGGAGGACACGACGGGGGGTGAAACTCACAGCGCCTTGCCCTGGTCGAAGCTGATGGCCTGCGCGCCGAGCTTGTAGGTGGCGAGCATGTTGATGATCTGGCGGATGTCGGACTGCGAGCCCTGCACGAGCTGGTCGACGACCTTGCCGTCGAGCTTGAGGCCCTCCCTGCGAGCGAGGCGAGGCGTCAGGACGTGCGACGAGGGACTCGAGGGACGGCGAGGGCGCAGAAGAAAGAGAAAGGTCGATAGAGAGAAAAGGAGGAGCGGGCAAAGGTGGGAGACGGGTCGAGAGGGAGGGGAGGAGCGAGGCGCGAGACGTACTTGAACGCGATGCTCATGATGCGCGAGCGGATCTCCTGCGCCGTCGGGCTGCGTCACAGAGAATCGCGACGTCAGGACGAGGTCGCCTCGAGGTCGTCGTCGTCGAAACGTCGCAAGAGAGAGGGAGAGAGAGGCGGACGCACCGCTTGAACAGCATCTGGAACGTCGTGTTGAGGAGCGGCTTCATCTTGACGCTCTTGGCGTCGTTGGCGATGGCGATGATGGGCACCTTGCTCTTCTTGATGACGGCGTTGAGCGCACCAACGCCGCCGCGGTCGCCGGCCGACATGCCGTCGACCTCGTCCATGATGATGAGCGACTTGCGGTTGACCGACAGGCCCGACGCGCCGCCCTGCGAGACACGCGACGCGCGAGAAGGTCAGTCCTTGAGGCAGGCGGGCGCACACGAGGGCGACAAAAGGGCGAAAGACGCTCGTGGACGCACCTCGTCGCCCTCCTTCTTGACAAAGCCCGCGAGCGTCGTGTCGGTCGTCTTGCTGCGGAACGCCTCCTCGAGCATCTTCTTGCTCCGCGTGTCGCTCGCGTTGAGCTCGAGGACGTCGTACCCGAGGAGCTTTGCAACGAGGTGCGCCGACGTCGTCTTGCCGATCCCGGGCGGCCCGCTGATGAGGACGCACCGGTGCGAGTTCATGGCGTCGGGCCCGGGCTTCTTGAAGTTGCACGCGAGCGACTTGGGCCTGCGAGAGAGAGGGGCAAGCGGGAGAGGGAGGAGGAATGAGTGGCGGGCTCGCTCGAGGGGGGACAGGGGGAGGGCGCGCGAGGGGCGCACCAGGCTTCGAGCCAACGCTGCAGCTTCTCGACGTGGCCCTTGTTGCCGCAGATGTCGGCGATGCGCTGCGGCGCGTACTTGGTCGTCCACAGCTGCGTCAGGTGCTCCCTGAAGGCGCGGATGGCGCTGTCAGTTTTTGCGCGTTCGTGCGTTTACAAGCCCCTCGCGCGTCGGGAGAGGGTACGAGAGGGAAACAGTCGACGCACGGAGCGTCCTTGCCGAGACCCTTCATGGCCTTGACGGCCTCCTTGACCTTCTGCTCCTCCTTCTTCTTGGCCTGGACGATCTGGGGGTCGTGGGGGTCGCTCTTGCGGCTGCCGATCAGGGGGAGGAACCCGTCCTCGTCGAGCGTCTTGATCTTGTGCTGGGCGATCTGCTCGAGTTTCTTCGGCCCCCCCTGGGCCCCGAGGACGACGTAGGACTTCTTGCTCGAGGGCCCCGTCGTGACGCGGC